GAAGATATACTGCAATCCGTCCGCCAACTGGAAGGCGTCCACGTTGTTCAGCCGGTACTGCACGTGCGCGTCCACCACCAGCTTCGTCAAGCGGAGGATCTCGCGGCACAGATGGAAGGCGTTGCCGAAGCGGGACTTTTTGCGCTCCTTGGTGGTCAGCGTCTTGACGGGCTTGAGGTTGAAGTTGTAGTCGAGGTGGAGGTAGTTGAGGTTCTTGCGGTGGATCAGCAGGTTCAGCATGTTGTAGCCCTGGCGGCACACCTGGAGACCGGCTTCCACCCAGTCCAGCGAGGTGGACTGGAAGAACTTGGTGGATTTGAAGGAGCGGAACAGGTAGCGCTTCTTCTGCGGCTTCGTGGGCCGGTGCTTCAGGGCATTGAGGACGTAGGTCTTCAGCAGTTTCTGGTACGACACGCGCACCTTCACCGGCATTCCTAACATTAAAATAATCAAAAATGAATTACCAATTTAAATAATTTTTTTACTTATCCTTTTTTCACTTATTCTTACATTCGTTTTATCTAATTTTATCTGCGATTTAATTTAAATTAAATAAACTGCAGTTTAAATGTTCGAACCATTTCAAATCGTAACGGATGCAAACCGAAACGCGTAATAAGATCTCAGTTAAAAATTCACAATCAACTGTCAATTCTTACGTTATATACTAAACATTTACAACAAAAACGATAAAAAATTCATTTCAATCGCAAAGTTCATTATAAATTTCCTTGCCGGTAGGACAGTGTTCGCGGTAGCAGTTCTTGACCAGCGGGACGTCGAGCGCGGCGCGTCATGGCCGAGCGCATGTTGAAGGGCCGCGGCGCCCAGAGCAGGCCGATGCCGTTGGCCGTGTTGTCGGTGTAGAGCGGGGCCTCCTGCAGCAGCGGCTGCACCATCTCCGGCAGCTCGAACTCCTCCAGGTCGTCCAGCGCCACCTCCGAGGAGCGCGCCGCGTCGCGCGTCTTGCTGCTGGTGCCGGGATTGATGAGGGGGTCACAGCGGTGCGCACCGGCTGCCGGATGATGATCGTGTTGATGTCGTTGAACTCGTCCAGTCCTCGTCCGCCGCCGCATCATGATCCACATCGTGCCCCACTGCGCCACGTACACCGGCTCCACCACCCACGGGATCTCCTTCACCAACGTGATCGCTCCTGCAATGCAGTGGCACATCCCTTATTGCTCTTTTCATTCACTTTATCCAGAAACAATTCCAAAAAGAAGAACCACACTGACCAATAAACGATAAAACCGTTCTGCTAAATCGAACATGTGCACTGATTTTTATGCTGCAGTCGTTATTTAATCGGAAAACAACATTTCAAAATGTAATTCGAATACACTGAAAATACTCGAAGAGTCAAAACCATCAAATGAATGAGTACAATGATAAAATGCTGCAGATTTAAGACGCAAAATCATAAAAATTGGTATTTTTTCCACACCTGTCATGTGATAGAGGACCTTGACTTCGCGCACCTGCTCCCACGGCATGGGCATGTTCTCCAGCAGCTTCAGCACTGCGTGCGGAATGTACTTCAAGGCGCCCAAGTAGACGCGCTTGTCGTTCTTGAACTTCTTGTGCGTCATGTCGCCGTGGTCGCGGATGATCCTGCGCAGGTGCTCCGGCGGCATGTCCTCCTTCTGCGCGTCGACGAAACCGAACTTGCGCTTCTCCGCGTAGCGCTTCGCTGCAGCAGCTGCCACTTTTTCGCCTTCTTCTCCAGTTCGGCCTGCCGCTGCCGCTCATCGGGCTGCGGCGGCTTCGTTCCAAACTTCGTTCAGCTGCCCAACCAACCAAAACCACCTTTCTCGAAAAACAAGTTCATTTTGCCTAGATCATCTAAAATTCCATCCATTCCTGAAGAACATTGTAGATTAATCCCTAGTTCTGCCAACAAACCTGATTGATCAAATGGCGGAGAGAGGGACTAGTCACTGCAACAAGACTTGCACGATCTTCGAGCAGGAGCCCGGATTGCACGTTCTAACCACAAATACGAACGCACATCCGACAGCGTCCACACTCCTCGCTCGCACCACTTTAACACAGAAAGAACACTACTTTACCTTATCCGCAAAAATTCGAGCTTCTGTCTGTCCACTGCAGTGACCAAATGATGAAAACTGGAATCGCAGAAACACATATACCCGAACCGTAACGTTTGTCAATTTTTGTCTTTGACAAAAAATTTTTGAAAACATGCAACCGTTCACGGAATACGGTACAGTAGTGCTTTACCATTAAAAGTGATACAGCAGCGCTGGTTCAATAATGTCGTACCAGCGTAAATAACGATAAATACAAGAGGGGATACTATACCATGAAACTTCCATGTAATTATGAAGAAAACTTCAGAAATTTGCGCATTTTGCATCAAATTATGATGGATACCTAAGTAATTCCGTGTATTTTGCATGTAATTGCAAAGTGTACCTACGAATTGATGCACATTCCATGTAATTATGAAGTAAACCGTATAAGTTTACGCATTTCGCATTTAATTATGATGAATACCTACAAAATTCCACCTATTTCGCATGTACTTGCAAAGTGTACCTACGAATTGAGGCACATTCCATGTAATTATGAAGTAAACCGTAGAAATTTACGCATTTCGCATCTAATTATGACGATACCTACGAAATGTTGATCTATTTCGCATGTACTTGCAAAGGGTATCTGCGAATTGATGCGTATTCCATGTACTTAAGAAGAAAACTGTATAATTTTATGCATTTTGCATCTAATTATGATGAATACCTACGAAATTTTGATCTATTTCGCATGTACTTGCAACAATCTACGAATTGATGCACATTCCATGTAGCTATGAAGTTAACCGTAGAAATTTATGCATTTCGCATCTCATTATGATGAATACGTACGAAATTTTGATCTATTTCGCATGTACTTGCAAAGGGTACCAGCGAATTATTGCGCACTTCAGGTAATTATGAAGTAAACAATAGAAATTTGCGCATTTTGCACCTAATTATGATGAATATTGAATACCTACGAAATTTTGATCTATTTCGCATGTACTTGCAACAAGTACCTACGAATTGATGCACATTCCATGTAATTATGAAGTAAGCCGTATAAGTTTACGCATTTCGCATTAAATTATGATGAATACCTACAAAATTCCACCTATTTCGCATGTTCTTGCAAAATGTACCTACGAATTGAGGCACATTCCATGTATTATGAAGTAAGCCGTATAAGTTTACGCATTTCGCATTTAATTATGATGAATACCTACAAAATTGCGCCTATTTCCCATGTACTTGCAAAGTATACCTACGAATTGAGGCACATTCCATGTAGTTATGAGGTAAACCGTAGAAATTTATGCATTTCGCATCTAATCATGATGAATACCTACGAAATTTTATCTATTTATTTTTCGCATGTACTTGCAAAGTACACCTACGAATTGATGCAAATTCCATGTAATTATGAAGTAAGCCGTAGAAATTTATGCATTTCACTTCTAATTATGATGAATACCTACGAAATTTCTTCTATTTTGCATGTACTACCAAGAGTACGTGCGGAACTGATGCGTTTTCCATGTAATATGAAGAAAACGTCAAAAGTTTGTGCATTTTGCATCTAATTATGATGGATACCTTAGAATTACGCCTAACTCGCACGTGCTTGCAAAGAGAACCTTCGAAACTGATGCATCTATGAAGAAAACTTTAGAAGTTTGTGCATTTGTGCATTTGGTTGTAATGATTGCCCATTCCCGTTGCTGGTGGCCTTGCTGCATTCTTCCGTCAAATACCGGCTGCAACACAAAATCCGCTGCATTAGTCATATTGAGATATATCTTTTTTCCAATAAATATGAACTAAGTATTAGCAATGTAAATATTTTTCCATTTAAAAAAACATTAATTGTTATTTACTAAATACATTAAATATCAATATATTAAGTTTATTAAAACTAACTAATATTATGATAAATTTTCTACAGTTGAATGTTGCGCTTACTTTTTATTGCCACCGCATCCGCTGCCGACGAAGGTCTGGCAGACACCGGTGGCCGGGTTGAGGTTCCAGCGCGTGATCTCCGCGTGACACACGCCGGTGTCCGTCGCCTGCGAGCAGCCCGGCTGGGGGGTGGAGGTGGGCCCCCGGCTTGGCAGTCACTTGCAGAATGCAGACCTGGACCGTAACTTCCGGCGCCGCACGAGTCGCGGCGGGCGTCGTGGCCGCTGTAAACCAACAGACCCGGTCATTTTTATCATAAAGTAAGGGAATTTCTCAATATACCCATGGTTGCGGCTTTAGTTATGATAGCTTTATTGGTCAAATCAGTATGCGGTACACAATTATTAGAAAAGACACATAAACTACGGCTTTAGTTGACATAGTCGGCTTCGTCGGCGTTGTTATTGGGAGCACCTGCCAGTTATTTACAATAATTAGTCAATCTCAGTGTTTAAATATCTATATTTTTATAAATTTAAACATGTTAAACATTAGCGATCAAGGCTATTTATCAAACATTAATAAATATGTAGTACACATATTTTAATAAAATTTAATAAATAAAATATGTGTTTTAAAAAATAAAAATGTCCCATTCCGACATTTTGCTAGCAGTGCAGCGGACAGTGTTCATTTGAAGATTAGGTGAGAACACCAGCCATGCTTTGACAGTTAAACTACAACAACATACAAGTACGTAATATACAAGTCATACGTATCTGTACCTGCCGCTGCGGACGCAGGCGGGCAGGTCCACGTTTGGCTTCCGCTTAATTCCGTCCAACTGTTAAAATTCAAGGATTAAGCGTTTGCGCAAGCACCACATTTTCTAATGCGGTAAATCCTCACTGCAACTGCCGCTCTCTCTTTCTGCGCCGCGATGTTATTTAGCGTGTACTCGATTATTGGTCGCTTATTGTTATCGCTGTTACGCGAAATACGCTTTTGTACCTAACAATCGCCTTCTGTGACTCGGCTAAGAATTGTTTAAAAAACTTTTACGCTTAACTCTTTAATCAAACAGATTCAGTTAAAACGAACAGTTATAAACAACCAATCAGTTTCAGTTAAAGTTTAACCCAACTAAACAATAACACAAGCAAGTCAAGCGAGAAACAGGCTTCGACGGCATCCAGTTATTTGCCTTCGGGCTTCTTCTTCGTGAACCGCCCTCTCTGGTCTCGTTCCCGGGGTGCATTCGCCGTCTTCCCTGGCTTCTCACGCGTCTGCTGGGCGTCCTCCTCCTTCGTTTCCACGACAGTTGCGGGCGTGGGGGACTCTTCGCTTTGCGCCGCTGGCTCACTGTGCTCCGGTGCCTGCGCGTTCTGCTCCAACCGATCGTGCCAGTGCTCCCGGTCGAGGATGGGCACCCTGCCGCCCATATTCAGTTTGACCATACAATCAGTCGTCCGGCGACAACGCCAGAAGTGTTTCCCGTCTTTTCTTGAGAAGTCCCGGAGATATTCGTAACCGTCAAGCCTCAGCACGTCGCCCTTGCGCTGACTGACCGGAGCCACCGTTTCCCTGCCCGGTTGAACGGCGTGAACGGAGGATACCTAAGGACACGAGCAATGATAACATAAATCGCAATTTACAACCGAAAACAGCAACCTTGATTTTTCCAAAAATTCACAAAACATGAATATACACACTTTATTCATGTTTTAACACTTGTTTTTCCAAGCATTTACTCCAGAACATTTTTCGAACAATTATACGTTAATTTCAGTATTCAACAATCAAATTTTACCATTAATTTTTTCCATAATTTTTAGCTTAATTAAGCATTATTAATTCTTCCTTTTCAATTGAGTGCAAATATTTATTCAGGCATACGATGCAGCGTTATACGTACGAAACAATTATGTTCAAACATTTGTTTTCAATTTGTTCGCTGAGAATTCGTTTAACCTTTATTTTTTCTTTCGACTTTCTAAATATTTCAACATTAATGACTGATTGATGCCACTGATTTGCGTAAAGAAACCGCTGATGACCATTACCCACCTCGGCGTCATCGATCTTCTTCACGCCGCGCGCCTCCATCTTCTTGCGCGAAACTCCCGCATCGCCTTTTCCTCGTTCGCCCAGCTGCAACGGGAAACACGTTAAACGAACGCTGCACAATGACACAAGCCAGCTGACGCACATAAAATTTCCTCCAATCCAAGAAATGACTTCCCATTTACATATTTTTATCATGTTTCTGAATAAAATTTTACAGAGGAAAAATTAAGCATTTAAAGTTCAAGAAATTAAAACAATGGTGCAGGAAACGATTAACTAAATTACAAGTAATTTTAAAAACAAATACGCAAATCCAGTGCAACAAAAGCATTCAAAGAAAAACGCAATACGAGCATCGAGTTTTTCGAACGTTTTCTACTGGCATGTTTTTAAAAATCTGGTTTCACGTTTACTCAAACGGCCGACTGTCTCTGGTCCACCTCGCTTTCATGAATGAACTCATTTAAAAAATTTTATTTTTCGATTTAATGTCTATAAAAACATTATTAATTTTATTTCTAAATAATATTATAGTATTATATCGCCTGCAGCAACGCACTCGCATTTCACGGCATCGAATCTGACAATAACACAACGCTTACCAGAAGCTCCTGTTTGGCGGTCTCACACTCTTTGGGGCTGCCGGGGTCAAGCTCCGCGGGGGCTTTGCCGCTGGTCTCCTCGGTTGGCGCAGATTGCTTGCTGTTGGGGATGGCGGCGGGGATGCAGTTGTCGCTGCTCGTCTGCCGGTTCAGCGTGGAGAACTCCTCCACAATCTGCTCGCACGGTGCGCTTTTCACCATGAACTCGCCGACCGTCGCTGAGCCGTTCTCGCAATCGACCTGGCGCTGGGCGGCGGGGGCCGGAGCGTGGTAGGCGCGCGACGTCTCGTTTTCCACCACGTCGCCCAACTGGAACGACGCATCCTGCCCATTCTCGCCGATGCCCTCCATGCGCATCATCTCCGCCTCGCAGTTGTTCACCTTCTCCGTCTCGCCCGCCACTGTCACCCCGCTGGCCTTCTCGTCGTCGCGGCCCGGGAAGTTGATCTTCACCTGGAAGCGGTTATCCAGGTCCGTCAGAGTGCGGCCGTTGTCGTCCATGATGCGGGCATGGGTGCGGCTGTCCAGCGGCACCTCCACGCGCGACTTGCGCTTCTACACAACGGACATTAACGCGATTACATTTTACCTCTGTGCAGTCAACCCAGCACCTTGCCCTCACCTCGGATTCAGTGCGGGCTTGGCCCTTGTCGCGCGCCGCGGGCGCCTGCGACTCCAGGCCGCTGGTGACGGTCTTGTCGGCGTCCGCGCTGGCAGCGGCGTCTTGCGGGAACTGTATCTCCACTTGAAACTCGTTGCGCAGCTTGCGGACGTTCCCGCCGTGCTGGCCGCTGATCTGCAAATGGTGCGTGATGTCCACGCGCACCCCTGCGGGGTAGTTGTGCCCCGCCTGCACATGAAACAAACGCAAATCATTCTCCTGCATCAACACCAGCGCTAACTCCAGCAAGCATACCCGCTGTTTCTCCAACCTCTCCAGCTCCTTGACGCGCGCCGCCAGCTTTTCGTTGGCTTCATCCACGTTGCGGCGCTGGCCGCCGATCCCGATAACGTCGCTCTGATGCGCCGGGTTGGGGATGGCTTCGCGGTCCTCCGGTCGGCCGGTGACGCTGGCCTGTTTGGGCACTTCGGAGGCGGGTCCCACAGTGGGAGCCAGCTGCTCGCAGTTGGCATCGGCGGCGCGGTTGTCCATGCCCTCGGGGAACTTGATGCCGACGTCGACCTTCTCAGATACGTCCATGACAGGCACCTCACCAGGGTGGATGATGTTGGGCTTGGCGACGTCCATCGCATCCTGAGAGCCGAGCAAAACCACTTCCTTCTCCTCGGCCATGCTTACATTGCCAGTCTCCTGGATTTGCTGGATTTCTTCGGCGCGAGGCGCGGGGGAGCGATGGGGAATATCCACCAAATCGTCCACGGTGTTATGCTGCAAAGACAACCATTAAGCAGCAATAAGCAACGGTTTTATCATCAAACAGAAAATGACGGGAAACTAAAAATTAAACTAAAATAACGAAACACTAAATTTCAGAAATTTAAAAGGCATCTAAAAAATCATATAGAAGTATGAAACAACTAGAGCAACCAAAGGAATAAGACCGAAAATCGCCCGGCTTTCTTCACGAATTCGACCAAACGTCCCTTCACCTCTCGAACACATCCGGCGCAGAGCTTCCGCACTTTCAGGTCCAGCACACGACGGACCTGAAAGACTTGCCAGGCAGGCGCACCGGTGACCACAACCAGGTCTTTCTCGGGGAAGAACTGGACTTCCACACCGCGACACAGGCGGGCCAGCATAGCCTTCAGCCCATCCGAGTCACTTCCGGCCAGCCAGCTGTGGATGCTGCCGGGAGCTCGAAGCTGCACGTGAACAACGTGTATAGCCGGAATCTAAAAGTACGCGGCCGATGGTTGACGCATCTCGTAAACACGCATCGTTCCAGCTCACTGACCTGCTGAGCGAGGAGATCGAGAGCCTCTCCAAATCCGAGAGGATTCCCGTACAGGGTAACCGCATCACTGTCAGGCGACGTCGGTAATTTAACCGAAATCCCAGTCTTCTCGTGTACCCGGTGCAGGTACTTTCCGTCCGATCCCCGCAGATCGCGGTGGCAGGCGCGAGAAAGGTGCATCACGATCTCCTCATTGTCAGTGGGTTGCTGCGCGGAGAAGGGGGACATCTGCTGCGAGACTCGACACTCCAATTGTGGCGATACTGGAGACGTCGTCATCACCTGCGTGGACTGGCCGGTGCCACTCGGGATGGTTCTCTTTGAACCGCTGCCATCCCGCAGTTCAATCGTCACGACTCCGTCTGCGTAGGTTAATAAGTAAGTTACTTGTGACCGAATTGGTGCAAACCAAAGCAACTTTCGCTGTTCCGCACTCCCGTATACAGTATATTTTTTTGCATATACTGTTTTGAAGCCAAAGAAGCCATGTACATCTTTATACTGTTTTGAAGCAAAAGAATTTGTATACATAGGTATAAAATCCGTTTGCGAGCGCAACATCCGATTGTAAAGTTATGGTTGAATCAGAATTCCAAAAAGTTTAAAAGCATTCAGGCGTGCCAATAGTATAATTATAAACCGACACTTTGCATCCAATTACGATGAATATTTACAAAATGTCAGTAAAGTAAAAAAGTAAAAGTTACCGAGATACGGCGACGTAAAGTACAAAACTGACATGCAAAGGGGATGCAGCAAAGTAAAATTAAAAAGTAAACGTAAACCAGATACTGCTATGTAAAGTACAAAACTGACATGCAAAGGAGATGCAAATAACTTTTAAACCGGATGTTGCGCGCGCAAACGGATTTTATGCCTACGCATGCAGATTTTTTGGCTACAAAGTATCATAAAGCAATGCAAAAAATTGTTTGGGAGAGCACGATAACGAAAGTTTCCGTCAATGTACATGAATTTGGTGCTGCGTACTGGGCCAAATCCCTTAACGCAGTAGGGAAAGTAAAAAGAAATCCAAGAAATAAAAACTTACCAGCTTCTTCCGTCGCGGGACTTTGAGAGGCGGAAGGCGTTGTCCCAGAGGACCCCGTGATGGGCGACATCAGAGAGCCCTTCCTGAAGAGGTGTTTTTTGAACCGGTTGGCATCCGGGTCTACACAGAACAGGTTCATTTCCCTTAGCAGTGCCGCAAAACTGTCTTCAGATTCACTGCTCAAAGGTGACGACAGAGACAACGGCTGCACTTGCGCCAGCGGCGGACTGTGCACTGTTTGCGGCAGTTCACTGTCGCTGGCAGGGGACTCCAAGTGCGGTCCACTGGGTGACTGCCCGCTGACCAGTTGTGCCCCATCGGGTGGCCGCACTGGCGTACTCATTGGGATGTGGCTGTTCTCCGGATCACAGGGAGTTCTGACGTAAAACAGCATATAAGCCTTCTGCTTCAAAACCGTTCGCTTATCCGCCGGCGACACCTGCAAAACAATAAACGGTTTTAGAAAAACATTTATTTTTAATCGTCAATTAATCGCTTTAATACCTCTGCATCATTGCAGCAGAACCATGATTTTCCGTCGATGGTAACATAGGAAAAGTAGTGACCGGAATCCAAAGATGCACCGCGATGCACGAGCACCGCATACAGCTGATATATGACGTCGGAAGCATCATTGGGGTCACTCATAAACGGGCGCAAATTGAGCCGCTCTGGGAACGCGACAGCCTTATCAACCTTGGATAACGACATCCCGGTATCCAGATATCGCTTGAACAGCACCGTCAGGATGTTGGGTGGTACCTGTATCGTGAGCTGCTTGGTTGAGCGAGTCAACTTTCCACACAGTTCGCAATAGTAGAGGTTGTCCGGCGATGTCAACTCCTCGCGCTGGGTGTGGATGTGCAGCGCGTCCTCCAGGTGATTGACCGTCTCCCCAATCGCAAGCTGAATGTCCCAGAAGAGCTCCAACGTATCGAAGGTGTGCTTACACCCCTTGCAATGGACGCTGGACTGAGATACACCGTGGAATATCCAACCCGGCATGGTTGTTTCGACACCATCCACGGTGTCCGGATCTTGGTGTCCCGACGCTGCAAGCACCATGGCATTCATCACAAAGTGAAGAAATTGGTGTGCGTCATGCTGTCGGCCATCGGAATGCTCTTCCGCAAACACTGTCGCAATATAAATAACATCAATCACAACAGGAGCAACATCAGTTTTTGTATTTAATAAAAACTGATAAAGAAGCAAAAACAAAACTAAGACTTATTCTTGAGGAAACACATTTCAGATTTGTAAAGTCGGATAAAAAGAAGTTTCTTACGAGAAAGATTCTCAATGATCACTTTAGGTTCCAGCGCATCCATCGGGGAGGCGCGCAACACGGACAGTAGCAACTCTTGAAGCTTGCACGTGAGACAAAAGCCCGAGCCTTTGATATGACCTGCAAGCCAGAGTAATATTGCAGAAATATTATGCCACACAACTATTGCAGAAAGTTCAAAGCCACCCACAGTGATGATTGTTCTTCACAAAGTAATTATACAATGGCGCTGTATGCGCAAGACATTGCAGTGTGGCATTGATAAAGCACGTCGTTTTGCTCGGATTCGTCAGTCCGCAGCCGACGGCCATGTCCGGATGCGGCCACTCCAAATCGATGGCAGGCGGCCACTCCAAATCATGAAGGCTGCCTTCCATAAGTTTCCCGGTGCTGGGCGTCGGTGATGTAGCCGGACTGGCCGGCGAGGCGGATTGTTCGGAGGAGCGTGCTGCAGGGTCGTGGGTGTTGGCAGAAGGGGGCACGAACAGCGGCTCACGGACAATCTCCGCCGGCAGCACCACACTGGTCAGCGTCGGCGCACCGGTCCGGATATTGAGCTCGCTTGCGGGGGATTTGGGGGGCAGCTTCGTCTTGGTGGGCAATCCCAAGGGCGGCTGAACGACGCCGTCGGGGAGCACCGGGCCACCTGGTGAAATTACACGCTTATTGAAATCCCTAAAAACCGGCAGCTTTCGCAAATAATAATTTTACTTGTCGGCAGAGGAGCCAGCGTTAATCCCTCGTTGCTCGACGGGAGCGTAACGGATAAAGGCGTCCGTACAGGCGAGTTAACCTCGCCAGATGTGCTCCGGACATTCCCCATAGCTGCGGTCTCGGCTGCGGCTTTCTTGCCGCAATCTTTACTGATCGGCTAAACGACAGACAAATCGTCAGGCAATTTCCACATGACAAGTCGCTAATATTTTGACAATTTAATTATAGGTAATTTATTTGCTTAATTAAAAAATAATGTTGTTACAGTTTCATGGCTGGATCAGTTACGGTAGTTGACAGTGTAATCGTAAAGTCATTTATTATCCTCTTTTATTGTAATTTTGTGAACTACAAAATTCCGCGAAATTAAATTCCAAAAAATGTAAATTAAGCAACAAAATTATTCACTGATTATTAATTTAAGTACTTAAATAACGCATTACAAAATGCTGTAATCCCAAATGAAATTCCACATGAAATTCGAAATTAAGCTCCAAATTAAATTCCAGCTAAATCTCAGATTAAATTACAAATTAAAATACAAAAAAATTCCAAATCAAATCCCGAATTAAATTCAAATAAATTCCGAATTAAATCCCAGTAAAATCTCAAAATAAATTACAAATTAAATTACAAAACAAATTCCAAATCAAATCTCGAATTAAATCCCCAATTACGTATATGACTCAAACGGCTTGTAATAAACATAAAGTCCCAGCCTGCACTTCCGGTACGACAACCGCTTTGCTACTGGGCACAATGGGGTTCAATGGGCGGACCTGCGCACTGGTACTTCTGGTCTGCATGCCCGTCGGCGCCGCGCAGCCCGGCTGCACCACACTGCCGCTGCTGGCCGAGATGGACCGGCCGAAGGTGTCCGGCGCCGCCGCCAGAACATTCGGCTGGATCAACGGGTCCCCGCCGGGCGTCGGGCTCAATGTCGAGCTGTGCTGGATGTCCTCCCCACGCAGCGCCAACTCCGACAGATCGCTCGGCTGGTACAGCTGGACTGGGCGGAAGGTGTCTGGGGACAGCATGGCGTCCAGAGTGTCGCCGCTGTGCTGCGTCGTCGTCGGGGGCGGCGGGGCGTATGGCGGCGAGTCAGACATGTAGACGCTGGAGGCACCGGCCGCGGACTGAGTGCGGTAGCTGTTGGTGGTGGACCGATCAAAAGCCGGGGAGCTGAGGGGCAGCGCCAGCGAATGCTGTAAAAAAATCACGCGGACTAACCAAAACAAACTAACAATAATTCAGAAAATTAATCTATTAATAACTACCCACGCCTAACAATAAGAATTAAATTAATCATAGTGTCACGTAATGATTTTTATATAGATAATTGAGCGACAGCTCTGATTCACTTTTATGATTTTGCTACTGTTTACTGATTCATTTGAGCGATATGCTCACTCGTGCTATCTGATATTATTCTTTCCTACTTGTTTGCCTACAAATACTGCTGTTCTTTACTTCTAATGCACGGATGCATGCATTCAGTACCACTTCCGACAGTACACTTTGTACTTCTACCTGATTTCTTTCCTAATAACAATTCCCTGCCTCGCATTGCCTTTCTGTTACCGTTAATGCATATTATCATATGTTAGCATACCGGCCGGTTTAGCCGTGCCGTGACCTTTAATTACTTTGCTCTGCCATAAATTATGTAACAAACTGGTCCGACGACTGAGAAGTACCTGTCGGTTACTTCAGCTGTCAGTTATTATTATTTTATTTTTTGTTTGTTTTTCTTAATGTACGATGACTTAATACGACGATACCATCACCGTTCACAGCGGCTGCCGCTGCCACTGCCGTTTGTACTACGCCGCATTCGAGCAGCGTGATTTTCCAGACGCTAGCAAGCCATAACCGGGAACTGATGTTCTCGCGCGCTTTCCGATTTTGTCGTTCGTTCGCAATACCAGGCTAGCATGTTCCGTCGTGAGTATACTTGACAACTGCCTTTTTAAAAAATTTAATGGCGATAATCCTAGTGCAGTACTTCTGATAACTTTGTTCTTATGTAAATGCTCGAGTTGTAAACAAAAGTGTCTCTTGAAAACGACTATATGGCGTGTGATATTGGTGCATCATCTGCTGATTCAGTTCTTAGAGATCTGCCTTCATAAAAATAATTTGCACTGCGCTTTTAATTATCTCATAAAATTTCCGCCGAACTGTGCAGAGTTGAAAAATTGCAGTTTAAAAATGTTTCTTTTGTTTTCGAATTACCGGATATTTCTCGATATGCCTGACCGTATTGTTTTTCATTTCAAGAACACTGTTCACTGATTGCGTCTTGAAACAAGAAAGATCATTCGTGTAACTGTTTTCTAATTTCGCTTTGCTGTTTCATGGTAAAAAAAAAGTTTTTACATTTCGAATATTCCCATGAAGGTTGATTGGATTAAATTTACGTCGATGCCGCATCAGTGCTTCCGAAAAGCGATAGCTCGATATTACAACAATCTTTACTTGACAGCATGTGTCGGTTACGATATTTCTGTTGGACAATCGAACTATCAGTTCTCTGCTTATGAAATTTAATAATTCGTTAGCAAGATGAATAGTTCGTTTCTGATGTTTTTGGTGACCTTTGTTTTCGAAAAAAAATATACTTCACTTTTGTTGTTTAGCGATTTGTGCCTTGATCTTATCCTGTCTTGACTCGTTGAGTCAGTAGATGTTTGCATGCCGGGGCTATGCCCTATTCACAATCTGGAACTGCCGAACCCAATTACACTTTTTCTCGTTGTTGGAAAATTTCAGAGATTTCTGGGCTTGTTTACTGATTAGCGATTGGATAAGAATATTCTTCGTTGACTAATACCGTTTCTTGTGACCAATCCCTAACCGAACCTAGTTCAACGTTCCTGGCCGTTCCTAAAATAACTTCGAATCTATCTGATTAATCAGACTTGCCGAACCTTATTACTCAACGCTTTTCTTGGTTGTTAAATCTGCAGCTTTACTGAAATGAATCCGCCCAAAAGAACTGGTAATTACCCTCCTACTGTCCAGTCAAGAGAAGCAGATCAAAGCTTGGTTGAGTCATTTCTGTTGGCCATGAAATCATCAGAAAAGCTTTGTACACGTCGGCATTCAGTTGCAGTCATGGACCACGAACTCCTCAAGGACTTAGTTCCATGTAGCCCGGTTGTCGATGTACTAGGACCCGTTACAGTTATTAAAACTCCGGTTTTGTTATCAATGGTTGCCAAAGTTAACAAATTTTTGAATGAGTACAGTTCTCTTTTAAATCAGCTTAATGCGCCGTCCAAGCCCAAACGTAAACGCGAAAGCCGTGCTTGTAACTACTGCCACAAGGTTGGTCACCTTTATTCCGTATGTTATTTAAACCCAAATAGCCGTAATTACAGGCCTGTTGAAAAGGGTAAACGTAACACTACTAACGTTGGTGGTGCACGACGTCAACAGTCTGCAAGCGGTGAGCATTCGGCCACGCAAGCCAGATCACCGTCCCGTTCGGCAAGTGCACCGGGACAGCCACGCTGATATTAATGAGGCTGTTGTATATATGCTTGTATATATGCCAAGTTGTATTGAATTATTTACGAAACACTAAAAAAAATGTTTATGAGACTTTTCCGTTTCCAAATATCACTGTCCTGCCTTAATACTGCATGTGCATATGCGTTTAGTGCATCGTTTTGTAGGAATGTTATGACCGTCTAAAATGTAGTAAAAAAATAACCGTTTTGTTTTAGCTCTTTAACTTTGTAACCTTTTATCCACTTTTAATCACTTATCATTTGATTTCCTAAAATGTTTGGCTCAAATCATTGACGGATCCGACCTAACGTACAACTGGTTTTTAAACTTACTGTATGAAGTTTTTTGTCAAAGAGGGGAAGGGATAAAAGCGACGTACTAGATTCTGCAATAATTATCTATCCAGGAAGAAGCACATCGGCGAATGAATTATCTGAAGCAATGCACGTGTGCTTTTTATGTTTTTGAAAATTTATTTCGAGGAAATATGTTTTTGATATTTTATTTTGGTTTAATGCACGTGTTTCTTTTTGTGTTTTTGGAATTTTTATTGTTGAACTGGCCAGAGAATAAATGACTCCGCAAAGCGACGGCACTGGATAGACACAACTAGTAGGTCAAGGTGACAGATTGGACGAACGTTGTGCCCAATGTACATACTTTATTCGCATAGCTGAAAACTACCAGAGTGCGAGTCTGGATTAACGTTTTTTATTATGCAACAAAATTAATCACTGTGAACTCTAGAACTGCAGACTAGAATTTGCTTTGATTTAAATTAAATATTAATTAAAAGCTTCAAACCGTTGCGCTGTGGGTGCCGTATAGCTGTGAATAATCAGGTGCATACATGGTTAACGAAAAGGTTGACTTAGTGTTTGAAAAGAAAGTGCACGTTCTTTTTAAAACTTTAGTATCACCTAAGGGAAGAACTGCAGACTCGTCCGGAGAGCGTAGTGACCCAGCCGGTAAAATAATGAATTGTTGCATTTAATCAAAGGCAAAAGCCTCGGAGTCAAGTTAATGTTCGTTTAGTTGAAAAGAGTATACTCAGACCGGCGAAGCTATACCATGGACCGCAGTAAAAGTTGGCAGAATCTTAATGAATCCCCTGTGTAGTGATAAAGTGCGAGTAGCGTCTACGCATAATGGTTTAATTTGGAATTTTGACAGCCCGAAACTTAAGAGTTTTCATAAACTCAGATTGGTTTATGTAAGGTTGAAAGAGCCAAAAAAAAGAGGATTCTAATCTTGGAACTCAATGAGTAATGCGTTTTTGATTGTCCGATATTCCTGATAATTGCGTGTTTGGAAAACTATATTTTATTGCTTTTATTTGTACTCTTTCGAATGGGTATTTCTTTTCCAGGATGGTATTTGTATGTGTTCGTTAAGTGTTTTCTGCAGCATTGGTGTTCCGCGAAACGCGATGTTTTTGAAAAGCCTCCGAAATTCCTGCAGCCCGCCCGCAGACCTGAACCCTCATAGGCCCGTTATTATAAGACGATATAAAATTATACGCTCAAGACAAAAGCGTTAGCAAATGAAGTTGTGCAAAAATGACCCTTGTTGGAAATTTAAAAAAAAAAAAAAAAAATTTTAAAAAAAATTTACATGATCATAACGGCGGATTGTGCCAGATGTATTTATTTTCTCGCAACTTGCTGAACTGAGTTTCGTTTCCCTTCAAAATGGCTCTTTGTAAATTTTAGGACTGCGCAGACTGAGATTTACATTGATTCCAAACAAAAATAAGTTTATTTCAAACTTTTCATTTATGACTGAATATATTTCGTCATGGAAAATTTATTGCGAATCATAACAGCTATCAAAATATTGCTGAAAGTGTAACGCTCCACCTGCCTTTGTGAAAATCATACAAAAGGCCGTAAAAATGAGAACGGCATTCGTTTAACGGAAACAGAGTTGAGCTGTGAATTCGTCTTTTTAGTTAGCGCTTGTAAGTGTCATTCCAGGCAAATGCGTTCTGTGTGCAGCCTCCTTTGGGCCTGCACCACCTTGTAATCCACAAGCCTGATGTAAGCCGACCGGCTCAATTAGGCTTGGATCAACGCACTATTTTCTGCGCGGACACACCCGTGAACTCCCTCCAGCTGACCGAATCGTTTCTCGCGTTGGACCGATTATCAACAACTGTGGTTGGACAGATACCGTTTGGATTCCACACGTGTTCCCCGACCTGTTCGTCTCTTTACGTCGTTTCCGTACTGCTATGGACGCTGGCCCCTTTGATAACGGAGGACCATTAACCAACAGCTCAGTATAATCGCTTAGCATTAGCCTTGTTTTACCGCTCATGTAAAGTCAGCCAGCAAATAAATTAAAATTTAAAAAATATTACCCTAAAAGTTCAAAAATATTCTATTTCATTTTGATTGTTCGTCTATTTTGCGTAATTAATTGTTTGTTTATTTTGTTTTTTAATTAAATTTAAGTCAGGTTCTTGCATTATATATAGGTAGGTTTAAAATCGTCTGGATTATTGTACTAAATCTTCCCAATATAAAAAAAAAATCGCTTTATTCTTGAAGAAAAAATTATGAAATAACACTGGTTTGGAAATTTTCTTCGCCACTTGTGTGATTTTAATTCGAATTTTAAAAAAAGTATCTAGGAGATAAACCCGGTTCTATCCTCGAAAACCCAGCGACATCGGGCTCGCTAACTGAAGCTTTAGGTCGCCGCATTTTATCAATCATTACAGCCTTGAAGAGGTGACCGAGTGCTCATATCGATTGCCCTGCATTACAACCATGGTTAGAGCATAGTATTTTTGTATATAGATGGAAGTCAAACTTTTCTGAGGCAAAATTTAATTTTGAAATTAAAATAATTTACGAATATTCTGGTGCAGCTGTTTGTTTGCAGTGTCTACGCGAATCAAAATCGCTCACAGGCCTCACGATTAACCCACTCCAGTCTAGAATCGATGTACAAAAACCTGTCTGAAACAGCAATACCATCTGCTGTGAAGTCTCTGCAAAAAAAAAAAAAACTTGTCTGCAACAGCATAAAATTGGCTGTAATGTCTCTGACCAAAACCTGTCAGCAACAGCACTGAAAATTGCTGTGAAAAAAAGAACAGAACAGAATTCCGTAAAGGATCGTACACGCGCGACTCGATCGCAGAAGACGCAAAATTACCAGTCAGACACGAGTTTAGCATCGTAGACTGAATGCACTGAAGTTGCATTAAAAAAGGGGAAAAGAGGCGTGTGTTTAGACAAGCGAACGAACAATGTTTAAAACCAGTGACTTAATATCTATAAATTAGATTTTTGGTATCGATTTAGCCTCAGAAAATGAGATGTCTATTTATTTGCTTGAATACGGTGTTCTGTTGTGGTTTTGGTGTATGGTTGACCGCGGATCAAAGTTCAAGTTCAAGTGCGACCGAATGACATCATCGTTAGCACCGCATTTATTATAAAAATGAGTCAGGGAATCTAAATCCAAAAACATTTATAAAATGAAAATTTGATTTAACCCGGGTTTTCCCTAAAAGCGTTACGAAAATAAATTATTCCGCTGTATTACCTATATTTCTTATAACCGTATCAATTATAAATATTATTTGCATAATAATACCCGTTGTTTCTTGGATGTGTTTTGAAAATTTCTAAACGCAAAAATAGCTGCTTTATCGTATTGCTGGTTGACTGGCTTTTCTGCTTTTCTTGTCTAGTTATGGACTGCGGACAGTCCTTTTCACACGGAGAGAAGTGTCACGTAATGATTTTTATATAGATAATTGAGCGACAGCTCTGATTCACTTTTATGATTTTGCTACTGTTTACTGATTCATTTGAGCGATATGCTCACTCGTGCTATCTGATATTATTCTTTCCTACTTGTTTGCCTACAAATACTGCTGTTCTTTACTTCTAATGCACGGATGCATGCATTCAGTACCACTTCCGACAGTACACTTTGTACTTCTACCTGATTTCTTTCCTAATAACAATTCCCTGCCTCGCATTGCCTTTCTGTTACCGTTAATGCATATTATCATATGTTAGCATACCGGCCGGTTTAGCCGTGCCGTGACCTTTAATTACTTTGCTCTGCCATAAATTATGTAACAATAGGTCAACAATAATTATATCAATAATAGTAAATTCCTATATAAGAATAAATTATTGGTAAAAGATTAAACTATGAATAAAACAACAGCGATTAATAAATGAATAAGGAAAAAATTAAAATTAATATAAATGATTAAGAATGACTAAGGATGCCGATCTGACCTTCCGGTAAGCATCGGAGTCGCCGGAATAATCCAGAGATATGAACTCCTGCGAACTGTCCATCCCGACCTGTCCCGTGGAGCTGCAGCCGGACGAAGCCTCATTTTTCCGCGTAAAATACTCTGCAACACAGTAAAGGCGCTGCGCACACCGAGTATTACTCAACGCCGAGTGCTGAATACCGGTGCACATCTCCAGTGTGGCCTTAATGTCATCCAACAACGACAGCAGCGGCAGTAGTCCCGCTGGGATAATTTCCGCGCACCCGGCATGGTCTGCACCAAATGATGCTAATCATACACAAAAATATAACAATAAAGGCGAAATAGCGGATACCGATTTCGCGGGGATCGGGGAAGGCGGAGTGTTGCGGACCGAGGCGGGGCAGCAGGGCGTCGGTCAAGTCCGGCAGGGGGACGTCGTCCAGCACGATGGACTCCTCGAAACACGGCTGCATCACCATGCTCCCGCTGTGCGGATCGCTCACCGCCTGAACAATTGCAACATACAGTATCATCAAAACAGCCAAATTGTGGTTATTAATACGGCACAGCATTCTTATTAATTCATTATTATTATTACGACGGCGTACACTGGCGGCCATGCTGTCGCTGCGGGTGCGGACGCCGGAGATGCGGTCCTTGTACCACAGCCGCCAGCGGCGGTACTCGGAGACGATGGACAGCCGACGCTTCCAGTACTTGCCCGCCACCAGCTGCACCGAGTTGTCCACTTCGTTCGATGCGTTCACCGGCCGCACAGGCTCGATAACTGCACAAACATCTTCCGAATAACACAAGACACAGTAATTATTTTTCGCATTTTAATGACGTACGTAATTTTTTTTAATGAATAAATTCATTACAGTTATTCAGCCTGCATTCTAAAATTTCTGTTATTTTTTTTCTACACAGGCATAAATCAAATTAATGTTTTACGATTCCAGCCGTTATTATGCGCACTTGTGTACATTCCATTAAATTAAAAATTAATATTAGAAATTCCTGGAACTGCCACAACGAATTCGTTTGTGATATCTGATGGTGGCGATCTTAAAAATTATCCTTAAGAAAATTTAAAATTAAATTAATACCGTAGCCAATTAAATTAATGCAGTAGCCAAGCGAATCAACTTACAGTCCATGTGCCAGGCCCGCCGAATGACGTTACTCAGGCGGATCTTTTGAGCTGAGCTGAGTCCCTTGAAATTATTCCATGTGGGAGACGTCAATTTCGCCCTAAATCATTGCCAGCTAAATTCCCCTGACAGAGTAAGAGGAAATGCAAATGCCGCCACCCACTTGTTGGCCAGCGTCATGCTCTGGAACAGCTTGCGAAGCGACGAGTCGACGAACAACCCCTGCTGTGGCGCAGTATCCAGCAGCATCCCGTCGTGCGTCACGGAGTTGCTGCGTTCGCGCGGCCGATGGGTTTGCTGGGGCGCTCGGGTGGCGGGGCGGGAGGGGCGCGTCTGGACGGCCATCGGGGGAGCGTGCGCCGGCGCCCGCATGGCCGGGCGCGTGCGGACATGCTGGAACGCCGTGGCGCCACTGAGCAGATCCTCCGAGCTCGTCGTCAACACGTCACTCGCATTATCGCAGTCCTGGTCCTGTGAAACGTTGCTCATCATGAAGAGCTGCTGTGGATAATCTCTGATGACAAAATATTCTTAATGATGGAGAAAAACTTCTGAACAGTAAATAATAATCAGCAATCAGCACTTGGAAGGAAGAAGCAAAAAAACTAGTTCGCTGTTGCTCGCCAGTTTAGATGGACAAGCAGTTCTCTCGGTGACACAAAGTTATCCATCTAAACTGGCGCCCGGTGGGGGGCACAAGAACGTGCTGTGCTTGGTAGCCTTTCTCTAAAGCTCCAGCTAGAGAGTGGACCGAATATTATATCTGTTAATTCTGATTTTTTTTCGAAGATCTCGATGTACTTTATTACAGCGTGATAACAATATCAAGATCTAATTACGGTTAAACGAAACAACATTCTCGACGGTCCCCATTACTGAAGCAGCATTACCACGTTGAATTGCTAAAGAGATGTTCTGTTTCAAAAACTCCAGATTGGACGCAGCGCCTTGCAGTGAACGTCTTTGGGGCGGTCTGACCGTGGCCTGATAATTATTAAAACTGCGAAACCACTTGTACGTAAATATTTTGCTCTTCACAGCCGAATTATTTGAGAATAATTTAAATTATACTGTAATTTAAATTGTTGCAGTATTCTAATTAATGAATACGGTTCAGAAAAGTTAAATACAGCGTTGATAAAGATTTATTCCAAAAATTTAAAAAAACCACACATGTACAGCAGGCGGTATGTAAAATTAAGTATGCATGTAAAATATGTATGTATTTTATTTATGTAAAATTTAGACAAGTGCACGGTTAAAACTGAAACCAATTTTAAAGAAATAATTATTAAATTTGAAAAAAAAACGATGTGTTACGTGTTTCTGTAAAGAAACTGCTGATTCATCATGTTCAAAAGTAAAATTAATTGCAGATCCATGGGTGCGGCTGTTGGAAGCGAAGAGAAAAGCGAAGAAGCAGCAACGAAGAAGGGCCACGCCGCCGACAAGGGGAAACTGGACGATGAGGATAGTGCACAGGCTGTGCCGCCGCCAGGTTGGACGTCACTTGCTTTGTCGAGGATAATGATTATTGATATATGATCATGAATAATGGTACAGTACATAACTGTATCTGTATTAATTTTATCGTTAAGATAAGTAATATTTCTCTATCTGGGTGAATGAATACTTTGAAATGCACGTGCTGCTGTTCGGTGTGCGATTGTACCGGCACGCAGAAAGTACTCGTATAAAGCGAACCATCACCAACTGTGCGATCCTAACAAGGCTAACAATAAATCCCGCCAGGCTCTTTAATGATGAATGCGCGCAACGCAGCATTTCATAATGCATTTACCGCCCAAAATGACTACATCACATATCGGGAGAATCGGAAACGACATCACCAACTACCAACCACAACGCAACAGGAACCCGGTTCAGGCGTTCAGATCTGGAAACGACATCAACGCTGATAACACCAAACAGAAATAAATACCGAAATATCACCCGCAAACTGACAACACCCAGAAACGCAGCGCTGCAACAGCAGCGTGGAACCGCAGCGCCTCGGAGGTGTCCTCTAGGGGAGCCCGGCCGGGGGCTGGTAGGCCCTGCCGGCGGTGTCGCTGGGCGGTTGGAGGTCCATGTTGAGGCCGACGCGGGAGGCGGGCGGCCGCGGCGCAGCGGCCGACAGGTGGCTGAGCACGTCCTGGCAGTCGCACAGCCGGCGCTCCACCAGACTGCTCACCAGCCGCGCGAACAACTCGGGGTGCAGGTGGCGTTTCAGGGCGCGCAGCGTCTGCTTCCGGAACTGCCACTGCTGCAGGCAGCCCGTCTACAACACACCACGTTAATTATCTTGTCATATTTCATCATTTTAATTTTATATCGTTTTTATTGTCGATGCTTTAATATTTTGTTTTCAGCTTTTCAGTTGACGCTGTATACTCAGTAAGAGTCATTTCAAGACGCCTAAATCCGAATGTACATGAGCGATTCCCTTCAGGATAAATTATATTCCTACGAATCATTTCCCGTCTAAAGAAATAAACATCTCACGAAAACCTCCAAACTAAACATTGCAAATGAAGGAAATTCAGGAACTTCCGGTCCTTACAGCAATTGCAACCGCTCGGTGCGGCAGTGTAATGCGAAGTTTTTGAAAATCTCCATTCCTTTCCTTTTGGCTTTTTAGTTTTTCGCCATAGAAATTAATTTCTCCGCGCTATTATTAATAAAGTTAATAAGATTTTCTCTGCGTTAATTTGAAAAAATTAACAATAAATGACAAGGAACAATAACAAGATGTAAATGCGTCGTTTGAAAGCAGACTAACTAACACAAGCCTTCCCGACGCGCACATAAATAAAAACTAAAATGCGGCCTAAATCCGTAGACGTGAATTTCAAATTGATTTTTAATTAATTCGCAGCTGCTGAGAGAAGAATTACAAGGTTCTGCGCCGACTCACCAGAACGGCGATGGCCTCGTCGACGCGTCCGGCGTGGAGGTGTTGGCGCGCGCTGCGCAGTCCGTGCTGGAAGGCCTGCACGTAGCCGCAGAAGACGGCGGCGGCGTTGCGCTGTCGCTCGCTGGCCAGCTCCTTCCAGGACTGGCCCGTGGTCTTCTTGGTGTTGTACTCGCGGTAGACGTGGTAGCTGAGCGCCGTCAGCGTGGCGGCGCTGACGCTGTACGGCTGTAGCAGTGTAGCGCAGCAGACTCCCGCTGCTCAGGCTGCTGCGACCCAGATGCGACAGGCCCTCTTGAACCACTTCAGCCACCGCCATCCTCTCTTCCGATCACTCCCCTTATCACAAACAGACACCGTCACAAATCTCCTCTCTTCCAATCACGCACTGGCAGGGCAAGCAAGATACAAGAAGTAAGACGAATAACTGGAATGCGATGAGCTATGGCTCCATACGAGCTCCAGTCAGCTGACTGGATCGCGGGTTTCACGTTCAAACGCGTTTCAACACCATACCACTTCTGTCTGAGAATCCCAGGAAAATATGCAACGAACTGGACAGTTGGCACATTCCAGATGACGAAAATACTGATCGAATTGTGCGAAAGACGTCAAGACAATTGTCATGAATCACTTGGCGAGTCCGCGACGATTACTAATCCACTGCGGCGTGCCTTCCAACTGATGCAACCCACAGACGGATTTTCACTCTTTGAAAGCAAGACAGACTTTTGACTAATGCTTATCAGGAGCAATTCGATCACTCACTCACAAATACTTAGTAAATAAAGTAAAAAAGTAAACTCAAACGAGATATTGCGATGCAAAGTACAAAACTGACATGCAAAGGAGATGCAGCAAAGTAAAGTAAAAAAGTAAACGTAAACGAGATACTGGTCATACTGCGATGTAAAGTACAAAACTGACATCCAAAGGAGATGCAGCAAAGTAAAGTAAAAAAGTAAAAGTTAACGAGATACTGCGATCAGTGCGATGTAAAGAACAAAACTGCCATGCAAAGGAGATACAGCAAAGTAGTAAAGTAAAAACGTAAACGTAAACGAGATACTGCGATGTAAAGTACAAAACTGACATGCAAAGGAGATGCAGCAAAGTAAAGTAAAAAAGTAAAAGTTAACGAGATACTGCGAACAGTGCGATGTAAAGTACAAAACTGACATGCAAAGGAGATGCAGCAAAGTAAAGTAAAAAAGTAAACGTAAACAAGATACTGCGATGTAAAGTACAAAACTGACATGCAAAGGAGATACAGCAAAGTAAAGTAAAAAAGTAAACGTAAACGAGATACTGCGATGCAAAATACAAAACTGACATGCAAAGGAGATGCAGCAAAGTAAAGTAAAAAAGTAAACGTAAACGAGATACTGCGATGCAAAGTACAAAACTGACATGCAAAGGAGATGGACCAAAGTAAAGTAAAAAAGTAAACGTAAACGAGATACTGGTCATACTGCGATGTAAAGTACAAAACTGACATCCAAAGGAGATGGACCAAAGTAAAGTAAAAAAGTAAACGTAAACGAGATACTGCGATGCAAAGTACAAAACTGACATGCAAAGGAGATGGACCAAAGTAAAGTAAAAAAAATAAACGTAAACGAGATACTGCGATGCAAAAGTACAAAACTGACATGCAAAGGAGATGGACCAAAGTAAAGTAAAAAAGTAAAAGTTAACGAGATACTGCGATCAGTGCGATGTAAAGTACAAAACTGACATGCAAAGGAGATGCAGCAAAGTAAAGTAAAAAAGTAAACGTAAACGAGATACTGCGATGTAAAGTACAAAACTGACATCCAAAGGAGGAGATGCAGCAAAGTAAAGTAAAAAGTAAAAGTTAACGAGATACTGCGATCAGTGCGATGTAAAGAACAAAACTGCCATGCAAAGGAGATACAGCAAAGTAGTAAAGTAAAAACGTAAGCGTAAACGAGATACTGCGATGTAAAGTACAAAACTGACATGCAAAGGAGATGCAGCAAAGTAAAGGTAAAGTTAACGAGATACTGCGAACAGTGCGATGTAAAGTACAAAACTGACATATGCAAAGGAGATGCAGCAAAGTAAAGCAAAAAAGTAAACGTAAACAAGATACTGCGATGTAAAGTACAAAACTGACATGCAAAGGAGATGCAGCAAAGTAAAGTAAAAAAAGTAAAGTTAACGAGATACTGCGAACAGTGCGATGTAAAGTACAAAACTGACATGCAAAGGAGATACAGCAAAGTAAAGTAAAACAGTAAACGTAAACGAGATACCGCGATGCAAAGTACAAAACTGACATGCAAAGGAGATGCAGCAAAGTAAAGTAAAAAAGTAAACGTAAACGAGATACTGCGATGCAAAGTACAAAATTGACATGCAAAGGAGATGCAGCAAAGTAAAGTAAAAAAGTAAACGGAAACGAGATACTGCGATGCAAAGTACAAAACTGACATGCAAAGGAGATGGACCAAAGTAAAGTAAAAAAGTAAAAGTTAACGAGATACTGCGATCAGTGCGATGTAAAGTACAAAACTGACATGCAAAGGAGATGCAGCAAAATAAAGTAAAAAAGTAAACGTAAACGAGATACTGCGATGTAAAGTACAAAACTGACATCCAAAGGAGATGCAGCAAAGTAAAGTAAAAAAGTAAAAGTTAACGAGATACTGCGATCAGTGCGATGTAAAGAACAAAACTGCCATGCAAAGGAGATACAGTAAAGTAAAAACGTTAACGTAAACGAGATACTGCGATGTAAAGTACAAAACTGACATGCAAAGGAGATGGACCAAAGTAAAGTAAAAAAGTAAACGTAAACGAGATACTGGTCATACTGCGATGTAAAGTACAAAACTGACATCCAAAGGAGATGGACCAAAGTAAAGTAAAAAAGTAAACGTAAACGAGATACTGCGATGCAAAGTACAAAACTGACATGCAAAGGAGATGGACCAAAGTAAAGTAAAAAAATAAACGTAAACGAGATACTGCGATGCAAAGTACAAAACTGACATGCAAAGGAGATGGACCAAAGTAAAGTAAAAAAGTAAAAGTTAACGAGATACTGCGATCAGTGCGATGTAAAGTACAAAACTGACATGCAAAGGAGATGCAGCAAAGTAAAGTAAAAAAGTAAACGTAAACGAGATACTGCGATGTAAAGTACAAAACTGACATCCAAAGGAGGAGATGCAGCAAAGTAAAGTAAAAAAGTAAAAGTTAACGAGATACTGCGATCAGTGCGATGTAAAGAACAAAACTGCCATGCAAAGGAGATACAGCAAAGTAGTAAAGTAAAAACGTAAGCGTAAACGAGATACTGCGATGTAAAGTACAAAACTGACATGCAAAGGAGATGCAGCAAAGTAAAGGTAAAAGTTAACGAGATACTGCGAACAGTGCGATGTAAAGTACAAAACTGACATGCAAAGGAGATGCAGCAAAGTAAAGTAAAAAAGTAAACGTAAACAAGATACTGCGATGTAAAGTACAAAACTGACATGCAAAGGAGATGCAGCAAAGTAAAGTAAAAAAGTAAAAGTTAACGAGATACTGCGAACAGTGCGATGTAAAGTACAAAACTGACATGCAAAGGAGATACAGCAAAGTAAAGTAAAACAGTAAACGTAAACGAGATACCGCGATGCAAAGTACAAAACTGACATGCAAAGGAGATGCAGCAAAGTAAAGTAAAAAAGTAAACGTAAACGAGATACTGCGATGCAAAGTACAAAATTGACATGCAAAGGAGATGCAGCAAAGTAAAGTAAAAAAGTAAACGGAAACGAGATACTGCGATGCAAAGTACAAAACTGACATGCAAAGGAGATGGACCAAAGTAAAGTAAAAAAGTAAAAGTTAACGAGATACTGCGATCAGTGCGATGTAAAGTACAAAACTGACATGCAAAGGAGATGCAGCAAAATAAAGTAAAAAAAGTAAACGTAAACGAGATACTGCGATGTAAAGTACAAAACTGACATCCAAAGGAGATGCAGCAAAGTAAAGTAAAAAGTAAAAGTTAACGAGATACTGCGATCAGTGCGATGTAAAGAACAAAACTGCCATGCAAAGGAGATACAGCAAAGTAGTAAAGTAAAACGTTAACGTAAACGAGATACTGCGATGTAAAGTACAAAACTGACATGCAAAGGAGATGCAGCAAAGTAAAGGTAAAAGTTAACGAGATACTGCGAACAGTGCGATGTAAAGTACAAAAGTGACATGCAAAGGAGATGCAGCAAAGTAAAGTAAAAAAGTAAACGTAAACAAGATACTGCGATGCAAAGTACAAAATTGACATGCAAAGGAGATGCAGCAAAGTAAAGTAAAAAAGTAAACGGAAACGAGATACTGCGATGCAAAGTACAAAACTGACATGCAAAGGAGATGGACCAAAGTAAAGTAAAAAAGTAAAAGTTAACGAGATACTGCGATCAGTGCGATGTAAAGTACAAAACTGACATGCAAAGGAGATGCAGCAAAATAAAGTAAAAAAGTAAACGTAAACGAGATACTGCGATGTAAAGTACAAAACTGACATCCAAAGGAGATGCAGCAAAGTAAAGTAGAAAAGTAAAAGTTAACGAGATACTGCGATCAGTGCGATGTAAAGAACAAAACTGCCATGCAAAGGAGATACAGCAAAGTAGTAAAGTAAAAACGTTAACGTAAACGAGATACTGCGATGTAAAGTACAAAACTGACATGCAAAGGAGATGCAGCAAAGTAAAGGTAAAAGTTAACGAGATACTGCGAACAGTGCGATGTAAAGTACAAAACTGACATGCAAAGGAGATGCAGCAAAGTAAAGTAAAAAAGTAAACGTAAACAAGATACTGCGATGTAAAGTACAAAACTGACATGCAAAGGAGATACAGCAAAGTAAAGTAAAAAAGTAAACGTAAACGAGATATTGCGATGTAAAGTATAAAACTGACATGCAATGGAGATACAGCAAAGTAAAGTAAAAAAGTAAACGTAAACGAGATACTGCGATGTAAAGTACAAAACTGACATGCAAAGGAGATACAGCAAAGTACAAAAGTAATAATAATATAATATTATGATCGTGTCTTATATTTTTATGGTTTCACTTTGAAGCGTATCCTTTAATTGCATCTTTTATTATTTTAATGTTTTTCTCTGGTTATTCTGAATTTGTTTCTTATTAATTTTTCTGTGTACGAGCAGTATCTTGGTTACTGGTTATTTATGTACACGTTTGATTGATGTACACGTATATATGTTGCACTACAGGCACTAGTATGTTGGATTACACAGTCATCACTATCAGTACTGTATTTCGTTTACAGATTTATTTCGGTTTTTGTTTGTATGTAAATACTTATTCTTGATTCATTTGTTTTATTTTTCAGAAGAATTTTGAAATATGTATCTTCCAATTTATTTTGAATTTTGACGAAAATTCTGCTATAACAATTCGTTGTTACAATATATTTCTTTTGCTTCATTCAGGTGCACGCCGGAAGTGCGCGTGTGGGCCATCGTGGCGGACAAATCCAGCGGCGACGTGCAGTCCGTGAAGAAGGCCTTCGAGCTAACCGGGCACAGCGCGGCCATCCCGGCCTTCGCCATCTCGGGCGACTCCACCCACATGCTCTCCGTCAGCAAGGACAAGTACTTCCGCCTCTTCGACGTCAACGTCGACTACAAGAAACGCCAGTCGCCGCGTCTCCTCCAGCACGCGCCCTGGACGTCCGCCGCCGTGGACGACAAGCGGCCGCTGCACTGCGCCCTGACCAACGACTCGCGCTGCGTCGTCATCGGTCGCCGGCTGCAGTGTCGTGTTGGGCGACCGTCTGCACAGTATCACGCAGCAGCGGGCCTATGGCACCCTATCCCTGTGGGAGACCATCCGCTACTGGTGGACAGGCACGCGGGATGCGCGTTGGGATCTCAGTGTGGAGGATGTTGAAAGGCTGAAGAGCGGCGCGTCCCGGGAAGCCTACGCGGCATGTGGCACGGTGCGGCGCGCCATCCTGCACGAGCGGGACGTGCTGTTGGCGGAGGCGCTGAAGCGGTGCGTATCCGAGCCGCTGTGGACGACGCAGGGGCCGCAGAGCCGGGTGGCTGTGGGCGTCGCGGGAATGAACCACGTGGCCGGGATTAAACGGTCCCGGAATGATCCGCTGTTTTCGCAGGAAGAGCGCACCAAGCTGCTGACCATCCCGCCGACGTCCGCGTACAGAAGGAAGCGCCCGGGATCATGTCGGCGCCGTGGCTGGTGATCGGCGGGAAGTTCCTCTTGAAGCGACTGCGATAATGTCCTGCCACGGAGTTACGCTGCCGGTGCACCGGGCCAACGCCGCCTCCGTATGCGCGACCAAGGAAGGAAAAGCTAATCTTAATGGCGTTGTGTTTTGCTTTTGATTATTTGCAGTTACGGCAAGCTAAATGAAACTGAACATTGTTTTCCACTTTCCATAATCGTAACATTGTTTTCCATTTTTTATAACCGTATAAATTTATGCATTTCCCATTTAACTATGATGAATACCTGGGAAATTGCGTCTACTGTATCTCGCATCAAGATTAAGCCGGGAACATCCAATTTGTCATGCATTGCTTTATGTATTAACTGTCAACTTTTATTTGTATCGAATTAAACCAAGTGAAAAGAACTGAATTTCGAAGCTAAAGAACACGAGAAGTACGAAGAAGTGAAGCGCAAATGAAAAAATCAAGAAAATAATGGAAGAAAGGCAAAAACACGCGAATACAGTTACAGTTTGTCTACAGTTACACAGTTAGTTTGTCCTAATTGTACTTGAATTCAAATCTAACCGTCATTTAAACACGGGTTAAAACCAACTAGGAAACCAAACAAACAGTCATTAACGGGATGTAACTGTTTACAATATGCCAATTTTATTGACAACTTTGAGAATTTGTTGTGCGCCTTTGGTTGGTCTGTTCTCGAAGTGCAAAGATTCATTAGAAACCTTATAAATTGCACTTTTTAACATATAAGTTTTTAAAATGAAGCCTAAAAGTGCAAACGGGATATAAAATATTATGTTGTATGTGCCCCAAAAAAACTACGCTGAAGCACCCAATGGGGCAACTTCAAGTTTGCTGTTTCTAAATATAACGTATAATTTTTTTACATATTGGATTTATTTGGAAAAAATCTTGTGTAAAAAATAGTAAAGATATAAATTTTTAAACATGAAACTAATTCCCCTAACTGAGAAAACCACTGAGCGTTGGAATTCGAATGACTCAATTCCAAAACCAAAAAAACCCAGTATGTAAAATAATTTTGTCTTTCCAACGGTACCAAGAACAGCCAATTCCATTGCGGCAATGGATTACAAGGCGCGTAGAACTGTCCAAACTTTAATTCTAGTAAATATGGGTTTTTGTTTTTCGAAAATGGTCCTCTGCATCGGCGCAGAAAAGTAAACATACCACCACGCTACCTGCAGGCTGCATATAGCGTTCATCAAATTGCAGTCTGCGGGCGGTAGCAGCGCAACGTAGACACGCAGCCCGCGTGCGGTTGTTTGCGGTTCGGTTTGAGAGGAGATGGCAGTTAAGTGAATCGAACGTACTGCTGGACCCGAGCGTCGTTTTAGACCCACGGTACCTTTTGATCTTTTACACAGTTGTGCTTTTATTTGGATCTTCGATTTTCGAAAAAACATCCATTTTAAAGAGCATTTTTTTCTACCTGGGAAACTGTAGCTATTGTAACTCCTCTGAAAATGAAGGCAAAACAATTACCTCGCCTTAAGCATTTCCGCTCTCTCCACGGTATCCAAGACAGAAGCGCGCTACCGCTCCTACTTGTCCTTCTTCGCAAATCGCCCCTTTTTATCTCGGGCATAGTCCCTCTTGGCCGCCTTCTTCGGCTCGTCCCGTGTCCGCTGCTCGTTCTCCTCCGTCTCCACCACGGTGACGGGCGCCGGGGACTCCTCCGTGTGCGCCGTAGGCTCCAGGCGCTGCTGCTGCTGGTCATCTGGCACCACGGGATCGTGATTGTGGGGACGGTACAGGTTAGGCACCCCGGTGCTCATGTCCAGCCGGGCCACACAGAGACGCTCCTTACGACAATGCCACTTATTGTCTTTCCCGGAGTCCCGCAAATATTCGTACCTTCGTAGCGTTAGAATATCGCCTCCGCGCTGAGCTTTCGGAGGCACCGCTTCCTTGCCCGGTTGAACGGGGCGAAGGGAAGTTACCTACGGATACGAGCAATGGTAACATAAATTGCAATTTACAACCGAAAACAGCAACCTAGATTTTTTCAAAAATTATAAAACATGAATATACACACTTTATTCATGTTTTAACACTTGTTTTAACATTTTCGAACAATTATACGTTAATTTCAATATTCACCAATCAAATTTTACCATTAATTTTTTCCATAATTTTAAGCTTTATTAAGCATTCATTTTCAATTTTGTGTAAATATCTATTCAGGCATACGAGGCAGCGTTGTACGTACGAAAAATTTATTTTAAAACATTTCCTTTCAATTTGTTCACCGAACATTCGTTTAACCTTTATTTTCTTCGTTCTGTGTTTCGACTTTCTACATATTTCAACACTAATGTGAACATGCCATTGATTTTCTTGAAAGTTGTTGAAACCGGCCGATGACTATTACCCACCTTTGCATCAGTCTTCTTCACCACGCCGCGTGTCTGCATCTTCTTGCGCGACACTCGCGCATCTCCTTTTCCTCGTTCGCCCAGCTGCAACGGGTAACACGTTAAGCGAACGCTGTTCAATGACACAAGCCAGCGGACGCACATAAAATTCCCTCCATTCCAAGAAATGACTTCGCATTTACATATTTTTATCATGTTTCTCAATAAAATTTTACAGAGGAAGAATTAAACATTTAAAGTTCAAGAAATTAAAACAATGGTGCAGGAAACGATTAACTAAATTACAAGTAATTTTAAAAACAAATACGCAAATCCAGTGCAACAAAAGCATTCAAAGAAAAACGCAATACGAGCATCGAGTTTTTCGAACGTTTTCTACTGGCATGTTTTTAAAAATCTGGTTTCACGTTTACTCAAACGGCCGACTGTCTCTGGTCCACCTCGCTTTCATGAATGAACTCATTTAAAAAATTTTAGTTTTCGATTTAATGTCTATAAAAACATTAATGTTATTTCTAAATAATAGTAAATTATTATATCGCCTGCAGCGACGCACTCGCATTGCACGGCATCGAATCTGACAACGACACAACGCTTACCAGGAGCGCCTGTTTGGCCATCTCGCACTCTTCCGGGCTGCCGGGGACAACTTCCGCGGGGGCTTTGCCGCTGGTCTTCTGGGTGGGCGCCAACGTCTCGCCGCTGGTGTGGGCGGCGGATGCGTCGGGGATAGAGTTGCCGCGCTTCATCGTGGGAAATACCTTTAGGTTTCGCTCGCAGGGCGCGCCCTTCACCACGAACTCACCGGCCGTGGCTGAGCCGTTCTCGCGGGCTATCTGGCGCTGGGCGGCGGGGGCCGGGGCGTGGTAGGCGCGGAATGTCTCGTGCGCCACCACGTCGCCCAACTGGATGCGGCTGTCCAGCGGCACCTCCACGCGCGACTTGCGCTTCTACACAACGGACATCAACGCGATTACAATCTACCTCTGTGCAGTCAACCCAGCACCTTGCCCTCACCTCGGATTCAGTGCGGGCTTGGCCCTTGTCGCGCGCCGCGGGCGCCTGCGACTCCAGGCCGCTGGTGACGGTCTTGTCGGCGTCCGCGCTGGCAGCGGCGTCTTGCGGGAACTGTATCTCCACTTGAAACTCGTTGCGCAGCTTGCGGATGTTCCCGCCGTGCTGGCCGCTGATCTGCAAATGGTGCGTGATGTCCACGCGCACCCCTGCGGGGTAGTTGTGCCCCGCCTGCACATGAAACAAACGCAAATCATTCTCCTGCATCAACACCAGCGCTAACTCCAGCAAGCATACCCGCTGTTTCTCCAACCTCTCCAGCTCCTTGACGCGCGCCGCCAGCTTTTCGTTGGCTTCATCCACATTGCGGCGCTGGCCGCCGATCCCAATGACATCGCTCTGATGCGCCGGGCTGGGGATGGCTTCGCGGTCCTCCGGGCGGCCGGCGACGCTGATGGCCGCTTTGGTCACTTCGACGGCGGTTTCCACGATGGGAGCAGGCTGCTCGCCGTTGGCATCGGCGGCGGGGTTGTCTTTCCGCTCGGGGGTCTTGATGTGGACGTCCAACACACCCATGACTTCGTCCAAATGCAACGACACCGGACCACTCCCGCAGACGCCCTCGCGTTGCGTCTCGTTTCCGGCTGGGATCGCAGCGACTCGGACACCAGTCACACCATCTATCAAAACAAGAAACAACGTTAATTTCCAAGAAGAAAAAGAAATCGCATCGGAAGTAGAGGGCCAACGCGCAGTGCAGGCTATTAACAAATTTCAGCAACCGTTACCTAAATTACGATACTGAAAACCAGTCGTCGTAATACCGCTGGCGCGAATGACTGCACAGTGAACCGCATACCGCTTGCTTTGTCTTTCTCCACCCACACCATTCCCGTACTGGAAGTCACAGACGAGTTGATGCTGCCCGACGAATTTCGCTCGCGTTTGTCAGGCTCACTGTCCGGACAACCTACGGCCGGCACCACCTGATCGTCCATCGTCCGCTTTACAAACTCCCGCAGGAGTCGCTCCATCTCCTCCACGCGCTGCAGGACCTCCTTGGTCACGGACACGCCCTCCACTTCCAGTCGCAGAGCCGCCAAAACTCTTTTTGCGACACTAGTCGCACTGGATGGTGAAGGGGAGCTGATGGTGGAGGACTTCGGTGGAAGCTGCTCCGCACGCGCCACCGGCGGGCTGTACACTTTTGGCCGCAGCGTCGTAGTCTCCTTGGCCGGAGTGACGCCCTTCGCGGATACCGGGGTTTCTTTGGTGCTCTCGGAGGACGTGGTTGACGCGGAACTCTTACCGGACGCCGGAAGAGGTGTCGGAGTAACGTCCTCGTCGTCTTCCGTGTACGGAACGAGAGATTTGCCGGATTGGGACGGTTGTGGGAGTTTCTGTGGCGGTGGAGACGAATCAAACGTTAACACACGCGGCGTTAACAGTGGAGTCCCGCACTGCGCGGAACTCCGAGCGATGGTGGAAGGTGATGGGGAGAGGGAAGGTGCATCACTGGTGTTTCCTTTGAGATTAGTACTGGCGGACGCGGGATCATCGGCGCTGGAAAAGGCCAGTTCCTCGCTGGCCAATTCCTCGCAGGCCAATTCACCGCTGGGACAGTTTTCCAACTGCGGTCCGGTGGGAGATTTCTGCGACTCGATGACCGGTAGCAGCCCACCCGACGCACGCACCAACGTACTCAGCTGCTGGCTGTTGATCGGTGGATCATTAGGCATGCGCATATAAAACAATAAATACGCCTCCGCACTGAATACCTCTTGCTTATCCGCACGGCTGACCTGCAAAACCAAAAATTGTTCTTAAAAATAACGAGTTTTTGATATCGTCGCTTTATACCTGACAGTCATTCATGCAAAACCATTGTGACCCACTGGGATTAACATAAGAAAAATAATGCCCGACTTCCATACAATTCCCGCTGTGCACCACTATTGCATACAGATTGTATAGTGCAGCCACATTATCGTTAACGGTTAACGTCATTCATAAAGGGCCGCAGATTCAACTGCTCCGGGAACCCGACAAACTTAGCGATCTTTCCGGTTTTGCGGAACCGCTTCAGGTGGATGGTGAGGACGTTTGGCGGCCGTTGGATCGTCAACTGTTTGGTGGAAGGCGTCACCTTGTTGTTACACGGTTCGCAATTGTAGTCGTTCAGTCGCTCAGTGCGTGTGCGGGTGTGCAGAGCCTCCGCTGCGTCGCTGACGGTCTCAATAGCCAGCTGTACAATCCTAAAGGGTTCGAATGAATAGGAACGCTGCCGACACATTTGGCACTGCGTGCACGAACGATAACAACCACCAAAAATCTTGTCAAAGATGGTGATATCCGGACTAGCATTGATGAGATAGCCGAGAAATTCCTCAGCATCCTGCTGCACTCCAGGTATCAGGCTTTCATGGATTTCTGAAATCGGGCATCGAGTTTGTTAATCAGTTAAAATAACGATGAACAACATCGACTTGCGTACTTCATAAAAATTAATTAAAATCGTAAACACAAAACAAAAGCTAATTATTAAGCAAACACATTTCAGTTGGGAAAAATCAGATTAGCAGTAATTTTCTTACTGTCAAGGTCACGCCTGATCCCCTGAGGGTCCAAAACTTTGTTCCGGTTGTGACGCATGGACGGCAAGATCTCCTGCAGTTCACACAACACGCAGAATCCGTGCAACCAGTCTGCAAGTCAGAATAATATTGCAGAGAATTATTGTACAGCAAAACTATGGCAGAAATTCCAGGTTACTAACACTTCTGTTTATGGTCGCCCGTGACGAAATAATTATACAGGGGTGCGGTGTATGCGAGGCACTGGAGCGTCGCATTGAGATAACAGGTATTTGTCCCCTGGTTCAGCAGTCCACATCCCACTGGCAGATCTGGCCGCAGCCACTCCCGTTTGAGATCAGCTGCCGGGTGACTAATCACCATCGGTCCAGGAAGACTTTCTTCCAGCTTGGGCTTGGCGTTGCTCGACAGCGGGGAGGAATGTTAGGAGGAGAACGCAGGGTTCTGTGCGGACGGGACAGCCGCTACGGCGGGTGCGGTTAGTGGCTGCATATCGCCCTCACAGTCATCCAGGCAGTCGGCGGCGGTCAGGACATGCTTGGCGGGGATCTCGGCCGTGTAGCTGGACGATTCGCGGTCGGGGGCGATCTTCTCCAGCAGCGGCAGGGCCTTCCCAGCATCGGGCATGAGGCTGGCCGACAGATCTTTCACCGGCGCAACTTGACCACATCTTGCGCTTAGCCCCCGGGCCTCGTCTTCAAATATTTGCCGGACGAAGATCACGTCAAACACAGGCCAACCCGCGACCATGATGAGGTCTTTCTCCGGCAGAAATGTCACTTTCACATCACGGCACACGGACTCCATCACCGATTTCAGCTCGCCGGGTATCATATGCTTAATTCGGCCAGGAGATTTCAGCTCCACCTCAACTTTCGTAGTGTCTGCTACCTAAAGGAACGCACACCAACGATGACGCATCTCATAAACACCCAACGCCGCACCACACTGACCTGACCCAGCAGGAGCAACTGAAGCGCCTCTACAAATCTGGAGGGGTTGCCCCGCAAGCGGACTTCATCACTGTCAGCATCAGACAGATGCACCGTGACCCCGGTCGGATTTAATGTCCACGGCAGGCGGTTCTCGTTGAAACCCTTTAAGGCGTTATGCTGGATGCGAGGAACACGCAGAATGATTTCTTCGGTAACCTACACGGACATCTGCTAGTTAATCCACCTAATTATAACTAGCTAATGTCGAGCGCAGCACCACGGAAGTCTTACCAGATCGTCGTCCGCCTCTTCGTGCAGTACTTCTACGGGACCGGCGATCTGGGCGGCGCTGCTGGAATCGCCAGCGGCCGGGTGCGGGGAGACGGGCGACGTCACTTCCTGTGTGGGCTGGCTCGCGGCAATCGGGATCCGTGGCGTCTGTTTTACGCCACTGCCATCGCGGAGCACGATGGTGATGACACCTGCATATTAAAGCTCCCTTGTACGTGCCTGCTCCGAATAAATAACACAAGGAAAAATAAAAACTTACCATCAGATAGGGTTGAAATCACGCTTTCACGATTTCACTTTTCATTTCGCTTTCATTTCACAATCACGCGGACCCTCGCGTGAAATGTGAAAGTGAAATGAAATGAAATGTGAAATGCATGAAATGGTGAAATCGTGAAATCGGTTGAAATGCATCGACAGTTAACGAAATTAGAGCTTTTCACAATATATATTTCTTGCAACGAAAACATTCACACCGTTGTATTTTGTGTGTAACCGCTTTTAATTCGAACCCTGCACACAGACAAAAATGTTGCAACTGGAAGCAATGAAAACGTATTCTTACGCTTTTAGTGCAGGTTACTTCAGAATTGCCAGATCTTAAATACATAGCCAAAACACACTAAGATTCTGGTCTACTGTTTAGCACAATAATGCTAAGAATTGTACTAACTACTAAGAATCTGTACTAAGAATCTAATGGTAAGTATCTCTACTAAGAATTTGGTTTAATAATAAAATTATCCGTGCTTTGGCAGAAGATCTCGATTTGTCAAACTGGAATCTCGTACTGCAGATAAAAAGAAATAATGTTTTAGAGGTGTTTTGTAGTGCAATTAAGACAAATTGCAAAATAACGGAATTTCTGGGCTACTTACACTTCACAGTTAGAAGGCAGTCAAAGGGCGCGCCCAAATACTACTAGTAACAATAACTCGAAGGCAATTCCGTGCTGCAGTGCACTACTGCGCTGTTTTCATGTACAGAAATTAACATTTTCTTTGTATGCTTTGTTCTTGTGTACTTATCGATTATCATGGTCAAACTTCTGCTCTTAGTTTTAAATAGTTATACTTCTGTACTAAAAAAAAGCAAACTGCAAAATCATTTTGCATTTACTGTACAGTCTGTACGAGATAACTCGTACTGAATAATAAAATTAATAATCCAGTTACAATTACGAGCAGGGGCGTCACAGGTTCGGCAAAAGGGGGGTGTCAAATTTTGACAGGGGGGCAAAATTTGACGGGGGGCAATCGGTTTTGAAAACATACTCTGTCTGTTCTCTTCTAAATTTTGACGGGGGGCAATCGGTTTTGAAAAACAGGGGGAGTCAAACTATGAAAAATTGCCGGTTGACACCCCCTCTATGACGCCCCTGATTACGAGTATATTTTTCGAAACTTTAAACTTCTACTAGTGCTGTGCAGTGTGCAATTCTATTATTTTTCTATTTTAATACGTTCTGTTCTCGTATTAATGGTTTATATACTTTCGGCTGTTTACAACCATAATAAAAGCCAAAATAATCAATTTAAATTAAATTTTTTATTTCACGTTTCATTTCATTTCACTTCATTTCACTTCTTTTCACAAATGGGTATTAGCCGCGTGAATTTCAACCCTACCATCAGAGCTGTTCTCCTCGACCATGGCCTGACTCTGAGGCGAGGCAGGCGCTGACGCAGAAGATCCCTCTGCGATGGCCGACAGCGGTGTCCCGTCCGTCGGCACAGAGACCATTTTCATGTCTTGAGTGGGACGGATCAGCAGTATCGCCGGACTTTGCAGCTGTTGGTAAACCGCCCACAGGACAGCCGTGCCTGTTATTCGTAAAACAAGTATTTTAATTAATTCTGAATTTTAAATAAAAATAATAAGTGCAAATGCGCAATTACCAAGCGGCAGCCACTGCGAGCAGATCGCAAAGATGAGCGTCTTGGGAGGAAGACGGAGATCGCGCGGATCGATCGTCAAGCCCAACGCCGCCGGTCGTTCCTTCAGCCTAGACTGGCCCGTCATGACCCCGACCGCATCGTACGGCGCGCCGGTCATCTTCTCCACCAGCGCTTTATCCTTTCGCACGCCGACGGCGTCGTACATCTGCCAGAGGTTGTCCAGCACCAGCTGCACGAAGAGCGGCTCCTTGCCGCGCGCCCGCGCGTTCTTCTTGATGCGCTTCTCCTCGTCCAACCAGAAGTCGCCCCACAACGCCAGGTTCAGCACGCGCCGACTCAAGCCGAGTTTCTTGGCGAACAGCTCGGCGAAGCGGCCGCTGGTGAAGCCCCAGCCGTCCAGGGCGCTGGCGAAGATGACGTTGCCCTTCTGCGGCTGGAAGTACAGCGCCGAGTCGTTGACGGCCTCCAGCTCGGCGTCCCAGGCGTCGTACAGGGTATCCGCGGTGTTCCCAGACAACCGCGCTTCCAGCACGGTATGCGGCGCATCCGGAGTGTGGAACGCCATCTTCGCGTCCGCTGCGAATTTCAATCAAATTTTCTTATTAATTCAATTCACGGCGAATTATATGTCTGTACTTATTTATTGCGAAATACGTATAAACAAATATTTATTAACGGCGCAATTTACCGGGATCAATTTCCGGAATGTCTGCAGTCTGCACCATCATCACCGGCAACAGGGACCGGCGCCCGGGGCGGGACCCGAGACGTTTCCGACGCGGTTTCTGTGGGGCCCGGGGAGTCGGGCGGAAGCTCGCTGGGATGCGGCGGCATCTCCGATAAATCCCACTCTACACCGCTTTCTACCGCCTTAATCACCACGTCCAATTGCTGAAGTCAAACATAATTTTTTTCTCAACCAGTATTCCCCTTTAATATCATTTTAATTAATTTATTCCTATATTTTTAGATTTAATTTAATTTCACGTTATCTTTTCTATTTTACTTCTCCTTTCGTTTCATTTTTGTCAGATGTACTCTATGTTCCTTTTTATTTCCTTTTGCTGGATATCGAATTTTAACGTTATTTATAGCCAATGCACAGATCTGGTAAAAGAAAATGATAATTAAATAAACACGCGAAAGATTAATGAGCGATATTGCTCCACTAATTTGGTGTAATAATTCAAATTTCTTTAAATACTGTATTTTATCAAAATTTGCACACACCTTGACGACGATCGTGAAGCGCGTAGCGTCTTTTTTATTCTTCGCCCGCTTGGCCTCCAACGCCGCGTGCCGGTACTCTTCGCGGTTGGATTTGAGCGCCCGCAGGACAACGTTCTCTTCCTCGGCGGGCGCGGCCGACGGCGTTTGCGGCGAGGAACGCGGGGGCACGGCGGGGACGTTGGGCGGGGCCTCCATGGGGGCCGCCTCCGCCGATGCGCGGTCCTTCTGGGCGAGGTTGGAGGGGAAGGGCTCGCTGTCGGCCAGGGACTTCTGCAGGACGGATTGGACGAAGATGGGCGGGGGAATGTCCTCCTTGGACCGGCTGGCCCTTCTTCGCCTCACCGATCTGCTCTTTTATGGTCTATCGAATAATCTCATACATTCACACCACCACAATAAATCACTGCGCTTAGGCGACGATGTGCCGCTTATTGTATGCAAATAATTAGGCAAGCATCCTCCGATTCTTCCATTAAATAAAATGTACAAGAGAAATTATTCCACACTGCCATTTATCCTGTTGCGCAACATTTCATTGATTTTTTTATCTATCAATTTTTCCTGCTGTTGGATTTTTATTTTACTGAAAATAAATCCGTTACTTTTATTGCCTTTTCACTGTCACGGTTTTTTTTGTTGAATTATTATTCAACAATCCTTAAAATCTTAAAAGGATAAAATTCAAATATCGCCAGAAATAACAAAAATAATTCAATGAAAAATTACCATATTTCGACAGAAATCAATAAAATTTAATAACGAAATAATTCAGCAAAAAAACACTTCAGTCTGAAAGTCACAAACATAATAAAGAACAAACGGAATTACGAAGTAAATAGTTGAATCTAACGACAAACACACGCAGCAGAAAAGAATAAATAAAAGAATTGTACCCAGAAGTAAGAAGAATAAATACATACATAAAAAATACTTGTGATTTAAAGCCAGAAAACAAGAAATTTTAATCAATAAAGCACTTCCGTTGGTCCGAAAAATGAAAAGAAAGATGACTTAAAATATCGGCAAATTACATCTGCGGAAATAAGTTAAAAAGAGCAAGTACTACTTCCCTGGAAAGTCGATGAGCTTGACGAGGAAGGTGCTTGCTTTTCCGGACGTTCCTTCGCCATAGACTGTGTGTTTGAGCGTGATGGCGCTGGCCAACATGGCGGTGCCGCGCTGCTCCTCGTTCGGCTGGTCTTCCGTGACGGACACAGGCTCGGCCGTCCGCTGGGAGAGGGACCCATTGCTGGCCCGCAGCGATTTCGCCAGCGTGGTTTTCACACACAGCGCAGTTACAATATGGCTGCCAAATCACAGCTCGCAGACTCGCACCGTGATTCACATTCGCCAGGATGCAAATATGGGGGATACGCTGCGGATCGTCCTGGCTCGTCGCGCACGGCTTGGGCGCCATGCTGAAAGTGATGGTGGTGCACTAGCGGATCAACAGAATCACAATCAGGATCGTTTCAACAGGTTGCTCGTCTTCCAACACACTCAAAACCCATGTTACAGATATTGCGGCGAGTTTGTTCAATCACCTGATTCGCGATCAGCCTGGCCTGCACAATCCACCAAATTGGATATTCCGTTTAATGTACACTTTTGCTGGAGGGGGAAAAGAAGAAAGAAAGAAAAAACTCAAGAACTCATATGCAGAAATGAGAGAACTCAATCCATACAATGAGTGCAGAGAATGAGTTTGCAACAATCGCAGAGGACTCGGTAGTCTGAACGATAAGCACGTACGTAGCTACCTCTTCGGGAGCGAGCGATTCGCTCAGCATCAAGAATACTCGTACTGCTGCCAGCAAACCACAGTACAGCACTGTACTCCTACCGTACGAGTACAGTACTGTGGTACTTACGTACGAGTCGTACATAAGTATTAAACTTCGCAGTGCAAAAGAACGATTTAATAATATTATGACACGAAATCGGAAAGATGTTGAAAACCAAGTTGCTCCCACAAAATTAATGGAGTGAGCACTATCATTGAATTCTTTGACTCAACCTTTTTTCTACATGAGCCGTATTTTCTTTAATGTACTGTACTTCACCTATTTTCTTGAAAATATATTAATTTTGGTCTGAGCGCTGTTTGTTGTTGTGGCTTGTCCCGACTGCAGAGTACATACATAATATACCTACTCGAGTAACAGAAACACCCAGACGACCTTCCCGAAGGTAATTACCGAATGCAGACACGCTATGTGGATAGTTTTCTTATCTCGCAGTTGCTGGTTTCTTAACGATCATAATTTTGTGACGGGATAATCAATAGTCCTATCACATACTAGATAGTTATTAAAGCGTCAGCTGGGTAATGATAATGACACACATGTCTAAATTGCCGAAGCAGAACTATCGCAACGAATAGAAAAGGGCTCTACCCTAACAAAGAGAGGACCGCTACAGTCGGGCGGTGAATGCGGTCTCGCCGCCCGCCCCGGGCCGGCAGCGGCATCTCGTGCATTCGGCGTGTCGTTGTGGGCCGCTCACTTAGCGCGCTACTTGTAAGTACGTATCTTAAGTTCATAACATCACCACATAACGAATCTCACCTCAAAAGAATTGGAAAATCTACTAAGAACGTTATGGAATATTTTATTTTCAAAATATAAAGCAAATGTATTCGCTACAGGGATTTTCACCGCAACAACAGCAAGGACAGAATGGCAGGGCAGGCAGGCGGAGACTCCGCTAAGCTCTGCCAATACACAGCGTACTAAATACCGTCGCTAATTCTTATTGGACACAGCGCCTTGCAGTGAGCATCTTCGGGGCGGTCTGACCGTGGCCTTAAATTGCGAAACTTCTCGTACGTTTATCCAGTTTTGACTTTTGAGATTTCTACTTGTAACTTGTTTCACAGTTTCTGATTTTTGCAGACTTTCTGTCATTTTCAGAATCTGTTTTTCTCTTATTTGTCCTCTTATTGTCGGTAGTTTTTATTCTAACAACAGGATTGGCTCGTTGGAGTGCAAGAATGAGAAAATCATCAGTACGCTGCTACTACTGAGTTTGTCTTGTTGTGGATATTTGGAGACCATCGATGGAGGACGAAGTGGAAGAAGGCAAAAACGCGATGCCTCCCGCATCGGGCCAGCAGGAGCCCATCGCCTCGACATCGCGCAGGTGCAGTCGCGGCGTTTCGCCCGGCCTACCAGCGCCAGCTCGCGCTCCCCCGAAGTTCCCCCAAACAAACCCCGAGCGTCGTCTCAGTCGCAATCGCGACCGCCCTTTGATCTGCTATCCGCCGCCATGTCCTCGGCTGCCCTCCCCGTCAGCCCCGACAGCAGCGCCCCCAAGCAAGTGAAGCCCCCTCCCCCCAGAATCAAACACCTCCTGCAGGCGCCCCCGCCGCGCCGCCCCCCGCCGGAGGTGACGCTGTCGTCGTCGGATGAGGAGGACGTCCCCCGCAGCAGCGCGGCCCCTGTGGGGACCCGGGGCTTGCCCGCCGCCACCCCGCGACTCATCCGCGTGCAGCACGTTAAGGCTCCCAAAGGAGTGGTGCGCCCCCCAGTCCGCCGAATGCCGCCCTCAATAGCCACTCCGATTATTGCGCCGCACATCGCCAGCGCGCTGATTACAATGTGAACCCGGCGCAGATGGCCGTGCTGATGGCGCATGCACGGCTGCATACGCGGGGCCCGCCGGGGGGCGCCGTGTGGGGGGAGGACCAGATGCTGGCCTGCTTTCCCGGACTGGTAAGCGTAAAGCGCTCTCCAGATTCAGCACCGATTAATCATTAATCTAGAGAAATCAGTAAGCTGGCGCCTGGTAATTTCTATTTTGCTCTTCACAGCCGAATTATTTGAGAATAATTTAAAGTTAAACTATACTGTAATATTTTAAATTGTTGCAGTATTCAAATTATTGAATACGGTTCAGAAAAGTTTAATACAGCGTTGCCAAAGTTTGAAAAATAATTTACATGGTTTTATTTTGTTTAGTTATTGCATAACGATAGTCTACTTTTTGCACTGAGACTGAATGCTGTGCGCAGTTGTGACTGGGTTCAATAATTAATTAACAATTATTGTAGTAAAATATAGTGTGCACTGTACTTGTAGTCTGTACGTACGTGGCTGAGTGGCTGTACTAGCGCATGAAATACTGTACCGTATTTTAATCCGATTACTTAACGCACGTCTCAAGATCATGCGTGACACTAACGATTTTGGATGTTTTTTTTTATGTTTAAAAATTTGATGCTTTTATCCGATTACGTAATTTGAAAATCTGGCGGATGGTCAGTGCACGGAGTGCAGTGGCCCTGGTCGATGACGCATCAGATGATGTCATTGTGCTTTGTTTCGCCGTTTTGCCCGCTCGAGCACGTTTCGCAAGAGGTCAGATCTGATCATCTGAGATCGCAAATCGTGTTCTAAATCGTGTTCTGCCGACAGTTAGCTGTTAATTCCCAATTTTCGCTTCTGCAGTTTCGTTTTTGTTATTTTTCATTTGTTTGTTACAGTATGTATGATGCCTACCTGACTTGCTAACATTGTTTTGTTGTTGTTCGGTGCGGTCGTCGCTGTGGCAGTGTGTTATTGTTGCGCTGGTAGACTGCTATAGGAATATTCTTCCCTGTCTGAGCACGTGTCAGTGATTGGTTGCCTGTGTTGCGAGCAGAACCATCTGGCGGCCATGGCAGCGCATCCCGGCGCCATGGGCGCCTTCCCGGCCAAGCTGCCCATCCCGGCCGATCCCCGCGACTTGAAGGGCCTGCTGGATTATCGCTTCGCCATCCCCGGCCCCGTGGGCATGGGGCCGTCCCTGCCGGTAGTGTTGCCGGAAGTGCTCGAAATTGCACGCGAAAGAATTTCGATATCAATTCCGAGTAATCGGAATTGATATTCGGGTATTTCCAATTCCGAGTAATCTAATAAAAATTTCTTTGATTTCCAATTGCAGTATTCGAAATTTATAATATGTAAATTTGAATTTCGATTACTCGGAATTCAAAATGCCTCAAATTCGAATTCCAATTACTTGAAATTAAATTGCGGTATTTACGAACGCAAGTGCTCGCAATTTGAGCTTGCCTTTTATTAAAATACCATTTATTAAGATAATTCACGACGACCTGTACGACGACTATACGTTTCTGCGGCACCAAATTAATACTTAACACGCAAATTAAAGCCTAAAATTATTATAACAGTAGCCTTTTACTGTAGTCTGTAGTTGAAACAATGTATTCTGCACTTGTAGTCTATATTAGTAGCGAATGCACGGAAGTTACGATTGCTTTTATTGACAATTTGGACTGTGAGATTTTATAGGATTCTTTCTTAGGGCTGTAACTTAGCACGAGAGCCGCTGCGAATTCTGCCGATATTTATCAATAAAACTCAACGCTAAATAAATGTGCAAAAAACTTAAGAACAAGTACAGGCATCTTCATACTAGAACCGTGAGCTACTTAGGCTGCCGGGTGAAACTAGTTGACGCCTTGATGGTGTTAATCTAAAACCGAAATTTCACACAGAATTTTCGTAGAAAGACAAGTTCTTGTTCAGTAGCGTTTCCACTTCCAATCGGTGCCCGCCAAGTCTATTTCTCCGCCCAACAGTCTGGAAACCGGAAACCGAGAACAGCTGTTCAGTTGATGTGCTGGTAGCAACTCCACCTGCATTTTAAAAGCTTTGTGAAAATGGCCTCACCAATTTAAATTAATAATAATTTAGTCTTTTTGGTTTACTACAGTTACGTGTTTGCACTTGTACACAAGCATACGGATCTATACTAGTGTTAGAAGCAAACACCACTGTCGTGTTTGTTAGCAAACACTAGTATAGGTAGAAATAAGCTACCAAATGATGCCCCCAAAGTTGTGTAGTTGCATTAGTTGCTTATACCGTGAGCTTTATGTTCAGTTTCATTTGAAAACGACGCGCAGCTATTTGAAACACATATAATATTCCCTCCTTAAATATGCCGTTTGAGAAATAATGCCACCCTCCCCGAAATAACCCCGCGCAACCATGACCTTTGAACTATTTGTACCCCAGGGCCACAAATTCGATAATTACGGTATGTATAATGGTACGCAATTTATTAGGTAATATTTTTCAGCTTCGCAAGGCTGGTGTGGAAAATAAATAACTAATACTTTCTGTCTCACTTCTGCTCAGTTTCAAACGTAAAAATGAAATCAAAGGTTGTGAACCAGTGAAAGGGTAGTGAACTGAATGAAAGTTTTCAATGGAGTTGTCACCTGTTGTGTTTTACTCTTGCAGAAATTTTACGTAAATTTGTTACGAATAAACATAGAATGTACGTAGGCAGCTAAGATTTCTTACTGCTTAATTGCTTGATTTGTTTCCTTGTATGACATTACTATTTGCTTGAGAGTGTTATATATTTTGCCCACCTAAAACGGCAGCAGCAATTTTCGACAGCTTCTCAAAGCCCTTGCCATGTGATGACTTCCAAAAACGTACAGCATCGCTCTGTTCAGTAAATTCCGGGTAACTGGCGGCTTTGTACCGCCCAATTTCGTTTTCCAACGTTGATCTTGACCGTTCCGCGACCATATGCGTTCTCAAATCACCCAGTTTGTCTGACAGATTTGCGAACCGCGCTCGCTTAGGGCTAGGCTGCTGCTCGTCTGTGGACGGACCAGGCGAAATTTCGGACGGAAAGTATTTACCGTAGGTCGCCTTGACAAATTTCACTGCAGAGTCTACTTGCTCGTTCGTCAATAGTCTCCACAAAAATGGGTTTAAAAAACAGCCAGCCAAATAAAACGGATTGTGTTTGGTGTTATTGGGATCCAAAAATCTGGCAAACCGTTGGTCCAGAGCAGCAACTACGACGTGTGCTGCGACGGACACCATTGTTTTCCGAGACTGAAAGGACGCGCGGCAGTGCTTGTCCAGTTCCAACAAAATAGCCACGTACATATCATTCGTTGTGTAGTCCTGTCCGCTAGAAATGGAAGTATAAGTGTCAAAAGGTTCCAAAAACTTGCGCAACGCGTCAATGGTCGACCACTCTTGAGGGAGAAATGAATCCCAACCGTTCTGTTCACAAACATGATCGACGTCGTCTTTCAACTCACACAGCCTGAAAACAAAATGTTAAGTGATACGTTTTTAAAATTTTTTGGTGTACTAGGATGTCTTTAAATTCTTAAAATTTTGTTTTTTTACAACTCTGCCAGCGGGTGCTAAGCGCGCAAAAGCTGTTTCGTTTATGTAAAGAACATTTTCACGGCAATAAATTCAGAAGCTTTTATTTTTTGTTGAAGGGTAGTACAACTATACAGGATGCATAAAAATTTTTTTTATGTACCAACGGCCATTAGGCGGGGCCAAATTAGAATCTAAAGGTAATTTGTCTTAGCCGCATGATGCACCTCATTATACGTTGTAACGCTACTGAACAATCTTTACGAGGCAGTTTACTCGTTTGAAATTTTGATTATCTGTGATGCTCCCTTGGTAATCGGTGTTCACCCTTTCTGTAGATGGTACAGAGTACATTTTTTTAGTAGGGACAGGCAATCGGCTTTGATTTTCGTTAGCAGTTTTCCAAGCGTTACTTGCACGTCATAACACAGAAAAAATTGCGTAGTGCAAACTCCTTTCACTGACAGCTGAACTGAAAGCACTTGTTTCTGGTGGCATAGACTACTACACGAGTTACAGCGCCATCGCACCAAGTGTGGACACTTTTTCTCACAAATCACTAGAGGTCAGCCGTCGATAGATTTACAGTTGTTTGATTTGGATATCCTTGCTGCATGTGTCTAGCATGTTTTGCAAAATATCTTTTAATTTTTTTATGCAACTGTCCATCTTGGTGCGATAGAGCTGTACTGTGCTTCGATTTTGCAACATTCGAAAAATTGCCGACACACATTAAAGGATCTTGAAAGTGATAACTGTAAAATCTCTAGAAGCAGGGAACAGCTAATACTAAAAGCGAGCAGCACAGTTAAAATTTTGAGAGAGTAAACTGACCTCGTACATATTGTTCAATAACATTATAAATCTTGTAAGGTATTATGATGCCGCGCATGCCTAAAGGTTACAGCACAGTGTAAAGGTTACTTCTTGAGTTTACCTTTAAATTCTAATTAAACTACGCCCATCGGCCGTGGCACGTAAAATTATTTTTTAGCATCCAATTTCTGTGGATTTATAACCGTGGAGTGTGCTCTGGTCAGTGCAAGTTCTAACCTTTTGGGGGTGTTTTAAAATAAAAAAACTTAACACTTTAAAATTTTTGATGCTATGCTGATTACCTTTTCAACATGATGTAAGTAGAATTCCATCGCGTTTCCACATCGCCTAGCAGCTTCTTTCCCGATCGATCTACCAGGGCGGCTGTTGCAGTATTCGAATGGTTAAACTTGGAAACAAGTTTCTTCGCTTTCTTAATAATGTCGCGGCACTCCTTCACGGTATCAAAAGACCGGACGACGCACTGGAGAAGATGGTTAAAACAGGGAATCCGTTGGATCTCGTCAAAGGTTGCGTCATGATCTGCCTCCTGGGCGTCATAATCCTGCATCTCTTCCCGGATAACTGCATCAGGATCAGCAGGTGTAGATGGTTCGCTGGTAGCGAGTCCTTGTTCGACTGATTCACTTAAAGCCTCCTCGTCCATGGACGCTAAATAAGATTGAAACTTGAAATCAGCCTAATACAAGCACAATCAGTACTACGAAGCAGTACAATTGCTTTATTCTTTTAGATTGTACATTACTGTGTTGTCGAGTCAACTTGGCACCTTTTTTTACACTGAGATATACGCTAAGCGGATACGACTCACTGTAAAAAAAGCTGCCAAGTTGACTCGACAACACAGTATTGTTTTGTTTGTAGTGTCGGAAAATATGCGAGTAGTAGTATACCATTAAGGACTGCTGTAGTGGCGAGCGCTTCGCACTCTTGGTTTGCCTCTGCTACGGCTTCAGAGTCCTCCTCGTCGATGAGATCCAAGGACACTTCTTTAAATCCCGCAGTCATGTTAGCTCCATTATCCGTAACAATAATGAAAAATCTGTCCCGGGGAATTTTCCATTCCTCAATTATTTGGTAAACCATTGCCTTTATCCGCGAGGCAGTGTGAGGCCGGCGCAGGGAGCGTACTGCCAGGGTTACCGCTTTGTGCTCCCACTCCGGTGACAGGAAGTGAGCAGTTACGCCCAAAAAAGACTCGGTCATTCCCTTCTTTGTCCATATGTCCGCGCAAATTGTAATCAGCCTACACATTGTCGGCGTATTAGATTACTTATAAATTAAGCGCACCGATCTCTAAATTTAGTACAGTAAATTAAGTACACCTTAAGTACACAGTCACAGTTTCAATTTAATGTGTACAGTACTTTAACATTTCAAAGTACTCGGTACTGTACAAAGAGCATTTTACTTTGAGCATGGTGAGATAAAAACTGTGCAAAAAAAGAGTTTTAGAGAGGAAATAAGGGAATCGGTCCACAAAAGTGAGTATCTCAAGTTTAGTTACTTTACACTGTACAGTAAACACAGTAAGTGTACAAATAGCGTTTCTGTTATAGGAAATGACCGGTACATGCCTACAGGGTACCAAACTTGTGGACATGCAAGAAATCTTTTATGTACCCAGAAAGTTTATATACATAAATGTGAAAAACGTTTGTGCGCGTAACATCGTAACAGCGCGGACTAATATTTATTATATTTCGCATACGAATGCACGCAAGCAATATGATGACCGCTGTTATACCGAAGCAAAGTTGCACAAATGTTACTGAAAATTTGTTTTGCAATTCGAGATTTTTGTGCAAGATGATTTGTATACACAGACGTACAGGCAGTATCCGGTTCGGCAGTTATTCTGAAGTTATACAGCAAATTCTACAGAGTTAGTAAAATTCCAAAAATTTTAAATGCTTTCAGGCGAACCAAAAGAGTCATCATCTATACACCGATACACGGTTCTAGCGTTTCTTTCACAAAAAAGGCGGTATGGCGTGTCGTGCCTTGGCGGTTAACACTTTCACTTATATACGAACACCGCTACCGATATCGCATGGTACGTCATAAATTTCTTACCCGCCATTCTGTAGGGCGCTTCCCACTTTTGCCTTCATCACGGCATAGAGTTCGTCCATTGTGTCAGTTATTTTGGTACGTCCAGGAACAACATAGTCTGATCGCAGCCTAGCGCAAAATGTACTGAACATTCGATGCTGTACTGCATTCACAGACGTTGGAGTGCATGCAATGAAGGCCGCTAGTGCGTTGGTGGCGCTGGCCTGGCTTTCTGCGTCGTTGCTCCACTTGGACACACGTTTTGCAGTGGAAGTCTTTTTCCCAGCCGCGCTGTCCGCTTTTTTCTCAGCTTCCAGCAAAGCGTTGTACTGATCCAGGTGTTTTCGTGAAAGATGAGTCCGCAGGTTACTCGTTATACGGCCACTCTGGGCAAACTTGCATTCCGCGGCGTTGCAGACAGCTCGTCTTGCAGTTGAATCATAAGTAAAATAGTTCCACACGGAGGAAGACTGCTTTCTGCCGCGCAAAACCTCACTGCCGCCTGCGCTCTCTTGAGATGCAGATGCCATTGTGTACAATCAGTAGAAATTTAGGAAAAAAATGCACTCCACGCGTACGGCATTGTAAAATTTGGGAATGCGTTAATTTCCTACACTTTCATTAAGAACCTCACACAACTGGACCGATGTCAATGAAAGTGACACCCGACTTACACCAGCCTGCACAGCTCATGTGCATAATTGCATGTGGTCGGCTTTGCTTTGTCCGGGCACGTGGATCTATGATTCAGCGCGATTCTCTGATTCGTGTATTTCTTATCAGTAAACGTGCTCAAATGAGCCGACAACGGAGTACTGAGTTTCTGCGCGTACACAACTGTGCGTACTGGACACAAAAATATAATGTCGCATACCAATCTATACGCATAGCGCTATCAGCTGTGGGTGGAGACACTTATAAGAAGTCCAGTGAACAAAACAAACACAGCACAACCATATTTTACTGAATATGAAAAAAATAAATGTCTGCACTTGGTCAGCCGTTAGAAGTACAGTTATTTCCTATGTGTTCATCAGCGCACTACCGCAGATATTGCGATATTGCGATAATGCGATAAATTGTACTTTTCCGACTAAAATGATCTTGAAAATATTAGCACCAATGCAGGATCATTTTTATTATTACTGTTTTCAATATTTCACAAGAACAGACATCCCCTTCAGATTGGACATACGCAGCGTCAGGATACATCACTGTCTGGTCGACAAAACACAAAAACGAACATCTGCGCATGCACCAAGCGAGTTTCAGTATAACTTTTAATTAAACGAATGGCACCATTTCATAAAGTCGCGCAGTAGCAAATTACAGAGTGGAGAAGTGGGAAAAGAACACAAGGTCGCGTACTTACATTCCAGGCATAAAAAACAGAAATAATGCTTAATTAAAGTCTCTAAAAATGTGCAATGCCTGTACTCGGAATCTGAACCAAGTTACTTTGAATTCCGAGCATTTGAAATTTAAATGGTCTGTATTTGAATTCCAAATACTCGGAATTTAAATACCGTAATTTGAATTTCGAGTAATCGTAAATTAAACCGATACCATCTGAATTCCGAGTACTCGCAATTGGAAAGAGGCAATTATAATTCCGAACTCGAATTCATTTTAGATTGCAGCACTTCCGGCAACATTACCTGCCGGCGCCCGTGGCCCCGCCGCCGCTGCCAGGTAAGACAGCAGCGCTCTTTCTCCGGTCACATGCGTGTTTTACAGATATTTACGGATTTTGCGGGAATCTTTTCGATGTGTTCTTTTTAACAGGTTTTCTTTTAGTTTTTCTTCTTGATAAGATTATTTTTAGCTGATTTTTTATTTGCCGGTATGATTTTCATTGGGAATTTTTATTTGGCGGGATTTTTATTGAATTTTTAGGTTTGGGATTGGGATTGGGATGTGAACTTGTGGGGATTTTTTCAGTAATCTCTATTTTTATTAGGATTTATGGGATTTATGGTAATGGGATTGGGATGTGAACTTGTGGGGATTTTTTCAGTAATCTCTATTTTTATTAGGATTTATGGGACGGGGTTTTTAATTTCTATTTTTTAATAAGATCCGCACTTGGCGGGATTTTTTTATCAATTTTATTTTTATTAGTTCTTAATTTATATTAAGCAGATGTTTTTCGATTTCACTTTTTAATTGAAGTTTAAATGTACTGTGTGTTGAGATGGGCAGATGAGGAAGAGGAGGACGACGGCGGGATGATCCACGGGGAGGCGTACGACCAGTATATCCCCAGCAAGCTGGCCCTGGGTCTGCCGCATCCCGATCCCATCGTGGAGACGCTGTCGCTGGCCAGCGTCAGTCCGCCTGATATCACGTACGTGGCAGTGTGCAGCGCCACTCGGGAAGGTGCGGGATGAGATTGTTTGTGCGCTAGGTATCAGCTGAAGATGCCGGAACACATCGGCGACGACGGACTGCTGTCGTCGCCTCAGCTAGAGTCCATTGTCTACGCCTACCAGCGACATGAGATGACGCTGGGCGACAGATGCCGGGCGGGATATCTCATCGGTAAAGCGACGGAGTTTCTCCTTTTTTTAATGTTCATTTTTATTCCATCTTTATTTTGCGGGAATAGTTTCATTTGATTAGCGGTTTCAGTTTAAATTATTTATTTAGCCGTAGGGGGATGTTTTTACACGAAGCACTGGATGTTTTTTTTCGAAACGTGTTCAGTTTTTACTTTAATGGGATCTAAGAGGCATTTTTAACTGAATTTTTTACTTCAGCTTTAATTTGAATTTTAGTTCGTTGTAGTTTTGATTTTTTATTCAGCCTTTTTAACTGGATTGTCATGTATTTTTTGAGAGTAGTTTGTTGTGTGTGTAGGCGACGGCGCCGGTGTGGGTAAGGGCCGCACGATCGCCGGGATCATCTACGAGAACTGGCTGCTGGGTCGGCGCAAGGCGCTGTGGCTGAGCGTCAACAACGACCTCAAGTTCGACGCCGAGCGCGACCTGCAGGACATCGGCGCCGGCGAGCTGCCGGTGCACAACCTGACCAAGACCAGGTACGCCGCGCTCAACTCCAGCGAGAACGGCAAGATCACCAAGGGCGTCCTCTACTCCACCTACTCCTGCCTCATCGGCGAGTCCTCCAGTCCGCGCACCGAATGCGGCACCCGCATCAAACAGGTCCGTTGACTAAATTGAAAAAATTGACGGTTTTCCCGTGCGTAATTTCCTTAGCCGTTTTGATGCTGGCGGGCTGTATTCTGTTTTAACGCAATTTTTGAAATTTATTTTTTATTCAGTTTTTAATTGAATATATATTAAAATTTCTTGTTAAACAGTGAATAATACACAAATAAACAATAAAAAGTTTTAGTAACTTTCAAATCACAATGAAATAAATTTCGGAATAAAATGAAACGCACCCAGATGAAACAGATTCGTCGAAAGCTGAATCGAAAAAATGATGCGATGGAAAAATTAATATTTAATTTGATTTCATAGATTTTGAAGTGGTGCGGTGGGGCGAAATTCGACGGGGTGCTGGTGTTTGACGAGTGCCACCGCGCCAAGAACCTCTGCCCGTCGGCTGGCGGGAAGCCGACGAAAACGGGGCTGGCGGTGCTGGATATCCAGCGCTTATTGCCCAAGGCGCGCGTCATCTATGCCAGTGCCACCGGCGCCTCGGAACCGCGCAATATGGCCTACATGACGCGGCTGGGGCTGTGGGGCGAGGGGACGCCCTTCAAGGACTTCTTCGAGTTCATGTCCTCCATCGAGAAACGGTAAACGCACCGGAAATCATTTCTATTAGGTTTTATGTTTTTCTTGAATTAAATCTGACTTAATTAAATTTTTTATCGAATTCAACTTAATTATCGCAAATTCTTCCTGGATAAACTGTTATTTTTTTATCGACATTAATTTGATTTGAAATAAATGGTTGCAGCGGCGTGGGCGCGATGGAGATGGTGGCGATGGACATGAAGCTGCGCGGGATGTACATTGCGCGTCAGCTGAGCTTCAGCGGCGTGTCCTTCGACATCAAGCAGGTGCCCATGGAGGACGACTACCGGGCGCTGTACGACGCCTGCGTCGAACTGGTCAGCACAATTAATTAGATAACAATCCATAATTCTTTTGAAATTTAAAAAATTATGCGTTTTTAGTGGACTTTCGCCCGGGAGAAGTTCGCAGCAGCGGCTGCGCTGTTCGACGCCGATCCGCGGACGCTGAAGCACATGTGGGGCCAGTTCTGGGGCGCGCATCAGCGCTTCTTCAAGTATTTGTGCTTATCCGCCAAAGTCCGCCACACCGTACGCACTGCCAAAGCCGCCGTCAAGGAGGGAAAGGTGCGAGATAGTTTTCCATATAATTTCCTACATTTTTTGCGAATATTTTTCCAGCTGTCTGTGTGAGCGAATTGTTTGCCCAGTTTAGTCACAGTTTGGTCAACAAGCCAGTATGGGTTTTGCATGTTGTTGTGGGCATTTTACTTTCCTGTTATTCTATTGTTGCAAAACATTGCTGTTTCTCCTGTTTTTATCTATGCACAAACTACAAAGGATTTACACGGCTTTTTCCTAACTATTTTCACTGGAATCAATTAACGGTAATCCCTTGTTTCGGTAGTGCGTGGTGATCGGACTGCAGTCGACGGGGGAGGCGCGCACCCTGGAGGTGCTGGAGGAGAAACGCGGTGACCTCACCGAGTTCGTCTCCACGGCCAAGTACGTGCTTCTGCATGGACAGATTATGTTATTAAACATTATGTTGTTCAAACATTTGGCGTGTTAACGTGAATGCTGTTGCAGAGCGGTGTTCGGATCGCTGGTGGAGAAGCACTTCCCGGCCTTCGACCGGCGCAAGGCCCTGCAGACGGTGGGCATGGTCGATCTGCTGGAGGACGCCATGGACGCCGCGCTGGACGTTCAGCCCGATGCCCTGCTGGCCGGCAACGCCAAACGCCGTCCCAGTACGTCCACGTACACTAATATGAATAGATACGTACACTAATATGAACGCACACTCGTACTTAATATTGATTTTTAATGCAGTACTGTAATCATCTCTGCGTACTGCGGAAAAACAAATAAGTCATAGCAGTGTGTAATGTCGTTAAATAAAAATACATTCGGATGTTTTTGAAGGGCGGCGAAATCGCACGGTGGTGGAGTCATACAAACTGCCCGGTATGTCGGAGTTTGAGGATGACGACGACGACTCTAGGGATGAGGAGAGCGACGACGATCGGCCCGGACCAGCAGCGCAGGCGTCCTCGTCCGGACGCGCCTCGCGGGCGGCTGCCATGGCGGCGGCCTCCGTCAACCGCAAAATAGTCGCCAACAGTACCAAGACCGGATCCGACAGCGCCAACGGGAACGGGAAGAAGCGGAAGAAGTCCCGGACGGTCAATGCGTACAAAAAGCAGGCGAAGAAGCGTAAATCCGGCACGAGCGACGAGGAGGAGGAGTCGGATGCGTCGGATTTCGTGCCCAGCGAGAGCAGCTCGTCGGCCGAGGAGAGCGGCAACGAGGCGGAGGAGGACGACCCGGCCAGCGGCGAGGCCTCGGGCTCGGGATCCGGCTCGGAGGAGTCCCTCTACAGCGACGAAGACAGTACGTCGTCGAAATTTGTATAGACAGATGGGGAAAAATCACAGATTTTTGTTCAAAAATTTAGAAAACACTGCAGCTTTATGTATTTAAAATTTAGAAAAATGAAAAATACAAGTAAAACTGAAAAATTTTTAAGAAATAATTATTATAATTATTATATCAAATTTAATAATTATTTTTTAAAATTTTCCAGATGTGTGTAAAAAAATTGCAGATTCTTGTACAAAAGTGAATTAATTGCAGACCCATGGGTGCGGCTGTTGGAAGCAAAGAGAAAAGCGAAGAAGCAGCAGCGAAAGAAGGGCAACACCGCCGACAAGGGGAAACTGGACGATGAGGATGGTGCACAGGCTGTGCCGCCGCCAGGTTGGAAAGTTATTTGCTTTATCGATAATAAAGATTACCACAATATTTGCTGCTGCATCCTTATTAGTAAACAGTCATTCGCATTACTGATCACTTAGAAACTATTCAAATTAAAAACTGATCGGCCGTAGACGTATCAGTGATTTAAGAAGCAAGTAATAATTTCGATTGAATAATCTTAATGGTTGAATATCCCACTACCGTTTTATTCATGTCTTGGTGCGTTTGTAGACGGGTTGTCGTCGCGGGAACTGCAGGATCGCGCGTGGAGACTAAAGCAGGACGTGCTGGACAAATTCGCGGACCTATCGGACCGGCTGCCGCCCAACACGCTGGACGACCTGATCGACCAGCTGGGCGGACCGGAAGTGGTGGCGGAGATGACGGGGCGGAAGGGGCGCGTGGTGGCCACCGAGGGCGGCGGCGTGCAGTACGAGGCGCGCAACGAGTCGGACGTGGCGCTGGAGATGCTGAACCTGGCGGAGAAGCAGCGCTTCATGGACGGCCACAAGCTCGTCGCCATCATCAGCGAGGCGGCCAGCTCCGGCATCTCGCTGCAGGCCGACCGCCGCGCGCTCAACCAGCGCCGGCGCGTCCACATCACGCTGGAGTTGCCGTGGTCCGCCGATAAGGCCGTGCAGCAGTTCGGACGGACGCACCGCAGCAACCAGGTCGGCCAATTCATCTTTATTTTTTAAGTAAAATTTAGCAGATCAAAATGAAGTTCATTTACAGATTTAATTTGTTCTCGTTTTGGTCAGCGGTTATCTGAATTTTAATTTGATGAAATTTGTTGATTTTTCTTCGTTTTTTTTCTTTGATTTATTTAAATCAAACTGAATATGCTGGTTTATTGAAGTTGGTTTACTTACGAAGTTAAATGAGTTTTATTTCATTACAGTAAAAAAATAAAATGGGATTAAATAAATGGGATTTTAATTCAGTTGATTAAAATAAAATGCTGCTTGCTTTTGAATTATTTACGATTTTTTTTCTCTTTGAATTAGGTCAGCGCTCCGGAATATGTCTTTTTAATCACGGATCTGGCCGGCGAGAAGCGGTTCGCGGCGGCGGTGGCGCGGCGACTGGAGAGTCTGGGAGCGTTGACGCATGGAGATCGGAGGGCGACGGATTCGCGGGATCTGTCGGCGTTCAATATCGACAACAAGTACGGGCGACAGGCGGTGGAGATGGTGTTGCGCAAGACGGCCGGGATGGAGTGGCTGACGGAATGGGACAAGGAGAACATGGGGAACAAGTTCTTCAAGGAGGCGCCCAAGGCGCTGCTCGATGCCGGCTTCCTGGTGCAGGAGGAGGGGCGCCGACCCCGCCTGGAAAAAGGTGCGTTATCGCCTCAGCGGCTGCTGAATGAGAAATATGTTATTCGAATTTATTTGAATTTGTTTACGAATTCAGTTTACTCGTATTAATTTTAACTCAAATATTTTGCGGATTTCGGTCTATTTTAATCTGCCGACGAAACTGCTAAGTAATTCAGTCCTTTCTCTTTTGCGGCATTTACTTATTGAATTAAGCCGTAACTGGCAGTTATCGTAGAGCAAATGGACGCACATGAGTTATACATATAGTTAGCATAATATTTAGCGATGAGTTTAATAATGAAATATGTAATCGCGGAGATAAATTGTGAATTGCGAAAATACAGAGTAGTGCAGTGATGGATAAATCTGGAAATGTGTGTTAAGCGCGTGAATGTAAATATAGATATGTTTGCTTTAATTACACGTTACATAATTACAACTGAGACATTTTCGAGGTATGGAATATGCATCACTTCGTAGGTACCCATTGCACGTACTTGCGAAATAGGTGAAATTTCGTAGGTTTTCATCGTAATTAGATGCGAAATGCATAAATTTCTATTGTTTAATTCATAATTAAATGAAATGCGGATTATTTTGCAAGTATCCTTTGCAATTACATGCGAAATAGATCAAAATTTCGTAGGTATTCCTCAGAATTAGATGCAAAATGCATAAATTTCTATTGTTTTCTTCATAATTAGGTGAAATGCGCATCATTTCGCAGGTACCCTTTGCATGTACATGCGAAATAGATCAAAATTTCGTAGGTATTCATCGTAATTAGAAGCAAAATGCATAAATTTCTATTGTTTGCTTTATAATTACATGAAATGCGCATTATTTTGCAAGTATCCTTTGCAATTACATGCGAAATGGATCAAAATTTCGTAGGTATTCCTCAGAATTAGATGCAAAATGCATAAATTTCTATTGTTTTCTTCATAATTAGGTGAAATGCGCATCATTTCGCAGGTACCCTTTGCATGTACATGCGAAATAGATCAAAATTTCGTAGGTATTCATCGTAATTAGAAGCAAAATGCATAAATTTCTATTGTTTGCTTCATAATTACATGAAATGCGCATTATTTTGCAAGTATCCTTTGCAATTACATGCGAAATGGATCAAAATTTCGTAGGTATTCCTCAGAATTAGATGCAAAATGCATAAATTTCTATTGTTTTCTTCATGATTAGGTGAAATGCGCATCATTTCGCAGGTACCCTTTGCATGTACATGCGAAATAGATCAAAATTTCGTAGGTATTCATCGTAATTAGAAGCAAAATGCATAAATTTCTATTGTTTGCTTCATAATTACATGAAATGCGCATTATTTTGCAAGTATCCTTTGCAATTACATGCGAAATAGATCAAAATTTCGTAGGTATTCATCGTAATTAGAAGCAAAATGCATAAATTTCTATTGTTTGCTTCATAATTACATGAAATGCGCATTATTTTGCAAGTATCCTTTGCAATTACATGCGAAATGGATCAAAATTTCGTAGGTATTCCTCAGAATTAGATGCAAAATGCATAAATTTCTATTGTTTTCTTCATGATTAGGTGAAATGCGCATCATTTCGCAGGTACCCTTTGCATGTACATGCGAAATAGATCAAAATTTCGTAGGTATTCATCGTAATTAGAAGCAAAATGCATAAATTTCTATTGTTTGCTTCATAATTACATGAAATGCGCATTATTTTGCAAGTATCCTTTGCAATTACATGCGAAATAGATCAAAATTTCGTAGGTATTCATCGTAATTAGAAGCAAAATGCATAAATTTCTATTGTTTGCTTCATAATTACATGAAATGCGCATTATTTTGCAAGTATCCTTTGCAATTACATGCGAAATGGATCAAAATTTCGTAGGTATTCCTCAGAATTAGATGCAAAATGCATAAATTTCTATTGTTTTCTTCATAATTAGGTGAAATGCGCATCATTTCGCAGGTACCCTTTGCATGTACATGCGAAATAGATCAAAATTTCGTAGGTATTCATCGTAATTAGAAGCAAAATGCATAAATTTCTATTGTTTGCTTCATAATTACATGAAATGCGCATTATTTTGCAAGTATCCTTTGCAATTACATGCGAAATAGATCAAAATTTCGTAGGTATTCCTCAGAATTAGATGCAAAATGCATAAATTTCTATTGTTTTCTTCATAATTAGGTGAAATGCGCATCATTTCGCAGGTACCCTTTGCATGTACATGCGAAATAGATCAAAATTTCGTAGGTATTCATCGTAATTAGAAGCAAAATGCATAAATTTCTATTGTTTGCTTCATAATTACATGAAATGCGCATTATTTTGCAAGTATCCTTTGCAATTACATGCGAAATAGATCAAAATTTCGTAGGTATTCCTCAGAATTAGATGCAGAATGCATAAATTTCTATTGTTTTTTTCATTATTAGGTGAAATGCGCATCATTTCGCAGGTACCCTTTGCATGTACATGCGAAATAGATCAAAATTTCGTATGTATTCATCGTAATTAAAAGCAAAATGCATAAATTTCTATTGTTTGCTTCATAATTACATGAAATGCGCATTATTTTGCAAGTATCCTTTGCAATTACATGCGAAATAGATCAAAATTTCGTAGGTATTCCTCAGAATTAGATGCAGAATGCATAAATTTCTATTGTTTTTTTCATAATTAGGTGAAATGCGCATCATTTCGCAGGTACCCTTTGCATGTACATGCGAAATAGATCAAAATTTCGTAGGTATTCATCGTAATTAGAAGCAAAATGCATGAATTTCTATTGTTTGCTTCATAATTACATGAAATGCGCATTATTTTGCAAGTATCCTTTGCAATTACATGCGAAATAGATCAAAATTTCGTAGGTATTCCTCAGAATTAGATGTAAAATGCATAAATTTCTATTGTTTTCTTCATGATTAGGTGAAATGCGCATCATTTCGCAGGTACCCTTTGCATGTACATGCGAAATAGATCAAAATTTCGTAGGTATTCATCATAACTAGATGCAAAATGCATAGATTTCTATTGTTTACTTCATAATTACATGAAATGCGCATCAATTCGCAAGTACCCTTTGCTAGTACATGCGAAATAGATCAAAATTTCGTAGGTGTTCCTCAGAATTAGATGCAAAATGCATAAATTTCTATTGTTTTCTTCATAATTAGGTGAAATGCGCATCATTTCGCAGGTACCCTTTGCATGTACATGCGAAATAGATCAAAATTTCGTAGCTATTCCTCAGAATTAGATGCAAAATGCATAAATTTCTATTGTTTTCTTCATAATTAGGTGAAATGCGCGTCATTTCGCAGGTACCCTTTGCATGTACATGCGAAATAGATCAAAATTTCCCAAGTATTCATAATTTTAAATGCCAAATGCATAAATTTCTATTGTTTACTTCATAATTACATGGAATGCGCATTAATTCGCAAGTACCCTTTGCAAGTACATGCAAAATAGATCAAAATTTCGTAGGTATTCATCATAACTAGATGCAAAATGCATAGATTTCTATTGTTTACTTCATAATTACATGAAATGCGCATCAATTCGCAAGTACCCTTTGCTAGTACATGCGAAATAGATCAAATTTTCGTAGGTGTTCCTCAGAATTAGATGCAAAATGCATAAATTTCTTCAGTTTTCTTTATAAGTACATGGAATGTGCATAAGTACCCTTTGCAAGTACATGCGAAATAGATGAAATTTCGGAGGTGTTCATCGTAATTTCTACAGTTTTCTTCACGAGTACTAGAGAAGTTTCACAATGGACAATCCAGTTGTGCAGCGAAATCGCCAATAAATAATGGATAAATTAATAAGCGAACACCTGAACATCCATTAATAGATAAATAATCTCGGAGCAAATTACAGCGCTGATAATGCAATGAATCACTTTGTGCAGATAATTTGGCGATGGATAAATTCCTGAACCGGCTGCTGGGCATGAAAGTGGAGATGCAGAACGCCATCTTCGACTACTTCTCCTACACGATGGACCGGCTGATTGACACGGCGAAGCGCGAGGGCCGCTTCGAGATGGGCATCCTGGAAATGGGTAATTCATATCTGGCACAATCACCGTTCGCTGCAAATTATTAAAGGATTTCGTGCCAAATATTCATATTTATTAAAATAAATGCGAAATATTCATAGTTATGAGCATAAGTGCATAAGAAATAAAGGCGGGCTATGCGTGGCAGGTTTCGGCAGCACGGAAGTGGTGCCGGAGAAGAAGCTGACCTTCGTCGGGAAGACGGCGTGGAGCGCGCCGCCGGCCTTTCTCTACTCCATCTCCGTGGAGCGCGGCCTGTCCTTCGAGGACGCCCAGGAGATCCTCAACGAGTACGACGACGCCAGCAGCGGCTTCTACATCTCCAAACAGGTGTGTCACGAGTCAGGCCGGCGTGCTTTAATCGTTTCTGGTGACCATTGCTTATGACATTTCTAGATGTTCTTTGAGTGATTATTTCTGATTCATTAATGGATTTTTCGCTTCTGCAGGTGCTTTCCGGGAAGCAGACGGTGTGGCTGGCGGTCGTGAAGGGCGGCGCGGAGGCTGCCCGGCGCGGCCGCCCGGGGCAGCGGCCCTACTGCATCTACCGGCCGCACAGCGGGATGCAGCTGCGCTGGGACGCGCTGGAGGAGGTGCAGCGCAAGGGGAAGCTGGTGGCGGCGGAGGAGGCGCGGCCGGTGTGGGAGGCCATGTTCAGCAGCATGGGCAAGCGCTGCGTGCACGCCTACTGGACCGGGCAGTGCGCGCGCGCCAACCGCGCCGGCTGCGACGTCGGCCAGCGGCGCCGACTGATGACGGTGCTCACCGGCAGCGTGCTCAGCGTCTGGACGGAGATCGGCCCGATCCTCTACAACAAGCAGGTGGTCAAGCGCATCCAGAACGTCCGCATGCGCTTCCGCGACAACCAGCGCATTGTCGGTCAGTACGCAACAATTTTCCGCACTTTTTCTTCATTTTTATTGATTGTTCACGGATTTGGCGGATTATCGAACGTTTTTGGCGATTGCTTAGTTTTCTTATGTCGTTCATTTAAACTGAATTTTTATGAGCTTTCTTAATGCATTTTTTGCGATGTTTTCGTGATTGTTGTCCAGTTTTTAATAGTTTTATGATTTTATGGTTAAAACATATAAATTTTTACGGAAAGCAAATATTGCATCATCACGTAATTTTTTTGGCGAATTCTTTGGTCAACTTTTCACTGCTTTTTTAGAAATACTTAGTTGCGTTGAAAAGGTGAGTTTTCGTTTTATTCGTTTGTAAGCTGTTATAAACAATTTTATCAGTTTTCTTATTCTGTGAGTTTTCAGCTGACGTTTTTTATCTGGTTTTCCGTGAGTTAGTCAGCGATGTTGATAAGGTTCGTCGGTGAATTTTTCGCTATGGTTTTGATCTTGGTTTACTCTTCGTGGTTTTGATTGAAATTGACTGGGCGATTTGAACCTGGTTCTCCAATGTTGGCCGTTAATGGTTGCAGGGATCGTGGTGCCGGCGGGCGTGGTGGCGCTGCTGCTGGAGGCGCTGAAGAGCAGCAGCGAGGCGGTGCGCGAGGAGCGACTGACCAAGGTGGAGCACTTGTCGGACTCGAGCGGCGATTCCGATGCCGCTTCCGGTTCCGAGGCGGAATGATCTCCCTGTCCTGTTTGTGTGCGGCGTTCTCTTGGTCTCGGTTTCTACTCAGTCGACACTTTGGTCTGGCTGCTCTGGTACAACTTGTCTTTTGTTAATAAATGGAATAAATGCTGCTTTTCTTTTGTTAAGAAGTGGACTAAAGTAGTACAGCTTTTCTTTGTTAACTGGATTAAAGCGTCCAAGTCCTGATCCTGTAGTATAACACTAGTGTATGTACGGTACGGGGGTACCTAGTAAATTTCACAGACACTGTGAACGTGGACTTTGCTGACCAGAGAAATGTAGAAAACGACTTTTTAAATCAATCACGTTTCCGCTGCAATGCACATTACAACACATAGTGCAGAGATACCATTTGCTGAACTGAATAGTATTATTGTGGACTTGTAATTACAACTACGCTACACATAACAAAGATCGCAGCGCCGGTGCACTACATGAAAGTTAAAATTTAAACTATAAAAAAACAACCAAAATCTCTGTCTTGTCTTGGGTTAAAAGGCAACGTGCTCAGTTGTAGACTTAAATGAGCGGCGGTGGCTGCGGCACTGATTGTGCTCCTACATAACAGCAGTGAGCAAAGCAAATTTCTCTTTGTAATCAATTTGATCACCACGCAATTTCCTCAGTAAATGAACGCAGTACGTCCCGTACTGATCATTATGGCGCCGTGTGAAAGTTCTTGTCCTTTGTCCGAGCTGGAGTGTAAGAGTACCTCGTTTGTTTCATTCGGCACCAAAAAGCATAGGTCATTGCGATGACAATTATTACAATGCTCTGTCAAGTACTAGGAAAAGCTCCGAATCCAATCAGCTGCGCCAGTCTCGGATCCGCTACCTTCTTGTCGTCCAGCTAACGTATCCGTTGATCGATCTGTATAAAGGAGCGCAAATGCAACCGCCCCGGACGCGTGGCAGGGCGCTGCCGACCGTCTCGCTGCAATCCGCAAGCCCTGTGGATCGCGCGCGGGCGCGCGATCCTGGTCGCCTCTGCATCCAGTTCGCGGATACCACATACAACGCCGCCAATACATACGAGAGAGTGGCCCGCCGCTGCCGACGGTCCCGTTCAAATCCTCAAGCAACAATCCCGCGCGCGAAAACCGGTCGCCTCCACATCCAGTTTCCGTATACATACAACGCCGCCTATGCATGCGGGAGCGTAGCCCGGCGCTACCGACAGTCCCTCTGGAATCCGAGAGCAACAATGCCGCTGGTGAAACCGGTCGCCCTTACATCCAGTCCGCGTATAAACACGACGCCGCCTACATATACGGGAGCCTGACCCGGCTCCGCCCGCGGTTCCTCTAGAATTCGCAAGCCACAATTCCGCGCACGAAACTGTTCATCCCTACATCCAATCCCATACGACATTCAACAGTTACTGTGTATGTTCGCATAATTTTTATTAGCATTTTCATATCGCGACATAACAGTCGTAAGTCATATCACTACGGCCAGCACTGCACAATTAAGAATTAAAAGAACAACCAAAATCAGTATTATCAACCGGTTTATTCTTGCCCGGTAAAGTAATACTAGTGGCAGTTACTACAAGTACTGTAGTAAGTACTAAGTACTCGTTCTCGTATTGCATGTTGGGAATACTGGCAGGATGCGCCATTCAGAGAAAGCTTTTAGCCGAATGCATGTATGAAATGGCGCTGACCGCCGTCAGTGCCAAAACTGTGCTTGCCGAACATGCGACATATCCAATGCGGCCCAACGCCAGTCGATGCAAAACTTCCCGGGAGAAGGCAGTTGACGTCAAATCGGGAGAAGGCAAACAAACGACCGTTGCTGCATCAATCGCGAAGCCGCAATTCAAACTGTACAGCGGTTAAGGCCACGAAGCGCAGCCGGCTGGCGGTGATTCGTAGGAAGTATAGCGAAATAGATGACCTTTCACAGTTAAGCAAATTACAATTCACAGTTAAGCAAATTAAAGCACAAAACTTACTGGATCAGCGGCTATTGTATTTTATGTCTTGTATCAGTTGTAACTTGAAGGCCTACTACCCGAGTAGTGATTTAAGGGGAGTTGAAAAAGAGGGCATTAGAAAACCACGATAATATTTAGTCGGTAGCTCCCAACCGCTTAAAATTTGTAAATGATTATTGATAGATTATGTCTACAGTAGATATAAACATTTCTTAGCAAGCAGCGCGATTTCCGTAGAAAATGTTGAAAGCACACTTTCGCTCCCGATACCAGGCTGTGAGCATCTGTATGTTCTATGTACTCTGTATCTGTATGTCAAATGCTGTTTAGGTTGCAATGACGTCATTAGTGTCATATTATGCGGAGTCTATATGTACATTAAGGATTATGACATACACGACTCTGCGCGTTATGTATCGGTGAATGTGGGAGCTAACCGGTGACGGTCGGCTGGAAGAGATGCAGCATGCGTGTTGCATCATACCGTCACGCGCTGTACCAGGATGAGAGAATCTGTTTACCAGTGACGAATGCACTGGCCAAAAGAAAGGCAACCAGAGGAGAACGTAACTTCCGATAAAGTGGAAATCGGCCAGTCGGTCTGCGCTTTAAAAATGGCAAGATGTACCGCACGCAACGGGAGCAAAGTGCTTGTACAATTTGAAGGCGCAGTAAATACTACATGGTGTACATACTTGGCTGGTACTGACGCTTCCCTGCGTGGTGTCCACAGCGCTGCCGTGTTGCGCCGACGTTGAGCGTCGAGGTTGAGCGTCGCGGTTGAGGACAGCATCGCTACAACCGGCTCACGGCAAGCTCAGCACATCCATGAAAACGAGGACAGCGTGGTTAGCTGCCCCAGAAACCGGCGATTTCGTCGATCGAAGAAATCCGTCGTTGGAAGAAATCCCGGGATAAGCGACATCCAGGGTGAGTTGTGCCACTGCAACGACGTGCGGTGGAGGAATAGCCGGTGACCTTTGCCCGGCCGCATACTCCTGCGGTGGATAACCGTGCACAGTGTGTTGCATGCAGTTCGGGAGATCTGTCCTCCGGACTCCGCGTTGCCCGTGCCGTATGTCGAATAACGATTGAGGTACCCGTCGAACGCCCGCGCTGCACACAACGCCCGCAGCCGTTCCGTGTCCGTGGGCCAGCAGACACTGGCGGAAAAACAGCATTTTTGCTGGCACCAGCGAGACGCTACCTGCCCATGAAGAAGTCGACGGCCGTCCAACGTCGCCTGAAAATAAGAGAAAATGCGTCAGTCGGTGTTTGTGCGTGATGCGTCGGCATATACTGGTACATGTGGGCATAAAGACTCCGTCGCTACGAATTGGAGCGGTTAGCCGCAATGCTGTACAGTAGCGCGCAACAGCATCCAGTCGACAGAAAGCACCGGAGTGGATCCATCCACAACGGAGTGGTCATGGGCGAGGAGGAGCCGGAAGAAAGGTACTTGTACGAGCCGTCTAATATGAAAGCACCATACACAGTCGCACCCGCCGATCCCGCTCGGATACTGTACGCTAAGCGAGCTTCGTCAACCCAGCGATCATGGGCGGCGTGACCTTTCATTCCCACGGCCCTGCATCATGAGACGCGCCACCGGCATCGATCGGCACGAATTAGCGGCTGGATATAGCGCATTGTTAGCTCTCCATTCGAAACAGACTCTGTGCGTTCGGCGGCTTTCCTACTGCCCTTTCGCCCGCACCAAATCCCGGGAAGACATCGAAAGGAAAGAGGTAATGCAAAGCCACATAATTGCAGACCCACAGCGGACACGATGTCTTCAGTGTGTCGGCTTCTCGCAAGAATACTGGTTCGGTGTGCGGCATCTGGTGCGCGTGGTCGTCCATGGCATCTAGCTACGTAACATCTAAGAGGTCACGCGGTGGCGAGCAACATTCTCTCTGTTGCAAGAGATTGTGTTAATTCCAGCGATGGCGACCCGGCGCCGGCCAGACTGACATAATATATAATTATTACGTTCCTTGTTCCCAAATCAAGACCGTGAGCTTCCATGCTATTCACTGCCGGGGTCAAACTTGTGTGTTCCATGCCACATACGGCTAATGCAACCGAATAATCGTGATTGCAGATTTACAGATTCCCGACAAGAGGGAAGACTGGCAACTTGGCGCGTTCAGCCGTGCCTGCATGCACAAACGTTACAGGAGAAACATCCCGATGTATGCCACTGGCAACTCCCACCCAAACTGGAGATTCCGGTCTTTGGGTCTATGTCAGCGCGGGTCCTGGGTGCTCGTCCAAGAGCGGCACTTGTTCACGCACTTGGGCGTTCCGATTGTACGGCGGGCGCAGGGAGAGGGACGTGACCTTTCGCACACTTTATCTTCCGTGTCGAATAGGTCATGTTCCGGTTGCGGTGTCGTTTCCGTTTCGTACATGCTGCAAGTATAGGTGTCCATGGTAAAGGACTGTCCCAAGCGTAAAGCTATTTGTGGTTTAGGGTGTGAATTCGGAGCAAACGACGACAGAAACGGCTCTGCTAGTGCTGAAATATCGATCTTACTCGGTAACTGGTTGAAATAAAACGTCATGATAATTTACACACATTGTTGGTTTCCACCACATCACGGTATCACTACTGTCCGTACAAACTGTAAGAATTGGCATGGCACATGCACTTTTATTGTGGCAGCAGATCTAAATTTCGTTTTGTCTAAATTGTTTTGACTGATACTGGCTACATCACTTAGTGTGTATTCTGCACGTGTTGCAAATATTGTTAATGTCGTCATTCTTTTTAATTAGCGTATTCCACAGTAGCCCTACGGTATCTTTGCGTATCCTCCATGTATCTCGTTATTACGTGTTCTTAGTGTTCATAGGTTTTCTAGGTTTTTTAACGGGGTTCATGTGGGATACATACAGGATACTGCAGAGATACGGAGGGATACGGCAACAATCGAGCAGAAGTTAAAAAATTGTTAGGATCCACGAGGGATACGTAGAAAATACCGTGGGATACGGCGGGACACTGTGGGATACTGTGGGTACAACCGTACAAGCAAAAAAAACATGTCTCGAAAAATTAAACGTGTACGAAATGGTCCATATCTACGCTATGAAGAGTGGGTTCTGCTTGATATGCTATGCCAAAAATGCTCAGTCAAGTACGTAGTAGGAAATGCTCCTGATCCAATATGATGCCCCAGCCTCCGCTGCCTTCTCGACGCGTCGTCGTAGCCTTTGAACTATATAAACGAGCGCCGACGCCCACGGAAGGGTGACCCAGCGCTGCCGACAGTCTCGCTGGAGTTAATCCACGGGCCATAGTGTCGCGTGCGACCATTTGCGATTCGCTCCACACCTCTCCGCGAAGTCCAGCCGCTGAAGGTGGCGCTGCGAGCCTGCGAGGGGAAAGATTAGTCGCCTACAAGCGAATTCGCTCGGGTAGCAGCCGATTTCGAGGTTGTGCACAAGCGACCAGATAATTAGCCCCAATAAATCGCCCGCCTTTACGAAATTTCTCGGCACCGCCCATGGGTGACAGTTTGTGCAAGGTATTCTTGGCGCGCGCCGCGTGTACAGAGATATGCCAGTGCACCACATCATGATTGCGCAATAAAATTCGTGACGGTGAAGATTTGACGCTGGCCCATAGACACATATGCTATAACTCAAATTTTCAAAAATTCATAACTTTGTTAATTTTCGCGTTAATGTTTTTTGAATATGCTTTAAAAATACAGAATAATATATACTAGTAGGCATAACAAATGTTTTTTCGATTTTATTTTAGGGTTGCGCACTATGTGCCTACGTAATTAGCATGGCTGTCTATGGAGAAGTCATTTAATTTGATTTAAAGATTTCTCGTAGGCGGCTATGTTAACCACGTATGCTCTCAGTGCCAAACCTTAAGACGGAAACAGAAAAAAAATCGTTTTGCCTAATAGTAGATATTATTCTATATTTTTAAAGCATACTCACAAAACATTAACGCGAAAATTAACAAAGTTATGAATTTTTGAAAATTTAAGTTATAGCATATGTGTCTATGGGCCAGCGTCAAATCTTCACCGTCACGAATTTTATTGCGCAATCATGATGTGGTGCACTGGCATATCTCTGTACACGCGCCGCCAGCCTTTACTCTTCCACTTGCAGAATTGGCAGTATCAACGGTAGTGATTTTTCGTATGCAGTTACAGTACTGTACTTCCAGTATTCGTTTTGTTGCTCTTACAGCTACAGTCTACATGAGTACAGATACCGCGATACGTAGGTTGGTGGTGCTCGTACAACCAGGCTTAATGCGAACGACCCACGGTATTTCCAGTTGATAATCTTTTCTGCTTTGTTCATCTCTAAACTCCGTAGTGTGTAAACCGACGCTAATTGTCTGCGCCCGAAGAGGACGAAGTGGCGGCGCCGACCCGGGCAAAGGAAATCGATAAACAGGCCGTCTGAGCCCGCGTCCACCACCCGCCCGAACTGCAGCGGGCCCTCGTCGCTCCACACATCCACGCAGTCGTAGCGATGGTTCAGCCTGAGCGCATGCTCCCGCGACATTTCCTGCAGCGATGCCAGGCTGATGCGACGGCGCTGCAACCACAACGAGATAATCAGTTCACGCTTCGTCGTCATGCTGAAAACGGGCAATCAATCGTTGCAAGCAAAAAGCAGCTGTGAAGACTGCAGAGTCTGCGAAACACGCATCTACTTGCGAAGCTGAACTTCCCTGCTGTCAGGGTGCTACTACTTTGTTACACAGCCTACACTGCTACTTATCCATATTCTTTCTTAGCATTTACAGAAGGGACAACCGAACCAACACGGAAGAAAGGGAAGAAAACGCTGCCAGCGAGACGGCGCTGTGCGACGTCAGTGCCAATTCTGCGGACTGCGCAGCACTGCGCTCACGTACCTTTCCACAATCCATTGTGCGGTGAGCGAGAAAAGATCGAAATTCAGTAACCTAAGCAATCAAGTCCAGGTTAAAGCGCAGTTAGTCGGGAGGAATATCGTGCAGAGATAAAGATGAGCAAACAAAGCTACCCGAAAAACTCGAAAGCGGAAAGAAAATGGTGAGCCTGACAAATGAGCAAGCGAGAAAAAACTGATGGACAATTTCCAGCGCAAAATTCAAATGGACAGTTTGTAGTGTCGATGAGCTTGTGGGAAGCTGGCTTGGCCGAAAATGGTGAGTCGATTGTCGTAACTCTTCCGCATTCTACAGTAGTTTATTGCTGCATCGCTCGTTGAATCGGCCAGACTGACATAATATATAATTATTACGTCGGCGCCGGCCAGACTGACATAATATATAATTATTACGTTCCTTGTTCCCAAATCAAGACCGTGAGCTTCCATGCTATTCACTGCCGGGGTCAAACTTGTGTGTTCCATGCCACATACGGCTAATGCAACCGAATAATCGTGATTGCAGATTTACAGATTCCCGACAAGAGGGAAGACTGGCAACTTGGCGCGTTCAGCCGTGCCTGCATGCACAAACGTTACAGGAGAAACATCCCGATGTATGCCACTGGCAACTCCCACCCAAACTGGAGATTCCGGTCTTTGGGTCTATGTCAGCGCGGGTCCTGGGTGCTCGTCCAAGAGCGGCACTTGTTCACGCACTTGGGCGTTCCGATTGTACGGCGGGCGCAGGGGAGAGGGGACGTGACCTTTCGCACACTTTATCTTCCGTGTCGAATAGGTCATGTTCCGGTTGCGGTGTCGTTTCCGTTTCGTACATGCTGCAAGTATAGGTGTCCATGGTAAAGGACTGTCCCAAGCGTAAAGCTATTTGTGGTTTAGGGTGTGAATTCGGAGCAAACGACGACAGAAACGGCTCTGCTAGTGCTGAAATATCGATCTTACTCGGTAACTGGTTGAAATAAAACGTCATGATAATTTACACACATTGTTGGTTTCCACCACATCACGGTATCACTACTGTCCGTACAAACTGTAAGAATTGGCATGGCACATGCACTTTTATTGTGGCAGCAGATCTAAATTTCGTTTTGTCTAAATTGTTTTGACTGATACTGGCTACATCACTTAGTGTGTATTCTGCACGTGTTGCAAATATTGTTAATGTCGTCATTCTTTTTAATTAGCGTATTCCACAGTAGCCCTACGATATCTTTGCGTATCCTCCATGTATCTCGTTATTACGTGTTCTTAGTGTTCATAGGTTTTCTAGGTTTTTAACGGGGTTCATGTGGGATACATACAGGATACTGCAGAGATACGGAGGGATACGGCAACAATCGAGCAGAAGTTAAAAATTGTTAGGATCCACGAGGGATACGTAGAAAATACCGTGGGATACGGCGGGACACTGTGGGATACTGTGGGTACAACCGTACAAGCAAAAAAAACATGTCTCGAAAAATTAAACGTGTACGAAATGGTCCATATCTACGCTATGAAGAGTGGGTTCTGCTTGATATGCTATGCCAAAAATGCTCAGTCAAGTACGTAGTAGGAAATGCTCCTGATCCAATATGATGCCCCAGCCTCCGCTGCCTTCTCGACGCGTCGTCGTGACGTAGCCTTTGAACTATATAAACGAGCGCCGACGCCCACGGAAGGGTGACCCAGCGCTGCCGACAGTCTCGCTGGAGTTAATCCACGGGCCATAGTGTCGCGTGCGACCATTTGCGATTCGCTCCACACCTCTCCGCGAAGTCCAGCCGCTGAAGGTGGCGCTGCGAGCCTGCGAGGGGAAAGATTAGTCGCCTACAAGCGAATTCGCTCGGGTAGCAGCCGATTTCGAGGTTGTGCACAAGCGACCAGATAATTAGCCCCAATAAATCGCCCGCCTTTACGAAATTTCTCGGCACCGCCCATGGGTGACAGTTTGTGCAAGGTATTCTTGGCGCGCGCCGCCAGCCTTTACTCTTCCACTTGCAGAATTGGCAGTATCAACGGTAGTGATTTTTCGTATGCAGTTACAGTACTGTACTTCCAGTATTCGTTTTGTTGCTCTTACAGCTACAGTCTACATGAGTACAGATACCGCGATACGTAGGTTGGTGGTGCTCGTACAACCAGGCTTAATACGAACGACCCACGGTATTTCCAGTTGATAATCTTTTCTGCTTTGTTCATCTCTAAACTCCGTAGTGTGTAAACCGACGCTAATTGTCTGCACATCACCTGATCATCACAACACCGGCAGGAAAACGCATATGCGTGATAACATGGCAAAAAAATGCCAATAAAAAACTCTGTAAACCAAACCACAGAAAACCCGCTACAGACCAGCGCCGGCTGAAAAAAAAACCAAAAACCGTCACAGACACGGCGCAAACCAGGGAAACAGGTAGAAATTAAGCCGTTCCGGAGCGACAGACGCGCGTCTGCAGGAGGGTCAAGTCCGCCCCCTCCTCCCAGTCCTCCTCCCAGTCGCATGGGCGCATTTCCCATTGCTCGGCGCCCTGCACGAGGCAGGCCAGCACCAGCGGCGCAGCCCGCTCCACGTCCGCATCCAGCAGGGCCCGACTGCATTGCGCGGGGCCAGCACCCGTCGGGGGACCGGCGCTGAGCAGCGCATGCTGCAGCGCACACACAGTCTGCAAGCAACACACCCTCAACACACCCACCTTAACACATCCACGGCTGTTCTTGTTGTGCATTGGTTATTCCTAGTTTCCCTCAGTTAACTGTATGCTTTTCTTGTGGTTTTCGTATGTGGTCTATGCTGAGAAATACTAATTTCCTAAGTAAAACGACGAAAATCAACTCACTTGGCACACCACCAGCAGCAGCTCATCTTGGCCCGGCGACACCTGGTTGGCTCTCAATTCCACCAGCCAGTCCGCGGCGCGCTGCTTATCATCCGCAGCGGGCGTCCACGCCAGATGCGCCCGCAGAAGCTCCCACACCTGCCCCAACGACACCGCGCTCGGAGGCTGCAGATGCGCCACGGGAATGTCAATGCGGGTGTCCATCTCGCAATCCAACGGGCCCGGGTCGCCATCGTCACCGTCCACGTCCAGCAGGTTGACGCGACACTGCAGCAGCGAAACTTCCCCGCACGGCAGTCGGCGAAGCGCCTCCGCAAAGTCCCCCACCGTGCGACCGCTGTTACGCTCCGTCCGGTGCGGACAGGGGTCGACGCAGAGCCGGCACTTCAGACGGTGGACGTAGACGGTGGACGCACGGATCCCCCGGCAGTATGAGGCCACTATGGACAGATTGTGCAGGCTCTCCAGATTGGCGTTGCGGAGGATGACGCGGCGGGTGGAGGGGCGGAGAGCGTGGACGAGGCTGGCCAGGAGGATGCCGTCGGCGCGTCCGTTCAGGACGAGGTCGGAGTCCAGGGGGGGCCGACTGCAGGACGGAGTCCCAGAGGGCGCACACCGGGCGCAGACGCGTCTGTTCCGCCGTGTCCAGATGGGAGAAGACCTCCGACAACAATTCCACCGGCAGCTGCTGCAGCCCCTCGCCAGCGGAGGCCTCCACGGCTACGGGCAAGTCCAGCAGGCGGAGCATCCGCGGCAGCGCTAACTGCAGTTGCGGCGCAGTCTCCCAGGCACTCTGCACACCGAGTCGCTTATATCCTGTGCAGGGTTGTCATCAAAAGCCTACCCGTCCCACTCACCTTAATCCTACAATTATACTACGACCTTGGGCGCTCCACGTACAACCACGTGCCGCCCTCATCCAGCCGACGCAGTAACCGAAACGGTGGCCGCCCAAAAGGGGAACGGCTCAGCCAGGCCTCCATCAAACAGCGCTGCGTCTCCTCCGATACAGCGGTACACGCCGCCGGCAACTGCAGCCGGCCGAAGACGAACGACTCCGGACCGACCAAGAGATCGAAGCAACTATCCCGTAGATCGACGTAACTCATTAACCAGCGCCCTTGGCCGTAATAGCGCCGTAAATCCTCTTTCCCGGGGGGGTCGGCCGTTCGCAGCAGCCGCCAGAACGCTGCTACCGCTGCCGCGGACCGCATCCTCGCCGGCGTCGCGGATCCGGGAAAAGGGGACGACCTGCAAAGGCCCTGTCGCCCGGCCGGCGGCGTCGCACAGCCGCACTAATCCGGCGTTCGTTCGTCGCCAGTCGCGCCTGGCCGTCACCACCAGCCTCGCCCCCCGCCAGGTCCAAGCTTCGTGGGGATGACAGCGCCAGAGCACCTCCACCGGCCACGTCGCGTGGGCGCGCATCCAATCTGGCACCATGCCATTCCCCCGCACCCGGAAGACGCGCCCGAAGGGGACGAAGTGGCGGCGCCGACCCGGGCAAAGGAAATCGATAAACAGGCCGTCTGAGCCCGCGTCCACCACCCGCCCGAACTGCAGCGGGCCCTCGTCGCTCCACACATCCACGCAGTCGTAGCGATGGTTCAGCCTGAGCGCATGCTCCCGCGACATTTCCTGCAGCGATGCCAGGCTGATGCGACGGCACTGCAACCACAACGAGATAATCAGTTCACGCTTCGTCGTCATGCTGAAAACGGGCAATCAATCGTTGCAAGCAAAAAGCAGCTGTGAAGACTGCAGAGTCTGCGAAACACGCATTACTTGCGAAGCTGAACTTCCCTGCTGTCAGGGTGCTACTACTTTGTTACACAGCCTACACTGCTACTTATCCATATTCTTTCTTAGCATTTACAGAAGGGACAACCGAACCAACACGGAAGAAAGGGAAGAAAACGCTGCCAGCGAGACGGCGCTGTGCGACGTCAGTGCCAATTCTGCGGACTGCGCAGCACTGCGCTCACGTACCTTTCCACAATCCATTGTGCGGTGAGCGAGAAAAGATCGAAATCCAGTAACCTAAGCAATCAAGTCCAGGTTAAAGCGCAGTTAGTCGGGAGGAATATCGTGCAGAGATAAAGATGAGCAAACAAAGCTACCCGAAAAACTCGAAAGCGGAAAGAAAATGGTGAGCCTGACAAATGAGCAAGCGAGAAAAAACTGATGGACAATTTCCAGCGCAAAATTCAAATGGACAGTTTGTAGTGTCGATGAGCTTGTGGGAAGCTGGCTTGGCCGAAAATGGTGAGTCGATTGTCGTAACTCTTCCGCATTCTACAGTAGTTTATTGCTGCATCGCTCTTTGAATCGCTAGATAATCGAGCTGCCACCTAGTAGCGGTCGGCTGTGTCGCCGGTACCAGTACCAATCGGCAGTTGCCATACTCGTACATACAATTTGTAATAATTATTAATTTTGATACTTAATTTAGCGAATGTTGGCTCTAACCGAAAACTGGGAATCCAGTTGGTTCGATTCGCTAAAAGAATAGGTTAACGCCTTTGTTAATCTTAAAGTAAAAGCTTTTTCTTCTGCCACTTTTCGTTTCGAACAGTGATTAATTACTAAATAAATCGAAAAAATGTGGATTAGAATTTAGAAAAATCGCCAATGAAAGCCAGAGTGTAGCGACAGGGAATTCGTTGCGTGCGACTAATTAACAGCGGGAGTAGAAATAAACAATAATCGGGGAATTCACAAGACTGCTGAAGAAGCGTTCAAGCGCGGAATTGAAAGGGGCTGAGATCCGGGAAGAGCGGGGACTGGCGTCCGCGGACGGTTGGCCAGCGGTTTAGTCCGCCAAATGGGCGCTGCTCTCGGCCAGTTTGTAGAAGATGCCGTCCTTGACGATGGCCGTCAGCTTCTCGCCGAACAGGCCTTTGTACCTGCGCAAAACATACTTCAACTATTTTCTGGTTTCTATTAATTTCAATGGAATTTTCACATTTCTTTCCAAAATTTACTGCGTTGTAACTTGTACATGATTTTTTATAACAGTATTTACGATGCAATTTTATTCGCTTACTGCGTGTTGTTAGATGAATTTTGTCAGATTATTTATAATTCGGTCTATTAACTTATTTTATATTTTCAATAATTTTACTGCACTTGATTTCTGACATAATAAATGTGTGATAAGCAATTGAATACTGCGTTAAAATTCTAACTTTGGAGCAGTGTACCAGCGCCGGCCACTCTTGTTTTAACTGAGTGGCTGTTGCCAATAAAGAAAATCATATAATATGGCTGCTAGCCAATGAGAAGAAGCGGCGCGTGAGTCTTACAGGTTGCGGATGATGGAGGGGCGGGGCTTGCTGCGACTGCGACTGCGGCGGCGGCGTCCCGGGAAGAGTTTGTCGTCGGGCTCGCGGTTGATGGGGCCCTGCACGGCGGCCTCCTCGTCGTCCGTCTGGCTAGCCACACTCTCCGCCTCCGTCGACGCCAACGCGCTCGACTCCGCCTCGTCGGCCACGCTGGTCGCCGCCGTGCCGGTGCTGCCTGACGCCGGATTCCTGCAATTTTATTTTTCTTTGCATTTCAACTCTTCAAGTCAACCGTTTAACTCTTTTATTTGAATTAATTATTAGCGCTTAATTTTTAATTTTTAACTTTAAGTCTTCATAATTGTTTAACCTATCATTTTTCTTTTATATAATTATTTTGTTAAAATATTCATCTTTGATTTCAAATATTTTGGTCTTCGGTTTTTATAATTTTAATGTTTTCTTCATAATTCACTTTCCGATATCCCCTTTTTTCGCTCTTTAATTTCTTTAAATTATAATATTTTATTTTAATATTTTTTACCATAAAATTTAAAAATTGAAAGCTTACTCGTAACGCCACGGCTGGAGATGGGCGTCCAGGGCGGCGCGCGGCGTCTTCCCGGCGGCCAGCTCATCCTGGAGCTCCATGACCTTTGCTTTGAGGTGGTTCCGTTCATTCAGCATCCGGCGCAGCTCGTTCAGCGTGAACCGCGGCACATCTCCGTCATCCACCGCCCCACCCACCTCCCGCTCGCTCTGCACCAGCCGCAACGGCTCCCGGGTTTCCGGGACCTCTGGGACCTCCTCCGGGGACACTAGTGGCGTCCCGGCCTTCTCAAACAACGCCTGCAGATTAGCTTCCTCCTTGGCCACCGCCGGGACATTGGCCGGGATCCCCGCCGTCCGCAGGCGGGCCTCCAAGTCCACCGTGGTCAGGAGACTCTGCCGCAGGAGCCCCGTCAGCGCGTTGCGCTCCTCCATTAGCTTGCGCGCCTGTTTGTGTAGGGTGTTGTGGCGCTGCTTGCTGTTGACGAGCGCGGTGCGTTCCCGCTGGAGGTCGGCGCGGAGGGTCGCCGCTTCGGTCTCGCGGTCCTGGAGGTGGGCGGCCGTCTCCCGGAGGTCCTCTTTGACCTTGGCAAGGCTGTCCTTTAGCTGCTGAATCAGGGTGGAGGTGTCCCCGGGGGCTGGGGCCGGGGTGGAGGTGGTCAGAGTGAGGTAGCCGAAAGGGCGGTCCACTTCCAGGGGCGTGTCCGGGGCGGCGGCGGAGGTGGTGCGGAGGGCGCTGCGGAGCTTGTCGTTCTCGCTGGTCAGGTCGAGGACGGCCGTTTCCAGCCGCTTGGTTTCGTCGCGGTACTCCCGCTCAAGCTCCTCCATTTCCTGTTGACAAAATTAATTAGTTACTGAGAAGTAAAATAAATCTAACGGATTACCAAAATCAAATAAAATCAAATGATCATTAATTACTTAATGGCTTAAAAAAAATTAAATTGCCATAAATTGAATGGCTAATTGCTGTTCCGATTTAAAATTAACTGGAAATTCAATTAACTTTTTTATTTTATTATTTGTATTTAAACTGATTGCAGTTTCTTGCTTGAATTTGCTGGTTACGCAAGCGGATACGAAAGGTCGCGCGGCGCCCACGGCGACACGGGCGTTTGGCATTTCTCATGAAAAATTAAAACTGCCAATTACGCGGAGTGGGTGGTTTCGCCGGTAAACAACGGTATTGTGTGGCGCGGTTAATTAAGGCAGAGTGACCGCCGGCAGCGCCACACCACTCCGCCTAATCAATCTTCAACAAAACAATCACAAAACAACGCATTCTTGGCAGCCGCGCGTTTTCAATTCAAAAAATTAAAATAATTGTAAATGATACTGTAGTAAAATTTTAAAGAGTTCCAATTTTTCGTAACTCCCGTCTCCTAAAATTTGTGAAGTAAAATTAGTAAATGCAATTAAGCATATAAATAAAAAAAAATAAAAATATAAAGCATAAATATGACGCAGATAAATAAAAAAATTCGTGGACATAGATACATGATTCCAGAACAGGACATATACCTATGTCCACGAATAGGTATATGATGATAAAATAAAAGAAAAATAAAAAAAATCCGAAATATAGCTGCAAAAAATATTCCCTGCACCGGAAACCAGCGGCCCGCCGCGGCGGTGACCTTTGGGCGTGGTCCTTAGTGACCCTTACTGCGTGGTGCTTGTCAGAAAAATAATATAAACCGGATCAAAAATATAAAAATTCGAAAGATAATTCCAAAAAAATATTCCTTGTCCAGAAATCACCGGCCGGCCGCGGCCGTGACCTTTAGGCGTTAATTTACCGCATGGTGTTTGTCGCGAATGCTGCGCTTCTCCTGCTGGTGCAGCTCGACGGTGTGCAGCGCCGCCTGCAGGCGCTGCTGCGTCGCCCGCGCCGTCTCGCGGTCGCCGCTGCCGGCCAGCTGCTCCAGCTGCTCCAGGGCGGCGCAGACCTTGGGCACCAGCTTGGTGATGCTGTCGCGGCCGAACTGCTGCGCCAGGTGTTCGAGATCCGCGCCGATCTCGCTGGCCGCCTCGTACACGTCCACCACGCTCAACTGCAGCGCCGGCGTCGCGCCGCCGGCACTGCCGCTGACGCTGCCGCTCCACGCGGCTTCTTCCATCTCCGCCGACAGGGACAGGGATTTCGCCGACGCCGTCATCGTCATGCCGCTCCCTACCATCGCATCGTCAAGAACAATCTGATCTTAATCACAACACAAATTTTTTGGAAATTGTTTTGATGCTCAGTTCGGTTTTGAAAATTTTGCCAGTAATACAGTAAATATCACGAATAAATAAATGGCTCCGCAAATTACGACTGTAAAAATTCCAGGAAAACTAAACGTCTCGGCAGTTGTGCCAGGGTAGTAATTCCGGAATAATTCTTAAAAAATGCCGGTTATGTGGTAGCGTGTACGACGAAAATGTTCAATGTTTAGCTTTGCAACACTGAAATATTATATAAATTTGCCGGTAAATCCACGAAAATATAAATTCCGCAGTTGATGGATGTGGTAATTCCAGAAAAACGTCGTTGACAATTTATAGGCTGATTAATTCCACAAAAATTCCGACAAATCGACGAACAAAGAAATTATACTAAAAATTTTTGACAGAATAATTCCAGAATAAATGAATTCCTTCACAATTTGTTGGCGAAATTATTCCAGAATAATCTCACAAAAATGCCGGTTTAATCAGCGAATATAGGACAGCGCGAGGAAACGCCAGACGCATCAACCGATGCGCGCATTCAACACAAACAGCGATTACAGCCAGACAGCGCGATAAATCAGCGATTAACTTCCGCGTGCACTTAATTTAATTACGAGCGATAGTGCCGACAACAGCGACAGCAGAATCAGTCCTTTATCGGCGCGTAATAGCAGAGAAATTCCGGCGTTATCGTGGTTATATGCGCACCTGACAATTCGCAATATAACGCTCAGGTATTGTTGCTATCGAGTGGAAGACAGTAAAATCGAGAGAGAAAATTGTTCAACCCCCGCGGCAAATAAATATACTAATAATTCAGCGAAAAAGACGCGGTCTGCAATGGGCTTCCGGCTTGAACGCGGCGCTGACGAACAAGTGCGCGGAAAAAACGCCGCGGGACACCGCCGACTCAACCAACGTCCGCGGGCGCATAAACACCGAATAGAACGTCAACCAGTCCGATCCGATCCGCCCGGGCGCAGGATAACAACAAAATAAATAAAAATATTCGTCAAGTCAACAGGCCGCCGATGACGCCAGATCCGCGTGCGCTGTTATTTTATTTCACTACACCGGGAAAATAAATCAGCGATGAATGTACATGTACGACGAGCGGAAACGACGGGGTAATGAATGATGTGTACAGCGTGTTTCACATGATATATAATAAAACTGATAAACGGCAATATTGTGTGCCGCATCCTGTTAACATTCGCCACTTTTCCGCCACGGCTCAGCTGCTGCATATATAACATCGTGTATATACGCTGGTTACTGGTTAGTGTTGCACAGTAGTCGACTGCCGAGCGGACCAAGTATTGATCGATGGCGACTCGGTGCAGCAGATGTGCGCCGTGCCGTCATAATCATCCCTCCGTCGAATTAATCGCTCGCTACTCCGATCCAGCGCTCCCGTTGCATTCCCTTCCCGGCATTTGCATTGGCAGGCAGCGCTTTATTTAATCATAATGACGACTGAATAATCCATCCATCCCTCGATCCACTGGCAGTACTGCTCATTTCCGGCCTGGATTCAGCCGACGCAGCCAGGGTCAACTGCGCCCGCTTCCTCCCGCCGACGTCACCCCTGTCGCCTTAATCACCACACCCCTGCACGTGACCTTTACACTACGTTACTCTCTTATTCAATTTTATTTCCATCAATTTCCGCGGGCATTTCTACAGCAGGCAACAACTAGTAAAAATACAAGCACATATAAATTAAAAAAGATGGATTAAAAACACAACAGAAGCAGGGTGGTGTGACTGGATAAAAGCATCTATCAAAAACAGCAGCAGCGCGAAGAGAACGGGCATCAGGCGAACGGACTAAAAAATTAACTCAAACATTCGTTAATTAAACGGGCACAACGCCACACGGGCCAGACAGGGAAACGCATAGAAGAACTATTTCAAAAACAAGGATAAAAACGCGGATGAAAGGCAGGGCGAGCAGTGCCCCTCGGGAGGCGGCGGGGAAGGGTGGGGGCAGGCGGGCGCCGCAGGAAGAGACGGCGCTCCCTGCCTTATCACAGACTGGCACAACGCGGCGTCCTGCCCGCGTTCTCGGTCCGGGTGTCTCTGTCTCTAGAGAAGGGCCGCGGCGGCGAAATACAGCTGCACTAATACTTGCATGTGCTGCGGCAGACACGAGCGCCGGTCGCGGCTGCCCGGCTCCAGCACCAGCCACGACAGGTTGTTGTAGCTCTCCAGCACGTACCTGCACGCCAACACACATTTTTCTTAGTCATCGGCTACTTTTAACAACTAATTCCGCAATTAATTAATTCTGACCATTTATTTATTAGGGAGGCAGTTGCATGGGCATGGAAAATCGCACTATATTACGAATTATTACTACATCCTACATGCAATTAAATCAATTTTGCCAATTTTTTTAGCTGATTTATTGAAGAGATATTCGCAAAAAAATCGCTTTATATGCAAATTTATCTCCATCTACAACTCGATTTTTTTCCCGAATTATTGGCTGATTTATTAGAGAGATACGTAGAATATTCACACTACTAGTACTTTCTTTTCAGCTAAAAACTGGAATTTCTCCTTCTGGATTTACCAGAAGGATACTCTCAAAAAACTGATTTTTTTCCTAATTTCTGGCTGTTTTTTATACAGAAACAGTTTGCACTCACTTGAGGACATCGACGGTGAGGTTGGAGTCGAGAGGATGGGCGTGGCGCGAGTGGTGGGCGGAGTGGTAGACGTCGTCGCCCTGCAGCACGTTGGCGCTGTGGATGTGCAGCGCCGACTGCAAAATAATACGAAAAATTAACATGATAACTGGAGAAACTGTATAAAAATGTAAATCAATTAAACAGAAATTAACAGAACATTTAGAATAAACTCCACACAACAAATGGGAACGCACCATGAGGACGACCGGGCAGGAGGTCTCGTCCAGGTGGTCGTGCGCCGCAAAGAACCACCGCGGCACCGGTCCGGTGGGCGCCGTGCTGACCAGATAGCCCACGGCCAGCGGCTGTTGCAGCAGCTGCCCCGGCTCATCCAGCGCCTCCATCATCCCGCCGCGGTGCAGCATCATCCCGCCGCCCTCCTTCAGCAGCAGCGGCGAGTGGCCCGCCCGCTCCACCGGGCGGGGACTGGTGGCGGGGGAGTTGCCGAAGTTGAAGAGATCCTTGAAGAGGTCCAGCTCGTCGCCCTGGTTGCCCTCGTCCCCCACCGGGAACTCGTCCGTCCCCAGGTGCCCGAACAGGTCCAGCTCATCACCCCCCAGGGTGGGCTCCTCGGCGTGGCCGGCGGTCAAGGATTGCGCTTGGGCGGTGGCGGAGGTGGGGAAGACGTACAGGTGGCTGCAGCTGGCGTCCTCGGGGCTGGAGAGAGGGCACAGGGACGCCGCGGTGGGGAGGCGGTCGTCGTGGGTGTAGGTGTCGGGCATGACGCGCAGGGAGGCCTCGGGTTGGAGGCTGACGAGGCAGGCGCTGAGGATGTTGGGCATCTCCTGGTTGGAGGCCAGCTTGCACTGGCCGCACATCTGCTTCAGCTGCTGGCCGGCGCGTGACAACGACTTCTTGCTCAACAGACTCGACCAACCTGCCGCACAAAATGTAAGAATAAATTGCCGCAAACATGCAAGTAAAAACCAATTATTTACATATATGCTTCAATTCTACAAAAAATTAAATTTTGATTTTAAAACATGAGTTATCAAAACAGAATACCTATCCACATTAATTTAAAAAAATCTACATAAAATCAGAATTAATTCGAGAGAAATTTAAAAATGCAATTAACACCGATATCGGTTCATTTGGGAGCAAATGAAACATGCAAAATAAAAGCAGCACTACATTATACATAAAAATGCAAAACATTTAAGTAAAACTTTAACTGTATTAAAACACAATAAAAACGTGCACATCAAAGAAAATCTGCTAAATTAAAACATAAATAATGACCCAAGAATTCATTTTGAAACTCTACCGTTGAAGGAAACTAGAAACCGATTCAACATGCAAGTACACATGAAAATTAACCGGAGAGAATTTGTTTCCCACGGAGATGCTAACACATACGAGATGCTAACACATGCTAACTCGTATCTAGCTAGCTGACTGACCTTTCAGTTCGCCGTGGCCCAGCCGGCCCATGCGGCCGATGACGATGCGGCAGGGATGCGTCAGTTGCGCCACGACGCCCAGAATGAAATCCCACAGGCGCACGAGGGAGTAGCGGATGACGCTCCAGCCTTTCTGGCGCGCCCTGCAACACAATTCCCATTCAAAAACCAACAGAAAAAATAATACCAATAACTAAAAACAATAATAAATTAAATAGTACAAATAAAACATAAAATAAACTGCGTACACGTCGTTGGCCCAGACGTTCATGATCTGCGTCTCGAGGAGTTCCCCGCGGTCGTCGGTGCACGACACCACCAGCCAGCGCTGGTCCTCGGTGACGCAGTAGGCGAAGAACAACGCCTGGCTCTTCTCCTTGCCCTCCCCGCCCACCGTCTCCCCCTTCTCCCGCCGCCCCAGCAACACGTACGGCGGCGTGTACACCGTGGCGCAGCCGGCGCCGCGCTCCTCCATCCACTTCTTGAACGCCGTCGCCGGCCCGAATCCCGTCAGCATCTTAGCCGGGACACTGGGCTGCAGTTTCCTCCACCCTTGGGCGTACACACTCAACGCCAACGCCCGCAAATAATCCCCGTCGCCGTTGCGCTCCATCACGTCCTTCAGGGGGATCAGCTGCAGGACCACCGACTCGCGGAGGGTGTCGGGCAGGTTGCGGCACAGCTCCTGGTAGGCGCGGAGGAGGCCGACGCAGGCCAGCCGGTGGAGGGGCTCCAGACGGTGGGCGGTGCCGTAGGAGAAGGGGTCCAGCAGGTAGATGACGATGACGGGGTGCGGGTCGTCGCGCTCGGGGTAGCCGGGGTCGAAGGGGTACTTGGGCAGCTCCTGGATCAGCACGTGCGTGCACACGCCCGCCAGCTGCGCCGCCGACGCCTCCACGCCGGGCGCCGAGGTGTCGGAGGCCGGGCCCTCGGCGAAGATTTTGGGCGGGGGCGGCAGCGGGGGCCGGAACAACTGGGCGATGTTCTTGTCGTCGTGCTGGCGCTGGATGTGCGGCGCTGTACATACAACTTGTATAATTCACTTTCTACTTAATTGCTGATTAATTTCTAATTAATTTTAATTTGATTGTCAAGGAATTCTACCAGATCAACTGCAATAACTCCTCATTTTATCTGAATTCATTTACTTTATCAAATTATAAAAATCCCCAAAAAATCAACCTATTCAATTTCGACCGCAATTCTACTGGCTATAATTTTTTAGTACTCTGTACAGGACTAAAATTAATCCATTACCATTACATACAATTTAATACAAGGTTATGTATGTTTGCAAAAATGAACATTTCCAAAAAAATTACAATTCGGTTACAACAAGGTTGAGCGGCAAAAAAGAGGAGATAATTCTTTGGATAACGGTTAACGCACCCAGGCCGCGGCAGGTGGAGGCGTAGAGGCGCAGCCGCGAGGTCAGCGGGGAGTCGCCGATGTAGCGGAACCAGTCGTCCAGGTTGTCGATGGAGGGCTGGCGGTCGGGGGGCCGGCACACCTGCCAGATGCCGTCCTGCAGTTTCGGCATCGGCATGTGCCGTCCGTGGCCACATTGCTGCGCACAGTAGTCAATGTTACAAAACAGAAAAACAGCATCACAAGCAAGGAAATTCAATTTCTGCCTTAATTCTGGCTAACAATTCCATTTAATTTCAGACTAATCAATTCAATTAATTTCCTTAATATCATCATATTCCCCATTTCCATATTGATCTTATGTTTCTGTAATCGCTCCTGTATATTGCACGGTTGTACATCCCGTTAACTGAACAAGCGGGAAGTACTCTTAATTAACGATAATATTACTCGTATATAACTGCGAATTTTTTCGGTCAATCTGAACATCTTTCGAGCAGAACTACTCAATCTATTTTTCAATTTTATTTAAGTACGCAGAACCGTCGGTAAGAAAAACAGACGCTGACGTAAAGAAAACTCTTATGTAGTCCGAAATAATTTATGCATTTTGCATCTAGTTATGATGAATACCTACGAAATTTCATTTATTTCGCACGTACGTAATTACATACAGAAACCATTCTAGCCGTGTGCACGGCTGCGTATGCGTAGTGCGTACCTCGTAGGATTTGGACAGATCGCGGAAGAAATTCTTGACCGCCCCGCGCACATAATCCCCCTCGGGCGTCACGACGGCGTAGACTACGTCCTTCTTGCCGCCGAAGGGCTCCAGCCCCATGACCTCCCAGTGGCCCCACACCGAGGGCGCGCACAGCACGCGCTCCTTCTCCAGGCCCATCAACCAGGCCGGGACGGCCAGCGGCTCCTTCTGCTCCTCCATCACCTCCTTGTCGGCGAAGCGCAAGAAGTCCTTCCAGGTCAGCGGGCCCTCCACGGTGAAGACCTTGTCCCACAGGCGCGTCTGTCGGCGCACCTGCACGGCCTCCTGCAGGATGGGCTGCAGGGTGCGGTGGGCGCGCATGGCCTCGGCGTGGCTGTGCACGTTGTGGCACAGGCGGAACCAGGGGTGCAGCGGCGGACTGGGCGGCAGGGCGCCCGCCACGACGCCGGGACCGCGCCGGCACATGGACAGCACCACGGCGCACACGCGGTTCATCTCCTCCAGCTGCAGCTGCACGTTAGACTTCGGCAAAATCATCGGCGACATCTAGCGGGATAATTTTTAACTTTTCAAATTATGTTTTAAAGATAATTTTGTATACAGGTTTCCCAATTTATTTCGATTTTTATATATGCATATACATTTTTTCCAATTTTTTTCCAGTTTTTAGAATTTCATTCCGATTTTACTGTTATGTAAACCGCCTTCGACATTTTCGGCCAAATCTATCAGACTGATTTTCAGTTCCCTACACTTTCAGTTTTATGTTTTTTGTATAATTTTCTATAATTTTACTTTTCTCTGTCCTATAAGTATATACTTTTCTATACTTTTTATAATTATAATAGTTTTAAAATATAACAGCAGTTAGTTAGTATATTTTCAGTTTTTGTTACAGTATTCATTTGCCATGTGGCATGTTGCCGGTCGTATATCACATGCAAGCGTAGAGCAGTGGTCTGTGGCGTCCATAAATACGTTCTAGTTGCAGACTTAACAAGTGTTTCATGTCAACTGCCTTCGATATATCCGGCGATATTTATAGAAATAATTTTTAACGTCTGGTATACGGTATACCCGTATAGTTTTGTGAAATACTTTGTACTGAAAAACATGTTTTGTGAAAAAACATCATCATGTATGTACAGAGTACGTACTTCCTGGTTTATATGCAGATTTTAAATCTTTCTAGTCGATATTTTGTTCTGCCATTTGCACATGAACCACCATCGACATTATCGGCGCGAAATGTACCTGGTGCTGCTGCTGGTTAATGGGCACGGGCGCGGTGAAGAAGCCCGGGTGCAGGTTGCTCATGGTCAAGAAGGGATTGCTCATCTGGTGTTTCAGCAGGGACGCCGTGGCGGCGGACAAGCGATTGACGACGCGCTTCTGCTCCGGATTCAAGCTGACCTCCAGGAATTCGCTCAGCGCCGGCTTCCGCCGCGCCACCATGTTCTCCGCGATCCCCGTGATGTCCAGCTCGTCCTCCGCGAACAGGCCCGCGCCGTAGGACAACCTCCGGTTCATCACGGCGCTGAAGCCGCAACTGCACTTGAACGCCGGCTCTTCGGCGCCTACAAGCAAATTCGAAATCACCATTTTGAACAGTCCAAATCCACATTTCATGCACATACTGTACTGCTTTAATTAATTATTCATATTTCATTTGATTTCTTCGGTTATGACAGAAAAAAATCAGTTTTTATTTTTAAATATTTGCAAAATAAAATGTAAAATAAAATTCATTCTTCTTTAATTTTCTTTTGTTTATATAAACTGTCGATTTAAATTCTTACCTAACAGCATCGTCCCGTCGCTGCGCACCGTCATATTGCATACACACAGCGGACAGGCGGCGAAATTCTTATCGACGAACAGATTCATCAGCGTATCGCCCATCAGCACGTTGAAGAGCAGTGCCTGGATCTCCGGGAGCTGCAGCGCCTGGCTGTTGGGCGACTGCAGGGGGAAGGGCATGCGCGGGGGGTACACGGGGGGCCGGAACTCGGGCGGACTGAACACCGGCATCCGCGGCGACTTGACGCTGCCGCTGTTCTTGGCGCCGCTGCGTTTCGACGGAGTCGGCGCCGGCGGCGGCACCGGGCGCACCGTGTGCTGGAAGCGCGGCCCGAAGCGCCACACCGGCTCGTAGGCCAGCCGTTCCACACTGCTGGCCAGCGCCACCGGGAACAGCGCGCTGGGGAAGTCGCGGATCACGGAGTAGCGCGCCGCCGACACGTTGTGCGCCGGCGGGAGCTGCAGGTCCAACACGGGCTTCTTCTCCACCGGCGCGATGCTGAGCACCGCCGGGGTGTCTTCCGGGACGTCCGGGTGACCCGGGAGCTCCAGCGGGGAACTGATGGGGTGGGTCTCCAATGACGGAGGTGTCGGGAACATCTTGGACCACTCCACCGTGGCGGGTTTGGGCGCGGTGCGTTCGACGGTCTCCTTCGGGACCGTCTCCGATAAAACGGTCGTATTCGACACCACCGTGTCTTCATCGATGGTCTTGGGCGTCGGGTCGACGTTCTCCTTGGGAGGAGGTCCATCTCCGAGAGGAGATTGTGGAGTTTGCGGCGTTTGGGTCCGATGGGCTCCCAGTCGTCGTTGACGGCGTCGCTCAGCGCGAACCCGTCGCTGTCCTCGTCGGGCAGAGCGAGGCAAGGCCGCTTTAATGGAAGTTGGCGCGCGGGGGAATCGGTGGTCTCGGAAGACAGGCTGCTGCTGTGGAAGGCCACCTGGGGGGTGGGTACTGCTGGGGAAGGCTGCACGGGGGCGGGGGAGGGTTCCGGGAGGGCCGAACGCGGCGCGGCCATGTTGGAGCGCGGAGTCTTGGGGAAGGGGGTGGCCGGAGTGGTCGGCGAGGTGTCGGAGGTGTCCATGGAGGACGCTGGCGAGGAGACGGGAGAAACCTACAGAAAATAATTGACTAACAATAAATCAACGGGAAAATCACCAACTTACAACTACGAAAAAGAATAAGCAGACAATAATGTACAAAATAAATGACAACAGACAAGCAAAAACAATATAATAATATTCTTATATTACACAGTTAAAACGTTGATAACACAACACGCACCTGCACAACACTCCCCAGTTGGCTCTGCGGTGTCGCCGGCATCCGCCCGTAACTGGCCCCGGGCGACAGCATCCCGAAGACATGCCGTCGCGCCGGCGGCACCGAGCCCGGCTGTCTTATCATCCCTCCAGGGATGACCTTTCGCGGTGATCCATTCTCCATTAAAATCCCACCGAGGTGATTGCGTTTGTGGAAACTGCCGGATTTCTGCGCCCGGAAGTGTTCGTTCAGTCCCTGTTGATCGTGACGCGGCTGCTCCTTTGCCTTGATCTTCATGGCCATCAGCCCCAGTCCCTGCGCGTTGTAACTGGACGGGCTGGACACCGGGCTGGTGGCGCGTTGGGAGACGAACTCCGCCGTGTTCCCGGCGCTGCGGCAGGCCTCGCACTCGCAGTGCTTGCGGTCCGCCGGGTCGGCCAGCTCGTTGACGCACAAGGCGGAGACCTTCTCGGTGATGGGCCGGGTCTTGACGAACTCCTCGAAGATCCCTTGCAGCAGCTTCCCGACGCCCTCCTGCTCGAACTTCCCCTTGGCCAACGGGAGACCGCCTAAACCGCACCGACGGGCGCCCATCCGGGGTCTTCTCCGCCCCCGATCCATCGGACTGTTGACCGAGTCGGAGGGCACCAGCACTGGCCACCCGGAGGCGCTCTTCCCCTCGGCGGCGGCCTTCATCACGCGCTCCAGCCGCTCATCATCCACCAGCAGGACAAACGACGACGGATACCACATGCGCGTGCCGCTGACGACGACCTCCACGAAGCAGACGGGCGGCGACGGGGCCCCGCCACGGGAGCCGTTCTTATCGGGGCTGGAGGCGGTGGAGTTCGGGGGGTTGGGGGTGTCGGGCGCGGGGCTGGGGGCGGACACCGCGGGGTTGGGGGAGGGGCCGGGGGTCATGGCGGCGATGGAGGCATCGCGGGGGCTGTAGTGGGCGGAACTGCCGCCGCGGGGGGTCGGCGGCTCGCCGTTGAGGGACAGCGGGGCGGTGGGGAGCTCCAGCGGGAAGTACTGCTTCCAGTGCGCCAGTAAATCCCGCGATTTCTCGCTGGAGATGGTCTTCCCGGTCAGCACCCCGCCGAGCCCGTAGGGACACAGGATCACTGCGAAAGACAAACGGGAAGCACGTCAGACTAATGACAGAGCATTGGGGAATTACACCCGATTAAAAATAGATCAATAACTGTGAGGAAATCTATAAAGAGATGTGTTTCCGGCTGCGAGTGTTGTTAATGCCGGTGTTTAGCGGGCGCATTGATTGCAGCGGCGTATTGATACCTGTGAGTTTGGCGTTGCCGCTGGTCTGCAGCAGCGTGTGGCCAATGTGCGCCTTGGTGAGACGGAGCAGCGGCGGATGCATGCGCACGTCCACCGTAGTGCAGACGGTGCTGTCGCCGTGCAGGAAGAACTCGAAGGCGTACGAGTACCGGAAGCTGCAATCAAATCACACATTTTTCCATCCGCAATCACTGTCTTCAGAATTATTACTGTATCACAATTTTTTACAAAGTGTCTAATTTATTTCTGATCTTCTCCAAGATGGTTATAAGAGCAGCGGAAGCTGTATCTATGTTTCTGCAGTACTTTGCATCGGCAACTGATTTAAAAACTCTTTTCTTATGTGCACAGATTTGGTTAAATCGGTCACATCTGTTGATCTGTAAATCCAGTTTTTAAAACGCATCTAATTATCATCGACGTACCTTCGATCAGAGGCTGGCATGTGCGCTTCCCGCGGCTGGATGAACCAGCGTCCGAGACGCACGTATTTTTGCGACAAAAGACACCTGCGACAAGCAGAGTTATTTCGCTACGCAAAACGCACACTGGTGGAAGAAGATGCGACTCACCGTTCAATGAGAGTGTGCAGCGCGCGGAAGAGCAGGACACGGCACTCGTACACCAGTCCGTTCTCCCAGCTGCCGCTTTCTTCATCTGACAACAAAAGAACACTCTCAATATTATAACAGCGGGAATATCGTTCATTTCTATTCAAATACCATTTAAATGGCACTTTTCATAATATTTATTATAATTCGTAAAGATCTTCTAAAAAACCAAACAGTTCATCAAGATTGCGAGTGCGGGCACAAAATGGCACTTTTTCAACGGGTATGACTCAAAAGGAGTCGTATTTCAGCGTAAATGTCGGCTAATTTATTTAGCATTACTTGAACGGAATAAATTATGTACTGCAGGCGAAAATATTCTGCAATATTATATGCAGCTTGCGAGGAAGAATAAGCCCTGCAGCGAGAATAGAACTGCTCAACTGACCGATGAGTTCGGGCTCGAGGAGCTGCATGAGATCGGGCTCCTCGCCGTACCAGAAGACCCACAGCTTCTTGCTGGCGCCGGCGCTGGAGGCGGCGGCCGCGCTGCCGGCGGCGAAGGGCGGGGGCGCGTGGGGCGCCACGGCGGGGGTGGGGGGCAGGAGGCTGGTGCGCTTCCAGGCGGTCAGCAGGTTGGCGGCCAGGCAGCGCCCGTACGACACCAGCACCGGGTCGGCCAGACTCAGGCCCTCCAGGTCGGCGTCGCGCCCGCAGGCCGACGCGGGGGCCATGCCGCTGCCGGCCAGGCCGAAGCGCTTCCACTGCAGCCCGTGCAGCTCCGTCTGCAACAGCAACACTCACAATGTAAGCACATTTTATACGCATTTTATAACAACGATCTTCCATTACAAATTATTTTATGAAATTATCGAACAGCCTTTACACAGACTAAAATGTTTTCCAACATTTTATTCTTCATATGCTACTCTTCAAATTCAACAGGAACTTCCAATATTTCGCAAGAACTGTTTTTTATATCAATGTTTTAATAACAGATTTATTTTTCACACTTGTCAAAACGACGTTTCAAGACGCTCGGATATTTTTTAACATTTGTGTTATTCACAATTTAATCATCTTTAAGTTTTCAAGCAAGGATTCCAGCAAGAAAGTCTAATTCGTACAAAAGAACTAATTCGTACATTTCCATTTTATAACAACATTATTTCATTTTCAAAACTGCCAATCAGCGCTTTAAAAGGGTAAAATATCTTAAAGAGAGTTTTAAAAGTATTCAAATATTAGTTCCAGGTTGTCAGGCGAGGTCCAGCAATTCAGAAATCGTTTTTTTCGTCTATTATTTTTAAAACTGTCAGGCACCGATTCCGGAGAATCCAGTATTCTTAGGTATTATTTTAGGCAATAATCAATATGATTTTCAAAAACTAATGCTAGAGCGACTCACAAGCGCGAAGACGTTGGTGTGGCAGTTGGTCAAACTAGCCCCGTTGGTGGCCACGGCGGGGCTCGTCATGTTCAGCATCGTTGCAACCACGGGGGTTTTCAAACGGCAGGAAGGACGGGCCTTCCGCGGGACGACTCTAGTCAGCCGCCATCGCTCTACACTGTCCGTCCACACTGCTCAACAGCACTCCAAACGACAGATCATAGCACTCTAATCACGCCAGCCAAATAATAATCTCGCCACTGACGCACTCACACAAACACAATTCCCCGCTAACGAACACTGTCTCGCGGCGACGAAAATCACCCTCCAGGAAGCAGATCAACAAACCCAGGCCAGGAAGGGATCGGGGCTAGATTACACGGTAATCATCATTATCCGCCAATTATCCACTCTTCAACATGTATCAACACAGTCAGGGATTCAGGCCCGATTAATCAACATTATTGCGCTCCACAGCACGTCCCTCGTCAAGCAGCGTTTACGCACGTTACGCTGAGCGGGATGAAGCTAATTTCTTATCCAAGGTACAACGGGATGATTGGAGCGACGGAAAGAAACCCAACACATACATTCATATCGTTATTCGTTGGCTGTGATCGCTCTTCGCTTGTCAGCCTAAGTGCCTCAATTAGCTAAGGGGAAAGAACTGTTTTTACTCTGCGTACACTGCGTACTGCGTGTGTGTGGGAAAGAACTGGGTAGAGAGAGTGTGTGTATGGACGTACGAGTGCGTGCGTACATTCCGAATGGAATACCAGCGTACAAATCGGCTTTGCACTTTACGCTCTCTTTCAACGCTCCAGCAATTCAGCCTGCGTTGCCTTTGCCAGATTAGAGAGCGAGAGAGAGAAATGGTGTTATGCATGCGGGGCCGGCTTTAAATTTGTGTGACCAATCACCTGGCGCGACGCCGCCAGGTGATTGGTGCGTTGGCGGTCTGATAAAATCGGATCACGTTCGAACCGCACGCCTGCTCCATATGCGGATAAACGGTCGCCGACACGAGCTTAAGCGGCCTGCCAATAGGCCCAATACCGCACTGTGCGATATGCCCCCGTTGCGCCGTACCTCACTGCTACCCGCATCATAACCCGGCTGAACTGCACAAGTCGCTGTTGGCAGTTTATTATTTCCCGTTAGACAGTACAGAAATATGGCAGCGTTGCGCTGTACCACTAAAGCTACCGGCATAACCCGGCGGCACAACAAAAATCCCTGTTGACAGAATACTATTTCCCATTACACGGTACAGAGATGTGACCCCATTCGGCCAAAAACAAGAACACGCCATTCAAAAACCCCATTCCTCTGCGACGCTTTAGATCAGTTATCAACAACCATAAGCAACCATTGGAAAAAAAATCATGAAACCTTTCATACCGTGAATTGTACTTGTCCAGCATTATTCGAATTTCGAGCAAAAGAAGGAAAAGAAGAAAGGACTAATAATAGGGATAGACTTCCTCGTCCGAGTCGCCGAGCTCCTCGTGGGCGATGACGCCCAGCGCCTCGGCGGCCATCTTCTCTTCGTCCATGGAGGAGGAGGTGTCGAGGGCGGGCGCCGGCGGGGGACGCGCGGCAGCCGGCGCCGGACGCGTCTTGCGCTGCTGCACCGTGACGATGGGGGCCTTGCGACGGGCCGACGACAGACCGACCAGGCTGGGGATGGGCGGGGGCAGCGCGGCCGGGAGGGGCGGCGGCGGGGCCACCATCGACTGGCCGCGGGTGCGGCGCGGCCCGCCCGCGCGCAGCTGCTGGTCCAGCCGCGACATGCCCGGCTGGGCGGTGGCCGGGCGCTGCACAAACAAACACACAAATAAATCATCATCCTTATTATGAATATTTTCATTTTCCACCCACGTTTATTTCGTTTCAAATGAAATCCGAGACAAAATTATTACGGTACAAATCAAATAATATATGAGAGAGCAAATAAAATGGAAAATATATATGAAAAATAAATATAGTTCACTTTAATTAAACAAACAAACAAATAAACTCACATATTAAAAATAAATAAAATCAGTTGTATGAAGAACAATTTCTAACAAGGAAATAATATTTCTATGACTGTATATTAAACCAATCTTGGTTTTTTTAAATTTTAAATCATTTTAATTAGTGTCCACAGCGCAGACTTAATTTGTTTTATGCATAGGCTATTGCCAAATAAAAACATTCATCTTGGTTTTGTCGGAGCCTACCATTTCCTGTCTGAGATGCGCCAGGAACTCGGTGCGTTTGCCCTGCTTCTTGGCGGTGACGCCGCCGTTGCCGTTGGGCCCGGTGGTGGGCGGCGCCTTGGCCGCTGCGGGCGCCTTGCTGGCCGCAGACGGTCCCGCGGGTTTGGGGCTCTGCGAGCGACCGCCGCCCGTGGCGCGGCCCAGATCCAGGATGGACTTGAAGACCAGCGGCGTGGCCTTCTCCGGCGGCTCCTCGGCGGCGCGGCGGGTGCGCCCCGGTCGGCCGCCGTCCGTCGTCTTGGCGGCGGGACCACCGCGGCCCAAGTGGTAGTCCACTTCCAGGCCCTCGTTCTTGTTGCGGTAGTAGCCCGCCACCAGCGCCGACTCCGCCGTGCTGCGCTTCAGCCGCTTGGCGCGCTGCGGCTGCTCCTTCACCGACTTGAGCGCGTCCTTCGGGATGATGTCCATCGCCGACAATCGGATCGCATCTGCACATTCGTTTCCATACAAAACAATATAATGCAAATAATACATACATAAAAAATACATATCTATATAAAATAATACATACAAAGTAAAATAATACATATAAAATAAAATATATAAAAACAAAATTCATCATACAGATAACATACAAATAATACATATAAAATAAAATATCTGTAATACAGATAACTAACGAGAAATCATCAATGCAATATAAAAGTCAACATAGAAAAAATAATCATAAAAAAGGATAACAATATTTAAAGCATGCGGCAACGTACCATGGCTTACTGTAGTAGACCATAAAAATTGAATAAAAATAACAGTCACCATTTACTCACTAATACCCAGAAACCATAGTTTTTCTATCTACAATAGTAAAAAAATAAAGCATACAGACACTGAACCCATAACGTGACATACAACACCAAAAAACAGCGATAAAATTCATAAAATAATGATAAAACGAAAGCATTTCATAAGAAATAACAATAATAAACAGCTGAAGGATGAATAATTTTAAATTAGGAAAAACGTGATAAATCAAAAAATGGCCGATGGGCCGATAGGCTGCATTATAGAGTATGTACTACAATCTCACTGACACTACACTGTAAGGAAAAGTGCGCAGTTTGACTGCACTGTGAGCGTTGATTGGCTTACCCTGCAGGGAGTACTTGTTGAGATCGTAGTACTTGAAGCAGGGGAAGCAGGCGGACTCGTACTGCTCCTTGTGGGGATCGGGGCGCGGGAAGAGCGCCAGGGGCAGGGGGTCGTAGGTCTGCTTGGGGCTGGCGTAGTGGCTCAGCAGGTCGTCGTCCGCGTCGTAGTGCTGCCGCGGGAAGGGGAAGTCCGACAGGGCGCCGTTGGCGGCGGCGCTCTTGTGGCGCGGATCCAGCACGCGGCGGGCCAGGGCGGAGCTCTGCATGGCGGACGGTGCAAAGAGTGGGGCAGGTCCCACACGAGGGAAAGAGAAAGCGTCAAGACTCAAGAGAAGCCCGAGCGACGGTTCGCAGCTGCAGAGCGACTACACGTTGCAGTCACTGCTGGCTGCTCTCTTTGCCCGTCACAGCCAGTTTCCGTACAAAGATAATTCCCGAATCTACACAAAGCTGGCAAGAGACTGGAAGGAAAGAGCAGTAGCCAACGACAACACTACCCACAACACTGACAACAGTTTGAGAATTCCTCGGTAACTTCGGAAATGTCAGATAAGCGATCGAGAAGAACGCTCATCATCCGAGCCAGTGTTCACTGCAAACCAGGCAACTGGCCATTAGGGCGGCTGCCTGGGCGGAAACCATGACGCGCCAACATCTATATATTCTCCTCTCCCGATTTTTTTCACTTTCGAACGGGTATTCAAATTATTCGAATTCCATTTTTTCGATTTGCTTTAATTCGACCTAATTCTCATCTTCTTCTGGCGGCGGAAGTATCGCGTTACTGCCGCTCCTGCCCCAATAATTCGTGAACGCGCCCCAAATCCCGCCGCGACGCCGCGGCCTACTGCAGCACGGCCAGCACCAGGTTCTTTGTTTGCTTCAAGCCCAGATACTGTATATCTCCTATCTCGATGTTGCTCTTGGAGACAGTCGACAAATCCGGCTCCTACATACTGTAGTTAAATGAAAAGTACATGCAGAAATATTAAGTTGAAAAGTGAAAATTAATGAAAAGGGCATACTGCCATGTAAAGTAGAAAGTTAACTGAAAGTACGTGCAGAAATGTAAAGTAGAAAAGTGTAGAAAGTTAACTGAAAAGTACATGCAGAAATATAAAGTAGAAAAGCGAAATGAAAGGGAGATGCTGCCATGTAAAGTAGAAAGTTAACTGAAAAGTACATGCAGAAATATAAAGTATAAAAGGGAATCGAAAGGGAGATACTGCCATGTAAAGTAGAAAGTTAACTGAAAAGTACATGCAGAAATATAAAGTATAAAAGGGAATCGAAAGGGAGATACTGCCATGTAAAGTAGAAAGTTAACTGAAAGTACATGCAGAAATATAAAGTATAAAAGGGAATCGAAAGGGAGATACTGCCATGTAAAGTAGAAAGTTAACTGAAAGTACGTGCAGAAATGTAAAGTAGAAAAGTGTAGAAAGTTAACTGAAAAGTACATGCAGAAATATAAAGTAGAAAAGCGAAATGAAAGGGAGATGCTGCCATGTAAAGTAGAAAGTTAACTGAAAAGTACATGCAGAAATATAAAGTATAAAAGGGAATCGAAAGGGAGATACTGCCATGTAAAGTAGAAAGTTAACTGAAAAGTACATGCAGAAATATAAAGTATAAAAGGGAATCGAAAGGGAGATACTGCCATGTAAAGTAGAAAGTTAACTGAAAGTACGTGCAGAAATGTAAAGTAGAAAAGTGTAGAAAGTTAACTGAAAAGTACATGCAGAAATATAAAGTAGAAAAGCGAAATGAAAGGGAGATGCTGCCATGTAAAGTAGAAAGTTAACTGAAAAGTACATGCAGAAATATAAAGTATAAAAGGGAATCGAAAGGGAGATACTGCCATGTAAAGTAGAAAGTTAACTGAAAAGTACATGCAGAAATATAAAGTATAAAAGGGAATCGAAAGGGAGATACTGCCATGTAAAGTAGAAAGTTAACTGAAAGTACGTGCAGAAATGTAAAGTAGAAAAGTGTAGAAAGTTAACTGAAAAGTACATGCAGAAATATAAAGTAGAAAAGCGAAATGAAAGGGAGATGCTGCCATGTAAAGTAGAAAGTTAACTGAAAAGTACATGCAGAAATATAAAGTATAAAAGGGAATCGAAAGGGAGATACTGCCATGTAAAGTAGAAAGTTAACTGAAAAGTACATGCAGAAATATAAAGTAGAAAAGGGAATCGAAAGGGAGATACTGCCATATTGTAAAGTAGAAAGTTAACAGTAAAGTACATGCAGAAATATAAAGCAAAAAGTCCTTTCATAAATATAGATATAAAGCATTTATTTTTCCTTTCTTCTGATTTTGCTTTGTGGTTCCTGTGTTAAACATTTTTGTTTTTGTTTTAATTCAACTGGATTTCTTTGGAGATGTTAGATTGCTTATGCAAATATTTTTCAATTTAAGTAAATTTAATTGACTTTATTCGAAGCTGTCAGATTTTCTTAATTTTTCAGAGTTTCATTTCTTTCTATTTTTAACTGTTTACCACAGAATGGACGGACATTCGCGACAGATAATTATCAAAGCATTCTCGTCGTTAAAAAAAACAGCGAATCAACAAAAACAAAACGAAATAAAAAACTGGACGATAAAAATCCGTTACAAGGTGAATTTCTTTCGACATGCTTGCAGCGCCGTCTCCGCGGCCTCCATCTGACCCTGAATGCGACTGCGCACCGAATCCTGCGAGGCGAACTTCAAGCTCTCCTTCAGCGCCTCCACGGCCACCTCCAGCCCGACCAGATTGCGGAACACCCGCACCACGCGTCCGCCAATGACCAGCACGAAGCCCGACGTCGGATCCAGCAGCAGCCGGCCCACGTCGACGCTGCCGCCCCCGGGCGTCAACGCCAGGCAGTTGTCGATGCGACACCGCACCGTCCCGTCCACACCCGATAAAATCAAGAGGTCCGCTCGGTAGGCGATGACGACGCAGCGCGAGTCGTTGGTCAGGGCGCAGTGCAGCGGCCGCTTGTCGTCCACGGCGGCGGCGGTCCAGGACGCGTGCTGGATGAGGCGCGGCGACTGGCGCTTCTTGTAGTCGACGTTGACGTCGAAGAGGCGGAAGGACTTGTCCTTGCTGACGGAGAGCATGTGGGTGGAGTCGCCCGAGAAGGCGAAGGCCGGGATGGCCGCGCTGTGCCCCGTCAGCTCGAAGGCCTTCTCCACGGACTGCACGTCGCCGCTGGATTTGTCCGCCACGATGGCCCACACGCGCACTTCCGGCGTGAAACCTGAACGAAGCAACAGAAAGACAACATCAAGCGAAATGTTCAAGCAGAATTTACGTCAAAATTCAAAATATACTCGAAGATACATTTTGGAAATATTCTGGAAAATAAAACGAAAGAATCAAGAATAAGTATTTCCATAAAAACAAACGCAAATAAATCTGTATCCGAAATAACGATGGCTGCGTGAACATAGGTACGTGCAATCAAACATACGTGTACTGGTGAACATCAATCAAACCGATTCAAACGTGTACATAAATAACCCGTTACCGAGATACTGCTGACCAGTGAGTGCTGCTACAAATATGTCTAGACAGCAAAACTAATAAAAACAAAATTCAGAGTAAGCACAGATTGATATTAAAATATTTCAAACAAATCGCGCACTAATAATGATACCATAAAATTAGACAAGAAATGTATGTATACAATAATACAAGTATACGTAAGAGGAAATTACCGGATGCGGCGATGAAGCGGCCACAGGGCGAGATCTGCGCCGAGTGCAGCACGCCGAGGTTGGTGACGACGGAGGCCAGCGGCGCGCCGCCCTTGATGGGCCAGAGGTGGATGGCGGCGTTGTCGTGGGCCGTCATGATGAACTTGCCGTTGCACTGGATGTCCATGCAGCGGATCTCGCCGTTGGCGTGCGCCGCCTGACCGCCCACCAGACACCGGTCAATTCAGAGGAGAAATCAGGCGACAAAAGGGTCAAAATCCCGTACCTGGTTGGTGACGTCGTGCAGGGCTTGCGGCGCTGACCACTGCCCGTCGGCGTTCTTCGTCAGCTTGAACACGCGCACCACATCGGCGTTGTGCATCCGCCCGATCACGGCTCTGCACGATAAAGACCGGCACCTTATTTTTCCATAGCACGGACGATCATTCAATTAAAATATTAAATAAATCGATAATCAAATGGTAATCAACGGTTATGATGTTATACTTACCTAAAATGAGGTTTTTCGAATGTTAATTAATTTTTTTGGCTTTAATATAATGCGAACAGGCTGTCACCAAATTAAAGCAATTAAACCGTAATTAATCACATAATTTCAAGGCAATTAGCGGGAGAAAAATGATTGGCCAACGCACTTGCTGTCGGGACTGAAGCGGATTAACGACGCATGGTCCAGCTCCAAGTTGACGCGCTTGCTCCTGTCAAGAAAACGCTCACTCAGCACACCGGATCAAGTAAACAAAATCATATTACCGTACAACATAGGTAGAAAAATCAATTTATTGATTTCTACATCCGGGAAGTCGATACAAATGTGTCATGCGTGCATTAAATTAACTGGAATGCAATTCCAAACACCACCGCTATTTAACCGTATCTTCATAACAATCCCTCAGACTTTAAAAAAAATCGTATTAAATGTTGCAAAGATAAATTATATCTTAAAACATTTAAAACAAATGCATATAACGAAAATTTTTTTTAATTGTAAAAGTTATTAGAGAGAAAAAATGAAACGAATTTTTTCCAACAAATAAAAATAATAAATACCGTGGTTCTTTTGCGGGATCATCGGTGAGGAAGTCACTGCAGGTCCATAAAATCAGCGAGCGGTCTACAAATGGCAAAACAACCATTCTTGTCAGCGAAAACGCAACGAATACAAATTATTAGAATATTATGCCCAATCGGCAGTACCTTCGGCGGACGTGACGAGGTACTTGCCGGACGCGTTGAAATGCCCGTCGCAGATGTCGGCGCTGTGGCCCTTGAGGCTGGCCACCAGCAGCGGATGGCGGTACTTCTCGGCGGTCCCCTTCCCGGCCGCGGCGTCCTTGCTGGGGACGGCGCGCGCGCTCTTGCTCTTGCCCGTTTCCTTCGCTGCCTTCGCTTTCTCTGCAGCGCCGCGATCAGCAACTGTCGCGTCCGCGGAGGCTGTCTCCGCATCAGTCTTCTTCCCGAAGATCAGCCGGAAGATGTAGATCAGTACTCCCCCGAAGAGCAGCGTGATGGACAGCGTCGTGATGCTGCTCCAGCTCAACAAAGAAGACGCCTGTGAATCAGCCATTCTTCGCCAGTCCACACGCCAGTCCGCAAAATCTGCAAGTGCGGAAGATAAATCTATTAGTCAGTATGCACCAATAACGGTGAACACGCAGATGATTTACTTTAATTATCATGCACAGGAATGTAGTGACAATGATTATGAAGTATGAAGGCACTGTAAGAAAACTAATGGTAAAAAGCACTGCTTCGAAAATGTAAAAAATACAACAACAAACTGACGTAGAAAAAATTGTTGGCTGCATACGTGTTGCAACTTGCAAGAAGTGCGCGCAACGTGCCGAGCATGCTGCACAGGGGCGCTTCCGGTCGACGCATTGTGGGTTGGAATTCACACATCGTAGATACACGAAGGCTCTGCCCCCAGGTATGGCATTCGTGCGGTCACGCCATCCTGTGCTGTTTATCGCGATGTGCCAAAGTCCAGCGAAACTTTTCCGATAATTTTACGCGCTCTCTCCACTTGTCTGGAATTCTGTACTGTCGACACATTTCCCATCCACCGTTGAGTGCATTCTTGTGTTTTTTCACAACGCGCAGCGGGTACTATCAGTACGAAGGATTGCGATTCGCAACGAAGAGAATCCGGAATGCAGTGCGTTTGCTTGCTTTATTCGTGAACATTGCTTCATTTTAAATTTTTAGACTGTTTTCATGTTTCAACTTGTTGGGTGATGCGATGGTTATCAGTGTGGAAGGTATCTGGCCAGTTTAGCATTGGTTGATTAATTTGCCCCATTCTCCGAGCCTTGGAAATCTCCATGGCAGACAGCGTAGTTGAGGAGCCCGTGGTGATGCGGAACAGCGACAGCGACGCGCTGACCAACGAAGAACAGTTCCTCTCCAACATCCCCACCGCCGCGCGTCTCCCCCTCATTTCTGGCATCCGCCAGCGCAGCCATCTCCCGGACGATGTCCTGCAAAGGTAATTTAATGTGCATGTGCTTCAAAGGTTAATAATTGTGTCGGACGATGTGCTTCAAAGGACAAAGGTAAATTAAATATCCCTTTTTACCAGATCAGATTTTAAGAAGGCATTAAAGCGAAGGCATGGTTTATTACTTTCAAATCTTTATAATTTTATTGAAACGAACTTGAATTTTATTCAGTTTTTGTAGTAATAAATGTTGTTGATCGATCCGAATTTTATTTCTGTTTTATTTCGTTGACTACAGTGGACAGTGTAATGTTATTTGATTATTAATGGTTAGAATTTTAGTTTTTATTTTAGTTTGTAACTGTTTGTTTCCTCAGAATTTAATTTTATTAAGTGCCAAAATTTTTGTTTTATTTTCATATCAGGAATTTAATTATAATTATCTGATTTTTGTTTGCATTTATCCGAAATTGATTTTATTTACTTTTCAGTCAGCGCATTGAAGGAGATTTTACCATATTGAAAGAATAATTACACAGTACTGTAATTTCCCTTGTTTTGTATGGAGTCCATTCGTGCGTTGACGTTTAGGGAAGGCGCGACGCTGCCTGGCGTCGGTGACGCGCCGCGCATCGCTCCGTATGCGCCGCCACCTGCTCCCTCCAGTCCGCGGCGTCCGGAGCGATCGGACGCGGGGAGATTCGGCGGTCGGCGGGGCGAGGATGTCGGCAGCCGGCCGACCGATGTGTACCCGGAGATCGGGGCGGATTCCGACCGCGAGCGACTGCTGGAACGCGCAGAGACTGCCAGTGGATTTGCGGCGGAGAAATCGCAAAACAGCCAGGGCAGTTTAGTCACCATGTAAGTGGCCAGAGGAATATCATTAGCTGCGATCAGGAATTATTCATTTGATTTGTATTTAGCAGATGTAATGGGATGGTCTTTTATTTTTATGGACATGAATTCGATTTTATTTGATTTTTGGAAACAGTATTCAAACCAAATTCTGATAAATTAGAGTTTAAGTTTGTTCAGTTCCTGTCTCGCAGGTTTGTGGTGATTTTATCACATAATTGCATTCACATTCATGAGTATTTGTTTCGTTTTTTTATTGACTTGACGCTGATTTTGTTTAATTTATTATTTTGCCAGCATTTAATTTCATTTGTTTCTGTTTACCAGCCTTCATTCGTTGCATTTTGCAGATTGAGTTTATGGACGACGATGATGGGATCGTCGCTGCTAGTGCTGCCCTGGGCCATCCAGGAGGTGTGTATTTCCTTTATAGAACCCTGCGCCACATCCGGAAGCTAAGCTGTTTTGCATGTAGGCCGGTTTGGCGTTGGGCGTGTGCCTGGTGTTCGTGATGGGCGGGCTGGCCTTCTTCCCCACCACGCTCATCTACAAGGCCGCCGACTACCTGCAGGCCACCACCGGCGTCACCATCGTCGAGTTCCAGGACATCTGCGCCCGACTGCTGGGCGTCAAGCTGGCTTTCGTCAGTCTGCTGGTCTCCCTCCTCAACCTGATCGGCGCCATGGTCGTCTACTGGATCCTCATGTCGGCCATGCTCTACCAGATCGGCTGCTATTTCTACGGTGCGGCCGCATTTCGGCAGTGCGCTGTAAGGGAAAATTAGTTTAAAATTGATTTGGAATTCCGCAGAACTGCAGTATCCCGAAACGGCCAACATCACCGATCCCACTGCCGATTTGGGACCACAGGGGCGCTTTGCGCGCTACTGGAATGAACTCCTGACCGTCCCGTTTTATCTGGTGCGCATTTACCTCTGTGATTTAATTTTTCTTCATGTATCTAGTTGGAATTTTCCAGTTTATTTTTCTTTACCGGTTTGTTTGCGTTTGGTTTGTTTATTTGATTGTTTCATTAACTGTATTTCCTCTTCGGGCATAAAAAACCGCAAAATAGATAAAAATTTATTGAAATTTGCTCAATAATATTATAAATTTCCGATAAAACGGATTTTTTTAGTATTTCGATGGTTAAAAACTGATTAATTTGATTGCACAGGTGTTCCTGTTGTTGCCGTTGATCTGCATCCGCAATCCGACCTTCTTCACCAAACTGAGCTCCTTCGGCATCGTCTCCATCCTGTACATGCTGGTCTTCGTGTCGAAGAAGGTCAGCGACTGGGGCTGGAACGCCTCCAGCGGCTCGCCGGGATTCGAATGTACCGATTTATCCTATTTATTTGCTGTGCAGCGGAAAAAAGGTTTCTTGGTTTTCCAGTGTTCAACGGGCACTTCCCGGCGTTGACGGGGACGCTCTCCATGGGCTTCTTCATCCACAACTGCATCCTGGGCATGACGACGCACCACGCCAGTCCGCAGCACCGCAAACGCGACACCGGCATCGCGTTTCTGATGGCGGCGGTGTGTTACGCTTTCGTGGGCGGCTGTTATTACGCCGCGTTCCCGGTGGATAAGCACTTGATTGCCGACGTGAGCATCTTGACATTGTATGTGTAACGTAGCGGAAGTAGATTGATGACGCCGGGGATATGTTACAGAATTTACTGAAGAATTTCGCCAACCAGGAAATTATGGCGCTCGTGGCGCGATGCCTGCTCTTCTTCCAAATGTTCACCGTCTTCCCGCTGTTGGCCTATCTGTTCCGGGTGCAGCTGTTTAATGCACTGTTTGGCCATCAAAACGTCAGGTGCGGTACTCGTATCGTGCTAATATTCTCAGATGAAAAATGAAAATTCAATTTGTTTTGTAGTTATTATGGATAATTGGAATACCTATTAACAGCCCATTGCTAATATAGAATCTGCTCATATCTATATTATTTATTTTGTTTTAGACACAAAAGCTGTTATGATATTCTTTGCATTTCGGTTTTCTGGTTTACGTTGCAGTATCTCTTAGGTTTGCTTTTGTGCTTTACATCGCAGTATCTCGTTTAGGATTGTTTTTTTACTTTACTTTGCTGTATCTCCGTTGCATGTCAGTTTTGTACTTTACATCGCAGTATCTCGTTTACGTTTAGTTTTTCACTTTACTTTGCTCCATCTCCTTTGCATGTCAGTTTAGTACTTTACATCGCAGTATCTCGTTTACGTTTAGTTTTTCACTTTACTTTGCTGCATCTCCTTTGCATGTCAGTTTAGTACTTTACATCGCAGTATCTCGTTTACGTTTAGTTTTTCACTTTACTTTGCTGCATCTCCTTTGCATGTCAGTTTAGTACTTTACATCGCAGTATCTCGTTTACGTTTACTTTTTTACTTTACTTTGCTCCATCTCCTTTGCATGTCGGTTTTGTACTTTACATCGCAGTATCTCGTTTACGTTTACTTTTTTACTTTACTTTGCTGCATCTCCTTTGCATGTCAGTTTAGTACTTTACATCGCAGTATCTCGTTTACGTTTACTTTTTTACTTTACTTTGCTGCATCTCCTTTGCATGTCAGTTTAGTACTTTACATCGCAGTATCTCGTTTACGTTTACTTTTTTACTTTACTTTGCTCAATCTTCTTTGCATGTCAGTTTTGTACTTTACATCGCAGTATCTCGTTTACGTTTACTTTACTTTGCTCCATCTCCTTTGCATGTCAGTTTTGTACTTTACATCGCAGTATCTCGTTTACGTTTAGTTTTTCACTTTACTTTGCTCAATCTTCTTTGCATGTCAGTTTTGTACTTTACATCGCAGTATCTCGTTTACGTTTACTTTACTTTGCTCCATCTCCTTTGCATGTCAGTTTTGTACTTTACATCGCAGTATCTCGTTTACGTTTAGTTTTTCACTTTACTTTGCTCCATCTCCTTTGCATGTCAGTTTAGTACTTTACATCGCAGTATCTCGTTTACGTTTAGTTTTTCACTTTACTTTGCTGCATCTCCTTTGCATGTCAGTTTTGTACTTTACATCGCAGTATCTCGTTTACGTTTAGTTTTTCACTTTACTTTGCTCCATCTCCTTTGCATGTCAGTTTTGTACTTTACATCGCAGTATCTCGTTTACGTTTAGTTTTTCACTTTACTTTGCTCCATCTCCTTTGCATGTCAGTTTTGTACTTTACATCGCAGTATCTCGTTTACGTTTAGTTTTTCACTTTACTTTGCTCCATCTCCTTTGCATGTCAGTTTAGTACTTTACATCGCAGTATCTCGTTTACGTTTAGTTTTTTACTTTACTTTGCTGCATCTCCTTTGCATGTCAGTTTAGTACTTTACATCGCAGTATCTCGTTTACGTTTAGTTTTTCACTTTACTTTGCTGCATCTCCTTTGCATGTCAGTTTTGTACTTTACATCGCAGTATCTCGTTTACGTTTACTTTTTTACTTTACTTTGCTCCATCTCCTTTGCATGTCGGTTTTGTACTTTACATCGCAGTATCTCGTTTACGTTTACTTTTTTACTTTACTTTGCTGCATCTCCTTTGCATGTCAGTTTTGTACTTTACATCGCAGTATCTGGTTTAGGTTTACTTAATCTCTTTGCGTGCCGTTTTCGGTTTACATGAATTACGTCGCAGGATCTCTGTTACGTTTACCTCTTTTACCTTTCAGTTTTGACCTTTTTGCATTTATCCCGCATGTACTTGCTAAGAAATTCTGACTAATAAGTACTTACATTGATAGGTAGGACTTATGTAGGTTGAGGATTTGTTATGCTTGTGATTTACAGAGAAGTTTATTTAGCATTCTATCTGTCCCTAATTGAATCTTATAATTATCTAATTGAAATTATTGATTTGTTACGGTTTATTGAAATGTTTGGGCGTTGCAGTTACCATTTTGTCATCATTTTGAATGCCGTTCTCGTTGGAGCGTGCCTGGTGTTCGCCTCACTCTATCCCCGTATTGGAGACATTTTACGGTAAATACCCGTACATGCTTATGCATTCTGTCTGTACAGTTTTATTTATCTGTTTGATAACTTGGATAATTACTTTTCAAATACCTGTTTTGTGTTGTGGCAGAATACTAGGAGCGATTTGTGGCCTGGTGTACGTGTTCACGCTGCCGTTATCCCTGGACCTGGCCATTCTGCGCCTGCAGGGCGGCATTCCGCTGTGGCGGAAGCTCCTCTACGCCATTCTCATCGGCCTGGGGCTGGCCAACTTCATTGCTCAGTTCATCGTGCCCCTCCATCCCAACTGACAATCTCCCGCTGTGTTCAACTCACGTTTACGAATCTGTGCCGATGACACATTTTATCCCGACTCTTTTTTTATCTCTCAATTTTATTATTCTGCAAAAGTTTGTATTTTACAGTTTAACAGAAGAAAATCTGGTACAATTGCCGTTTTCTAGAAAACATAGGAAAACCAAGGAACCATCGTCATTTATTTGGGAGAAAAGTAATAAAAATCCCAACAAAAGGGCACTCATTTGACGCTGTCCATGAGGAACTGCTGCAGCTTGTGCAGGGACTGGCTGCGTTCGGAGATGTCGGTCTTCTTGTCCTTGCTCATCTCGGCGTAAGTCAGCTCCTCGCCCTCCGGCTGGAAGATGGCCTCGAAGCCGTCGCCCTCCTGGCCCCGCACGGCGACGATGCGGCCGTCCTTGCGGCCCTCGAAGAGCTCCACCTTCTGGCCGTCCTCGCCGCAGTAGGCGAAGACACTGAGGACAAACGCCGATTTATCGGCGTGCCCGGCCAGCAGCGTGACCAGGCCGGCCGGTTTGATCTTCTCCACGAACCACTTGACGTACGGGCCCGGCAGGCCGTTCAGGGCACGGAAACACAGGGAGGTGTCCTCGCAGATCACCGCGCCGTGCACCTTCGATTATTTAACAGCCATAATTATAATTCTGAAAGTCAGACTTTAATTTCTTAAAACTAATCAAAACTAAATGAAATTTTACAAAATAAAATTCGCATCACTGAATTAAAAAATATATGTTTTACTAAATTTAAATTTAAGAGTTCTTCACATAATATTAACGATAACATAATAATAATTATTTATAATAACTTGTTCAGCAATTGCCAGTCCACAAAACAAATGCGCCTACACGACTTTGTAGCTTAAAAATGAGTGCAATTTACATTAATCGAATTTTACTATTTAATTCGATAGTTCATCAAACTGGAAATATTTAGCTTGAATAACGCTGGTATTTGCTGAATAACCTGGGGATAAATAATTTGTTTTTTAATTGACTGAATGAAATCAGGCAATTATAACTCAGGAAAAATACCTGGGATAAAATTGCAGTACTTAGATATAAAATTACTACTGTTGAATTGAATTCGTAAATAATGAATGCCAACCTGGCGCGCCGCTTCCAGGCATTTCTTGCGCGCCACTTCCGCCGGCTCGCCCTGGTATTCCGGCAGATCCACGTCTTTACTGCTGATCTGCGGAGGAATCTCCCCGTTAATCGCTGCTTAACTGTAACAGACATATTCAAAATTCACTGACGTCAAAGTGCTTCTCGACGTCCTCGCCGAGGCATTTCTTGAACTCATCCAGTTTCTGCTTGTTGCCGGTGACAAAGGTGATCTTCTGGCGCGTCATGCTGAATGAAAACACTGGAAAAAAAAGGGAATTTCTGTGACGACTATTACTACTGAAGTCAAAATCCAAACAAATCATAGTCAAATTTAGGAACAGTGATACCGGTTTCTTACGATCGATTTCCGCCGGATGTCGAACGTCTACGGAATAATTAACTGGTGCCGCAAATTATATAAGCTAGATAATAATTAGCACTGTAAAATCGTTCGCAAAAAATTCACATTGACAAAATAAAAATTAACTGCGAATTAATCCAGGCAGACCACTTGCACTGTTGAACAACAGCTAGGAAAAACCTGGAACGTAATAAGACTATCGCGATAAAATTAGCATATGTGGAGTCAGTGCTGACGTCAGTAAGAAGCCGCTTAAGCAAGCCAGGCAGGAAATGCCGCGGGCTTTTTCCGACGACCTAAAATCAAAGAATGCCGCTGTTGGCGCGTCCGCATTGGAGGGGCGGTTGTGTTACACTCGCCGTATTTTTGCTACCGCAACACCGTTCATCGCAGACGGTTGTTTACGTACTATACGTAATTAAAAAAGCATAACCCCGTAATGGATTGGAGCGTTTTCCTGAGGCTAACCTGTTCCTGTAAAGATCAATTTCCTACTTAAGTGGATGTACATTTAACCAGAACGTCCAAGCTGAACAATTTAAATGAAGAAAATACAAGAACTTCCGGCGCTTACAGCAATTGCAACCGCCCAAGGTGGCAGCGTAGTGCTGTTTTTTATTGCTGATTTCTGAAAATTCCAACCGTTTCTATTTTTAATTTTTTCGCAAATAGTGTGTTTCTTGCCTTCTTTTTGTTAAAAAATTAAGAAACACTATTTGTAAGGAATTATTTTAAATTGGAAATGTGTCATTTAAAACCCGACTGAAGGAAAAGCGACCGATCTGATCTCCCTTCTCGGTACACGGAAATAAAGCAGGTTAAATTCCGTAATGTGTGTCATGCATACCAACCGCACAAGGGAGACGCTAACGTGATGACTTTCAATTTAGCTGATTCGTTGCAATCCCGTGCAAATTTATTTCCTTTTCAGTTTTCTAGTTTTCTGGCTGTTTTCCGTTATCAGTTTTCACGCGGAATAGATACCAAGGGGATTTGTTGGATCGAGTCGTATTATTTTGGTTGCCTGTAGTTAATCCGTGCTGGGCAGGCATGCCGCGTCCCTCCATCACGATGGTGATCCACCGTCCGTCGCGCTCCTCGCGCCTCTCCGCCGCCGCCGCCACCAGCGACGAGGCGCCCCCCGCGCGCTCCCCCCCGACGGGGGCGCCGTCCGCGCCCAAGACCCGCTCGCAGCGCAGCGCGGACTTATCGCCCTCCTCCTCGGCGCAGTCGGAGTCCGCCGGGGAGAAGCGGCTGCGACGGCCCTCGCAGCGCCTGCTGGACGCCAGCACCCTCCGGGGCGGCGACAAGCGGAAGGCCGCCCCGGGCCCCGCGGGGGTTCCTGCGTCCTCGCCCAAGAAGGAGACGCTGGCGCCGGAGGAGGCCAGTGCCGCGGCCGGCAGTAAGAAGGCCTCCGCGCCCGCCCCGAAGAAGCGCCGCGGGAAGGAGGACGACAGCGAAACCAGCGAGAGCGCAGCGCCAGTTGCCACGGTAAGGAGAAAATAAACATCTTTTGTTTATATTTTACGCACTGTTTTCTGCTCTTATTATGAAAGTATATCTTTGGGAATAAATTCAATTTCTTCTTAGTTTCTCTATCCAGTATTTCATGTAATATTAAATTTTGTTGAATTGTTTTGTGAATAAGTGAATTGTTAAAAATTTTTATGGATTTTTCTTTTATTTTCCGTTTCTAAGAATTATTTCATCTACAATTCCCTGGTGTTTCACACTCTTTAATTCCTATTATTTTATGCTGAATTTTTATTGTAATAGTAATTATTTTTCTTCTATAACTGGGTTAATTGGATGTGATTTAACCGTTAACGGTGTTGTTAATTTCGGAATAAATCTTGGTATAATTCTTATGTAGACTTATTTATGATTATTGTGGATGAGGATTTTTTTAATTGTGAATTTCCATTGTAGAGTATTTAATATTATTTACATTTTTAGTTGGCGAAACGGAAACCCACAGCACATTATTTTGATCCCGATTATTTTGATCTTATAATTTTTTTCATGGATGGTATTTTACGTACGAGAACATACATACATTTTGAATAAGTACAGGCTGTACAGTACAGTACAAGAGCTGACTGCCTTCTAATTGAAAATGCGCAGTTATTCTGATTGTGTTCTAAATATTTTGTTATAAATTCGGACAATTCTGCCTGCAGTTGCGGACTGGACTGATTGGTGGGATAGTACCGAATTAAGCGCGTAATATGTACTTACACTGGTGATTTTTCTGGGTGGCCTGTCTAGGCGGAAGCGGCGGAGAAGAGCGGTCGCAGTGGCCCTTCCGGCGGCAGTGGCAGTCCGGCCAAGAAGAAGGCCAAAGCCTCGGCCCCGCCCGACAGCCCGCCCTCCACGCGCCGCAGCTCGGCGCGCTCCCGTCCCGACCGCAAGGAATCCCCGGCCGCCGCCGCCGCCGCGGCCCCGCCCACCGACCCGTCGCCGGCGCGCCCGCCCGTCTCCATGAAGTTCCGCCTGGTGGCCAAACCCTCCTCCGACACCGACAAAGCGTCAGTATTCCCCTATCTCCCGGCTTCTGTGTTCTTTTTAACACAGTTAAATGCTGTTGATTTTTTACGTACCATAATAACATTTTCAAAGATTTTATTTACCCGACTGCGTTTTTATTTCTTTTTATTTGTCGGAATTTGTAATTTTTTCGTTTTTATTTACCAGGGATTATGTTGATTTATTTAGCAGGATTTATTTTTTTACTAACCTGAATTCAGTCGCTATAAATTGTGTCTATTCGAGTTTAGTTCATTTTAATGGCAAAAATTTGATTTTTCTTTACAGTTTTACAGGAACTAGTTCTGGTTTAAATGTTAGTTGAGGGCGCTGTTGACCGTGTTTTTCTGCAGGAAATCGGAGAAGGGCAGCGGTGCCAGCGGCAGCGGCGCGGCGCCGCCCGTCCTCTCCGTCGAGATCACGGAGAGCTCCGCCAAAAGCCCGGCGTCCGGCTCGGGTAGGTCTAGGCCGCATTTCTTACATTTTACTGCTGTCTTTCACTCTGGCCATAGATTGTTTTGCATTTGAAAGCGAATTTTATCAAGTTAAATTCACATTCAATTCTTGCAATTAAAATTATCATTTTCTTTAAATTCATACTCTGAATCGATTTGTTTTAGTACTTGTCGGAACTGTTTTGTGTAGTACATACATAGTATTTATATTGTTGTAGGTTTCTGTGCAGTTCAGTGAAGTTAAATACGTACTGAATTTTAGTACTTGTTTTCAAATTAAATTTTCCCATTTTTACAGGTTACAGTATTGCCATTAATAGTTAATTGTATTAACTAAGGCTTTCCTTAATTAATACGTAGTGTAAACCTGCGGAAGCATACCGATATGGGCATTGGTCGTTGCCGGATAAAAACGTTTAATTGTGTATGTATTGTAATTTAAGGATGTATTTAAATCAATGAACATGCAGTTATTATTGAAATACATCTGGATAATGTTGGGCATCACATCTCGCAGGGAAATCCGGGAAGAAATCCAAGAAATCGGCCAAAGAAAAGAAATCTTGGAAAAAAAGCGCCGTCCCGGAAATCGCGGTGGAGAGGGCGGAGACAGCGCCGCCGGTGGAAACTGCCGCTGTCGTCGCGCTGGCTGCGACGCCGGTTGCCCCGGAAGCCGCTCCCGTGCTGACGCAGGACCGGGAGCGCCGATTGACCGCGCGACAGGTACAGATACACACAGGGATCGGCGCCGGCCTCTGTTTTATTCAGATTAAACTTACACACGCCGGATTTTAAAGAAACTATGATTAATAAAATAATCATTATGAAGGAATTAAGGTATATACATTGAATTTTAGTAATGATTAACTGAAGGTTGGGTGTGTAGCGCGCCAAGCTGTACGGCGCCGAGGAGCACCTGATCAAGCTGGAGGATCCCCGGCCCAAGACGCCGCCGCCCGACTACCAGGAGAAGCGCGAGGAGCGCAACAAGAAACGCCGCGAACAGGCCGCGCAGAAGCGCGAACAACTCAAGGTACTGTCGATGGTTTCTGGCTGTTTTCCACTCAGCCATTACCGACACTTCAATTGCATAATGTGATTAAAAAAATGCTTAATGATACGGCTGAATAATAAAACGCGCTAAAACTGATGTCAGTCGATGGTTGAATTAAATTTGCAGAAATGTGTATGCGTTGTTAGCGTGAGTAATTCAGCAGAAATATTGGCGCTAGCTCATCTGCTATGGACACGGCTGAGCGTAGTGTGTGGGCAACTGCGGTGTCGTTCGCTGTTAAAAAAGTTAAGTAATCGGAGAAAGATTTGACTGATCTTTTTACGACCTAAAATATTTACTGGAATTATATTAAGAAATAATTTGAAAAAATGAACTGCAATTAGTAAATATCGTTGAGGCGTGTTGTAATGTTATTGTAGAAGGAGACGGTGAAGAAGCTGCTGCACAAATCGGCGACGACGAAGAAGGCGGCGCGCGAGGAAGAGCAGAAGCGCAAGCAGATGATCCGCTACACCGCCAACACCGCCGGCGCCGCCATCCTCTTCCCGGACCACTGCCCGCCCGCGCTCTTCATCCAGCCCCTCCCGCCCATCACGTAAGACTGCCAACTAAATCCACCAATCTTTAATTTGGCCCTATTCAAATTGACAAATATTTAAAAAATAAATATACGGGTTAATTCTCAATTAAAACAGATTGAATTACATTACTCTCTTGTTATTTTTATTTTTTAAAAAAGTTAATTAGTAATATTTATAACTTAATTACTTGTGCCGATGTTTTCGGGGAGGATAACTCTTAATATTGTTGTAAATATTCATGGAAATTGTCCTTCGTTAATACCTCACTCTTTAAAACTGAAAGGCAATACTGTATTTGTGTGAATATTTGTGGAGTAGTAATATGTGTCGGCATTGCAGCCCCCCGGCGGTGCGCGTGTGCGCCGTGCCCGGCTGTGGGAATCCGCGCAAGTACGCCTGCGCCCGCACCGGCCGCTCCCTCTGCAGTCTGCAGTGCTACCGACGCAACCTGGATCTGGCCACGCCCTCCGTCCTCTGAATGCGCCGCTGATCTCGCCGCTGTTTATTTTGTCTCGGCCTTAATTAATTTTTCAGCAGATTCATTCGTGCTGTGCTCCGTAACCGACGACTGACGAAATTAATTGACTAATTTTCAATGGAGCCATTTATTGCTGGTTTTCTTCTACGGATGACTATTTGAACGATATGTACGTCAAGTGAATTAAAATTAAATAAAACCGCAGTGGAGCAGTGGATTTGGCTTTCGTGCGTTTTAATTTGCTGGCGAAAGTGAATTAATCAAATTCGAAAATTAGAAACTTTAGTCAAACGAAGGTTAAAATCTTTCAGTGCAAAATCACAGAATTTTTTTACTTAGATCAAAAGCCTCCAAAATAACATTACTTTACACATAAATTTATATTTTCAAAAATGAAACGCAAATTTATTGAGCTTCATTGCAAGGACAATAAACTTCCACAGTCAACTACTTCTATATATGTGAAACTGAAACTGTGCGCAAATGGTAAGGCACCTGTACGGAAAAATGCCGAATGAATGGGCGAATGCCCGAGTTGGGCACAAACTGAAGCGTCGTTCACATAATTATTTTATCCTTTTTTTTCTATTCAGATTGTCATCTTTTTGCAGTTTGTTTTATTTGATAATGTTAAACGTAATTTGCCAAATATTTTAAAATAGCAACTTGGGATATTCATGGAGAGAAACGCTAGAAAAGATGATACGCGTGCTGGCTTCTATGTGCTACGCAGAATCTGTGGCAGAAGATTGGGCGGTCATTAGAGAGCGTTAGCAATTCATACTTACCTGGACCCGGAATGGCGCAGTTCACGATTTGCCCATCCCCATCGGAGTGGTCCCATTGCACTTCCGGGATTATGAAGGTGGCCTCTTCGGTCAAAAAGATCGGGGTAGGGGGTCAGAATTTTTGATAGTTGGGGGACTGCGTTCGCGCTATCCCCCTCTCAATAAACAAAGAAAGGGCCGAATCGGAATGGTGGGTGGGTTGGCGCCTAAGGGCGGTTGACAACATGTCAACAGTATTTACTGTTGGTTGGTTGGCACAACACTAGTTACGCAGGGCGGTCGCCCTGTCGACGGAAAATGGTGCATGTGAAATTGCCGTAGAAAAATAAATTGCATAGAAAAACTACGCACTCGAACGGTGGAACCCAGCCGATTCTTGCCAGCGCAGTTTAAATTTTTATAATTTTGAATGATAAAAATTATAAGTTGTCTTTGGAGACGTGCGAGATAAGTAACACACAGAAGTATTTTGCTTTGTACGGCAACCAAAATTCAGAACAACCAATAACTCTCGTTCGATGAATAAATTTAATCAAAATCCGCATAGAAGCAATCTGACTGGGTTGCTCTAAACGTCTGAGTGTATAAAATCACATAAAGCACCGGATGCGTGTTACGATCAGTAATCGCGAATGACGGACAACGGCTCAAACAGCCAACATACATATCTCAGCGCATCAAGCTGCGAAAAAAGCGCAAATCCAACAAATCCACGGTATCTTTGGAATGGGAGGCGAACAGGCGCTGCTTCGACGGAATCGCGCGTGATTGGTAGGTCTACTTGGGGGAGGGCGGGGCGTGGCTGAAGTAGGGCGCGGTGTCGCGGTTGAGGATGGTGTGGCACACCTGGCAGACCTTCACCGGACGGCGGTGCGGTCCGCTCAGCACCTCGCGGTTCAGGCAGTCCACGCAGAAGATCTTGCCGCAGTGCCGGCAGTGGATCTGCCACAAAACAACCCAGTTTCAGCAAAAAACATGGACAAAATTATGTGAAAAATGGAGGACTGCATGGAGAAGTTACATATAAATAAAAGAAATCACCTTGAGCGAGCGGACTTTTTTCCTAGGCAGGACGAAGGGCTGCCGGCAGGCGTTGCACTCGTCCACGTCCTCGTCCAGCTGCCAACGCACTTCGTTCTCCGCCTGCCGGATTTTCTCCAACTCAACCTACCGCACCGAATTTTTAACGGAGGAAAAACAACACAAATCTTGCTACAATAAGACGCTAGCTGCAAATTATTATTCAGTTATTCCAATTTATTATTCGACGTTTATGGTAATTATTTAGCATTCATGCATATTTTTTTGGGATATTTATACTGGGAGCAACGTTTATCCGGGCACATACTCGTACTTTTATTCCACCGTTTATTTACGATTTAATCATTTTGTTAATTATTATTCAATATTTAACTGTTTATTTGTCAACAGTTTTATTTGCTGTTAATATTTTAATTAATGCTTTATTTCTAATTCCGACCTGTAGGGACTGGGAGAGTTTGACGAAGTCGCGCTGCACGGCCTCGCTGTTGTCGAGCTCGACCTGCAGGGCCTGGGCGCGCGACCGCGAGTGGTGCAGGTCCTTGTCGAGTTTGCTGCGCTCGGCCTGCAGCGTGTCCAGCTGCGTGCGCAGCAGCAGCGCTTCCGCCGTCTGACTGGCCAGGCCCTCCTCCAGCCGCTTCTCCCGCACCTCCCGCAGCTGCCGCTCCAATTCGCTCTTCTCACTCTCCAGAATACCCAACCGCTCCCGCAACGCATCTGCAAAACACGCACTAATTAGTCTGCTTTAGTTTTGATTTTTATCTTATTTTATTCGAATTTCTTCCAGCGGTCTTCTCATTTTCTATGATTTTTGTACTATTTTCCTCATGTTTGCTTCCTCTTTTATTCTTCTAATTTTGTTCCCATTTGCCTACAATTTATTCTGAATTTTTTATTATATTTTTTCCAGACTTTATTCTGTTTTCTTGATTTTATTCTCAATTTTTCCTATGAATAATAATTCCCTGGATTTGCTATAATTTTTGAAGCGTACCGGCTTCCTTGGTGAGCATGTGGAGGAGGCCGTCCTTGTTGTGCTGCTCGGCGGCCAGCTGGTCGCGCAGGAAGAGCAGCTCGCCGCGCAGGCCGTCCTCGCCGTGCTCCTTGGCCACGCGGCTGCGGATCACGTCCTCGCGGTACTTGAGCAGGAGGTGGTGCAGCTCCTCCACGTCCGTCGGCAGACTGATCTCCTCCTCCTGCATGCGCCGCCACTCCGCCGTGTACCGGTCCGTCAGCCGCCCGTTCTCCGCCTCCAGGAAGCCCAGCTACAAATACATGCCAACTCCATCAACACAAATGGACCAGCCCGTTTTCACCAACAAATACTTATAAATTCGTAAAATACAAGAAATAAAGCCATATACGAGAAAAAATACATCCAAATTATACGAGAATAATAAACATAAGTATGTACATAGAATAAATACATAGAAACCACTCCGCAAAATACCTCTTTCGCCGTTTGTTCGCGCTGGAACACCATATCACGCTGCAACGGAAACAAAATTTATTAGAAAAGGTTCGGCCAACATCGCCAGAAAAACGTACAAGGATGTGCTCCAAGGAGACGCGCGCCGCTTGATGCGCATCCTCCGCTTCCTGTTCGCGCTTCTCCGCTTCCGCCAGCAGTCGCTGCAGCTCCGATATCTGTCGCAATGATTTTTCTTATAATTCCTCTGAACTTTTCCACTGAGTTTCTATCGATTTGATTCGACTACATATTTCCCCAAATTTTTATTTGTCAAGCGTTGTATTTTATTATTTTTATTTTCAATCAAGCCCACTCAATACTATCAGCGAATATTAGTTTTGACCTGGTGCTGCGTGTCCTGCACGGCCTGCCCAACACGCCGGTCCATCTCCTCGCGGAAGTGCTGCTCGTGCTTGAGATCCTCCTTCAGCCGCGTCACGGCCGCCTTGGCGGCGTCCAGCTCCTGGCGCAGGCGCGTCTCCGTCTTCTGCGCCAGCTGCAGCGTCGACTCGTAGTTGGCGCACATGGCGCACCCGCTGACCGGGCTCGGGCCGGCCATCAGCATCTGCGGCGCCGCGGCGGAGGCCAACGAGGCCAGGGTGGGGCGCCGGCTGCTGTCTAAACTGATCAGCACGTCGTCGCCGCTCATCTCCAGCTCCAGCGAGGGACTGCCGTGATGCAGCGGAGATTCTACTAACCCCCAACATCATCTTCTTTAAATTTTATTCTTCTTACAAAACTTATTATGCTTTTCCCATTATTTTCCCCTTTTATGCAGTTTCTCTACTTTTTTTATTCATTTTCAAATTTTATAAACTTCTACACATTATTATTCCTTCCATATATGACATTGTGCATGCGGCATGTTTAATTATTTTGCTAAAAATTTTACACCAGTTTTTATCGAGAATTTAGTTTGAATTTCTACACCTTTTTCGAGACAGTTTGTTCCTAGTACATACGTACAAATCTTTCGAATTTCAAAAAATCATTTTTTTAAAATTTGTCTATATTTTTCATTTTCTATATAGTGTAATACTGTTTTTAAATGCTAAAAGTAGTCTACTTTTTATTTTGTTTGAATAATCCAACAAGTTTCTACCTTCTCCATCGCCGGAACGCAGCGACACATTATCCGACCGCGTAATATCCAGCGAGTCATCACTGCGGTTGCGAGCGTGGCTGGGCGAGAAGGGCGCGGCGTTGAGACACCGCCGGAAGTACTGCGTCACCTCGCGCTCCTGCTCCAGCAGTTTCTGCACGCGCGCCAACTCGCGGCGCGACGCGGCGGCGTCCTCCTGCAGCACCAGCTTCTGCGTCTGCATCACGCCCAGGTACATCTCGATGTCGCCCTTCGACGCCGTCGACAGATCCAGCTCCTGCAAAGGGGCGACACGGTCAAGCGGAAGCCAGTGGAAAAGGTCATCCGCAAGGTCACCTTCGAGCCGAACTTGCGGGTCAGCTGCTCCAGACCGTCGTCAGTCTGGCGACTGAGTTTCGGCTTCTCCTGCTCGTAATACTCTAGCTTCTCCTGGGCTTCGTGCAGTTGACTGCGCAGGACGTTGATCTCGTCTTCCAGGGGGACCACCAAGGAGCGCATAAAGTCCGCGTCGTCCTTGGCCTGCGCAATTCTACGTGGTATACTTCACAACCAATTTTAACAAATTCAGTTTCTTAAATTTAAGTGCAACGTAATTTCTTTCTGGTTTCAACTTACGCTCAGTTTAATTCAGTTTGACTTCAATTTAATTTCTAGCAAGTGGTTATTTGAGGTCTAGCGTAAAAAGCATTTGCTTGTGCAAGTTTGGAATAAAGTCCTGAAATCATTTAATTTCAGGTTAATTTGCAATTAGACTGTAATGTTTATTCGGCAATGGCCAATTCAGATAACAATGAGCTTGCGCAGGTAGAAACTACTTGAAATGACTCAAAATTTAAACAGAAAACAAAGACTGTAATTCAATTGTAATTCAATTTCGAACCAATTTTAGTTAAATTTTAATCGACCTTCCGTTCAATTCAATTTTGTTTCAATACCTGCAGTTACGACTTACGAGTATACCGAAATTTAACTGCCGAATTATGTAACTGAATTTTGAATTTAACTACGAGTACGGAACTAATTTCAATTAAAATCCAATTTAATTTCACCTTAATTTCGGTAAATTTCAGTCTAACTGCAATTATACTAACATTTAATTCTGATCTAATTCGCAACAAATCTCAGTTTAATTTCGAATTAATTTCGGCCGGATTGTCCGAGCACATGGAATTTCACTTTCAATTTATCTGAATTTATTCCGCAGCGCCTACCCGCTTCATATCGCTGTTATACGTCTCCTCCTCACTGCTGGGCGACCGCAGCGTCTGCAGACTGGCGCTGGGATGCATCGCCGGCGGGGAGGCGGCCACGCCCACCCCCACCTTGCGGGAGAGGGTGGCCAGTAATCCGTTGCGGTCCGGACTGCTCTGCGCCGCCGCCCTCCGTCGCAGCTCGTCCAGCTCGGCCTTGAGGCGCGTGTTGGCCTCGATCAGCTGCCGGCGCTCCAGCTGGTACTTGGACTCGGTGGACTGCACGGCGTCTTCGATGGTGGCTGCAAGGGAGACGTGTTCAAACGGCGGCAAAAGGCACTAGACAGACGGCCGACGCACCGCGCATGGCTTGCTCCATGGAGTCCAGCTCCTGTTGGTAGCGGCGCCGCATCCCGTCCAGCTCCTCCTTGGAGCTGGACTCGGCGATCACCGCCACCGCCTTGATCTCCGCCAGCTCGTTCTGCAGGGCCGTGAAGTCGCGGGCGAGGGTCTGGTAGTCGGAGGCGCTGGCCTGCCGCGCCGCCGCCATACTCCCCACTTCGCCTGGATAACCAATAATTATGATTTGATTTTTGATTCAATTTTCGCTGGTAATTATTTTTCTGTTTTAATGAACTGTTATTACGTTATTTTCCATGCAGATTTTCTTTAATTTTATAGCTATACTAATAAAAAATAATTAAGAATAAAATTATTACGAGATACGAAGATATATTAAAGTAAGAATAATAGGAGAAGAAAACAGGAGCGGAACGTGCCTTCCTTCTGCATGTACATCTCCTTGAACATGGCGCGATGCCGACCGAACTCCTCGTCGCGCTCCTGCTTCTCCAGCAGCAGCTGGGTCTGGCGCTGGCGCAGCTGTTTAATTAGCGGACGCAACTCCTCGGCGCCGGCGCTGTCCACATCCAGCAGGAGACTGTCCTCGGCATCACCTGCAACAAGGGGCAGCGACTGTGACGCCGGATCCCGAGGGCGGACGGCGAATGGCCCGGATACTCACCACTCTTGTCATCATGACTGGACGCTGGACTGGCTTCCCCTTTTCCCGATTCTTCCGCGGCGGCGGCGCTGAAGGGGCCCAGGAAGCCGAGGGAGCTGGCGCTGGCCAGCGGCTGACGGTCCACTTCGTCCGCCATCAGACGGCAGCCAGATTCAGCGCAGCAACCACCGCGTTGGAAATAAGGAATCAATAAGGACCTAACGATTTCCAGCCAAATGAACCTCTGTACTATGAATAAATAAATTGAAATAATCCAGACCGACTAATTATAATGATGATCCATTATAGTATCAAATAAAAAGCGGAAATCGAATAAAAATTAAATTACAACTGGAACTACATACACAGAAATTCATAAAAACGTGACATATTAAAAAAATAAATAAAAATCAAATAAAAATAAAAAAATTAATCAGATTCCAGAGTTTAAAACAGTAAATAAAAGTGAATTACAGATCAAATAAACATTACAGAAACAACAAAACAGAAACCAAAAAAAACAAATACATTGTAGGCTTTGCACTCTGTAGCACCAAAGTCCAAAAGCAAAGCAAATTGCCAAATACCAGTACATACTTCCAAGCAAATTCAAACTACTGCAGGAACTTCAAAACAAATTTAAAACGTAAAAATAATGATTCTATAATTCTAATCATATATACTGCTTCGGCCTTCGCATATCTTGCTTACTGTGGCACTGACGTCAAGCTGAGCGTTCACAGGACACAGGCACACATGGAGAGCGAAGAAACTCAGGCTGCCTTGCAGTTGCTCATGTCTCGCTTCCCAGCCATCCCGCGATAATCACCATCCTGCTAATCAAATTCCAGCTGTTAGTCGTGAGAAAGATCAACCATACAACTCACAACATTTCGCACACATGGTACAGATTACGCTAACAAAACACGCTCCGCAATGTCAGAACTCCAGCTGCGATCGTCAAGGTAAACAAAATCCTGCTCGTGTTCAAACGTGAAACATTTACATATGATTGAGATGAATGGCATCACCATATTACCTAACAATCACCTCCCATGGGCAACTTGCCAAGAAATTATTAATTCTTTCAGACTGATAATTGTCACAAGACCAAGGAGAAGTCGAGGAGAAATCAATGGGAATTCGTTCAGGAGAAAAACGGGAAATTCATCAAATTGAAATGTGCAATTTGCAAACGAAAGCGGAAAGCAGCCCTTCCACGCACAGTGCACACTGCAGTGAGTGCCACTGCCACCTCAAAGCTCGCCACGCTACACCACTGCACAGACCCCTTCAGCATGCCTCGCCACGCTCTGCTGTTTGATTCCTGGGTTTTGCTTTTTATGCACTTGAATGAATTGAAAGCAATGTCAAGACGACAAAATACACGGCGTATATACAGTAGTACCACTAACCATAAAAAACGCACAAATAAAGTTTACAATATTGTTAGGTAAATTTAAAAAATTGCTACGATTTGGATTAGTTAATTTGAGCGGCTCGCTTTGCAAATTGTTACACGTTCAGCACCAATGCGTAGTGCGTACTCGTACACTCGCCGAGAATAAGACCAGCTTTCAAATTCTTAATCAAATTAACAAATTAATAAACAAATTTCCCACCGGCAAACATCGATGTCAACAAAAATCACCGACCAGCAAACTTCAACGACACCGTCGCCGACACGAACCTCAATCTCAATAAATCAGAGTGGAGAAAAATCAGCACCAATCCAGATTAATTTAATCAATAAATTCTTTCGTTAAAAAATCATTTCTCTCTCAAAAACCCTTCCGCACACCACCGGAATTGCAATCTAATCATCGTCACTGGCCAGGAACTCCTCCAGCTCCCGCGCCATCGACTCCTCATCCGCCTGACTGGATTTGCGCACCGCCGGCTTCCCAGTCCCGGCGACCGGCGCCGCGGTCTTCCCGCTCTTCTTCCTGCCGCTCTTCTCGCTCTCCTTGCTTTTCTTGGTCTTTTTCTTCTTCTTCACCGGGTTCTCCACGGGAGCAGGGACTTCCGGGGGAGGCGGCGGGGGCGGGGTGGCCGCGCGGGTCTCCAGATCGCCCAGCCAGGAAGACAGCTCCTCGGCGCTGAACTGCACCGCGGATTCGCCGGAAGGCTGGACTTCCGGCGAAGCTATCTCCACGGGGGATTTTTCTGCTATGGACGATGCTACCGGCGTCAACTGCTGCTCCTCTTCCGTACTAAACCAATAAAAAACCAAACCTCTTTATTTGTTCTATTTATACAATTTTATAAGATTTTCGGATTTTTCTATACATTTGGTTTTATGCAACTTATTTCTATAAAATCAGCTTAACACAGCTGTTTTCGAACAATCAGTTTCGAGTTGATTTAATTTCATTTTTTATTCTTTCCGTTACTTTCATTTGACTTAGTCTATTTTGTCAGATTAATGTTGATTTTACGTAGTTCATTTCCTGTACAGAAATTTCTTCGTACTCGTCGTCATCAATCCGGAAAACTTCCTGCGCCGGCACCGCCTCTTCCCCATCCGATTCCACGGATTCCAGGGAAAGCTGAAGGGGCGCCACGGCGCTGATGGCGGCCGCCGGCGGGGGGTGGCGGGCGACGGAGGCCATGGCCATCTGCACCGCCGCCGTCTCATCCACATCGATCTCGTCCTGGAACGCGGCCACCATGGGATTCCCGGCGTCCTCCTCGTCGCTGGAGCCGTCCACGCCGCGATGGACACCCGGCGGATGTGCGGCCGTCGGCGTGACGGCGTCCTCCAGGAATTCCCCGGACAGCGTGTCATCCGGGATGAAATCATCCACGTTCTTCACGCGGGAATGCGACGCCGGGACTTCCGGCGAGGGCAGCGCGAACGCCGCCGGTTTCTTGGGACTTCCGATCGGCAACGCGAAGGAACTCGTCGCGCCGATGTGCGAAGGCGAAAGGGGCGGGGCGTCGGCCGCCTTGACCGGCGGGGCGGGGCTCTCCTTGGGCACCCACTTGCGGTTGGTAATGGAACATAAAAAGCGCTCGTAATTCTGCTCTTCGGATTCTGATAAGCTCTCCAGCTCGCGGAAGGTCAGCTCCATGTCGCGGCGGTTCTGCTCCAACTGGCGCGTTAATGCTTCGCGCTGCAGCTGGAGAAAAGGCAGGTTGAAGAACTTGTGGAGATACTTCAGCCCGAAGCCGTTGCGCATGGAGGCCTCGGCGACGAGGATGGGCGCGGCGCCTTTGGGCCGCGGGAGGTGCTGCACGAAGCTCTGCACTTGCGAGAGCGTGATCGTGCTGTGCGGGTTGGGGGCCTCCGTGTGGAGGTCGCGGAAGTTGAGGAAGATGAGGATGGGCAGACGCGGCGGGACTTGGTCCAGCTCCCGCCGGACGTACTCGAACGTCCACATTTTACTCCAGTCCATCATCAGGATCACCCCTGCAAACAGTCACTAATACATTCTTTATTTTTCAACTGATTTAATACAAAGCAAATACAACCTGTTCAAACAAATTCAGGATCCCACCGGCAAAATAAATGGTGACAAACTGATTTTCCTCGAATTTAATTTAATTTATTTTTACATCAATCGCAATTAACTTGGAATAAATGTAATTATGTAATCAATATTATTCTAATTTAATATAATAATATAATGTAGTTTGAAGTGTATATTATGTATAAAGAAGTGATAATGTATATTATGTAATATAATGTAGTTTGATGGAAGTAATTAATAAGAGATCAACAGAAAATTGCTTAATAGATAGACCGGCACGGGAAACCAGAAAATCCGAAAAGACGCAAATTCAAAATTATTAAAAAACCTTAAAAATCAAAACAAATTCGAAAAACACTAGAAGAAACCCTGTGAAAAGATGAAAATCAGAAAAAAATCAGGTACAAATCCAGGTAACGGTTACGCAAAAATCAAGAAAACATAGAGAAATATTCAAGCAAAAATCCGGAAGCAATCAGGGGAGATAAAGAGGAAAATCGGGGAAAATCACTGAAAGAAATGCAGCTAACCGTGTGCGCCTTTGTAGACGTCGAGCGTCTCGGCGTCCAGGCCCAGCTCGCCCTCCTCCGGGCCGGGGGCCCCGGGGCCGGCGGGGCTGTTGGTCAGCTTGAGGCCCTCGAGGAGCTTCTTCTTGCGGCCCTTGTCGACCACGTCCCACACCTCCACCTTGACCACGTCGTCCGTCGTCTTGAAGTTCCAGCTAATGTTCCCGATCTGGATCTCCTCCGAGGGACGGTACTCCTCGCGGAAGTCCCCGCCCTGCAGCCGCGCCAGCAGACAGCTCTTCCCCACGTTCCGCTCCCCGCGCACCAGGATTTTCTGTCAAAACCCAGCATGTACAAAGGATCAACGGTGCAGAGGAAAAAAGCGCATCCATAATAAAATAATACCAATGTCGAATAATTATGAAAAACACACCTTCATTATTTAACTAATTTTAAATAAAAAATTCTAATGAGTAATAAAACAAATAAAAAAATCACTAAGAAATTAATATATCGCTCGTCATATAGTTCTTATCGCATTAATTTAAAAAATACGTAATTAAATAAATGATTACCATGTTGTACTGCACACCGCGGGCGAATTTGCGCTGCAACTGTGGTTCCATACTGCGCATTCCCGCCGCGCGACTGTTCGCGTTACTGTTGGTCGACAGGCTGCGCGGGCTGCCTGATTCTGGCGTCGACTGGCTGGGAGTGGGCAGATCCTGCGAGCCATTCTGCCGTCCGGACTCGTCCTTGGCCACCAACTTCTTCAGTTTGGAAAACATGCTCTTCGCGTACTGAATCACCTTACATAATCCCTCATAACAGCTCTTCCACTAGCCATAAAGATGCACTGCTCAGAACAAAAGTCTTATTAAAATATTTTCATGAGATCGTAGAAATAACGGTGCAGTTATCAAAAACCCAATGTCAAATGTGGCGACAGGAAACTTCAAAAAAAAACAAAAAATTCAAAAAGTGGCTCGATATTTTGGTTTTCGCGACGACGTGGTTCAACGCACTGCGCGTACGCCGTACGCGGTACGTACTGCCGTACGCATCGCCGCACCGAGCACGGCGAGCAGTGCGCAGTTCCCACATTCTTACGCATGCACTATACGGAATATTGCGTGCGTAGTGCGTACGCATGCGTGCATCGCAGCACTGGTGCTTTTCCGTTGGAACTGCCAGCATGAAATTCCCGATGAAAATTGAATAAAATCAGCTGTTCAAAGTCCAAAGTTGAACGTTCGCGACACTTCTGTCCTGGCTGCGCATGGATCACTGTTAACTTTACTCTGATTTTATTCGCTGATTGGGATCTTTATCCAGATTGTCAACGTTTCAGAGTGACAGCGAAGCAGCCGCCGTGTATCAGCAGCACGCGCAGACAGCATTTTATTGGTGTGCCTGGTGAAGGCTGGATCGCTGCTTGTTTCTTCCTGGCTTTTTGGAGGCTTTATTATTTGACCGTCGGTGGCGTCCTTCATCTCCACACCAAGATTATTCATTTGTCGAATTTGTCCGCGTGGCAGAATGAGTGCGGGCGAGGCAGTGGTGAATCTGGACTCGTTGGCGGCCGATCTGTCCGCGTTGGATGAGGAGTTCGGGAAATTCGAGGTGGGTCTGCTCACTCTGTTGTTAAACGGCAGAAGGGGAATGCAGAGTTGATGCGGGAGTATTTGGCAGGACCAGCACCGCAACTACCTGCTGCAGCTGAACCAGCAGGTGGCCGCGCAGGCCAAGTGCGCCAAGGACTACTCGCACTTCAAGTACCGTCTCGCCCAGATCAACGACGCTCTCAAAAAGTATGCACACTTCACAAATTCTGTTCCGCTGCTGCTACAGATTTATAAACTTTAGTTAAAAATAAATTTAAATTTTTGCAATTTATTCAGTTGCATTGTGAATATTTTAATCAATTTTATTAGCATAATTTATTACATAAACTGATGAACAACAACGCAGTACAGTACCGCACTTCCGTATTGCAGTTTGTTGAATTTTAGTTTAGTTTTTGTTAAATAATCGTGTTATTTAGTTACTGACACGCACCCTGCGTGAAAATTGTGTTGGGAGCGATTTTCGCACATTGCCAGTTTTTGTGGTTTTTAGCAAGGGTTCAAAGGCATCAAAAAGAAAAAAACATGGGAATTATTGTGGTGTGATGTTTTGTAGGAATGGTCAGAATCTGTCCTCGGAGCAAGCGGCCCGGCTGAAGGAGCTGCAGGAGGACATCGCCGTCAAGCGGACACAGCTCAACGAGATCGGCGAAACCCTGCCGCGCAAAGCCAAGTGTGTACAATTATACAGAAATATACAACATTATAAAACACTGCTGTAAGCGATATGCAGCATTTATCGGTGCAGATAAAATTGTAAAATCAGTTAATCGCGTAGTAAATGACGTACTAGAAATTGTAGCAGAAATGACCAGTATTTGTGGATTAAAATTGTATAAAAGCGTCTTGCAAATAGCATCTACCTGCGGACGATCCTGGGGAACGTGAATCTGAACCTGTTCAGCAAGGCGGACCGCTTCCGCTACAAAGACGAGTACGAGCAGTTCAAGCTGGCCGTCACCATCGTCTCCACCGTGCTCTCCTTCGCCAATCTCTTCCTCTTCAAATACCGGTATGTCGCCGCTTCCGGCGTGACGCGTCCACGTCTGTTGAACGGAATATTATTTTATTACTGGGTTTTTATTTAATTGCAATTTTTCTAATGAATGCTGATCGCAGAGCCATGGACGCGCTCTTCCACTTCCTGCTGGTGTGGTACTACTGCACGCTGACTATTCGCGAGGGGATCCTGCGGCTCAACGGTTCGCGGTACGAAGCGTTCGCGGCGTCTGCTTTCGGGGTGATAAAATAAGTTTGATGATCGCGTTGCAGGATTCAAGTGTGGTGGGTGGCGCATCATTACATCACCACGGTCCTCACCGGCATTCTCGTTACCTGGTACACACGCGCTGTACTAACGTCGTCCAGTATTTGTTTTTAATAATGTCGCTATTTATCTTGGAGATTCCATCCTGTAATTTGCTGTGCAGGTTTTATGTGCATTTTCTAGTGATTATGTGTCTGCACGTGATTATGGGAGATTATTGTTTTTTCATAGTTTTATTTATTGTTCTCCAGCAGTTCTATCTATGTATCTTAGTTTTCTGACGAAGGTTGGATTTTGCAGGCCGGATACGGTGATTTACCAGATGTTCCGCACGCAGTTCTACATTTTCTCTCTATATCTTGGTACGCGTTACATGCACCGATTAATTAATGCCGACGTGATGGAAAGGAAAATGTCATGCTGAATATTTTTGCAGGCATCGTGCAGGTACTGCAGTATCGCTACCAGCACGGTCAGCTGTACAAGCTGAAAGCGCTGGGCGAGCGGAAGAGCATGGACGTAACCGTCGGTAGGTAATTTTTAATTTTCATTAATGTGTTTTTCACTTTCCTCCCGTTATTAGCTAATGTGGGATACTTCAAGTACTCATTTGTATTTTGTAGAGGGATTTCATTCGTGGATGTGGCGCGGATTGGGCTTTCTGCTCCCGTTCCTCTTCGGCGGATACGTAGGCGATTCTCACTAGATTAAAGAAATGCGTAAAAATTCTGAACCGAATTCAATTAAGTCGAACTGACTGCTAAATTAATTGGGAAAAATATTCTACTGAAAACATCATTTCACAAAGAATTTGTTAATTGTTTAAAAATTAATGCCGCATTGGTTGATGGAAAGCTTTATTTGTTAAATGAGTGCAGTGCAATTGGCGTATTGGTGTTGCAGTTGTTCCAGCTGTACAACAGCTACACGCTGTGGCAGCTGGCCAAGGATCCGCGCTGCCTGGAGTGGCAGGTGCGCACCTGCGCCGTCATCTTCTTCGTCCTGTTCCTGGGCAACTCGCTGACGACGCTGTCCGTCATGTGGAAGAAGATGTCGCGCTCCTCCGGTCCCAGCAAGGAGCTGGACTCGCGCCGGCTGCAGGCCAAGTACAAGTCCACCTGAACACCCACCCGCCGCTCTACATTCGCTTCACTGCGGCTTTTGCGAATTTAACGGTGCACTTGGCCGGAATTTACCTATTTAATTTTGTCTGACAGCTGGCACGCAGTTTTGTTGGATTTGTTTCTCTGCTGCATTAACTGCTAATGGGACAGTTTTAGTTACTCCGCTACATTGATTGTGCATTTCCGGTATCACGATTAAAAGCGTACAACATGAGCGCGAGCAGAAATAATTTTGTTTTGCGCTTTTTTGTCGTTTTGTCGGGTCGTCGAAACGGGAAATCACAACTTTTCGTCATTACTAATTTAACACATAGTTCTTATAATACATCAAAACTTCTTAACTACAGATATATGCTGTTGCGGGATGCGTAAAATTTCTCACTTTACCTTCATACTACGTGGGAAACACATAATTTCTTGGGTTTTCTTCATGAACTGCATCCGAGATAGAAAACGTTCTTGGGTTCTCTTTGCAAGTGCATGCAGGATGCATAAATTACTACGGTTCTCATGAGTACTTGTACATGGAAGGTGCATCAATGCCGTAGGTACTCTTTGCAAGTACATGCGAGATACATCACATTTCTTAGGTATTCGTCATAATTAGTTCCAAAATGCATAAATTTCGTAGGTAACCTTTGCAAGTACATGCGAGATAGACCAAATTTTGGGAGTTTGCGTCACAATTAGATGCAAAATGAATAAATTTCTACAGTTTTCTTCAAAATTTCATGGAATGCGCATCAGTTTAACGAAGGTACCCTTTGCAATTAATCGTAAGTACATGCAAATTACTCTGTAGATAAAATTTCGCAAGTCCCTTTCGATTCCCTTTTCTACTTTATATTTCTGTATGTACTGTTCAGTTAACTTTCTACACTTTTCTACTTTACATTTCTGCACGTACTTTCAGTTAACTTTCTACTTTAAATGGCAGTATCTCCCTTTCGATGCCCTTTTCTACTTTATATTTCTGCACGTACTTTCAGTTAACTTTCTACACTTTTCTACTTTACATTTCTGCACGTACTTTCAGTTAACTTTCTACTTTAAATGGCAGTATCTCCCTTTCGATTCCCTTTTCTACTTTATATTTCTGCATGTACTTTTTAGTTAACTTTCTACTTTACATGGCAGTATCTCGCTTCATTTCACTTTTCTACTTCATATTTCTGGATGTACTTTCAGTTAACTTTCTACTTTACATGGCAGTATCTCCCTTTCGATTCCCTTTTCTACTTTATATTTCTGCATGTACTTTTTAGTTAACTTTCTACTTTACATGGCAGTATCTCCTTTCAGTTCCTTTTCTACTTTATATTTCTGCATGTACTTTTTAGTTAACTTTCTACTTTACATGGCAGTATCTCCCTTTCGATTCCCTATTCTACTTTATATTTCTGCATGTACTTTTTAGTTAACTTTCTACTTTACATGGCAGTATCTCCCTTTCGATTCCCTTTTCTACTTTATATTTCTGCATGTACTTTTTAGTTAACTTTCTACTTTACATGGCAGTATCTCGCTTCATTTCACTTTTCTACTTCATATTTCTGGATGTACTTTTCAGTTAACTTTCTACTTTACATGGCAGTATCTCCCTTTCGATTCCCTTTTCTACTTTATATTTCTGCATGTACTTTTTAGTTAACTTTCTACTTTACATGGCAGTATCTCCCTTTCGATTCCCTTTTCTACTTTATATTTCTGCATGTACTTTTTAGTTAACTTTCTACTTTACATGGCAGTATCTCGCTTCATTTCACTTTTCTCCTTCATATTTCTGGATGTACTTTTCAGTTAACTTTCTACTTTACATGGCAGTATCTCCCTTTCGATTCCCTTTTCTACTTTATATTTCTGCATGTACTTTTTAGTTAACTTTCTACTTTACATGGCAGTATCTCGCTTCATTTCACTTTTCTACTTCATATTTCTGGATGTACTTTTCAGTTAACTTTCTACTTCACATGGCAGTATCTCCCTTTCGATTCCCTTTTCTACTTTATATTTCTGCATGTACTTTTCAGTTACCTTTCTACTTTACATGGCAGTATCTCGCTTTTATTTCACTTTTCTACTGTATATTTCTGCACGTACTTTCAGTTAACTTTCTACACTTTTCTACTTTACCTTTCTGCGCGTACTTTCAGTTAACTTTCTATTTTAAATGGCAGTATCTCCCTTTCGATGCCCTTTTCTACTTTACCTACGAATTGATGCACATTCCATGTAATTATGAAGTAAGCCGTAGAAATTTATGCATTTCACTTCTAATTATGATGAATACCTACGAAATTTCTTCTATTTAGCATGTACCACCAAGAGTACTTGCGAAACTGATGCGTTTTCCATGTAATATGAAGGAAACGTCAAACGTTTGTGCATTTTGCATCTACTGTAATTATGATGGATACCTTAGAATTCCGTCTAACTCGCACGTGCTTGCAAAGAGAACCTTCGAAACTGATGCATCTATGAAGAAAACTTTGTGCATTTGTGCATTTGGTTGTAATGATTGCCCATCCCCGTTGCTGGTGGCCTTGCTGCATTCTTCCGTCAAATACCGGCTGCAACACAACATCCGCTGCATTAGTTATATTGAAATATATCTTTTTTCCAATAAATATGTATTAGCAATGTATTAGCAATGTAAATATTTTTTCATTTAAAAAAACATTAATGGTTTTATTAAACTTAATTTATTGATATTTAATGTATTTAATAAATAACAAGCTAATATTATGATAAATTTTCTACAGTTAAATGTTGCGCTTACTTTTTATTGCCACCGCATCCGCTGCGGACGAAGGTCTGGCAGACACCGGTGGCCGGGTTGAGGTTCCAGCGCGTGATCTCCGCGTGACACACGCCGGTGTCCGTCGCCTCCGAGCAGCCCGGCTGGGGGGTGGGGGTGGGCCCCCGGCTTGGCAGTCACTTGCAGAATGCAGACCTGGACCGTAACTTCCGGCGCCGCACGAGTCGCGGCGGGCGTCGTGGCCGCTGTAAACCAACAGACCCGGTCATTTTTATCATAAAGTAAGGGAATTTCTCAATATACCCATGGTTGCGGCTTTAGTTATGATAGCTTTATTGGTCAAATCAGAATGCGGTACACAATTATTAGAAAAGACACACAAACTACGGCTTTAGTTGGCATTGTCGGCTTCGTCGGCGTTGTTATTGGGAGCACCTGCCAGTTATTTACAATAATTAGTCAATCTCAGTGTTTAAATATCTATATTTTTATAAATTTAAACATGTTAAACATTAGCGATCAAGGCTATTTATCAAACATTAATAAATATGTAGTACACGTATTTCAATAAAATTTAATAAATAAAATATATGTGTTTTAAAAAATAAAAATGTCCCATTCCGGCATTTTGCTAGCAGTGCAGCGGACAGTGTTCATTTGAAGATTAGGTGAGAACACCAGCCATGCTTTGACAGTTAAACTACAACAACATACAAGTACGTAATATACAAGTCATACGTATCTGTACCTGCCGCTGCGGACGCAGGCGGGCAGGTCCACGTTTGGCTTCCGCTTAATTCCGTCCAACTGTTAAAATTCAAGGATTAAGCGTTTGCGCAAGCACCACATTTTCTAATGCGGTAAATCCTCACTGCAACTGCCGCTCTCTCTTTCTGCGCCGCGATGTTATTTAGCGTGTGCTCGATTATTGGTCGGTTACTGTTAGCGCTGTTACGCGAAATACGCTTGTGTACCTAACAATCGCCTTCTGTGACTCGGCTAAGAATTGTTTAAAAAACTTTTACGGTTGGCAGTTTATCACCTCTTTTCATCCAGTGAAAATCAAATCAAACTCTTTAATCAAACAGATTCAGTTAAATCGAACAGTTATAAACAACCAATCAGTTTCAGTTAAAGTTTAACCCAACTAAACAATAACACAAGCAAGTCAAGCGAGAAACAGGCTTCGACGGCATCCAGTTATTTGCCTTCGGGCTTCTTCTTCGTGAATCGCCCTCTCTGGTCTCGTTCCCGGGGTGCATTTGCCGTCTTCCCTGGCTTCTCACGCGTCTGCTGGGCGTCCTCCTCCTCCGTTTCCACGACAGTTGCGGGCGTGGGGGACTCTTCGCTGTGCGCCGCTGGCTCACTGTGCTCCGGTGCCTGCGCGTTCTGCTCCAACCGATCGTGGGTGTGCTTCCGGTCGAGGATGGGCACCGTGCCGCCCATATCCAGCTTGACCATACAATCAGTCGTCCGGCGACAACGCCAGAAGTGTTTCCCCCCGACTTTTGTGAAGTCCCGGAGATATTCAAAATCGTCCAGCGTCAGCACTTCGCCCCCGCGCTGACTGACCGGAGCCACCGTTCCCTTGCCCGGTTGAACGGGCTGAACGGAGGATACCTAAGGAAACGAGCAATGATAACATAAATCGCAATTTACAACCGAAAACAGCAACCTAGATTTTTCCAAAAAATTATAAAACACACTTTCTGAATAAACACACTTTATTCATGTTTTAACACTTGTTTTTCCAAGCATTTACTCTAGAATATTTTCGAACAATTGTACGTTAATTTTCAGTATTCACAATCAAATTTTACCATTAATTTTTTCCATAATTTTTAGCTTTATTAAGCATTATTATTTCTTCCTTTCCAATTGAGTGCAAATATTTATTCAGGCATACGATGTAGCGTTATACGTACGAAACTTTATGTTCAAACATTTGTTTTCAATTTGTTCGCTGAGAATTCGTTTAACCTTTATTTTTTTCACTGTATTTTTTCTTTCGACTTTCTAAATATTTCAACATTAATGACTGATTGATGCCACTGATTTGCGTAAAGAAACCGCTGATGACCATTACCCACCTCGGCGTCATCGATCTTCTTCACGCCGCGCGTCTCCGTCTTCTTGCGCGAAACTCCCGCATCTCCTTTTCCTCGTTCGCCCAGCTGCAACGGGAAACACGTTAAACGAACGCTGCACAATGACACAAGCCAGCGGACCCACATAAAATTTCTTCCAATCCAAGAAATGACTTCGCATTTACATATTTTTATCATGTTTCTGATTAAAATTTTACAGAGGAAAAATTAAACAATTAAAGTTCAACAAGTTAAAACAATGGTGCAGGAAACGATTAACAAAATTACAAGTAATTTTTAAAACAAATACGCAAATCCAGTGCAATAAAAGCATTCAAAGAAAAACGCAATACGAGGATCGTGTTTTTCGAACATTTTCTACTGGCATGTTTTTAAAAATCTGTTTTCATGTTCACTCAAAGGGCAGACGGTCTCTGGTCCACCTCGCTTTCATGAATGAACTCAGTTAAAAAATTTCATTTTTCGATTTAATGTCTATAAAAACATTATTAATTTTATTTCTAAATAATATTATAGCGCCTGCAACAACGCACTCGCAATTCACGGCATGGAATCTGACAATAACACAACGCTTACCAGGAGCACCTGTTTGGCCGTCTCACACTCTTCGGGGCTGCCGGGGCCAACCTCCGCTGGGGCTTTGCCGCTGGTCTCCTCGGTTGGCGCAGGTTGCTTGCTGTTGGGGATGGCGGCGGGGATGCAGTTGTAGCTGCTCGTCTGCCGGTTCAGCGTGGAGAACTCCTCCACAATCTGCTCGCACGGTGCGCTTTTTACCATGAACTCGCCGACCGTCGCTGAGCCGTTCTCGCACTCGACCTGGCGCTGGGCGGCGGGGGCCGGAGCGTGGTAGGCGCGGGACGTCTCGTTTTCCACCACGTCGCCCAACTGGAACGACGCATCCTGTCCATTCTCGCCGATGCCCTCCATGCGCATCATCTCCGCCTCGCAGTCGTTCACCGTCTCGCCCGCCACCGTCACCCCGCTGGCCTTCTCGTCGTCGCGGACCGGGAAGTTGATCTTCACCTGGAAGCGGTTATCCAGGTCCGTCAGAGTGCGGCCGTTGTCGTCCATGACGCGGGCATGGGTGCGGCTGTCCAGCGGCACCTCCACGCGCGGCTTGCGCTGCTACACAACGGACATTAACGCGATTACAGGATGCAAAGGAGATGCAGCAAAGTAAAGGAAAAAAGTAAACGTAAACGAGATACTGCGATGCAAAGTACAAAACTGACATGCAAAGGAGATGCAGCAAAGTAAAGTAAAAAAGTAAACGTAAACGAGATACTGCGATGCAAAGGACAAAACTGACATGCAAAGGAGATGCAGCAAAGTAAAGTAAAAAAGTAAACGTAAACGAGATACTGCGATGCAAAGGACAAAACTGACATGCAAAGGAGATGCAGCAAAGCAAAGTAAAAAAGTAAACGTAAACGAGATACTGCGATGTAAAGTACTGTAGCCGCTAGATGAAGTGGCTCCACTTTTAGATCCGCCCGCTGCCTGCACCTGGCCGGGCATTGAGCACGAGCCTTCCTCCCACCGGGAGGCGCGCACTTTGCTTTTCGATATTAGTACTGTACTGTTACTAACTGTTCTGCCTGCCAGAACTCCCAAAAACCACAACAAACCAGATTTATAAATCGGAAACTATCCTAGCTGTGACATTATGCTCTTACAATAATTATCGTACGTTGCTAAAATTAAGAAACTCAGTAAAACATGTAGAACGTCAGCATCAGAGTGAAAATTGTTTGAAATCAAACACAATTCTGCACGGAGCAATGTGTGTATATTGGGCCTGCATTTTCCCGTATACCAGACTCTGTGGAGCCACTTCATCCAGCGGCTACAGTACAAAACTGACATGCAAAGGAGATGCAGCAAAGTAAAGTAAAAAAGTAAACGTAAACGAGATACTGCGATGTAAAGTACAAAACCGACATGCAAAGGAGATGCAGCAAAGTAAAGTAAAAAAGTAAACGTAAACGAGATACTGCGATGTAAAGTACAAAACTGACATGCAAAGGAGATGCAGCAAAGTAAAGTAAAAAAGTAAACGTAAACGAGATACTGCGATGCAAAGTACAAAACTGACATGCAAAGGAGATGCAGCAAAGTAAAGTAAAAAAGTAAACGTAAACGAGATACTGCGATGCAAAGGACAAAACTGACATGCAAAGGAGATGCAGCAAAGCAAAGTAAAAAAGTAAACGTAAACGAGATACTGCGATGTAAAGTACAAAACTGACATGCAAAGGAGATGCAGCAAAGTAAAGTAAAAAAGTAAACGTAAACGAGATACTGCGATGTAAAGGACAAAACTGACATGCAAAGGAGATGCAACAAAAGTAAAATAAAAAAATAAACATAAACAAGGATACAAAGGACAAAACTTGACATGACAAAGGAGATGCAGCAAAGTAAAGTAAAAAAGTAAACGTAAAACGAGATACTGCGATGTAAAATTACAAAACTGACATGCAAAGGAGATGCAGCAAAGTAAAAAAAGTAAACGTAAACGAGATACTGCGATGTAAAGTACAAAACTGACATGCAAAGGAGATGCAGCAAAAGTAAAGTAAAAAAAACATAAACGAGATACTGCGAAGTAAAATTACAAAACTGACATGCAGAGGAGATGCAGCAAAGTAAAGTAAAAAATAAACGCAAACGAGATACTGCGATGTAAAGAACCAAACTGACATGCAAGAGATGCAGCAAAGAAAAGTAAAAAAGTAAACGTAAACGAGATACTGCGATGTAAAGAACCAAACTGACATGCAAAGGAGATTCAGCAAAGTAAAGTAAAAAAGTAAACGTAAACGAGATACTGCGATGTAAAGTACAAAACTGACATGCAGAGGAGATGCAGCAAAGTAAAGTAAAAAAGTAAACGTAAACGAGATACTGCGATGTAAAGTACAAAACTGACATGCAAAGGAGATGCAGCAAAGTAAAGTAAAAAAGTAAACGCAAACGAGATACTGCGATGTAAAGAACCAAACTGACATGCAAAGAGATGCAGCAAAGAAAAGTAAAAAAGTAAACGTAAACGAGATACTGCGATGTAAAGAACCAAACTGACATGCAAAGGAGATTCAACAAAACAAAGTAAAAAAAAAAGTAAACGTAAACGAGATACTGCGATGTAAAGTACAAAACTGACATGCAGAGGAGATGCAGCAAAGTAAAGTAAAAAAGTAAACGTAAACGAGATACTGCGATGTAAAGTACAAAACTGACATGCAAAGGAGATGCAGCAAAGTAAAGTAAAAAAGTAAACGTAAACGAGATACTGCGATGTAAAGAACCAAACTGACATGCAAAGGAGATTCAGCAAAGTAAAGTAAAAAAGTAAACGTAAACGAGATACTGCGATGTAAAGTACAAAACTGACATGCAGAGGAGATGCAGCAAAGTAAAGTAAAAAAGTAAACGCAAACGAGATACTGCGATGTAAAGAACCAAACTGACATGCAAAGAGATGCAGCAAAGAAAAGTAAAAAAGTAAACGTAAACGAGATACTGCGATGTAAGAACCAAACTGACATGCAAAGGAGATTCAACAAAATAAAAGTAAAAAGTAAACGCAAACGAGATACTGCGATGTAAAGAACCAAACTGACATGCAAAGAGATGCAGCAAAGAAAAGTAAAAAAAGTAAACGTAAACGAGATACTGCGATGTAAAGTACAAAACTGACATGCAGAGGAGATTCAGCAAAAGTAAAGTAAAAAAAGTAAACGCAAACGAGATACTGCGATGTAAAGAACCAAACTGACATGCAAAGAGATGCAGCAAAGAAAAGTAAAAAAGTAAACGTAAACGAGATACTGCGATGTAAAGAACCAAACTGACATGCAAAGGAGATTCAGCAAAGTAAAGTAAAAAAGTAAACGCAAACGAGATACTGCGATGTAAAGAACCAAACTGACATGCAAAGAGATGCAGCAAAGAAAAGTAAAAAAGTAAACGTAAACGAGATACTGCGATGTAAAGTACAAAACTGACATGCAGAGGAGATGCAGCAAAGTAAAGTAAAAAAGTAAACGCAAACGAGATACTGCGATGTAAAGAACCAAACTGACATGCAAAGAGATGCAGCAAAGAAAAGTAAAAAAGTAAACGTAAACGAGATACTGCGATGTAAAGAACCAAACTGACATACAAAGGAATAAAATAAAGTAAAAAAAGTAAACGTAAACGAGATACTGCGATGTAAAGTACAAAACTGACATGCAGAGGAGATGCAGCAAAGTAAAGTAAAAAAGTAAACGTAAACGAGATACTGCGATGTAAAGTACAAAACTGACATGCAAAGGAGATGCAGCAAAGTAAAGTAAAAAGTAAACGCAAACGAGATACTGCGATGTAAAGAACCAAACTGACATACAAAAAGAGATGCAGCAAAGAAAAGTAAAAAGTAAACGTAAACGAGATACTGCGATGTAAAGAACCAAACTGACATGCAAAGGAGATTCAATAAAGTAAAGTAAAAAAAAGTAAACGTAAACGAGATACTGCGATGTAAAGTACAAAACTGACATGCAGAGGAGATTCAGCAAAGTAAAGTAAAAAAAGTAAACGCAAACGAGATACTGCGATGTAAAGAACCAAACTGACATGCAAAGAGATGCAGCAAAGAAAAGTAAAAAAGTAAACGTAAACGAGATACTGCGATGTAAAGAACCAAACTGACATGCAAAGGAGATTCAACAAATAAAGTAAAAAAAAAAAAAGTAAACGAGATACTGCGATGTAAAAGTACAAAACTGACATGCAGAGGAGATGCAACAAAGTAAAGTAAAAAAAGTAAACGCAAACGAGATACTGCGATGTAAAGAACCAAACTGACATGCAAAGAGATGCAGCAAAGAAAAGTAAAAAAGTAAACGTAAACGAGATACTGCGATGTAAAGAACCAAACTGACATGCAAAGGAGATTCAGCAAAGTAAAGTAAAAAAGTAAACGCAAACGAGATACTGCGATGTAAAGAACCAAACTGACATGCAAAGAGATGCAGCAAAGAAAAGTAAAAAAGTAAACGTAAACGAGATACTGCGATGTAAAGTACAAAACTGACATGCAGAGGAGATTCAGCAAAGTAAAGTAAAAAAGTAAACGCAAACGAGATACTGCGATGTAAAGAACCAAACTGACATGCAAAGAGATGCAGCAAAGAAAAGTAAAAAAGTAAACGTAAACGAGATACTGCGATGTAAAGAACCAAACTGACATGCAAAGGAGATTCAGCAAAGTAAAGTAAAAAAGTAAACGCAAACGAGATACTGCGATGTAAAGAACCAAACTGACATGCAAAGAGATGCAGCAAAGAAAAGTAAAAAAGTAAACGTAAACGAGATACTGCGATGTAAAGTACAAAACTGACATGCAGAGGAGATGCAACAAAATAAAAGTAAAAAAGTAAACGCAAACGAGATACTGCGATGTAAAGAACCAAACTGACATGCAAAGAGATGCAGCAAAGAAAAGTAAAAAAGTAAACGTAAACGAGATACTGCGATGTAAAGTACAAAACTGACATGCAGAGGAGATGCAGCAAAGTAAAGTAAAGTAAACGCAAACGAGATACTGCGATGTAAAGAACCAAACTGACATGCAAAGAGATGCAGCAAAGAAAAGTAAAAAAGTAAACGTAAACGAGATACTGCGATGTAAAGTACAAAACTGACATGCAGAGGAGATGCAACAAAATAAAATAAAAAAATAAACATAAACGAGATACTGCGATGTAAAGAACCAAACTGACATGCAAAGAGATGCAGCAAAGAAAAGTAAAAAAGTAAACGTAAACGAGATACTGCGATGTAAAGTACAAAACTGACATGCAGAGGAGATGCAACAAAGTAAAATAAAAAATAAACGCAAACGAGATACTGCGATGTAAAGAACCAAACTGACATGCAAAAGAGATGGCAAAGAAAAGTAAAAAAAATAAACATCGTGAGATACTGCGATGTAAAGAACCAAACTGACATGCAAAGGAGATTCAGCAAAGTAAAGTAAAAAAAGTAAACGTAAACGAGATACTGCGATGTAAAAGTACAAAACTGACATGCAGAGGAGATGCAACAAAATAAAATAAAAAAGTAAACGTAAACGAGATACTGCGATGTAAAGTACAAAACTGACATGCAAAGGAGATGCAGCAAAGTAAAGTAAAACAGTAAACGTAAACGAGATACTGCGATGTAAAGTACAAAACTGACATGCAGAGGAGATGCAGCAAAGTAAAGTAAAAAAGTAAACGCAAACGAGATACTGCGATGTAAAGAACCAAACTGACATGCAAAGAGATGCAGCAAAGAAAAGTAAAAAAGTAAACGTAAACGAGATACTGCGATGTAAAGAACCAAACTGACATGCAAAGGAGATTCAGCAAAGTAAAGTAAAAAAGTAAACGTAAACGAGATACTGCGATGTAAAGAACCAAACTGACATGCAAAGGAGATGCAGCAAAGTAAAGTAAAAAAGTAAACGTAAACGAGATACTGCGATGTAAAGTACAAAACTGACATGCAAAGGAGATGCAGCAAAGTAAAGTAAAAAAGTAAACGTAAACGAGATACTGCGATGTAAAGTACAAAACTGACATGCAAAGGAGATGCAGCAAAGTAAAGTAAAAAAGTAAACGTAAACGAGATACTGCGATGTAAAGTACAAAACTGACATGCAAAGGATAATAATAATTTTCAAATTTAATTTCACTGTCTGTGAAATTTTTATCAGAAATACCATTTTCAAAATTGTGTCGTAGGAAAAATTTCAGTTTTCAAAATGCAAAACTAACTGAATTTGAAATCGTGTCGAAATCAAAACAGAAACCATTACAGTTTGCTGCGCAGTGTACCTGTACGATGTCGAGATCGATGGGCAGCTTCTCCAGCGCTTTCAGCAGCTCCACCACTTCCTCGCTGCCCTGCAGTCGCAAATCAGCAAATGCAATCAACTCATTTTCACCAATTCACTTCTCTGGCAAACCGTGCAGATGCTCTGTTTTATGTGCATCATTTTATAATTAATTGTAATTCCATTGTAACAAACACGCAAGTATGGGGTACAGATGAATGACAGATGCATGGTAAATCTGACGTGTAAGACTGTAAGAGTTAAGACGGTGGAGAACCCAGTTACCCAGGCAGATACGAAGCTCCGTCTCAACGCTTGGCTCCTGCACAATATGCCACAACCACCACCAACAAACCGTATTCATTTTAAAACAGCCATGTGCATCGTAATCGTGTGCAGAAAGATATAACAGCACTGGCCCAGACGGCGTACCGTGCTTTTCTCCGCGACGAGCTTGTCGAGTTTGCTGCAGGTCTCCTGCACTTCGCGCTGAATCCCATTGCCCGCCGTCTCGCGCCCGTTCCCGTTGATACTGCCGCTCATTCTGCTGCCTTCTACGATCCCCTGATAGCTGCTGACAGCGGTAATTAGACACGAGTCGGAAGACGACGAGCAAGCCCAGCTGCAAATCCTCCAAGTTCAGCACAAAATCTGGCACAGACAAGCTGAACAACAAGTGCTTTGGCTCAGCCTCCTGCTCCACGCAAAATATAGTAGTAGACGCTCTCGCTCATCAATCCTCTACTCAAAACTCCTCCGATAGCTTACCATACGGTCCGTTCCCGAAAAACGTCAGATTTTGGGGGAAACTGGGATGAGATCATAAGAAACGGTCGAAAAGCGACGAAAACTCCAAAAGGCAGAAAGATGTGTCCCAGAAATTCTGCAAACTGCAAAGCGCGGTCTGTTGATTTGCGAACGGAAGCTGCCAGCGCAAGTACCACGTAGCTGTCACTCTGGCGGTTGCTGCAGCGACAGCCACAACATCTTCCGGTTCGGGTTGATTTTCATCGTCAAGTAAATACGTGTACTCGTACAGACTTACAGTAAGTAATTGCAAATTGTTTACATGCTTCTCATTGATAATTTCATATTAAAAGTTATAATATTTTGCCAGTTGTTTTCTGCAAACGTCCAGGAACCAGTTTATTCCTTTTCACAATGCGCAGTATTAATGCCATATGCAGAAAGCCATTTACAATAAAACTGCGAATATTTCTTCAATTTTTTCAGCGTCTTGTCTTTGATTCAAGATTTGCAGAACCGCCAAAGGATCTGGCAGATTTTTATTGCATTTACAGTTTATAAAAAACAAGCACAGAAAAATTCCAATAAGAAAATTCCAATAAGCACCTTATAAACTAACAGCAGGTCATATTTCGCGGTAAAAATCGTTGGAAGGAAACGCTAGATGAAAGGCCCGGTATCACCAGCTTTTTTTAAAAACTGAGAAATAATTCCGCTATATAATACTAGTGGAATGATCGTTTGTGATCGCTGCCAATTACTCCCCGACTTTCTCCTGGCAGAGGTTCTCGATTTCTACAAAAAAGAATTTTGATTTAATTGCTAGCAGTAACTGAATTTTCAATTAGCAGGGTTTAAATTATTAAATGTAAACTTGATAAAACAATTTGGAAGTTTTATTTAATGGACAGTTAATTTGTGGCTTTGAAATGCCAACATGTAGCAGAAGTACAGCTGGAGTCGAAATGGTGGAACGTACTGGTGGCGATTTGCAGGAGAGAGCGCGTGCTGGGACTGTCCGGCAGATCCCCGATGAAATTCCGTCCTTCATCGCAACAACGGCCTGCACAAGCAATGGAAAATGTATCGACAGCACGCGCAATGCGAAACACGCTTGAGAACACACTGACAGATGGCCGGATCGAGCGGCACCCGTCCCAGCAACGTCAGACCGGCTTCCTCGCACAGCTTCTCCACACCACCGCTACTGGCTGGAAAAATCACCGAATCCAGCTGCAGATTATTAAAACATTATTCATTAATTCTGAATAACTGGGTTCCTGATAAAATCTGAATAATCGAACTTGTCGACTAACTTTTATTCTCTGAATTGTTACTAAATTAGTTTTCTTGCTTTTTAACTGCGATATGCTGAATTAATACTTACGTTTTTTAATACAGGCACTTAATTAGCTTTTTATTGTGGGATTCTTAGTCATTAATTTGGTTTCTTGACCTTCTTCCGATTTATCAAAATAATTACATTAACTGAAGCCTGAATGCACTAAAGACAACAACGACCTTGCACTTGGGACAGACGAAGCGGCTCATGTTCGCCACGACGCCGAGGATGGGGAGGTGGACCTTGCGGCAGAAGCTGACCTGCTTGCGGACGTCCTGCAGCGCCACCTCCTGCAGCGTGCTGACCAGGACGGCGCCGTCCAGCCCGGCGGCGGCCAGGTAGCCCACCAGCGAGAGGTGCTCGTCGGAGGTGCCGGGCGGCGTGTCCACCAGCAGGTAGTCCAGCTGGCCCCAGTCCACGTCGCGCAGGAAGTTCTTGATCATCGTGTTCTTCTTCGGGCCGCGCCAGATCACGGCGTCGTCGCCGCCGCCCAACAGGAACCCGATCGACATCACCGCCAGATTTTCATCTGCATACTGCAAACGTCATAGTTTTTCAGTCGGGTGTACCGATATGAATGGAAAAAAGGAGCAACGCACCACGGGTGACCAGCCCGAGCCGCTCTGGTGAACCTAAGAACAGCCGGAAAACTGTAAACCACTCGCCAATAACAAGTTCATTTTCAAACCGATACAAGACGTCATTTAATCTTTATTCCATATTTGCAATTTCATCCAATTTTCTGGCACTGATATAAACTTTCGCACTGGTTTTTATTTTACTTAATATTTACTAACTTGTATTTGTTGGCAACAACTGTCATATTTTTCTATACTGGTTGATATATGATTTGATTCAATTACATAATTATTCCTTTCATGTTTCACTCGTTCGACCAAGTACCTGTTCGCCGGCCAGTCCGAGCATGGTCGGCACGGACGCTCCACAGACGTCCACATCCAGCAGCGCAACCTGCAAAACGCCCATCTCGATAGCTACATGGTTGTTTATTCAAAAACAGCGTATGTTTCTGAGCAGTACGAAACTACGAAGGGTGCCAATTGAAGACTGCTTTCACCACCACGTATTGTCTACCATTAGGCTATCACTACCTAGTACAGATACGAGTACTGGTGCAGCACAGTCGAGCTGCTGCGGCTTCGTTCAGCTGCACAACCAACCAACATCAGCATTCCTCGAAAAACAAGTGCATTCCGTCCACATCCCCTAGGAAGTACAAAAGTAAACTAAAAAAGTAAACGTAAACGAGATACTGCGATGTAAAGTACAAAACTGACATGCAAAGGAGATGCAGCAAAGTAAAGTAAAAAAGTTAAATTAAACGAGAAACTTGCGATGTAAAGTACAAAACTGACATGCAAAAAGGGCACAACAAAGTGAAGTAAAAAAAGGAAACGAAACGAGATATTGCACGTAAAGTAGAAAACCAAAAGTGTAGCAATATCAGGACGGCTTTTTTGGAAAACAAAACAAATACTATGAACGCATTCTAAGTCAGCAGTAGGATGTTAATTAGTATTCCAATTAGTATTCACCTCAGAACAAAAGAAATATAATTTTCATCTGACGAGTGAGAAAATTAGTACAATTCGAGTACCCCACCTGACGTTTTGGTGGCCAAACAGATTAAACAGCTGCACCCGGAACAGATAGGCCAATAGCGGGAAGACGGTGAACATCTGGAAGAACAGCAGGCAGCGCGCTACGAGCGCCATAATTTCCTGGTTGGCGAAATTCTTCAATAAGTTCTGCAACAGATCCCCTGCGTCATCAATCTACTTCCACTAAGTTACACATACAATGTGGAGATTCTCACGTCGGCAATCAAGTGCTTATCCACCGGGAAGGCGGCGTAATAGCAGCCACCCACGAAAGCGTAACACACCGCCGCCATCAGAAACGCGATGCCGGTGTCGCGTTTGCGGTGCTGCGGATTGGCGTGGTGCGTCGTCATGCCCAGGATGCAGTTGTGGATGAAGAAGCCCATGGACAGTGTCCCCGTCAACGCCGGGAAGTGGCCGTTGAACACTGCAACACCAAGAAACGCTCTCTCCCCTGCGCAACTAATAAAAGAAAATATGCTCTACATTCGAATCCCGGCGAGCCGCTGGACGCGTTCCAGCCCCAGTCGCTGACCTTCTTGGACACGAAGACGATCATGTACAGGATGGAGACGATGCCGAAAGAGCTTAGTTTCGTGAAGAAGGTCGGATTGCGGATGCAGATCAACGGCAACAACAGGAACACCTATGCAATCAAACAAATCAGTTTTTAACCAACGAAATACTAAAAAAATAGACAAACTGATTATCGGAAATTTATAATATTCCTAGGGAGATAGAAATTTTTAAGTTTCTTTATGCCAGAAGAGCAAACGAAGTTGACGAAATAATCAAATAAACAAACCAAACGCAAACAAACCGGTAAACAGAAATAAATTGGAAAATCCAGATAAATAAATGACGAAAAATTAAATTACAGAGCTAAAATGCGCACCAGATAAAACGGGACGGTCAGGAGTTCATTCCAGTAGCGCGCAAAGCGTCCCTGTGGTCCCAGATCGGTGGCGGGATCGGTGATGTTGGCCGTTTCGGGATACTGCAGTTCTGCAGAATTTCAGATGAATTTATCATTTTATCATTATCATCACACGGCACACAGCGCACTGCCAAAATACGTCCGTACCGTAGAAATAGCAGCCGATCTGGTAGAGCATGGCCGACATGAGGATCCAGTAGACGACCATGGCGCCGATCAAGTTGAGGAGGGAGACCAGCAGACTGACGAAGGCCAGTCTGACGCCCAGCAGCCGGGCGCAGATGTCCTGGAACTCGACGATGGTGACGCCGGTGGTGGTCTGCAGGTAGTCGGCGGCCTTGTAGATGAGCGTGGTGGGGAAGAAGGCCAGCGCGCCCATCACGAACACCAGGCACACGCCCAACGCCAAACCGGCCTACATGCAAAATAGCTCAGCTTCCGCTGGATGGCGCAGTGTTTTGAAGGGAAATACGCACCTCCTGGATGGCCCAGGGCAGCACTAGCAGCGACGATCCCATCATCGTCGTCCATAAACTCAATCTGCAAATTGCAATGAGTGAACAATACTTGACCAAATCAAGTAAAGATAATTTCACTTCTGGGCAGTAGTAAGTGAACAAAAGAAATTTACATTCCATGTCTCAAAACCTTCAAAGCCCTGGTAAATTAAAACAACCGGAATTAAATTCAGAGAAATGGAGATTCGCCACTTACATGGTGACTAAACTGCCCTGGCTGTTTTGCGATTTCTCCACCGGAAATCCACTGGCAGTCTCTGCGCGTTCTAGCAGTCGCTCGCGGTCGGAATCCGCCCCGATCTCCGGGTACACATCGGTCGGGCGGCTGCCGACATCCTCGCCCCGCCGACCGCCGAATCTCCCCGCGTCCGATCGCTCCGGACGCCGCGGACTGGACGGAGCAGGTGGCGGCGCATACGGATACGCAGCGAGGCTGGGCGCGTCACCGACGCCAGGCAGCGTCGCGCCTTCCCTAAACGTCAACGCACGATTGGACTCCATACAAAACAAGGGAAATTACAGTACTGTGTAATTATTCTTTCAATATGGTAAAATCTCCTTGAATCTGCTAACTGGAAATCAAATACAATTCAATGAAAATAAAAACCTGCTAATCAAAATTAAATAATATTAAACTCCTGATATAAAAATAAAATAAAATTTTGACAAATACAACTCAATTCTGATGAAACAATTAAAATAAAAATAAAATTCTGATAAACAAGAATTAAATAAAATTGCACTTTAGACTGTAATCTACGAAGTATGATCAGCATTCAGCAATATAATAAAAAATTTAATAAAATCCAATTCGCTACAATAAAATCATGAAAATAACCGTCCGTCGGGTGAAGCTTTAATGCCCCATTCCACTTTAATCTGCTTAATCAGAATGCTTTGTTTACCTTTGAAGCACATCGTCCGGGAGATGACTGCGCTGGCGGATGCCGGAAATGAGGGGGAGACGCGCGGCGGTGGGGATGTTGGAGAGGAACTGTTCGTCGTTGGTCAGCGCGTCGCTGTCGCTGTTCCGCATCACCACGGGCTCCTCAACCACGCTGTCCGCCATGGATATTTCTACAGCTCGGAGAATGGGGCAAAGTTATCAACCAATGCTAAACTGGCCAGATGTATTCCACACTGATAACCATCGCATCACCCAACACGTTCAAACATGACAAACAGTATAAAATCAAAAATACTGTAAATCAACGATCACGAATAATGCAAGCAAAGTAAGCTAACGCACTGCATTCCAGACTGTCCTCGTCGCAGATCGCAGTCTTTCGTATGTACTGATAGCACCCGCTGTGCGTTGTGAAAAAACACCAGAAGAATGCACTCGTCGGTGGATGGGAAATGTGTCAATACGGCAGAATTCCAGACAAGTGGAGCGAGCGCGTAAATTTATCGGAAAAGCTGGACTTGGACTTCGGCACATCGCGATAAAAGGCAGCACAGGCCACAGGGTGGCGTGACCGCACGAATGCGATACCAGGGGGCAGAGCCGTCGTGCACCTACGATGTGCGAATTCCATTCCACAATGCGTCGACCGGAAGCACCCCGATGCAGCATGCTCGGCACGTTGCCCGCTCTTCTTGCAAGTTGCAACACGTATGCAGCCAACAATTTTTTCTACGTCAGTTTGTTGTTGTATTTTTTACATTTTCGAAGCAGTGCTTTTTAGTTTTTACCATTAGTTTTCTTACTGTGCCTTCATACTTCATAATAATTGTCAGTTTGTCACTACATTCCTGTGCATATTAATTAAAGTAAATCCTCTGCCTGATCACCGTTAGCGGCGCATACTGAGTAATAGATTTATCCTTCTGCACTTGCTGGTTTTCCGGACTGGCGTGTCGACTCGCGAAGAATGGCTGATTCACAGGCGTCTTCTTTGTTGAGCTGGAGCAGCATCACGACGCTGTCCATCACGCTGCTCTTCGGGAAGAAGACCGACGCGGAGACAGCCTCCGCCGACGCGCCCGTCACTGATCGCGGCGCTGCGGAGAAAGGGAAAGCAGCGAAGGAAACGGGCAAGAATGCAAGAACAAGAGCGCGCGCGCCGTCCCCAGCAAGGACGCCGCGGCCGGAAAGGGGGCCGCCGAGAGGTACCGCCATCCGCTGCTGGTGGCCAGCCTCAAGGGCCACAGCGCCGACATCTGCGACGGGCATTTCAACGCGTCGCAGATTCAACTCGTCACGTCCGCCAAAGGTACTTGTACAGTTCTGAGTAGTGCCCGTTTGGCCTTAATAACAGGATTTACAGAATTTTCGCTGGCAGAAATTGTTTTTGCCACGGTGTTGCCATTTGCAGACCGCTCGCTAATTTTATGGACCTGCAGTGATTTCCTCACCGATGATCCCGCAAAAGAACCACGGTATTTATTATTTTTATTTGTTGCACAAAATCCTTTTATTTTTTCTCTCTGATAACTTTCGTTGTATGCATTTGTTTTAAATGTTTTAAAATATAATTTATCGTTGCAACATTTAAACGTTGCAACAACGTCGCCCTGTTATTAGTTACTCCTTATCAATTTTTCTGTGTTTTCAGTATTTTTAGATTGATGATTTCTTTGCGTTTTTTTAAAATTACTGTTGTCACTGGTTGATCAGCATTACAGTTAATAATCATTGGCATTAATTTTTGTTTTATTTACTTCTATTTTTTATTTTCGTTTTTTTACTTTTCTGTTTAAACGCTAGTTTTTCCTAATTATGTTAAGTATTCCGCTTGACGCTATCATTGTTCTTCTTGATCCAGGTTTCACGCCGGAAGTGCGCGCGTGGGCCATCGTGGCGGAACAAATCCAGCGGCGACGTGCAGTCCGTGGAGAAGGCCTTCGAGCTGACGGGGCACAGCGCGGCCATCCCGGCCTTCGCCTTCTCGGGCGACTCCACCCACATGCTCTCCGTCAGCAAGGACAAGTCCTTCCGCCTCTTCGACGTCAACGTCGACTACAAGAAGCGCCAGTCGCCGCGCCTCGTCCAGCACGCGCCCTGGACCGCCGCCGCCGTGGACGACAAGCGGCCGCTGCACTGCGCGCTGACCAACGACTCGCGCTGCGTCGTCATCGCCTACCGAGCGGACCTCTTGATTTTATCAGGTGTGGACGGGACGGTGCGGTGCCGCATCGACAGCTGCCTGGCGGGGACGCCCGGAGGTGGCAGCGTCGACGTGGGCCGGCTGCTGCTGGATCCGACGTCGGGCTTCGTGCTGGTCATTGGCGGACGCGTGGTGCGGGTGTTCCGCAATCTGGTCGGACTGGAGGTGGCCGTGGAGGCGCTGAAGGAGAGCTTGAAGTTCGCCTCGCAGGATTCGGTGCGCAGTCGCATTCAGGGTCAGATGGAGGCCGCGGAGACGGCGCTGCAAGCATGTCGAAAGAAATTCACCTTGTAACGGATTTTTATCGTCCAGTTTTTTATTTCGTTTTGTTTTTGTTGATTCGCTGTTTTTTTTAACGTAGAGAATGCTTTGGTAGTTATTTGTCGCGGCTGTCCGTCCATTCAGTTAAAAGCAGAAAAAATGACTTTGAAAAATTAAGAAAATCTGGCAGCTTCGGAGAAATGAAGTCAATTAAAATTACAGAAATTAAAAAATATTTACACCAGAAATTTAAAATCTCCAAAGAAATCCAACTGAATTAAAGCAAAAACAAAAATGTTTAATACAGGAACCACAAAGCAAAATCAGAAGAAAGGAAAAATAAATCAGATACATACTGAGAAAACATCCCGAGATTGCAGTAGCAGTAGCACAGCTGAACACTGCACAGTGCTTCATAATATGGGAGATTTACATAGTTTTTCAGTGCTGTACAATTTACGTTAATTGTAGCGGTATGTCTTCGTATCTCACTCGTTTACTTTACATTAACTGGGTTGCGGCGGCTCTCAAATCGCTACAAATCAGCGATAGTTTGCATTGCAGAGGCAATAAAAATGGCCATTTGCGCAGTATATATGGTTGGCGGCATTTTTAGGGCACGAAACAGTGTGCATAAATCATCGTAATTCTCAAACCGAAACATCTTGCGAAATTTGACTTCCGGCATATCTTCCAGGTTGATATCGAAACGCGCACAATGGCGGTTTTCAGAATTGTTTTCGCCATCAGAAGTCAGGATAAAAATGGCCAAGATGCAGTACAGTTTCATTTTAGAAAAATACGTTGTACAGCGGCGGGTAGTCGCTAAACGTTATTTCCTATTCCGAGCCATATTTGCAGAATAGATATATTATACGAACAATATTAAGTACTGTCCGCGGTGCCGCATCGACAACAGTCTGGCGCTGGCGCTTCAAAATTTGAAGTTACTATCACTTGCACTTTGATAAGAAAAGCCAAATGAAGCTCTCGAAATCTGTGCTGGTGATTTTATTTAATTCCTGCTGATGAGATGTATGGATTGTTGGATGTTATTGCTGTTGCCCTTTGTTTTCGAACGCGCTTTGGCGGTTAGATCAAATGTTTTGGTGCATCAAATATTATGGTGCTGATGTGTTAATTGCCTGCAATGTGTTTTCGCAAGGCACTTTCACAAACCGACACAAGCAGCCTTTTTCTTAGCAGACCGCAGCCGCCAGCAATGCAAAGTGCAAACTATCGTTTGGAATGCCACATCTGAGAGCCGCCGCAATCCAGTTATTACCTTTTCATTTCACGCTCTACATTACAAAGCTTTATGACCTTTGCTTCACTTTTTTACTTTTTATATATTTCTGCATGTACTTTTCGTTTAACGTTCTACTTTAGATGACAATATCTCCCTTTCCTTTCACATTTTTACTTTAGATTTCTGCATGTACTTTTCGTTTAAATTCCTGCGTTACATGACAATATCTCCCTTTCCTTTCACTTTTTTACTTTAGATTTCTGCATGTACTTTTCGTTTAACGTTCTACTTTAGATGACAATATTTCCTTTCCTTTCACTTTTGCTTTATATTTTTGCATGTACTTTTCGTTTAACTTTCTGCTTTACATGACAATATCTCCCTTTCCTTTCACTTTTTTACTTTAGATTTCTGCATGTACTTTTCGTTTAACGTTCTACTTTAGATGACAATATTTCCCTTTCCTTTCACTTTTTTGCTTTATATTTTGCATGTACTTTTCGTTTAACTTTCTGCTTTACATGACAATATCTCCCTTTCCTTTCACTTTTTTACTTTAGATATCTGCATGTACTTTTCGTTTAACGTTCTACTTTAGATGACAATATCTCCCTTTCCTTTCACTTTTTTACTTTAGATTTCTGCATGTACTTTTCGTTTAACGTTCTACTTTAGATGACAATATCTCCTTTCCTTTCCTTTTTTACTTTAGATTTCTGCATGTACTTTTCGTTTAACGTTCTACTTTAGATGACAATATCTCCCTTTCCTTTCACTTTTTTACTTTAGATTTCTGCATGTACTTTTCGTTTAACGTTCTACTTTAGATGACAATATTTCCCTTTCCTTTCACTTTTTTGCTTTATATTTCTGCATGTACTTTTCGTTTAACTTTCTGCTTTACATGACAATATCTCCCTTTCCTTTCACTTTTTTACTTTAGATATCTGCATGTACTTTTCGTTTAACGTTCTACTTCAGATGACAATATCTCCCTTTCCTTTCACTTTTTTACTTTAGATATCTGCATGTACTTTTCGTTTAACGTTCTACTTCAGATGACAATATCTCCCTTTCCTTTCACTTTTTTACTTTAGATTTCTGCATGTACTTTTCGTTTAACTTTCTGCTTTAAATGACAATATCTCCCTTTCCTTTCACTTTTTTACTCTATACGCTCTTTATTGATCTAACTCGTATCGCAGCAGAGGCAACTGATTAGAAAAGATAGAATCGTAGCTACGAGAATCGAGGAAACAGAAAGTTGCAAAGAAGGAACAGAATCAGGAAACTACGAATCAAGAGAAAAAATTGTTAGTATCAAACCGTACGTGCAAGTCCACTTTGCAGTCGTACATACACCACACAAACAGATATCAGGAACAACCGTCCAAGTTAAAATTTAACAAAACACAGTAACACAATCTAGTAACCGACAACACAGGATGCTTCCTGATCGACATAGCTGCACACAGTCCGCGTTTTCGAGTGGCTTCTGGAATGGACGTGTGGACTTCGAGGGCCATCCAGTCACCTACGCGTCCTTCTTGGACTTCTTCACGAAGCGGCCCCTGTGGTCCCGCTCACGGGGCACGTCCACCGTCTTCGCGGGCTTATCGGCTGTCTGGCGATCGTTCTCCTCCGTCTCCGCCACGTCAGCTGGCGCTGGGGATTCTTCGCTGTGCACCGCTGGCTCAGCGCGCTCCCGTGCCTTCGCGTTGTGCTTCCAGTGATTCGGGTCCAGGACGGCCACGTCGCCTTGCAGTTCCAGCTTGGCCCGACACAACCCCCTCTGACGACAACACCACCAGTTTTCTCGGCCGTGGTCACGCAGATACTCGTGCCCACCCAGCGTCAGCACCTCCGTTCCATGGGTGCTTACCGAAAACTGCACCCTGCTGATCGGATAAATGATGGGAAGCGATGGAACCTAAGGATACGAGCAATGATCACATAAATCGCAATTTACAACCGAAAACAGCAACCTAGATTTTTCCAAAAATTTATAAAACATGAATATACACGCTTTATTCAAGTTTGACATATTTTTCCATGCATTTTCTCCAGAACATTTTCTAGAAATACACGTGTCCTTCATTATTCACGAATCACACTTTACCATTTATATTTTTCATAATTTTAAGTTTATAAACATTCATTTTTAACTTTTTGTAAATATTCATTCAAGCCTACCATATATGTTTGTACGTATATTCATCTTAAAACATTTATTTTCAGTTTGTTTACTGAGCTTTCGTTTAACCTTTTACTTTCGACGTTGTATCTTTCGACTTTCTTAATATTTCAACATCAGCGATTGCTTACTGCCACAGATTTTCGTAACAGTTATTCAAACGGCCGATGGCCATTACCCACCTTTTTATCAGGCACTGTCTTCACCACGCCGCGCGTCGGCATCATTCTGCGCGAAACTCCTGCATCCTTTTTTCCTGCTTCGCGAACCTGCAACGGGAAACACGTTAAATGAACGCTGTTCAATGACACAAGCCAGCGGACGCACATAAAATTCCCTCCAATCCAAGAAATGACTTCGCATTTACATATTTTTATCATGTTTCTCAATAAAATTTTATAGAGGAAAAATTAATCATTTAAAGTTCAAGAAGTTAAAACCATGGTACATGAGACGGTTGACAAAATTACAAGTAATTTTAAAAACAAATACGCAAATCCAGTGCAACAAAAGCATTCAAAGAAAAACGCAATACGAGCATTGTGTTTTTTGAACAATTTCTATTGGCATGTTTTTAAAAATCTGTTTTCATGTTCACTCAAACGGCAGACGGTCTCTAGTCCACCTCGCTTTCATGAATGAACTCAATTAAAAAATTTTATTTTTCGATCTAATGTCTATAAATGCATTAATTTTATTTCTAAATAATATTATATTATTATATCGCCTGCAACAACGCACTCGCATTTCACGGCATGGAATCTGACAATAACACAACACCTACCAGGAGCGCCTGTTTGGCCATCTCGCACTCTTCCGGGCTGCCGGGGACAACTTTCGCGGGAGCTTTGCCGCTGGTCTCTTCGGTGGGCGCCGATTTCTCGCCGCTGGTGTGGGCGGCGGATGCGTCGGGGATGGAGTTGCCGCGCTTCATCGTGGGAACCACCTCCAGGTTCTGCTGGCAGGGCGCGCTCTTCCCCATGAACTCGCCGGCCGTCGCTGAGCCGTGCTCGCGGGCTATCTGGCGCTGGGCGGCGGGGGCCGGGGCGTGGTAGGCGCGGAATGTCTCGTTTTCCACCACGTCGCCCAACTGGAACGACACATCTTCTGCACTCTCGTCGATGTCCTCCGTCGACGAGCGCTTCACCTCCGCCTCGCAGTCGTTCACCGTCTCGCCCGCCACCGTCACCCCGCTGGCCTTCTCGTCGTCGCGGCCCGGGAAGTTGATCTTCACCTGGAAGCGGTTATCCAGGTCCGTCAGAGTGCGGCCGTTGTCGTCCCCGATGCGGGCATGGGTGCGGCTGTCCAGCGGCACCTCCACGCGCGACTTGCGCTGCTACACAACGGACATTAACGCGATTACATTTTACCTCTGTGCAGTCAACCCACCACCTTGCCCTCACCTCGGATTCAGTGCGGGCTTGGCCCTTGTCGCGCGCCGCGGGCGCCTGCGACTCCAGGCCGCTGGTGACGGTCTTGTCGGCGTCCGCGCTGGCAGCGGCGTCGTGCGGGAACTGAATCTCCACTTGAAATTCGTTACGGAGCTTGCTGATGTTCCCGCCGTGCTGGCCGCTGATCTGCAAATGGTGCGTGATGTCCACGCGCACCCCTGCGGGGTAGTTGTGCCCCGCCTGCACATGAAACAAACGCAAATTATTCTCCTGCATCAACACCAGCGCTAACTCCAGCAAGCATACCCGTTGTTTTTCCAACCTCTCCAGCTCCTTGACGCGCGCCGCCAGCTTTTCGTTGGCTTCATCCACGTTGCGGCGCTGGCCGCCGATCCCGATAACGTCCCTCTGATCCGCCGGGCTGGGGATGGCTTCGCGGTCCTCCGGGCGGCCGGTGACGCCGATGACCTTTTTAGGCACTTCGGAGGCGGTTCCCACGGTGGGAGCTAGCTGCTTGCCGTCGGCATTGGCGGCGCGGTTGTCCTTTCGCTCGGGGAACTTGATGCGGAGGTCGACCTCCTTGGACACGTCCGTGACAGACACCTCACCGGGGTGGATGATGCTGGGCTTGGCGACGTCCATCGCATCCTGGGAGCCGAGCAAAATCACCTCCTTCTCCTCGGCCATGCATACATTGCCGGTCCCCTGGATTTGCTGGATTTCTTCGGCGCGGGGCGCGGGGGAGCGATGGGGAATATCCACCGAATCGTCCACGGCGTTATGCTGCAAAGACAACCATTAAGCAGCAATCAGCAACGGTTTTCTCATCAAACAGAAAATGACGGGAAATTAAAAATTAAACTAAAATAACGAAACAATAAATTTCAGAAATTTAAAAGGCATGTAAAAAATCATATAGAAGTATGAAACAACTAGAGCAACAAAAGGAATAAGACCGAAAATCGCCCGGCTTTCTTCACGAATTCGACCAAACGCCCCTTCACCTCTCGAACACATCCGGCGCAGAGCTTCCGCACTTTCAGGTCCAGCACACGACGGACCTGAAAGACTTGCCAGGCAGGCTCTCCCGTGACCACAACCAGGTCTTTCTCGGGGAAGAACTGGACTTCCACACCGCGACACAGGCGGGCCAGCATGGCCTTCAGCCCATCCGAGTCACTGCCGGCCAGCCAGCTGTGGCTGCTGCCGGGAGCTCGAAGCTGCACGTGAACAACGTGCTTATCCGGAATCTAAAAGCACGCGGCCGATGGTTGACGCATCTCGTAAACACGAATTGTTCCAGCTCACTGACCTGCTGAGCGAGGAGATCGAGAGCCTCTCCAAATCCGAGAGGATTCCCGTAGAGGGTAACCGCATCACTGTCGGGCGACGCCGGTAATTTAACCGAAATCCCAGTCTTCTCGTGTACCCGGTGCAGGTACTTTCCGTCCGATCCCCGCAGATCGCGGTGGCAGGCGCGAGAAAGGTGCAGCGCGATCTCCTCATTCAGTTGCTGCGCGGAGAAGGGGGACGGGGGCTGCGAGACGGGAGACGGCGACTCCGCGGAGACAGCAGACGTTGGCACGTCCTGCGTGGACTGGCCGGTGCCACTCGGGATGGTTCTCTTTGAACCGCTGCCATCCCGCAGTTCAATCGTCAGGACTCCGTCTGCGTAGGTTAATAAGTAAGTTACTTGTGACCGAATTCGTGCAAACCAAAGCAACTTTCGCTGTTGCGCACTCCCGTATACAGTATATTTTTTTTATTTTTTTGAATTGCTTTATACTGTTTTGAAGCCAAAGAATTTGTATACATAGGTATAAAATCCGTTTGCGAGCGCAACATCCGGTTGTAAAGTTATGGTTGAATCACAATTCCAAAAAAAAAGTTTAAAAGCATTCAGGCGTGCCAATAGTATAATTATAAACCGACATTTTGCATCCAATTACGATGAATATTTACAAAATGTCAGTAAAATAAAAAAGTAAACGTAAACGAGATACTGCGATGTAAAGTACAAAACTGACATGCAAAGGAGATGCAGCAAAGTAAAGTAAAACAGTAAACGTAAACGAGATACTGCGATGTAAAGTACAAAACTGACATGCAGAGGAGATGCAGCAAAGTAAAGTAAAAAAGTAAACGTAAACGAGATACTGCGATGTAAAGAACCAAACTGACATGCAAAGCAGATTCAGCAAAGTAAAGTAAAAAAGTAAACGTAAACGAGATACTGCGATGTAAAGAACCAAACTGACATGCAAAGGAGATTCAGCAAAGTAAAGTAAAAAAGTAAACGTAAACCAGATACTGCGACGTAAAGTACAAAACTGACATGCAAAAGAGATGCAGCAAAGTAAAGTAAAAAAGTAAACATAAACGAGATACTGCGATGTAAAGTACAAAACTGACATGCAAAGGAGATGCAAATAACTTTTAAACCGGATGTTGCGCGCGCAAATGGATTTTATGCCTACGCATGCAGATTTTTTGGCTACAAAGTTTCTTAAAGCAATGCAAAAAATTGTTTGGGAGAACACGATAACGAAAGTTTCTCAATGTACACGAATTTGGTGCTGGGCCATATCCCTTAACGCAGTAGGGAAAGTAACGCAGTAAGAAATCCAAGAAATAAAAACTTACCAGCTTCTTCCGTCGTGGGACTTTGAGAGGCGGAAGGCGTTGTCCCAGAGGACCCCGTGATGGGCGACATCAGAGAGCCCTTCCTGAAGAGGTGTTTTTTGAACCGGTTGACATCCGGGTCTACCCAGAACAGGTTCATTTCCCTTAGCAGTGCAGCAAAACTGTCGTCAGATTCACTGCTCAAAGGTGACGGCAGAGACAACGGCTGACTGTGCACTGTTTGCGGCAGTTCACTGTCGCTGGCAGGGGACTCCCAGTGCGGTCCACTGGGTGACTGCCCGCTGACCAGTTGTGCCCCGTCGGAAGTCCGTACCGGCGTACTCATTGGGATGTGGCTGTTCTCCGGATCACAGGGAGTTCGAACGTAAAACAGCATATAAGCCTTCTGTTTAAAAACAGTTCGCTTATCCGCCGGCGACACCTGCAAAACAAACGGTTTTAGAAAAATATTTATTTTTAATCGTCAATTAATCGCTTTAATACCTCTGCATCATTGCAACAGAACCATGATTTCCCGTCAATGGTAACATAGGATAGGTAGTGACCGGACTTCAAAGACTTGCCGCAATGCACGAGCACTGCATACAGCTTATAGATGACGTCGGATGCATCATTAGGGTCACTCATAAACGGGCGCAAATTGAGCCGCTCTGGGAAGGCGACATCCTTATCCACCTTGTATAACGACTCCCCGGTATCCAGATATCGCTTGAACAGCACCGTCAGGATGTTGGGTTGAGCCTGTATCGTGAGCTGCTTGGTTGAGAAAGTCGCCTTTCCACACTGTTCGCAAAAGTAGAGGTTGTCCTGCGATGTCAACTCCTCGCGCTGGGTGTGGATGCGCAGCGCGTCCTCCAGGTGATTAACGTTCTCGTCAATGGCAAGCTGAATGTCCCAGAAGCTCTCCAACCGTTCGGAGGTGTGCTTACACTCCCTGCACTGGACGCTGGACTGAGATACCCCGTGGAATATCCAACCCGGCATGGTTGTTTCGACACCATCCACGGTGTCCGGATCTTGGTGTCCCGACGCTGCACGCACCATGTCATTCATCACAAAGTGAAGAAATTGGTGGGCGTCGTGCTGGTGGCCATCGGAATGCTCTTCCGCAAACACTGTGGCAATATAAATAACATCATTCACAACAGGAGCAACATCAGTTTTTGTATTTAATAAAAACTGATAAAGCAGCGAAAACAAAACAGGCTTATTCTTGAGGAAACACATTTCAGATTTGTAACGTCGGATAAAAAGAAGTTTCTTACCGGAAAGATTCTCAATAATCACTTTAGGTTCCAGCGCATCCAATGGGGAGGTGCTCAACACGGACAAAAGCAACTCTTGCAGCTTGCAAGTGAGACAAAAGTCCGAGCCTTTGATACGACCTGCAAGCCAGAGTAATATTGCAGAAATATTATGCCACACAACTATTGCAGAAAGTTCAAAGCCACCCACAGTGATGATTGTTCTTCATAAAGTAATTATACAGCGGCGCTGTATAGACCAGACATTGTAGTGTGGCATTGATAAAGCACGTCGTGTTGCTCGGATTCGTCAGTCCGCAGCCGACGGCCATGTCCGGATGCGGCCACTCCAGATCGATGGCAGGCGGCCACTTGAAATCATGAAAACTGCCTTCCGGACTGAGTATCCCGGAGCTGGGCGTCGGTGATGTAGCGGGACTGGCCGGCGAGGCGGACTGTTCGGAGGAGCGTGCTGCAGGGTCGTGGGTGTTGGCAGAAGGGGGCACGAACAGCGGCTCAAGGACAATCTCCGCCGGCAGCACCAAAACCGCTTTGCTACTGGGCACAATGGGGTTCAATGGGCTGACGGGCGCACTGCTGCTTCCGGTCTGCATGCCCGTCGGCGCCGCGCAGCCCGGCTGCACCACACTGCCGCTGCTGGCCGAGATGGACCGGCCGAAGGTGTCCGGCGCCGCCGCCAGAACATTCGGCTGGATCAACGGGTCCACGCCGGGCGTCGGGCTCGATGTCGATCGCTGCTGGGTGTCCTCCCCACGCGGCGCCAACTCCGACAGATCGCTCGGCTGGTGCAGCTGGCCCGGGCGGGAGGTGTCTGGGGAAAGCATGCCGTCCAAAGCGTCGCCGCTGTGCTGCGTTGTCGTCGGGGACGGCGGGGAGTATTGCGGCGACTGCGGAGACATGTGCACGCTGGAGGCGCCGGACGAAGACTGAGTGCGGTAGCTGTTGGTGGTGGACCGATCAGGAGCCGGGGAGCTGAGGGGCAGCGCCAGCGAATGCTGTAAAAAAATCACGCGGACTAACCAGAACAAATTAACAATAATTCAGAAAATTAATCTATCAATAATTACCCACGCCCTATAATAAGAATTAGATTAATCGTAGGTCAAAAAGAATTATATCAATAATAGTAAAATCCTAAACTAATAAGAATAAATTATTGGTAAAAGATTAAGCTACGAATAAAACAACAGCGATTAATAAATGAATAAGGAAAAAATTAAAATTAATAGAAATGATTAAGAATGACTAAGGATGCCGATCTGACCTTCCAGTAAGCATCTGAGTCGCCGGAATAATCCAGAGATGTCAACTCCTGCGAACTGTCCATCCCGACCTGTCCCGTGGAACTGCAGCCGGACGAAGCCTCATTTTTCCGCGTAAAATACTCTGCAACACAGTAAAGGCGCTGGGCACACCGAGTATTACTCAACGCCGAGTGCTGAATACCTTTGCACATCTCCAGTGTGGCCTTAACGTCATCCAACAACGACAGCAGCGGCAGTAGTCCCGCTTGGATAATTTCCGCGCACCCGGCTTGGTCTGCACCAAATGATGCTAATCATTCACAAAAATATAACAATAAAGGCGAAACAGCGGATACCGATTTCACGGGGATTGGGGAAGGCGGAGTGTTGCGTACCGAGGCGGGGCAGCAGGGCGTCGGTGAAATCCGGCAGGGGGACGTCGTCCAGAACGATGGACTCCTCGAAACACGGCTGCATCACCATGCTCCCGCTGTGCGGATCGCTCACCGCCTGAATAATTGCAACATACAGTATCATCAAAACAGCCAAATTGTGGTTATTAATACGGCACAGCATTATTATTAATTCATTATTATTATTACGACGGCGTACACTGGCGGCCATGCTGTCGCTGCGGGTGCGGACGCCGGAGATGCGGTTCTTGTACCACAGCCGCCAGCGGCGGTACTCGGAGGAGACGATGGCCAGCCGACGCTTCCAGTACTTGCCCGCCACCAGCTGCACCGAGTTGTCCACTTCGTACGAAGCATTCACCGGCCGCACAGGCTTGACAACTGCACAAACATCTTCCGAATAACACAATACATAGTAATTATTTTTCACATTTTAATGACGTACGTAATTTATTTAATGAATAAATCCATTACAGTTATTCAGCCTGCATTCTAAAATTTCTGTTATTTTTTTTCTACACAGGCATAAATCAAATTAATGTTTTACGATTCCAGCCGTTATTATGCGCACTTGTGTACATTCCATTAAATTAAAAATTAATATTAGAAATTCCTGGAACTGCCACAACGAATTCGTTTGTGATATCTGATGGTGGCGATATTTTAAAAATTATCCTTAAGAAAATTTAAAATTAAATTAATACCGTAGCCAATTAAATTAATATTAAATTAATGCAGTAGCCAAGCGAATCAACTTACAGTTCATGTGCCAGGCCCGCCGAATGACGTTACTCAGACGGATCTTCTGAGCTGAGCTGAGTCCCCTGAAATTATTCCATGTGGGAGACGTCAATTTTGCCCTAAATCATTGCCAGCTAAATTCCCCTGACAGAATAAGAGGAAATGCAAATGTCGCCACCCACTTGTTGGCCAGCGTCATGCTCTCGAACAGCTTGCGAAGCGACGAGTCGACGAACGTCAGCTTCTGCTGCTGTGGCGCCGTATCGAGCTGCATCCCATCGTGCGCCACGGAGTTGCTGCGTTCGCGCGGCACATGTGTTTGCTGCGAGGCGGTGGCGGCGGTTTCCGCTGGAAATCCACTGGCAGTCTCTGCGCGTTCCAGCAATCGCTCGCGGTCGGAATCCGCCCCGATCTCCGGATACACATCCGTCGCTCGGCTGCCGACCTCCTCGCCCCGCCGACCGCCGAATCTCCCCGCGTCCGAGCGCTCCGGACGACGCGGACTGGAGGGAGCAGGTGGCGGCGCATAAGGAGCGATGCTCGGCGCTTGACCGACGCCAGGCAGCGTCGCGCCTTCCCTAAACGTCAACGCACGATTAGACTCCGTACAAAAGAAGGAAATTACAGTAATATTTAACTGCTCTTTCAATGTTAAAATCTCCTTGAATCTGCTAACTGGAAATCAAATATAATTCAATGAAAATAAAAACTTGCTAATCAAAATTAAATAATATTAAACTCCTGATATAAAAATAAAATAAAATTTTGACAAATAAAACTCGATTCTGATGAAACAAATTAAAATAAAGATAAAATTCTGATAAACAAGAATTAAATAAAATTGCACTTTAGACTGTAATCTACGAAGTAAGTGAAAACAAAAATTATGATCAGCATTCAGCAATATAATAAAAAATTTAATAAAATCCAATTCGCTACAATAAAAATCATGAAAATAACCGTCCGTCGGGTGAAGCTTTAATGCCCCATTCCACTTTAATCTGCTTAATCAGAATGCTTTGTTTACCTTTGAAGCACATCGTCCGGGAGATGACTGCGCTGGCGGATGCCGGAAATGAGGGGGAGACGCGCGGCGGTGGGGATGTTGGAGAGGAACTGTTCGTCGTTGGTCAGCGCGTCGCTGTCGCTGTTCCGCATCACCACGGGCTCCTCAACCACGCTGTCCGCCATGGATATTTCTACAGCTCGGAGAATGGGGCAAAGTTATCAACCAATGCTAAACTGGCCAGATGTATTCCACACTGATAACCATCGCATCACCCAACACGTTCAAACATGACAAACAGTATAAAATCAAAAATACTGTAAATCAACGATCACGAATAATGCAAGCAAAGTAAGCTAACGCACTGCATTCCAGACTGTCCTCGTCGCAGATCGCAGTCTTTCGTATGTACTGATAGCACCCGCTGTGCGTTGTGAAAAAACACCAGAAGAATGCACTCGTCGGTGGATGGGAAATGTGTCAATACGGCAGAATTCCAGACAAGTGGAGAGAGCGCGTAAATAATATTTAAAATATACCGGCGGTAAATTTATCGGAAAAGCAGCTTCCAGGAAGTTTTCAGCCTGCTCGCTCAGTGCAGATCGAGATCTATCGGAACAATGCTGCACCGCCAGGCGTCTGCGGCATCTGCGTTGCACTCGGTTTTGCATGACGTACGAGCACTACGTACGAACGTACGTACGACACTGAACCTGTGCTGTTGTAACATTTTTTAATGGTAAAACACTGTACCAAATCCCGCATAAACTATTCGCCGCCTTTGAAGGATGGGGCGGATTAACCAATACAGATTTCGTATTTTAAACGCAGTCCAATAGGACCACGTACAAGTCGTCGGCTTTGCGGTGCACAGTTAATACACGGCGCACAGTAATGGGTTCACTGTACTTTACGTTGCGCTGTCGCAGCGGAATCGGCAACCGCATGTAACAGCATGTTTTCAAAATTTTTTATCAAAGACAAACCAAACGTTACGGTTGGGATGTGTACATTTCTGTGATTCCCAGTTTTCATAATTTGATTACTGCTGTGGAAAGATAGAAGATCGAATTTTTGTGGAGAAGTTGTTATTCTTTCTATGTTAACCTACTGCGAGCGAGGAGTGTGGATGCTGTCGGTTGTGCGATCGTGATTATTAATTATAGCGTGCATTCCGGGCTCCTGCAGTCCTGCTCGATGATCTTGCAAGTCTGGTTACACTGAATAATTCCTCTCCGCCACTTGATTAATCAGGTTTGTTGGCAGAACTAAGGATTAATCTACAATGTGCTTCAGGGAAGGATGAAATTTTAGATGACGCAGACAGAAGGGACTTGTTTTTGGCGAATGCTGGAGTTGTTTGGTTGTGCAGTGAACGAAGTTTTCGAATTTTCTCAGTTTGTTTTTGAGAATTCTTTCGCAACGGCTGTTTTGCTCATTTTCAGTTGTGTTAGTCACTTAGTGGAAGCAAGAATTAAATAAATTAAGGAAATTTTTGGTTATAGTGAGGTCTGATCCCGCCGCAATGGATCCCGCGCGTTTCGGGCCTCCTCCGGGGTTCCCCGGTGCACCCCCGGGTTTCCCGGGCGGCCCCCCGCCCCCGCGCATGCCCTTCCCCTTCCCGCCGCCCCACACCGCGCCGCCCTTCCTCCCGCCCTCGGGGATGGGACTGCCCCCCGTCCCCCCGCAAGGGCCGCCCCCGCCCGCCGCTCTCCAGAGTCTCCATCCGCCGGGGGCGCCTTTCCCGCCGCAGCCCGATGAGCGGCAGCGGCAGGCGGAGCTGGAGGAGAAGGCCAAGAAGTGGCAGCTGCTGCAGACGAAGCGCTACGCGGAGAAGCGCAAATTCGGCTTCATCGACGCGCAGAAGGAGGACATGCCGCCGGAGCATGTGCGCAAGATCATCCGCGACCACGGCGACATGACGCACAAGAAGTTCAAGAACGACAAGCGCGTCTACTTGGGCGCCTTGAAGTACATTCCGCACGCGGTGCTGAAGCTGCTGGAGAACATGCCCATGCCGTGGGAGCAGGTCCGCGAAGTCAAGGTCCTCTATCACATCACAGGTGCGAGAACTCTTTTATTTTGTTCCTTAAAATTACACTATCTTTTGATAATTTTTATTATCCATCTTTGATTATTTTGGCATTTTATTTTAGATAGTTATTCTCATCATTGTGCTCGAGTTTTATGGTGTTCGAATATTATTTGTTGATCTGTTTGTTTTCGTAAATTTTTTTATTTAGTTATTTCTGTTATTGCGCTCGCTTGATTTTCATGGCTTTCGATCAAGTAATACATAAATTTGTCGGTCTTTTGGATTGTTTTAATCGTTATTTTTTGGTTCTTTCTCTCGAAATTATTTTTATGATTTTGTAATTTTGACTTTGTACAGTCGTGTGGCTGAATCGTTTTCATGCAGTATTTATCTGTTTACTGGGTTATGGTTTTCGGAATTATTTGTGGATAAATTTGAGGAAAAGAGCAATAAAAGATTTGTATTGCATTGCAGGTGCGATCACGTTCGTGAACGAGATCCCGTGGGTGGTGGAGCCGGTGTACGTGGCGCAATGGGGCACCATGTGGATCATGATGCGGCGCGAGAAGCGCGACCGGCGCCACTTCAAGCGCATGCGCTTCCCGCCCTTCGACGACGAGGAGCCGCCGCTGGACTACGCCGACAACGTGCTGGACGTGGAGCCGCTGGAGGCCATCCGCATGGACCTGGACAACAACGAGGACCGCGCCGTCAGCCACTGGTTCTACGACAACAAACCGCTAGTGGACACGCCGCACATCAACGGCACCACCTACCGCCGCTGGACGCTGGACCTGCCCAAGCTGGCCACGCTCTACCGGCTGGCTAATCAGCTGCTGTCCGACCTGGTCGACGACAACTACTTCTACTTGTTCGATCTCAAGTCCTTCTTCACCGCCAAGGCACTCAACATGGCCATCCCAGGTAAATTATTGTTCCATACTCCAGTTAAATTCCGCATTTCACGTTCTACTTCATCGTAAAAAAATACATCAGTTTATTCTGGAATCTAAATAATTTAAAAATTTTTCTTATTTTTATTTGAATATTCCAGTTGGTTAAACCGTTTCTTTTTGAAATAAATCCTGTTTTTCTGAATTCCTACGCATTTTATGCCTTTTTCTAAATTTTATTGGAAATAAATAGCCGGTGGTTCGGCTTATGAGCCGTATTTCATGCCAGAAAAATAGGTAATTTTATGAATTGCTTGTGGGCCAGACGTCACTCCAACGCCTGAGTGGTATTTTATGCAAAAAAAAACAGGAATAAATAGCAGATTAGTTTGATTTGAACTGGGTTCATTAAATGCCAGGTGGTCCGAAGTTTGAGCCGCTGGTGAAGGACGTGAACCCGGCGGACGAGGACTGGAACGAGTTCAACGACATCAACAAGATCATCATCCGGCAGCCGGTGCGCACCGAGTACCGCATCGCCTTCCCCTTCCTGTACAACAACCTGCCGCACCACGTCCACCTCTCCTGGTACCACACGCCCAACGTGGTCTTCATCAAGACCGAGGACCCCGACCTGCCGGCCTTCTACTTCGACCCGCTGATCAACCCCGTCACTAGCAGCAAGACGGGCGCGGCGCGCTCCTCGGAGGTGGCGCTGGACGACCTGGAGGAGTTCGAGCTGCCCGAGATGGTCCAGCCGCTGCTGCAGGAGGCCCCACTGTACACGGATAACACGGCCAACGGCATCGGCTTACTGTGGGCGCCGCGGCCCTTCAACATGCGCTCGGCCATGACGCGCCGCGCCATCGACGTGCCGCTGGTCAAGAACTGGTACCGCGAACACTGTCCTACCGGTAAGGAAATTTATAATGAATTTTGCAATTGAAATAAATTTTATATCGTTTTTGTTGTAAATTTTCAGTATATAACGTGAGAATTTGACAGTTGATAGTGGATTTTCAACTGAGATCTTATTACGAGTTTTAGTTTGCATCCGTTACGATTTTAAATGGTTCAACCATTCATATTGCAGTTTGTTTAATTTAAATTAAATCGCAGATAAATTTAGAATAAAACGAATGTAAAAATAAGTGAAAAAAGGATAAGTAAAAAATTCATTTAAATTATTAATTCATTTTTGATTATTTTAATTCTAGGAATGCCGGTGAAGGTGCGCGTGTCGTACCAGAAACTGCTGAAGACCTACGTGCTCAACGCGTTGAAGCACCGGCCGCCGAAACCGCAGAAGAAGCGCTACCTGTTCCGCTCCTTCAAGTCCACCAAATTCTTCCAGTCCACCTCGCTGGACTGGGTGGAAGCCGGTCTGCAAGTGTGTCGCCAAGGCTACAACATGCTGAACCTGCTGATCCACCGCAAGAACCTCAACTACCTCCACCTCGACTACAACTTCAACCTCAAGCCCGTCAAGACGCTGACCACGAAGGAGCGCAAGAAGTCCCGCTTCGGCAACGCCTTCCATCTGTGCCGCGAGATCCTGCGGCTGACGAAGCTGGTGGTGGACGCGCACGTCCAGTACCGGCTGAACAACGTGGACGCCTTCCAGCTGGCGGACGGGCTGCAGTACATCTTCTCGCACATCGGGCAGTTGACGGGGATGTACCGCTACAAGTACAAACTGATGCGGCAGATCCGCATGTGCAAGGACTTCAAGCATCTGGTGTATTACCGCTTCAACACCGGTCCGGTGGGAAAAGGCCCTGGATGCGGGTTCTGGGCGCCGGCGTGGCGGGTGTGGTTGTTTTTCCTGCGGGGAGTGACACCACTGTTGGAGCGCTGGTTAGGGAATCTGTTATCGCGGCAGTTTGAGGGCCGGCACTCGAAGGGCGTGGCCAAGACGGTGACGAAGCAGCGCGTAGAGAGCCACTTCGATCTGGAGCTGCGGGCATCCGTCATGCACGACATCCTGGACATGATGCCGGAGGGGATCCGCCAGAACAAGGCCCGCACGATTCTCCAGCATCTCAGCGAGGCGTGGCGCTGCTGGAAGGCCAATATTCCCTGGAAGGTGCCCGGACTGCCGACGCCGGTGGAGAACATGATCCTGCGCTACGTCAAGCTGAAGGCGGACTGGTGGACGAACACGGCGCACTACAACCGCGAGCGGATTCGCCGCGGGGCCACCGTGGACAAGACGGTGTGCAAGAAGAATCTGGGCCGGATGACGCGGCTGTATTTGAAGGCGGAACAGGAGCGCCAGCATAATTACTTGAAGGACGGGCCGTATGTCAGCGCGGAGGAGGCCGTGGCGATTTACACGACTACCGTGCACTGGTTGGAAAGCCGGCGGTGAGGAAATAATCCGTTATTTATTGATCACGTCCTGCTCTAGATGTTAAGCAAGCTTTAAGGAATGAAATAATAAGATTTACGAGTTAAAATACTCTAAAATTCTCAATTTAAGCACAAATTTTACTCTGCTTTAAATAAAGTTAATAACTTAACGCAAAGAGAGCACATAAAATAAACCGTAAATCAAATAAGCCATTGAAGAAATTGATGAATTTAGTCTGCTTTTTTTGTATGTAGATTTTCGCCGATTCCGTTTCCGCCGCTGTCGTACAAGCACGACACGAAGCTGCTGATTCTAGCCTTGGAACGGCTGAAGGAAGCGTACAGTGTCAAGTCCCGGCTGAACCAGAGTCAGCGCGAGGAACTGGGCTTGATTGAGCAGGCGTACGACAATCCGCACGAAGCGCTGTCCCGCATCAAGCGCCACCTGCTGACGCAGCGCGCCTTCAAGGAGGTCGGCATCGAATTCATGGATCTGTACAGCCATTTGGTGCCGGTGCACGATATCGAGCCGCTGGAGAAGATCACCGACGCCTATCTGGATCAGTATCTTTGGTAAGCGTCCTGTAGAAAAATTTGTAAATTAATCAACAATAAAACCGAACCCATAAATGAAATGGAATATTAAGGTATGCTTTGTTGTGGGAATTCTGTTAATTCATACATGAAATAGTTGTATATTAATGGATAAAAAATACGATTTCTCAGTTCAGTTAATTTTAAATAAAAAGAAACAATCGATTAATGGGCGAATATTCGGCAGGTATGAAGCGGACAAGCGCGGGCTGTTCCCGCCGTGGATCAAGCCGTCGGACGCGGAGCCGCCGCCTTTGTTGGTGTACAAGTGGTGCCAGGGCATCAACAACCTGCAGGACATCTGGGACAGCACGGACGGGCAGTGCGTGGTGATGATGCAGTCGCAGTTCGAGAAGATGTACGAGAAGATGGACCTGACGCTGCTCAACCGGCTGCTGCGCCTCATCGTCGACCACAACATCGCCGACTACATGACGGCCAAGAACAACGTCCTCATCAACTACAAGGACATGACGCACACCAACGGCTACGGCATCATCCGCGGCCTGCAGTTCTCCAGCTTCGTCACGCAGTACTACGGGCTGGTGCTGGACCTCCTCGTCCTGGGGCTGCACCGCGCCAGCGAGATCGCCGGTCCGCCGCAGATGCCCAACGACTTCCTCACCTTCCAGGTTAGCTACACATCCACGCTGTATAAATCTGTGTGTATCTGGAATTACTTAATAATAACAATTTAATTGTGAAAATCTCTAATTAATTAGCTCATTTTTGCTCGCCTAGTTCGGCTGTAATTTCCAGCTGCTGGGTTCGTTCCGAGTCGTAATCATTAATGCTTTTATCAGTGGATATTTATAAGACTATTGAATTGTTTTATTTTTATCATTTTCTGGTCAATTTTAATGAGGAGTATTCGTAGTGATATTTTATTTGTTTGCCTGGAAAACGTGGGCTATTAAATTAATTGTAAATTATTTTCGAACTGTTGAATACAAAATCTTCAATTTAGTTTTAATTCTGTTTCGCTTATTGTAAGAGAAAGTGTTATGCGCCCGGAAATTCCCTAATGGCCTGCGTTTGATCAAGGAAACTGATGAGTGATAAATAAATTAATTTGATGATTTAAAATCACCAGGTATTAGTACGGTATTAAGTTGTTATTATTGGTAGGATGTGGCCACAGAGACCTCCCACCCGATCCGTCTGTACTGCCGCTACATCGACAAGATCTTCGTCCTCTTCCGCTTCTCGGCGGACGAAGCGCGCGACCTGATCCAGCGCTACTTAACGGAGCACCCCGATCCCAACAACGAGAACATCGTGGGCTACAACAACAAGAAGTGCTGGCCGCGCGACTCGCGCATGCGCCTCATGAAGCACGACGTCAACCTGGGCCGCGCCGTCTTCTGGGACATCAAGAACCGGCTGCCGCGCTCCACCACCACCATCAACTGGGACGAGAGCTTCGTGTCGGTGTACTCCAAGGATAATCCTAACCTGCTCTTCAGTTTGTGCGGCTTCGAGTGCCGCATCCTGCCCAAGTGCCGCACCAGCACCGAGGAGTACACGCACAAGGACGGCGTGTGGAATCTGCAGAACGAAGTGACGAAGGAGCGGACGGCGCAGTGCTTCCTGCGCGTCGACGATGACTCCATGCAGAAGTTCCACAACCGCGTCAGACAGATCCTGATGGCCTCGGGCTCGACGACCTTCACCAAGATTGTCAACAAGTGGAACACGGCGCTCATCGGACTGATGACGTAAGTTGAATAAAGAATTGTTTAGCAAATCCAACGGTAAATATCGGTACGAAATACTGCGGAAACTCTTTGATGCGAATTGCATAAAATTTATACGATTTTTTTCATAAGTACATGGAAGATACACCAATTTGTAGGTACTCTTCGCAAATACATGCGAGGTAGATGAAATTCCGTAGATATTCGTCATAATTACATGCGAAATGCATAAATATCAACGGTTTTCGGCATAATTACATGGAATGTGCATCATCTCGCAGGTGCCCTTTGCAAGTGCATGCGAAATAGATCAAAATTTCGTACTCTAGGTATTCATCATAATTAGATGCAAAATTCATAAGTTTCTTTGGTTTTCTTCATAATTACATAGATTGTGCATCAATTCGTTGGTACCCTTTGCAAGTACATGCGAAACAGATCAGAATTTCATAGTATTCATCATAATTAGATGCAAAATGCATAAATTTCTATTGTTTACTTCATAATTACATGGAATGCGCAATAATTCGCAAGTACTCTGTGCAAGTACATGCGAAATAGATCAAAATTTCGTAGGTATTCATCATAATTAGATGCAAAATGCATAAATTTCTATTGTTTACTTCATAATTACATGGAATGCGCAATAATTCGCAAGTACCCTTTGCAAGTACATGCGAAACAGATCAAAATTTCGTAGGTATTCATCATAATTAGATGCAAAATGCATAAATTTCTATTGTTTACTTCATAATTACATGGAATGCGCAATAATTCGCAAGTACCCTGTGCAAGTACATGCGAAATAGATCAAAATTTCGTAGGTATTCATCATAATTAGATGCAAAATGCATAAATTTCTATTGTTTACTTCATAATTACATGGAATGCGCAATAATTCGCAAGTACCCTTTGCAAGTACATGCGAAATAGATCAAAATTTCGTAGGTATTCATCATAATTAGATACAAAATGCATAAATTTCTATTGTTTACTTCATAATTACATGGAATGCGCAATAATTCGCAAGTACCCTTTGCAAGTACATGCGAAATGGATCAAAATTTCGTAGGTATTCATCATAATTAGATGCAAAATGCATAAATTTATATTGTTTACTTCATAATTTCCATTGTGTACTTAATAATTTCATGAAATGCGTATTAATTCGCAGGTATCCTTTGCAAGTACATGCGAAGCAGATCCAAATTTCGTAGGCATTCATCATAATTAGATGCAAAATGGATAAATGTCACGGTGTTCTTCCTAAGTGCACGTAAGATGCAACAATTTTGTAGGTGCACTTTGTAAATACATGGGAGATGAAAGAAATTTCTTAAGAAAAAGCGAGACTGATCAATATGAATGATTGATAATGTAATCAGCAAAATTATGAACGTAGAATCTGTGGAATCCGTAACTTGAATCATGGAAACAGTGATTGTCGAAATAACAAAAGAAGATTATATAATTCAGTAAATTTGAGTAGCGAATGAAGATTTAAACGGGCCAGTAAAAGTCGACACGGGGCATTCTGAAAGTTTAAAGTTATTCTAATAATTATTGCTATTTAATCCATAAGAAACTTGGAACAGGGAATCTGATTAATTAACTAAGTAATTAAATTCAGTAGTACTGGGTACTGGTTTCTCTGAAATTATGAAAATTTGGAGAGATCCGTAAAATATTGCTGTGTATTCATTTAGATTCTTAATTGATGATTCTCTAATTTTCTTTGTTTCGGACAGGTATTACCGCGAGGCGGTGGTGAACACGCAGGAGCTGTTGGATCTGCTGGTGAAGTGCGAGAACAAAATCCAGACGCGCATCAAGATCGGGCTGAACTCGAAGATGCCGTCGCGCTTCCCGCCCGTGGTGTTCTACACGCCGAAGGAGATCGGCGGCCTGGGCATGCTGTCGATGGGGCACGTGCTGATCCCGCAATCGGATCTGCGCTGGTCTAAGCAGACGGACATCGGCATCACGCACTTCCGCTCGGGCATGTCGCACGACGAGGACCAGCTGATCCCCAACTTGTACCGCTACATCCAGCCCTGGGAGTCCGAGTTCATCGACTCGCAGCGCGTCTGGGCCGAGTACGCGCTCAAGCGGCAGGAGGCCAACGCGCAGAACCGCCGCCTGACGCTGGAGGATCTGGAGGACAGTTGGGATCGCGGGATTCCGCGGATCAACACGTTGTTCCAGAAGGATCGCCATACGCTGGCCTACGATAAGGTACGCTGACAATTTTTTTTGCCAGTGGTTTCTGTAATGATGAAATGAAATTTGGCTAGGGACAAAATGAGATAGAATTTTTAAAATAAACATTTTCATTCTTTTTGCCGAGAATTGTTCGCTTTTTCAGGTGTGAAGGCAGTTGAAATACTTCTATTGTTTCTATTAATTTTTAGTTATCTTGCGTTTAACTTTTTTCATCCCGTAATTGTCCTGGTTAAAATCGGCTTAGTCGGGATTTATTCTTAGATTTGAGGAATTTTCTGAATTAATAAACTCTTTTTTCCAGAAATTTTCGCTTTGGTAATGGTTAAATAATTACTTCGCGCTCATTTTTCTGATATAAAGTGTTCTCAATTGGGAAGGTATTTTGCTGGCGGGAGGAGGTGAGAAGCCATTGACAACCGCTTTCATGCGCTAAAAATGAATAAAAAGAGAAAAGAGCAGTCAATTATTACGAAATAAATAAAGAACATTTCTCCAGATTTCAGTGGTGCAAAAAAGCGAAGAAATTGTGTTACATTAGTAGGAAGTTTCATTATTATTTATAAAGACCGTACATATGTATTAATAACTTACAAGTGCAAATTGCATACAGCAAAGCTGCAAACGACCGAAAAACAGATTAAATTTTCACATCTCACATATGTATGTATTTAATATATCAACTGAAACTAACTCTTGTTGAAGCAACAGCTAAAAATTAATTGTCTTCCTTTAATCAGGGCTGGCGTGTGCGCACGGAGTTCAAGCAGTACCAGATCCTGAAGCAGAACCCCTTCTGGTGGACGCACCAGCGGCACGACGGGAAGCTGTGGAATTTGAATAATTACCGGACGGACATGATCCAGGCGCTGGGCGGCGTGGAGGGCATCCTGGAGCACACGCTGTTCAAGGGCACGTACTTCCCCACGTGGGAGGGCCTGTTCTGGGAGAAGGCCAGCGGGTTCGAGGAGTCGATGAAGTACAAGAAGCTGACGAACGCGCAGCGCTCGGGCCTCAACCAGATCCCCAACCGGCGCTTCACGCTCTGGTGGTCGCCCACCATCAACCGCGCCAACGTCTACGTCGGCTTCCAGGTGCAGCTGGACCTCACCGGCATCTTCATGCACGGCAAGATCCCCACATTGAAGATCTCCCTCATCCAGATCTTCCGCGCCCATCTCTGGCAGAAGATCCACGAGTCCGTCGTCATGGATTTGTGTCAGGTACCGTATTCCATTTATTTTTTGTGTATTTGGTCGTTTTTTCCATCTGGTTTTTCTTGTATTTACTTCTTTGTGTTTTTGCAAATTGTTTTGTAAATAAATCAACATTTGACTGGGCTGTTGCAGGTGTTTGATCAAGAGCTGGACGCCCTGGAAGTCGAGACGGTGCAGAAGGAGACGATCCATCCGCGCAAGAGCTACAAGATGAACAGCTCCTGCGCCGACATCCTGCTCTTCGCCGCCTACAAGTGGAACGTGTCGCGACCGAGCCTGCTGGCCGACGTGAAGGACATGATGGACAGCACCACCACGCAAAAGTACTGGATCGATGTGCAGCTGCGCTGGGGCGACTTCGACTCGCACGACGTGGAACGCTACGCGGTAAATTGCATCCAACATCGCTCTTACTCTATCAGTTTTTCTCTAATTTATTTTCATAGACTTTGTACATTTTTGGGGAGTTTGTTTGCTATATTTGGTCCTCGTTTAATATGCTAAAGCATCTATTTTCTTAATAGGCACCCTTTTAATTTTATAAATATTTTTATTGATTGATTGGCGTTTTTAATTTTGTTTCTGCCTATTTCCCCGCATAACTGAGCCCGTGTTTGCTTGTGCAGCGCGCCAAATTCCTGGACTACACGACGGACAACATGTCCATCTACCCGTCGCCCACGGGCGTGCTGATCGCCATCGATTTAGCCTACAACCTGCACAGCGCCTACGGTAACTGGTTCCCGGGCTCGAAGCCGCTGATCCAGCAGGCCCTGGCCAAGATCATGAAGGCCAACCCGGCGCTGTACGTGCTGCGCGAGCGCATCCGCAAGGGCCTGCAGCTGTACAGCTCCGAGCCCACCGAGCCCTACCTGTCCTCGCAGAACTACGGCGAGCTCTTCTCCAACCAGATCATCTGGTTCGTCGACGACACCAACGTCTACCGCGTCACCATCCACAAGACCTTCGAGGGCAACCTCACCACCAAGCCCCTCAACGGCGCCCTCATCTGCTTCAATCCCCGCACTGGCCAGCTATTCCTCAAGGTCAGCAAAAAATTCATGCGATTTTCTTGTATTTTGAAATAAAAATACAATTTAAAAATTTATAAAATATAAAATTAAAGCGTAAGTTTGAAAAGTGATAGTTTTTGAATTTTTATTTTTTTTCTTGTCAACATGAGAAGGCAGTTGAAATGCCAGCACACTCGTTTACGCCGTAGTAAATTAAAGTGTTTAATTTATGCCCAGTTTAAAATCCCAGAATTTTTAAGAAAAATTATTAAAAATTTTACAACGTATTTTGCGTTGTATTAACCCGTTTCAAACGCTCGAAATGACGAATTGTCCCGTTTTGTAGGTGATCCACACGTCGGTGTGGGCCGGGCAGAAGCGTCTGGGTCAGCTGGCCAAGTGGAAGACGGCGGAGGAAGTGGCGGCGCTGATCCGCTCGCTGCCGGTGGAGGAGCAGCCCAAGCAGATCATCGTGACGCGCAAGGGCATGCTGGACCCGTTGGAGGTGCATCTCCTCGACTTCCCCAACATCGTCATCAAGGGCAGCGAGCTGCAGCTGCCCTTCCAGTCGGTGCTGAAGGTGGAGAAGCTGGGCGACCTGGTGCTGAAGGCCACCGAGCCGCAGATGGTCTTGTTCAACTTGTACGACGACTGGCTCAAGAACATCTCCTCCTACACCGCCTTCTCGCGCTTAGTGCTCATTCTGCGCGCGCTGCACGTCAACACCGAGCGGACCAAGGTGGTGCTGAAGCCCGACAAGACCACCATCACCGAGCCGCACCACATCTGGCCCACGCTCACCGACGAAGAATGGATCAAGGTCGGTGCATTTTGTAGTAAATTAATCCTTTGCTGATTGAGGATTACTGTTTGTATTTTGCACGGCTCATCATAATCATTATTTTTTAGATTTGACATTTTTGTTGATTTTTTCAGTAATTTTTTATAACCGAGGTTTTTAATTACCGATATTTTTAAGTAGCAGTATTCGTTTAATTTTAGCTACTGTTTATTGCTTATTATTAATTCGGGAACTTGTCCGTAATTCTGTAATTGGCAGTTGACCGTCTTTATGGCTTTGTTTAGCATGGTAAATTATTTTTTTAGAAACTTGTTGCTTACCATCAGCATTCCGAAATCTGTCGGTTGGCGGTTTTTATTACTTTTTGGAAAAATATTTTAATTTTCGCCTGCCATTAATTGCTGATTATTTTCCCGTATTTTTTTATGTTTTCTTTCTCATGTTTTCGTGATGTATTTGTGTGTAAATCAATGTGGAATGTGTGCAGGTGGAAGTGGCGTTGAAGGACCTGATTTTAGCGGATTACGGGAAGAAGAACAACGTGAACGTGGCCTCGCTGACCCAGTCGGAGATCCGCGACATCATCCTGGGCATGGAGATCTCGGCGCCCTCGGCGCAGCGCCAGCAGATCGCCGAGATCGAGAAGCAGACGCGCGAGCAGTCCAACCTGACGGCCGTGGCCACGAAGACCACCACGAAGTCGGGCGACGCCATCGTGACGACGACGACGTCCAACTACGAGACGCAGTGGTTCTCCTCGCGCACCGAGTGGCGCGTGCGCGCCATCTCCGCCACCAACCTGCACCTGCGCACGCAGCACATCTACGTCTCCTCCGACGACATCAAGGAGACCGGCTTCACCTACGTCCTGCCCAAGAACCTGTTGAAGAAGTTTATCGTGGTCAGCGATCTGCGCACGCAGATCGCCGGCTATTTATATGGAGTGAGTCCGGCGGATAATATGCAGGTGAAGGAGATTCGCTGCATCGTCGTCCCGCCGCAGCGCGGCAGTCACCAGGCGGTGGAGATGCCGGAGATGCTGCCGCAGCACGATTTCTTGAAGGAGATGGAACCGCTGGGATGGATCCACACGCAGCCCAACGAACTGCCGCAACTGTCGCCCCAGGTAGGTTACCCACAACACAGAATAAATTCTTTTATTAAAATTACACTAGTGAAGATCAGAAATAATTTTAAAAATGGTTAATGTCACAGGACGCGACGGAGAAATTTGTGTAAGCGAATAATAAGCCGATGATAGGGCTTTCATATTGCTAAGATTTAAAAATTAGAAGACGTTAATAAATCATGGAAAGAAAAAGTGATAAAAATTCTGCAAAATGACATATAAATAAAACATCAATAATTTGCGGAAAGTAATTGGTTTTGGTGATGACAGGACGTGACGACGCAAGCCAAGATCATGGCGGAACACCCGGCGTGGGACGGGGAGCGGTGCATCGTGATGACGTGCAGCTTCACGCCGGGCTCGTGCTCGTTGGCGGCGTACAAGCTGACGCCGTCGGGCTACGAGTGGGGCCGGCAGAACGCCGATAAAGGCAACAATCCCAAGGGCTATTTGCCGTCGCACTACGAGAAGGTGCAGATGCTGCTGTCGGACCGCTTCCTCGGATTCTTCATGCTGCCCGTCGCCGGCTCCTGGAACTACAACGTCGGTCGGCCGCAGTTCGACAGTAAGATGAAGTACGAGCTGCAGCTGGCCAACCCCAAGGAGTTCTACCACGAGGACCACCGTCCCACGCACTTCCGCAACTTCACGCAGATCGAGGAGGCCGCCGCCGTCGACCACGACGACTCCTTCGCCTGAAGCGGTCGCGCGGGTCATTTGGGCACTGTTTTCTCATCACAGAAGGCTAGCGCTGGATTTTCCTTGTTTTACATTGTGTTTTTTTCTTCCTTCGCGAGGCTGGCGTATTAAGGTGTATTTTTTGTCGAATTATCATGCTTTTTCGTACTGGCATATGTGTGTAATCGTGTCGTTATTTTGTCGGGCGTGGGCCGCGTGGCCGGAATTATTTTTCATTGAATAAAATGTTAGGAACGTACAGCAGTTATTGCGTTTGTTAGGTAATTGTAGATCATTAAAGGAAATGAAAATTACGGTCAAAGCAAAATTGATTCAATAAAGTCTACTCGTAGAGTTGCTGATACCAAGCACTGGAGAGTTGCAGTGGTATAGGTACAGTAATTAAATCTGCTATACTATTTTTTATATATGATATAACAGTCCTGTATCCTATACTATTTTGTATTAACAGTAATGGTCGAAGTAAACCGCTTACTAGCACTGGTGTTACAATTAATGCCAGGTATGCCAGATCTGGCACGAGGTGGCACGTGCATGAAACAAATCGTTTCAACCGATCAAACAGCTAGAACAAAGAAGAACCCCTTAACAAGCAATTTAATTTAAAATTGAAAGACTAAAAATAATTTGAAGAATTTATAGATTTTATAATTTATTTGAATTTTACAAAAATGGACACCTTTGGCAGCAATGATGGACAAAATATTTCAATTATGGACACTCAGTCCACTGTCAGAGACCGGCGACCGCACGCTGTGGCGGTAGACACCTCGCGTTCTCGTAGACACCCCACGCAGCTGCAACAGAAAGGTTTCGCAATAGCCATTCATTTTAACCCGGTCGCGTAAAACTTTCTTTTGAACTTGTATGGAAACCTCTGTCAGAAAAGCCGATAGAATATGTATTCCTAGACGAAAATGTCATTCTCGAAAATTACCAGAGATTTATTATCGGGAAAAACATAGTTCAGGTATTTAAAATTATAGACATCACCAGGCCGGCTAACTCCAAATACGTACTCGTACAGCTTACTCCAAGCGGAAGCTCGGCAATAAGCCGGTATTTTGCGTACAAGAAGCGAACGTGTAAGAAACGTGTATTTTGTGCAGAGTACCAGAATTCATTGTGTTAATTCATGGTAAACTCATTGACATACTGTATTTATCGTTAGATGGTAGTAAACTACATAGTTTACGTTTACAAGCGTATTAGGGAAGGTGAACATGTGAGCGCGCTTTCATATTTTCAAAAGCAGCATTGCCCTGCTTCGTTAAGAAAATTCAGACAGATTTGCTGTTGTAATGGTTCATCGTGCAAATACGTGATAACTGTAAGATTCGGCCACAAACCTAGGCATAAAACTAGATCTTCGTGAGGAGGAAACAGCATTGTAACTACGGAAGTAACGGAACAACTGCACAGATGCGCATATACGAATGTAGCGCAACTTCTGTCAAAAATGCGGTTGGACTAAAGACGTTCACCAGCAAATCTGCACATTGTCGGAGAAGGCGATATTATTGTATACCGATTGGCGTTTACTGTTTAGGTTATTCTTCACCGCGCATTTCCTGTTTGTGTATTTAAGTTAATAATTTTAAAATAAAATGATTAGAAGCTGCTTAATTACACGGAGGAGGGGAGTATTGGTAATTTTTAAGCACAAGTTCTAATCTAGGTGAGCACATGGACCTTTATGTGAGCACATTTTGTGCTATGTGAGCACAAGTTTTTAGGCACTGCCGCGCTCACGTGCACGTCCAGCTGGACCTGTACGTGAAAATGTGGTCAGTCTATGCCGTCCTACACGCTCAGAGTCGGCACGTGCCGCTGTTCATCGTCCACAACGGTCGTGAGATCCCGGAGAACCCTTGTGAGGCCTTCCTGGCCCTGCACCGCCATCCCCGCAGCGGCCAGTTGGAGTGCCACATGCTGGCGGATGTGATGGCGGTCTGCGAGCAGTTGGTGCTCCGCCGTGCCGGAAGCCCTCCGCGGATCAGCGACGGACATGATACTGGGTAGGGGTGACATGAAGGACCATCCCCGCTACCCAGATCCGAATTGCTTCTCCTGCGTTATAATTTCCCGGATCGCTTGGGACTAATCATTCCCATGCTGCGCTTCCGTTCCACGCACACGGCCGCGGAACAGGCGCGACTGCTGCTGACCACGGCCGACGTGCACTGCCCGCCGGCCAGTCAGCGGGTGCTGCAAAAGGTCACCGCTATCCATGCGCGCTGGGCGCAGACGTTGGCCTATCCGGACCAGTGGAGAACTATTCGCAACTTTCTGAAGGTGTAAGTGACTGGGTTGCGGTAATGGCGTTTACAAACATGGTCAACAGTGTGGGGTGTTTGGGTGGTAGGTTCAACTGCCTGGGCCCGGACGACGATCCCCAGATGTGGGACTCGATGGATCTGCGCCAACTGGACATTCCCTCCTTGACCAAGGTCACCTTTGAGGCCCTGGATGGTTGCTACGAAGACTGAAGCCGACGTCGATGCCGCTATATATATTTTGTTCGACCAGACTTGAAGTCCCCTTGGGGTTGTCTGCTCTTGTGCCGTAATAATAATAATAATAATCTCCTACGTGATAACACCGCACGAGCTGTTCTAGTTTCACTGTTGCTCTTACTTCTTTCGCGTTCCAGTGTTTAGTGGCGTTTCTTTGCAGACGTTTCTGCCGCTTTTTGCTTTCTTTATGGTAGAGCTTACAACGTAAGCTGGCTTTCGACGTGAAAATCAACCGGTTTAGTAGCAAAATAATGGAACATGTTCAGGCCAGTTAAAATGTAACAAAATTCCCGGAAGCATTCAAAATGCGGAGAAGTACGTATATTTACTATATTATTACAAGTACGTTGTACCTGGCGCACTTGTAGCAAGTGGGACCATGGGAGCGCTACGCGAAACAAAAAACAAGGGCAGGTCTCCTACAGCTAAAGGACCGTTACGAGACTCTGTCATTATTAGGAATTTCTGACGCTAATTAATTAAGTAGTTGATTTGTACGATTACGGTACTGCAAGCACTAGAAAAGTGTTTTTGCTTCTTGCGGCCACTGCATGACAAAAGCATAGCGAAATGGTTACAAGTATACGTATAATATATTCACCTCTTTCCATCCCCATTTCCCGTAGAAATGTGGGCAAATAATAATCGGAAATCAAACGAGACTGGGACTACCAGCCACTGGTAAATTAAGTACCGCCTTAACATAATTATTCTGTTTTGCCTTTAAATAATCCTCGAGCTAGGGAAACGCTTTAATTTTGCTGCAGTAAACAAATACAAAGGTTTTGGCGCCAAGGTCACCATCCAAATTTATTGCTGAAGGTTATTCTGCACAGCAGACATTTCGTTTCCACTTGGCGATGTGAAGTTGTGAACACAAAATCGGAGCCCAGCTGTCGATGTTGTTGACGTTATCGGCGCGGAAACACAAAACAACGTAGTAAAGTGCGACGCTCTTCCTTTGCCTGCTTCTCCAGTCTTGTAAACCGTTCTGCAGCTTTTCGCTTAGTTGACGCTTTTTCCCTTGCCTGCTTATCCAGTCTTATACACCACAATGCAGCTTTTCGTATGGTTAACGCTTTTTTTTTGACTACTTCTCCAGTCTTGTAAACCGTTCTGCAGCTTTTCGCTTAGTTGACGCTTTTTCCCTTGCCTGCTTACCCAGGCTTATACACCGTTTTGCAGATTTTGTACAGTCTACGCTTTTCCAGTGCCTGCTTCTCCAGTCTTGTAAACCGTTCTGCAGCTTTTCGCTTAGTTGACGCTTTTTCCCTTGCCTGCTTATCCAGTCTTATACACCACAATGCAGCTTTTCGTATGGTTAACGCTTTTTTTTTGACTACTTCTCCAGTCTTGTAAACCGTTCTGCAGCTTTTCGCTTAGTTGACGCTTTTTCCCTTGCCTGCTTATCCAGGCTTATACACCGTTTTGCAGATTTTGTACAGTCTACGCTTTTCCAGTGCCTGCTTCTCCAGTCTTGTAAACCGTTCTGCAGCTTCTCGCTTAGTTGACGCTTTTTCCCTTGCCTGCTTATCCAGGCTTATACACCGTTTTGCAGATTTTGTACAGTCTACGCTTTTCCAGTGCCTGCTTCTCCAGTCTTGTAAACCGTTCTGCAGCTTTTCGCTTAGTTGACGCTTTTTCCCTTGCCTGCTTATCCAGGCTTATACACCGTTTTGCAGATTTTGTACAGTCTACGCTTTTCCAGTGCCTGCTTCTCCAGTCTTGTAAACCGTTCTGCAGCTTTTCGCTTAGTTGACGCTTTTTCCCTTGCCTGCTTATCCAGGCTTATACACCGTTTTGCAGATTTTGTACAGTCTACGCTTTTCCAGTGCCTGCTTCTCCACTCTTGTAAACCGTTCTGCAGCTTTTCGCTTAGTTGACGCTTTTTCCCTTGCCTGCTTATCCAGGCTTATACACCGTTTTGCAGATTTTGTACAGTCTACGCTTTTCCAGTGCCTGCTTCTCCAGTCTTGTAAACCGTTTGCAGCTTTTCGTACAGTGGACCCTTTTCCTTTGCCTTCTATCAAGTTTTTTAAAAGCCGTTCTGCAGCTGTTCCTAAACCGATGTCCTTGATAATGTCCAAGATGTCAACGACTATCTAGTTTTTGGGTGGATCGGGATGGTTTGTTTGCAGAGCATGTGTGTCGGCCGGTGTACCAGCAAAACTGGAGCCGCGCGGGACATCTCACACGACGGAACGCCGCCCAGATGGCTGCACGATATTCGCCTGGAAACGCGGAATGTGTCCACCATGGGATGTAGCAGGCGTATACATACAGTGGCTGCATGGCATGTTAAAGCAACTTCCGCCACAGCGGGAGCTGCCGCTGCCTAGGCCGAGGAAAAGAAAGTCAGACTGTATTCCTATCTGAACGCCGTTATATCTTTGTTCCGATCGCTTGTGAAACGCTTGGCCTTTGGGTAGCGTCGGCGATCGCCATCGTCAAGGAGCTGGATAAAAGACTGCAACAACAAACCGGCGAAGTTCGAATAAGTCTCTTCGACAGCGTTTGTCGAAATCAAATTCAACGGGGGAACACGGCGTCAGTAGTGGGCGCTATGGATGAAGTTTACAGGCTTAGAGAGATTTGTTTATTATAGTTTAAGCGGTTTTATTGCATGCAAAGTGTAATAAGTAGTTACGAGTCAAAAATATTGTTGATGTTCCATCCAAAGCCTGCCAAGCTGTCCGCTACCAAAACAACACCCATGCCAGTACTTGTAGTGCCATGCAGAAATCGCACCCTCCCGTACCGTGAGTTGTATGCTAAACGGATAAAACTCACTGTCAGATGTGCATGTGACCTTTCACATAGCAACCGTGTTTTACCGTATGTTTTGGTTCGCTGATCAGATTAGTCAGCGACCGAGCGATTACTAATAAATATTCCTATTTATTACCACGCCGTGACAAACTGGCGTGAAGGCCACACGACCTCACGCGGTCAGATTCCCTACACACACCACAATGTCGACCACGGCGTCGACGACGCCCGCTTCGCCATCAGCCCCCACGACGTCCGGCGAGAAGACTGGATCAGGGCTGATCAAGTTTGAACCCGCGAAGATGACGTGGCGGTGGTGGCAATTTCAATACAGGAATTACGTGAAGCTACGGAAAATCAATGACCTGGAAGACCAGAAGTGTTTGCTGCTTGATTCACTCGGGATCGATGCGGGGGAAATGCTTTTCTCCATGTGTTTGCCTACTGATCCCGATAATTTCACAATTGCGCAGCTGGTGGACAAGCTCGAGCATGCCTACGTGAAGAAAACGAAAGCCGCCACCGAGTGAGGGAACTACTTCAAGCTGCAGCAAGAGTCCGGCGAGCGCTTGCTGGATTTTTCGAATCGCCTGCGTCGAAAGGCATTTCCCCGCGGTTTCCCAGCCGACGTACTTGAGAAGAATATGTCGGCGACCTTTCTGAACGGAATCGCAAGCGACGCTACACGCCAACACCTGCAATCCCAGACCTACACCACTCTGGAGAAGGCTCTGGAGATCTGCGAGGAGTACAAACTCCGGAAGAGCAACAGGAAAGGCAGTACGGCGCCTGATGTGGCTCGCGTGGACAACGCACGCCGTGGCGGTGGCGCGCGAGGCAGAAACCGCGGCGGCGACCGTGGCGGACAGCAGCGGCGCGGCGCAGGCCCGGACAGGCAGCCCGCATCTGATGGTGGTAGCGGAAGCGTATGCGACGGATGCGGCTCCAACCAGCATGTCCGAGCGGAGTGCTGGGCAAAAGAGCTGGCCTGCAAAAATTGCGGGAGAAAAAGCCATATCGCAAAGGTGTGTAGAAGCGCGAAGCAACCGCAGCGCGGACGGGGTGGACGCGCGACCTTTCTCGTGGAGGAGGAGCTGGATGTGCTCTCGGTCGAAGCAGCAGCCGGGCGATCCATCCACGTGCCGATCAAGCTGAACGGCGTCCCGGTGTCACCAGTTCTGGATACTGGATCCAGTGTCACTATAGTGACTGTTGACACATGGCGGCAATTGGGTCACCTAAGCTGTCGCCCTACACGAGCCTCTTGCGAAGCTTCACAGGCCATGCCATGAAGGTAATGGGCACCGTGACAGTGGATGTCACGCACGGCCGGAACAAGAAAGCGCTACCAGTAATCGTTGTGGCCAGCGGTGGCAACGTTCTTGGGAGGGACTGGATCCGGGCTCTCGACCTCAGTCGGCTGAGCCTGCGAGACCTCCAGTCGGCGTCCGTATCGACCGTCTCCGGAATCACGGTGGAGGAGCTGCTGGCGAAGCACAGCACCGTGTTCCGCGAAGAGTTGGGCCATTGCCGGCACTACAAAGCCCATCTGCACCTGAAGCCCGGAGCCACGCCGGTGTTCCGAAAGGTGCGGCCAGTCCCGTTTGCGTTCCGGGAAGCCCTCGAGCGCGACCTGGACCGCCTCGTGGAGAAAGGGATTCTGACTACGGTCGAGCGGGCGGACTGGGCAGCTCCGGTGGTAACCGCGCAGAAGCGGGCGGGGGACATCCGCACCTGTGCCGACCTCAGCACGGGCCTGAATGACGCCCTAGATGTCCAGCAATATCCGCTGCCGACACCGGAGGAGCTTTTCGCCAAGCTCAATGGCGGTCGGAAATTCGCCACCCTTGACCTGGCGGAGGCATACGCCCAGGTCGAGCTAGACGACGACAGTAAGAAACTGCTGGTGATCAATACCCACAAGGGGTTGTTCCGATACAACCGCCTTCCCTTTGGCGTAGCGTGCGGCCCCAGCATCTTTCAACGGATAATGGAAAGCGTCCTCCAAGGCCGCGAGGGTGTTGCCATCTATCTGGATGACATCATCATCACCGGGGCGACCGAAGAGGAGCACTTGAGGAACCTGGAGAAGGTCCTTCAGCGTCTAGAGGAGCACGGGTTCACGCTCAAACGGAGCAAGTGCCACTTTCTGCAGGACTCCGTGGAGTACCTTGGGTTCGTGGTGGACCACCAAGGTCGCCACATCTCCCAGGACCGAGTGAAGGCTCTCCGAGAAATGGCCCGTCCTACCAATATCAGTGAGCTCCGCGCGTTTCTGGGTTTGGTCAACCACTACGGGAAGTTCGTCCGCGGCCTTTCCGGGAAGTGTGCCCCGTTCCACGCCCTCCTGAAGACCGGAGTTCCCTGGTTTTGGTCCAAGGACTGCGAGTCCCAGTTCCTGTCCCTGAAGGACCAAATTGTCCGCGCAACCTTCCTGGTTCACCATGACCCGCGGATGCCATTGGTCCTGGCAGCGGACGCGTCCCAGTATGGCGTAGGTGCCGTGATTTGCCACCGTTTCCCGGACGGAACGGAACGCCCGATTGCCCATGCGTCCAAGACCCTGACAGCGGCCGAAAAGAACTACGGACAGATAGAAAAGGAAGCCCTGGCACTCGTCTTCGGCTGCCGGAAGTTCCATCAGTACATCGCCGGACGCGATTTCACCCTGTGTACTGATCATAAGCCGCTTCTCAGCGTCTTCGGCACCAAGAAGGGAGTTCCAGTGGTGACAGCACACCGCCTACAGCGATGGGCGCTCATGCTGATGGGGTACTCTTTCAGCATCGAGTACCGCAGGACGGAGGACTTCGGCCAGGCGGACGGCCTCAGCCGCCTCCCGCTGCATTCGACAGAGCTGGACGGACTGTACGGACTGGGAATGGACAGTGTGGTGAACGCTATTCACCTGGATAATGTGTCCCGTTTCCCCGTTGCAGTGGAAGCGATCGCGGTGGAGACCACCAGCGACCCGGAACTGTCCAAGGTGTACGAGTACGTTATGACTGGCTGGCCTGCCTCAGTCGAAGAACACCTGCGTCCGTATAAACGACTCGAACACGAGCTGATTGTGATAAACGACTGCATCTGCTGGGGCTCCCGGACAGTCATACCAGCGAAACACCGACAGGAGATCCTCGACTACCTGCATGCCGCCCACATGGGCGCGGGGAAGATGAAGGGTGAGGCCCGGGGATACTGTTGGTGGCCACACATGGATGCTGACATTGAACGCATCTCCAAAGAGTGTCGCATCTGTTCCGAGCGAGCAAAGGAAACCGCCAAGGTTCCACTGTCGCAATGGGCAGTCCCCGATGCGCCATGGAAACGACTCCACATAGACTTCGCCGGCCCATTCCATGGGACAATGCTACTGCTCATCGTGGATGCCATGTGGAAGTGGCCGGAGGTCGTGCAGATGAAGCACGCCACTTCCGACGGTGTTCTGGAAGCGCTACGGAACCTGTTCAGCCGTTACGGTGCGTGTACCGAAATGGTGACGGACAACGGCACCCAGTTCACGTCGCAGGAGTTTGCCGACTTCTGCGCGGAACACGGCATCCGACACCTGCGAACACCACCCGGCCATCCGCAATCGAACGGCCAGGCTGAGCGTTACGTTCAAACGTTTAGGGACGGAATTACGAAACTCATGGCGGACCGGAAGTCGCTATCGGCCGCGCTCCGCGAGTTCCTTTTCCGATACCGGAGCGCCCCCCTTGCTACGACAGGGAAATCTCCCGCAGAACTTTTCCTTGGCCGGAAACTGCGTTCTCAGCTGGACTTGCTGGTACCTGTCAAGCTGCCCACGACGGAAGCCAACCGGCGACGCTACCAGCAGAACTTTGACAAGCGAACGAAGGCGAAGCATTTCCAAGTCGGCGACTACGTGATGGTGCGCGATTAGCGTCCGATTCGGACGGTCGACTGGCAAAGAGGACAGCTGGTCAAGCGCGAAGGTTCACGCATTTGGGTGGAATTAATTAATGGCACGATGTTACGCAGGCATGAGAACCAAATGCGTCCGCGACATTGGCTGCATCCGGACGAGCGCGCGATACCGGAAGCACCTAACGTACCGAAACTGCACGGTACACCGACTGCACCGACCGTACCTTTTGTACCCGAAGCACCGAGCGCACCGCCCGTCACTTTAGCTCATGCGCCTGCAGCTGTTGACGACCAACCTGAGAAGTTGGAACAGGAGCCGACGAAGGAGTTTCAGACAGCAGTGCCAGAAACTGTCTCTGCGAAACCCGCAAAGCCGCAGACGAGCTCAGCAGTTCCGTCTATGGCAAAATAGAAAACCGACGAAGACGCGCGTCGCCAAAAGTGACACCACTACTCAGCAGCAGCCACAACCGGGAATCCGAAAAAGCGGACGAGAAATTAGAAAACCGGATCTACTACTCATGGATCCTAAATTCGGGAAATAATTTTTCTTTAATATTTTCTGGATGTTTTTGGCTGAGTGGGTTTTCCCCACTGGGGGAGGTGTCAGATGTGCATGTGACCTGTACAAAATCTGCAAAACGGTGTATAAGCTGTATAAGCAGGCAAGGGAAAAAGCGTCAACTAAGCGAAAAGCTGCAGAACGGTTTACAAGACTGGAGAAGCAGGCACTGGAAAAGCGTAGACTGTACAAAATCTGCAAAACGGTGTATAAGCTGGATAAGCAGGCAAGGGAAAAAGCGTCAACTAAGCGAAAAGCTGCAGAACGGTTTACAAGACTGGAGAAGTAGTCAAAGAAAAAGCGTTAACCATACGAAAAGCTGCATTGTGGTGTATAAGACTGGATAAGCAGGCAAGGGAAAAAGCGTCAACTAAGCGAAAAGCTGCAGAACGGTTTACAAGACTGGAGAAACAGGCACTGGAAAAGCGTAGACTGTACAAAATCTGCAAAACGGTGTATAAGACTGGATAAGCAGGCAAGAGAAAAAGCGACAACTAAGCGAAAAGCTGCAGAACGGTTTACAAGACTGGAGAAGTAGTCAAAGAAAAAGCGTTAACCATACGAAAAGCTGCATTGTGGTGTATAAGACTGGATAAGCAGGCAAGGGAAAAAGCGTCAACTAAGCGAAAAGCTGCAGAACGGTTTACAAGACTGGAGAAGTAGTCAAAGAAAAAGCGTTAACCATACGAAAAGCTGCATTGTGGTGTATAAGACTGGATAAGCAGGCAAGGGAAAAAGCGTCAACTAAGCGAAAAGCTGCAGAACGGTTTACAAGACTGGAAAAGCAGGCACTGGAAAAGCGTAGACTGTACAAAATCTGCAAAACGGTGTATAAGACTGGATAAGCAGGCAAGGGAAAAAGCGACAACTAAGCGAAAAGCTGCAGAACGGTTTACAAGACTGGAGAAGCAGGCACTGGAAAAGCGTAGACTGTACAAAATCTGCAAAACGGTGTATAAGACTGGATAAGCAGGCAAGGGAAAAAGCGACAACTAAGCGAAAAGCTGCAGAACGGTTTACAAGACTGGAGAAGCAGGCACTGGAAAAGCGTAGACTGTACAAAATCTGCAAAACGGTGTATAAGACTGGATAAGCAGGCAAGGGAAAAAGCGACAACTAAGCGAAAAGCTGCAGAACGGTTTACAAGACTGGAGAAGCAGGCACTGGAAAAGCGTAGACTGTACAAAATCTGCAAAACGGTGTATAAGACTGGATAAGCAGGCAAGGGAAAAAGCGACAACTAAGCGAAAAGCTGCAGAACGGTTTACAAGACTGGAGAAGTAGTCAAAGAAAAAGCGTTAACCATACGAAAAGCTGCATGGTGGTGTATAAGACTGGATAAGCAGGCAGAGAGAAAGCGTAAGCTGTACAAAAGCTGCAAATCGGTGTATAAGGCTGGAGAAGCAGGCAAAGGAAAGCGTAACCACCACACTATCTGGCGCAGAGAAACTTACTGTGGTACTGCGCCATATTATTGCAGGCGCACGCATTATATGCACACTTTTACTTCTAACACAAGTTCTCACATAAATTATTTCATAAAATTAAACTGTCATTCAGCATTACCCTCTAAATTATTTTACATAATGAGATGCATGTTCATACATTCAAAGCGTTCGGATACAATCAGTATCATATTACCAGAGTACCGCAAACCTGCAACACTTGCTGCATTGAACCACTGCTCTACAATCTCGAACTAGGTAAATAAACTGCAACAACAAACCTGCGAAGTACGCTCGCATGAGTTTCTTCGACAGCGCCTGTCGATTGAAGTTCAACGGGGGCAGGCGGCGTCGGTACTGGGCACCATGGATGGACTGGATAGGCATACAGAGATTTTTTGTTATCGTTTAAGCGGCTCTGTTTTAATGTATGCACTAAGCACAGTGTAACCGTTGTGATCAAAATAATTGGAACGAAAACCGATTCAATAATTCATAACTTTTCAATGCCGCAAGCCAAACTTTATCTGGCAGAAAATTTAAACGCACAATACAATCATCTTTAAAATCATTTCTTTGGCCATGTCCGCGCAAAGTGCAAACGCCGTCGAAGACGCTGAAAACGACTTGAGAAAAGGAAAACATCCATTAGGAGAGTCCGACACTGTTACTCGGATCCACTGCGTGGGATGAGAAGAAAGCGCAAGGAAAAACGCGACAGGTTCGGCAGGTGCAGGTTCCGCAGTACACCACTTCTTCCCGTGGTAATGCGACGAGGGACGCGGATCAGTGGTCTGCGTCGTACACAACACCTAACGAACACAAAATGCTCCGTACTGAAAATGGAGTACTTGGACTTTTTGCGCATTTCGGCCATATTCACAATATGGATTGCCTACCGGACACCAAAGACCTGGTGTTCTCTGCGTTGCTCCAAAATTTAATGACACATTTTTTTAAAAAATTGATTACATGATAATCAGTGCTGTTGTACAAGCTTGTTTCTTTAACGTTTAAATTCAAATCATTTTACGTAGTATTACGCGAATGCATATTTTGTAATGTTGATGGCCGTCTGCCCAATAAATAAGTACAGCTTGTACATGAGATTAGTAAAAAAATTGTCCAGTATCCAAATGTGGAATAACACAGAGAATACCATGTCCCACAGTCACACGAATTCGAAAGTGTGAAAGTGTGAAAGTGTCCGAAGGCGAAAAGCGTCGAAGCATACGGTAGTTCCCCAGTGAATTCCTGATAATCCCGTTGTGGGGACATCCAAGTGGATATTACACAGCGGCACTTACTTTGCAGGCTGCCGTTCGACTCTACTCGTGGCTCTCGTCTGCCGTACCGACAAACGCCAACCATGCCGATAGTGCTTGCATCTCGTCGTCGCTGGGCGTCGGCAGCAGCGCCTCGAGAGCATTCCACACGGTGCTGGCGACATCCCCGTTTAACGGCAGACGCATCTTGGCCACGTCGACATCCAGCGCTAGTGGTGTGTTCCGGCAGCTCCAGTAGCGTCAGGTCGTGCAGGGACTTCACCGAGCAGCGGACCAGATAGATGGTCTGACACGGCAGACCGCGGCACACAACTAAGTACAACTACTTGTTACGTGGCCAACAACTAGAAACCTCGTCATACCTGTGCTATGTCTTGGGCTTGCCGCGGCGGACACCCGTCATCACCGTTCAGCGCCACAATAAAATGCCCCTGCCCGTCCACGACATCGACACCGACCACCTGGCCTTGAGAGGCGCGCTGGTGCTTAGCCTGCGACTCTCGGAGCACCGGCGCCAGCTGTGCTGCTGACACCTGACGATATTCGGCCGGCAACGGCAGACTGCGCTTGACGAAGCGTCCCGACGCCACCGGAAGCAGCTGCGTCATCGGGGACCCTTCGTTCTTTCGCTTCCCCCGTCCACCATGCTTCCGGCACCGGGAAGTGGAGACGCTGCCGGGGGACCATGTCCGTCCAGATGGTACCCGCGTCATCCCGCCCCTGGACAACGAACACCGCGGCGTACCATTGCATAACCGTTAGGTCCACTCCCCGCGTCAGATTGATAACGTCCCCAGGCCACCAGCGCCGCGCACCGCCCGGATATCCACGGCGCGGTATTTCTACTGGGATTGTCTCCCGTGAATGCAGTCCCTCCAGGTCATCATAACACCACTCTGTTAATTTTTCGGGCTGGGATAGAAAGAGGCACGTTCACCGCTGTTAGCCGACATGGTGCAGTGCATCTACGAGTTAACTGAATGTAACTAAGTAAAAAAATTAACTAATAGTCTTTCAGCAAGATTTAATTACGTTATTTACGTACTAGTGCCGTTTAATTATTTTAGTTAAAATAATCACACTTTTTGGCACTAGATGGTATGTATCGACGCGTATGAGCGCATTATACTGTTTTTAATGACATGCATGCCTAAATATTTCACTAAGAAAAGGGAATTCGGCATAAAAAAAAACAGTTTCAACGGCAGCCTCCCAAAAAGAAGACTAGTAGAACACAATGTCAAACCAGACAAACCCAGCGCAAAATGAGAAAACTGCGGCCGACCCACGTTGTAGTTCCAGGAGCCGGCGACGGGGAGCATGACGAAGCCGAGGAAGCGGTCGGACAGCAGCATCTGCACCTTCTCGCCACAAATCACAGGTATGGCAAAGGACACGGCGTTCAGGCGTCGGCGCTGGGCGGTCCACCGGGAGTCATCGCGGGCTGCAGCGCAGCAGCATCCGGCACAGCGTCACCAGGAGCAATCGCCACACGGCCCACACCCGACTGCTCGGCCAACTCGGCGTCCTGACGGATGGGCACAGCGATCGGACGGGGGACGACGCGGGGCTTCTGGTTGGCACGCGCAGCCTGGCCAGCCGCCTCCCGGGCGTCGACGGCGCCAGCATCTCCCGCGGCGCGATGCGCCTCGACTGCCTCCCGCAGCCAGTCCAGGAATCCGCACACCGTCGGCCAGGACGACGGGATATTGGGAGCCTTGAACGTGTTCGGCGTTAACTTGCGGAGGTATGGATAGCCCATCTCGCGGGCCCGCTGGGCCATGGTGGCTGGCAGCAGCTTCTCGGCCGGATCCGAGTGGGCAGAGAGAATGCCATCCAAATGAGAAAAAATCTGGCGCAGCATGGCAAGATCCATGTGCAGCAGATGCTGCAACTGTAGGCGATCTCCCTTGGGATGCTCCCAATCGAAATTGTGCGCTTCCAAAACCTACGGCGAGCAAATAATTAGGCTACGACAGTAGAACATTTTCCAATAGCCTGATAAGATATCGCCGTTAATGAAGCTGGCTACTGTAGTGCGATAATGATAATGATACTAAGCGGCTAGATACGCTGTACTCGTACATTCAGCAGTTTCCCCATCGCTTCGCGCCGCCAGCGCTTATCCGTCAGCGGACGGGGATCCTCCACTGCACGCGCCGCAGCGGCCAGCGGGGGTGCGGCATCGGACGGCGGGAAGACGGTCAGTCCCCGATCCCACCTGCGCAACAACACAACTGCAACGACGCGCCTTCAGCCAGTCACACGCGCTACATTCTGCAGCGTCAATACTCCACTGGATGTTGATTGCACCTCCCCACAGCACGTATACGCAGCTCTCACACAGATGGACACGTTGGCAGCACCATGGCTGTACTACCTGCTTCACGCCTCAACTGGCCAACGTACCTCTGCGCGAGCGGGGTGGACAGCGGGATCTCGGCTCCCTGAAACATCATGAAGCGGGGAAGATCGGGAGAGCTGACCGAGGCATTTCGCGGTTGTGCTGCGCGGATTACCACCGTCCGCGGGCCCGACGGGACGGATTGAGAGCGACGCAGTGCCCGGGGCACCTGCTTCACGTATGTGCCCATTTCTCATCCACCAGTCGCACGAATGACGGCCAAGCGAGAAAGGGTATCTCCGGAAGGAAGACACTTTTCAAAGCGGAAGGAATTAAAAAGTCTGCACACAGCAGTCAGTCTGCAAACTGCAGTGAGTGCTGCACACTGCAAACGAGCCTGTGCGGTAACTGCCTTCTCGCGCAGGTTGCGCATGGCGCACTGCTTCTTCCCGATCCTAACAATGACAACAGGGCTTGCGCCGTATTGTCGCAGGCAATTAAGCTGCCTGTGTCGCCGTCGTTTCCCTGTATGGACGACCTGTTGCTTTGTAATTGCTCGGCGTTCTGGGTGCTATTACGAGTAATTGATTAATAATAAGCGACCACGGCATACAAATATCTCCAGTATGGCTGCGCAGCCGTTGACCGATTTCCGTGACAGTTGCACGTTTGGACTGACCGATGGTCCCCACGGGCCCATTGCTTCGAATGCTGAGGGTGCGGAATGTATGGACCATTAAGGCACAAGGACAGTCTACACTTCTTACACGCTTCCGCCTGTGTCGCGGCCGATCCTGCAGTAGTCAGTACAGTAGTCGATGTGGACCTGCTGTGGGAAGCAGCGAAAGTATCGGCACAAGTGACATCCCACCGCCCACGCCTTGGCATTCCTCTTCGCCAAGCAATTGTAGTACAGCTGCCTGGATGACGTGCACTCGTGTCTGGACAGTCTGCTTGCCTAATAATGCGCGGAATAACGATTAAGTATCTTTAGACGCAGCCAAGCAGCGACACGCTGGTCATCGGCGCCGCCCTCTTGACCGTGTCTCAGCGAATCGGCAACGGGGCTGCTTATACTGCACCCGCCAACCTCAGCGTGCTACTCCAACTTTGGTACATAGTTACAGCGAATAACATTATACGATCAGTAGAGTCCCGACGCCCCACCAGTCCGGTGGCCAGCGAGGTCCAGCGGCGGGATAGCTGACGGTGCCGGTGAGGAATTGCCTTCTTCTGCGCCGGAGAAGCAGCGCCAACCGGGTGGACTTCTTCAGCGTTCGGCGTTATGAAAGGCAACACGCGCACCCCGAGGAGACGCCGATGTTGTTTCAGTCAGGTCACAGGTGTCAACGTTCACCAGAAATCAGAATAAGTTCAGCAAGTGGAAAAAAATGTTCAACTAAATCAGACACGCTACGTTGGTGTTGGAAATAACGCACATCCCGCGGCTGGTGGCCCGGATCAGTGAGCCGGCCACCCGGCACCATGCACGCAAACACGGCGATATACGACATACGTGCCGACTGGCCAGGCCCGCCGTCGATCGGCGACCGCGTCATCCAGCACAAGTACCGGCGATTCCGGGCCTGCGCCGCGCGACTGGCATGCGCCAAGCGGCCTTCCACGTGCTGTGTAGGGTCGCAGCGCATGTGCTGATCGTGGTCCAGCGTCTGCTTGTTGTATTGCCGGCAGTGGCGCCAGCAGCGCAGCGGACAGGGCTTGATTCCCCGGGGGCGGAGTCGGCTGATGGTCAGCCGCCCACGGACACCGCTCGCATGCCGCACAGCGTGTGCGTCCTTCAATCCGTCCGCTGGCCAGCTGGCCAGCAGCGTGGGCTTGGTTGGATGCCGATGAACGCGCAAAGGTCACCGTGTAGCGTGCCGAATAGCGATGCCGATGAACGCGCAAAGGTCACCGTGTAGCGTGCCGAACAGCGATCCCTCCACCGCATTAAGCAGTGGTCAGCGTATGCCACTGACCACTGCTTAATTATACCTACACTGTATATTTGTGTCCACAGCATCGTCATCCAGGGAAGCGAACTGCCAGTCATGATTACCGCCCCGCGCATTCTTGCGTTTCACGCAGATCGAGCTGAGGCCGCCGCCGTCGATCACACGGTAGGTACCGGCTCGATTCTGTGCATGCGTAGAACATGCGTCCGCATTGTTGTCTCAGCGCGCTCGCCTCTTCCTTGTTTTCCACCGCGTTTTCTCATGTTGCGGAAGGCTGACGGTGTTTCGGCGGTGTTGTGGGCCGAATTATATGCTGTTCCTGCTGTTTCTTAGCGTTTACTGTGTATAATTCTGTTGTTATTCTCATTTCTCTCAGCGTGGGCGTAATTCATTTCTGTCACTGGAATAAAGTACTGTACGTGAATAAAATACACCGTTGGATTCGTTGGCTATCATAGACCCGATAAACGTCTTATATACCATAATGAACATAATGAGCTAAGATTAATGAACATGACAGGATGTCAAAAAAGACGTAGATTAATGAAAATTAAGTTAGAAAAGAGAATTCATGACTTAGATAGAAAGCGTGAATTAACGACAACAGAGAAACCAATCTGATCACTGAGAAACGCCAGTGAAGTTTGAACTAGTGTACTTGCCAATGTCGGCACTCGGCACAACAAGAAATGCAGCGTTCTTGGCGGCCCAAGCAAAGGTCACCATCCACATTACTTGCTTATACGGGTTTTAATTTTACACTGCAAAGTTGTCCTTCTTATTTGGTGATGTGCGAAAGCATGCAGAATCTTTTAGGGATATTTACTAATTATACGCATTTGCGGGGGCATTCTGACGCGCGGTCAGAACGGCAAAGTGGCCACGGCCAGCGGCGTAACGAGCAAAAAGGTTTGGGGTGGGCCACAAGTACTGGCTTTGGGGTAGGCCGTTCCCATAGACTCTATGCTATAACTTTTCGTTTGGGGTGGGCCATAGCCCCCAAAATATTAGGCTCGTTACGCCACTGGCCACGGCACACAAGAGGTGGAGAACATGGCATTTACTAATGATACTTCTATATATCTGCTGACGCGTGCATCTGCGCCAGTCTGTCGGGAAAACGGCGAACGGTGATAGACAGCTGTGCGGCAAATATTGACTTATCTTCCCGCGTCTGTACTCGTATTGAAGTAATCTCTTTCCCAGCAAATGCACGAGAATAGCGTTGGCCAAAACAGTTGCATGTATCGGCAAACAAGGTTTAAGGTAAGGAATGGCGCGCGATAACCGGCCGCGCAGCTTTTATGCGTTCGTAAATCGGTTTAAGTGCACTGCACATAGCACATATGTACATGTACGCGCATAAAATTCCCCGTGTGACCTTTGCCCGCCCGCTGCGCATCGAATAGTTATAGCGCTACACTCTGCTCCGTACTGCATGCGTGTTATTTGATCGCTTGATTCACCAGTGTCTGTCCAGTTAAAGATTACGCGAAAAACGGCCAGTTCTAATACCGGAATTAATCAGCGCGAATTTTATTTGGCACATTCGGCGAGTATGTATTTATTGCATCGGGGAATGCACGAGTACCAATGCACTGCAGGCTGAGGTTATGGGCGCGCTCAATCCTTTTGCACTCATTTTTTTTAAAACTGAATACGATACAGTAAATGTTACTTTGGTAGATTTATGGTTACAAAAGAAAACATAAACGAAATTTTGCTTTTCTGCCGTTATCTTCTATCAGCTGACGCGTCCAAGTTTTTTTGGTATGTGATCGTGTCGGGATAAAATGGTATAATAAATAATTAACAGGAATCTTTGCCTGCCAATAGAAAAATGGCAGAAAGAACATAGCAAAAGTATGCGTGATATATGACCGGCGTATTTGCAAATAGGCCGATATGTATTCCATAAACATTCAACGCGGGCCGGTCTGACCAGTAATGAACAACAATAACAAACGTCCTGCGTGTTAAAGCCGTGTTTAGCCGGGCGCGACTAACCGGATTGTGAGTACAACACTGAAAAATTTTCTGCATAAGGAGCACTACATACACATCTGTACAGATCTGCATTCCCATCAAAGTCGCGTATCTAACAAAATTTATTCAGAAGAGTGCATCGCACTCGAATTCGAATTTGTTTCCATTTTTTCTTCAAATTAAATGCATACAAATAATTATGTGAGAGATAAAGCGCATAAAGCCGCAGGCTCCGCCCCCTTCTGGGTTTTTGCCCAGCATCGCCAACCAAACAGCACGCGTCGTTGCCGACTTGTCAGCGCAATGCTCTGGTGCTGTCAGCCACAGCATTTCTCGAATTGTATGTCAGGAAATTCTTTCGCGAATAAACAGAACCCAGCTGATTGCTGAATTAGACAAATTAGATACATATTTTTACGGCGGCCGCAGTGACGGTCTGTGTTCTTAAATTTCCACGAGGTGACCTTTAGCCGTTATCATTTGCCCGATACCGCCATTTGCCAGGATTATATCCATTGGTTATTCCCCCGGTAACGAGAAGAAACGCCTGTTCGCTGCTCTACAAGCCGACGACAGTAAGTTTCTGGCATTTAGTTTATACCATATAATGTGCTTTTCTTACCTAAGCATTATCGTCCATTGGATAGAAATGACTGGTGCTTCAGACATCTTTACTGTAAATACTTGTTGTGGTGCATAGTTTGCACTCGTACCACGATACTTATTAAAGGTTTCTAATAATCTTGTTGTGCAGTTAAGTAATCTGCATCGACTTATAATTGTTTATGAGTTATTGTTGATCGTTGTGCTGCGTTGCTATGATGGTGTCGCACCGTCGACATACCGTATTACTTAACTTTATTGAGTTTTAGAGGACAAATTTTTTTTATAACACTTTAATCACGAATGTTGGGTAATGTAATACAAGAGTATCAATTAACATTTAACAGAAGAGATTTTAACATCATTTCCGTTCAGCCAAATGAAAGGCGAGGTACACATCTTCCTTCTCTACCGTATCGCTAAATGTACCGAGAACAGAAACTGCATTTCCTCTCTGAATCTCAATACCAATTCGTTGGCGTAAAAACCCTCCTGAGCGGGGGTTGCCTGTGCTGTCGATAATCTTTCTCGACAGCTCTTTAAAGAATTTCTTCGTCAGTGGTCCGAATGTACCCGTTGTTTCGAACGCCAGCGGTTGAACTATGTAACGGTCTGTTAGTCCGCTGTATTTTCCTAACTTCCGGTTTTCTCGTATTTCCGCTGCACTCCCCGGCACCCTGGATGTCTGCGCGATGTAGGTTTGGGCGACAATTAGTCAAATAGATAGGTTGATGTCATAAGCTCACAGTTCTTGTTAAGAGATCTTTTGAAACATCCAAACACAATAATATTATGGCAGAGTTGCTCATCAACAGTGGACTTTGGCCCCGTCGCGCGGCTCAGCAGTCGAGTCGACACACAGAAACTTTACGCATCCGTTGTTGCGATTATGGCCACGCACGAGACGTTTGACGTTCAATGAAGACACTGATATCAGTGGGATTATAATACTGGTCGTAGGCGCGTGTTTCCAGAGCAGTTGGGCGCGTTGTGAAACAGGAATGCCAGTTCGAGCAAGAAAATAGTATACATATGTAACGGAATGCCAACATAAAAGCGTGCAGAGCAGTGTAGCTTTGAATAATTAGAGAATACTGAGTATTAGGTCCTGAGCTCCATCTGGTGGGTTTCCCGCGCAACGGTACCTTTGTGCAGTTTGGCCTGTTTGATCAGTTAAACTGCCGATATACCGATAAATACTGCAGAAGTACTACTAACATATCAATTGTGATTGTGAATTTCTTGGCATTTCTTGACGGTCTCGCTGGTAATTATTTTTCCCCAACAAATATTCACAGTGGATTTTTCCAGGTTGGCGATGTATTTACGGTACATAACGGATAACTCACTAGTTCATTTCAAAGACTATTTAATTATCGTCTGTTTCCTATATAGTTGTTTTACTGTTCTTATATTTTTCTTGTTATTATTTTGGAAACACTTCGATATGCTGTTGCTTTTATTCAGTCCAACGGCGTGTAACTTTCTGGTTGAACGGAGTATGTTATTTTCTTGGTAAAGGGACGCAACAAATGTGTGAGGAGGAGTGGCCTCCCCGTACGCCCGCACTGGTGCGGGTGCTAAGTTGTTTTGCTGTATTCTGGTGTTGAATTTCTTCATCTGCCAGATCTTCAATCTGGTAGATTCTTCAGTTGCTAGCCATCGTCGTCTGAGTAACTTGCTGCTCTTTTGGCCCCGCAGCATTCTGCTGCGGGAGCTTCTGTAGTGTCATGTGAATGGGATAAAGTGTGCAGTTGATTGTCGGGTGTCTTGCGTTTCCGCATAACTCGTAGTAAACAACACTGCTCACTCTGCAGGATAGATTCCGTTTCTGTCTCTGTCCGTGGATTCTTCCTAGATCCACCATCATAAATGGATACTCCCGGGATCGGAACGGCCGACCGCTCGGAGACCGATGTGGTCCGCCCCGATCGTGGCTCCATCCCCTCCGGTGGATTTCCGGCGGCCAACACCATGAACTTGCTGTCGCAGGTGACGACGGTCGCCCATCAGGAGGTCAGCGTCCCGCCCAGCTCCCTGTACATCCCGGCGGCCGAAGCCGACATGCAGGACGTTTACGCCGTGACCGACGCCCCGTCTAGACACTTCAGCAGCAGCAGCGCCACCTCCGCCGGTCCCGACTACGGGGCGGCCACGCCGTCCTATTGGGTCCGGTCTCTGACGACAGTGCAGAGCGCCGACACCCGCCACGCCCTCCCGCAGCGGACCGGGGCCGTGATACCGTTGGACCAGCAGCCTTATTGGTATCCGGCCGATCGTTACGCCGGTTCGGCATACTACCCGACGATCCCGCACAGCGCCGGGGCGCCCACCACCATTCGAAACCAGCCAGTCGGATACGTCGGTAAAAACGTTTTTCTTTTCGATGATAAGTAAACAAAGAAAATATAATCAAAGTTAATTCGAAATGAATTGATGCTATAAATGTTAATTTGTGAATTAATGCCAACTATTATACGTAGTTGCAATAAGTTTCGTATTATTATTAAATTTCGTTTACGTATGCGGCTCTGCGGGCATACTCGTATAGTTTATATACAAGAATACGAGATCAAAAAATGTTTTATTCGACACCAGTCAGCTCACAGATCAGATGGGCTAGCACAGGTTTACACTAAGAGAACGAAAAAAACGACGTACTTAAAATGATCAAAATTTATAATTAGTATAAGACATAATCAGTATACGTATCAGTATGTAGCGAATACCTATAATTATGTGATTATACGCATAAGCTTATATGGTACGTATATCTGTATAATTAAAATAACGAATCATATCTGTATCTATATAATATGTATATCTATATTTATACGTGTAAATACGTATTTTATATGTTATTACTATAGATGTACGTCGTTTTGACCTTTACGTAGGGTAATTTTCCTGATTTATTGCGGGATATGCTTGGTGATCTTTGTGATATGAACGTCTGTATATAGAGTGTGGCGTGGCAGAGGTGGAAGCGGGCACGAAGGGCCGGAAGTGCGCCAACTGCGGCTCGCCAATACAGGAAAACCCGGTACGTATGTTACCGCCGCCGCCATTTTTTCCTTGATCAGGGACTCAGGATTGATACCTGATATTGCAGCACAGCGATCTGCTGTCGGGTCGTGATCGGATCGGGCCCTCTCTCTGCAACGCCTGCCTCCATCGCAAGATCACCACCGTCAACCGGCCGCTGGGCCGGCGTAATAAACGGCTGGTAAAGAAAGTGTGCAGATATGTTGCGCGCTGACCGATTAAGCCTTTTTCAGTGTCACCCTTTAATTTGCAGCAACATACCTCTCGCGGTGCGCACTTGATTTGCTCCAACTGCGCCACGGACACCACAACGCTCTGGCGACGAGATGAATATGGCCAGCCACTGTGCAACGCCTGCGGTCTCTACTTGAAACTCCACCGCGTACGTACATTTATTACGGTGTCTATTTATCTGGTACGGTAGTGGCTCTAAATTTTATTAAGTAATCCATCAGTTAGTAATTAGTATTGTAATTGTAATTACTAATTATTGTAATTAGTTATTCATGCAGTTATTAGTAGTAGTAATAGGCAATTGCTTCGTAATTCATCAGGCGGCGCGTCCGAGTCAGATGCGCAAGAACCGCATCCTGATCCGCAAAGGCAGCGAGGATACCTCCGGATCCGCCGGCACTGACAGCCACCGCGCCGAGAAACTCGCCGTGGATATGACTGCTCGCTTGACGCTGACCGATACGCAGTGGAGTAGACGCTACCCATAAAACGCAATCGCCGCCCTCGGCTCGCCAGTGCCGGTTTATTTAGTTAGTGGCTAATTCAGTTATTACCATAATTATTACCACGTAATTATTTTAATCGTGCCGGTCTGGTGTTGACTGCTGCCCAGATATGCTCTACATACTCTTACATTGTACAATAACTATGCTCGCATACTGGCTGTACCGTGATTTAATTACTGCTGTCGGTTTTTTTACAAGACGACAGCGCTGCTATCTTTTTGTGTTAAATTATGTATGTACTTACCTGCCGTGAACTGAATGTTCTGACTGGTATGAAACTGAATACTCGGTTTCCGCTCGCTGCTTGCACATAGTACCTTCGTTTGTACGATTTCTGGCATCCACGCAGCTTCGTGTTATTTTCCTCATAAATGTAAACAATAAACTTAACAGTGCTAAAGAATACCGAAGCAATCAACGCCTGTGGTCGGACATGTTGACTATCAGGAAGCTGGAAGCCTTAAAGGAGGATGCCGACGTTATCGCCTCTGCTCGCTTGTTGGCCGCCTCTACTAAGAATGCCAGTGCCTGGTTGTTTGCTTTGCCGGTTGCTAGCCTTGGCACACTGTTGGACGACGCTGCGGCACGAATCGCTTGCTTTACGGTTGGGAGTTCAGATCTGTAAGCAACACAAATGCCGATGCGGGGAAATGGCTGATGCTCTAGGTTTGCATGGTTTGTCATGTTCGAAAAGTCAAGGGAGATTCAGGCGACACGCAAGTCTGAATAGCCTTATTCAACGCAGCCTGGAATCAGCAAAAGTGCCTTCTATTCTGGAGCCACCTGGATTGGGCAGGTTAGATGGGAAGCGGCCGGACGGTTTATCTCTTTTCCCTTGGAAGAACGGCCTCCCATTGATTTGGGATGTTACAGTGTGCGACACTTTCGCTATATCGTACATTGCCGGCTCATCGGAGGAAGCGGGATCGGCAGCAGAAGACGCGGAAGAGCGAAAGAGGAACAACTACAGGGAACTGACTGATCGTTCCTTTCTCCAACCAGTTTCCTTGGAGACTACGGGAACCTGTAGCGCCAGTACCCGTCAGTTCATCAGTGAAGTCGGCCGACGCATAAAAGATCAAACAGGAGAAGCGCGCGCTACCGAGTTTTTGTGGCAGCGTATAAGCGTCGAAATTCAGCGCGGAAATGCCGCATCTGTTCTGGGTACTGTTGGTTGTTCAAAAGAGCTGGAAGAGTTGTTTCATTTGTTTTAGCTATTCAATATTTGAGTTTTAAGTGTAAAACGGCATTTTGCTTGTACAATGTTGAAATCAATAAAGGAAATGGCTATTGTCACCCCCCTGCACCCCCTTTTGACTATTATCACCCCCTCGCACCCCCTTTTGACTATTGTCACCCCCTTTATTTAAATAAAATAAACACCCCCTTTGACTATTGTCACTCCTTACAACCCGCCCTTTTGGCTATTGCCACCACCTTTCAGTTTATTCTTATATTTTTTCCACCAGTGATTCTTTTCCAACTCTGTTCCTGTCACCACCGGCAGTTCTGAAAAAGACGCCAAGCGAAGGTTTTTGACACTTAATACATCACTAAGATGCGGCCTCCTTTTTTTAACATTAAACTTAACAGCTTCAGGGTTTTACTTTTCTATGATGAGCTCCGCAGCGAATGCGATCGCAAAAAGTCCACAATTATGGCCATCCCTTTGATGCTGTACGCACGGAAAGAAAATTTCGGTGTTCTCGCTTCCGGCTGATCTCAACACTTTCATAATCACTGATGCCGACGCCGGTGGTACAAAGTCATAAACAAATGGCTGTCCCTCTTTCCGTGCTAACAGCACTCAGTGGTCGGTGGCATCTTTTTGTACCTTTCCGGTAGTTTACAATCTTATTTAATTGGCTGAAAAGCCAAGCTAGCAACAATGTATTTTTTATAAGAAATGGCCAAGGAGTGGCAATAGTCAAAGGAGGTGAAAAAGGTGGTGACTATAGCCTAAGGGGGTGTTCACTTTATTTAAAAAAAGGGGGTGACAATAGTCAAAAGGGGGTGCAAGGGGGTGACAATAGCCCAAAGGGGGTGCGAGGGGGTGACAATAGTCGCACCCATCAATAAATTCATTTTTAACTTAACAGTAATTACTCTACTCAGTAGTAGTTGCAATCTGCAGTCACAGTGCATGTTTTTTGCCTTCGCTTTTTCTTTTGCCTGGTTTTTCAGCCTTATAAACCGTTCAGCAGCAGCTTTTCGAACAGTTGACGCTTTTCCTTTACCTGATGCGCCGCGCCGCCTATGTTATGAAACTCTACCAGCGTGCGTCCTACCCTCGTACGAATGCAGTATAGCATAGTTTCCGGGAAAGGGTTCATTGTGGCAGCTTGCCGTAGCGGATGAATTGCATGCAAAAAGGATATGCGACTCTTACGTCACTTTACCGACCATGATACGAAATTATAACTTTTCTTCGCTGTCTTTATCCTTAAGGTGAATTTCTACTCACATTACGCCATTTTAACTTGTACAGGAATCGATAGAGAATTCATTTCTCTATCTGCTGATGTGAATCAAACTTTTATGAAAAAATTGTACACCGTTACCTATTTTGAAAACTATGATCGAGCAGAAACCTTTTACAAGGTTTTAATACTGCGCAGAAGAGGAGACATCTCTGTTCTGGCGGGATGGCAAGTTTACTGACCACAAGGCACGAAATTATCAGCGGCAGCAAATATTTGTATAAGAACCAGAAGATGCGCGCGCTATCATAGAGGCAGTTTATCGGACCTGACTACTTGCTACTTGCTACCATTTTCGGAGGCGTGGTCTCCCGTAGCCGTTTTGGTAGAAAGTAGTTCCACAAAATGAGTTTATCCTGGCTGACTACTGCTACGTAGCTGGCTATGTAGCACCGACTATGTAGCGCAAATGTCTGCATAAACAGACGATGCTATTGGTAGTCGTGACTAGATTGCTAGCTCGTAAGGACAATGGCTAAGCCATGTAGTAACCTCTTGAGGTTGCTAATCCATATACCAACTTCGCAGATTATGCGGAAAAATTCGATACAGTACACAATAACCATTAAAAAGTTTGAAACCAAGTTCGAATTAACAAACACGATCATGTAATGAAACTTTTAAATTTAAAATTAAATTTGAAAGTTAAACTGTATTTTTTTAAAAGTTCAAGTCAAATAGGAACTTCAATTTTTTTTAAAATTTCAACTTACAACTAAACTTGAAATTTCAAAATTAAAATTTTTAAAGATTTCAATTTGGATTTTGAAGAGGAAATCTTGAAAATCTTGAAACAAATCAAATAAATAAAAAAATGCTTCACATGTAAAATAAATTAAAAAGTTAAAAGCGAATTAAAATAATTTCAAGAAAAAAAAATATTACGAGTACGCCTAATATCGGCTTGCCATAATGTATTTAATGTCGGCTTGCCGTATACCTAATGTCGGCTTGCCATAAGCCTAATATCGGCTTGCCATAGTCAAGTAACCCGCCACCATAAGAGGTTGTCCGCTGTCTAGCGGTGGGCGGGCGCTGCTGTTGCTACCTGCCGTTACTGTGGGCGGTTGCCTTCTGCGGTCACACCGGGCTGGTGCCGTCTAGTCGTAGCAAGCCGCTGTGAACTGGCTACTTTCTTGCTATCAGCTAGAAGGATAGTAAGCTGGCGACGAGTTTATGCGGACAGACTAGCATTTGTGCATCGGGGGAGGGGATAGCACGTAGCCACAAAGTTGTAGCAACCGCTATAAACTCCCTCATAAATGATCAGGTAGAACAATGAAATTTATTGCCCTGTTTTCGTCTCCATCTCCATTCACCACTGGCGCTTGAGTGTCAGAGAGTCATTCCTGCTCAGCTGAAACAATACGTGACCCGAAGAGGCCGGGACATAACAGGATGCGCAGCAATCGCACCAAGAATAGGCATGCTGTCCAGCTTAGTCTATACCGTTCACAAAAAAGTCATTTTCTCAAAATAGCAAATGTGGGGCAAATAATTCGGTGTTTTATCCGACTCCAAGTTTGATCGCTCCATCACATGTAGTAAATTCCCATACACATTCTGAACCAAAAGGAAGCTGGTCAGATGTATATTGACCAAGTTATAAGAGTTTAAAATTTTCGAAAATGCATTGCATCTTTGTTTTTTAAGGTATCATCACCATAATGGTTCAGAATGATCTTAAGATATAGATTTACCATAATGGTTAATTTGGTCGGAGTCCGATAGATAGGTGAATTATTTGACGCGTCCGAGTTTTTAAACTTTTTCCGGTGATAGTACAGCAGCCGGTTATTGCGCGCACATTTTGAGTTTAAATCGGTGAAGTTCAATGTTTTGAGCACCAAAAGCAGTAACGTACACTATAGAACTGTTTATGAGTCCGCAGTGGTGTTTTTTCTCGCAAGAGGGGTGCAAACGAGTAGAAACTCAGCTTATTTTAATTTAATGTATTCGCACCGCTGCTGATTGTATGTGTAATTTTGTGTATTTAAACATTTGAGTGTTGCCCATCGCATGAAAACGGTCAGCTCTTGCAACTGCTACATTACACAAAAGACTCATTCCGGGACGAGCGCCACACATCGACTAGAGACACTACGAAGGCCGCAAAAGAATTAAGATTTGTTGAGGGAAACCAGAGCGAGAAACAGAAAGGAAGGAAAGAAGACACTTGGACGGAAGGAGCAGCAAGATGGCCAACGCCGACCGGCTGTCTAAGAGGCACAGTCAGGCATCAGTCGGACGCTGCTGCGGGCGCAGCAGGAAGCGTCGGCGGAAAGGTCACTAGCGTCGGCTGTCAGTGTCAGACTGCCAGTAGGCTGGAAATCGCCGGTGGGCAACTGCGTCAAACAGCGCACGACCCAGGACGATCCCGGTAAATCCCATTCTGTGCTGCGCAGGTGCAGCTTTATGAAACGCCATGGTGGCCGTATCTCTGCGCCGCAATGAAGGCTGTCCCCGTGAAGTATTCCACAGACATTTCGCAGCAAATTTAGCCCACCGCGCCATGTTTAGGTTGGCGGTAAAGCGCGCCGCGAGATATTTCGTCGCCAGGCCATTTCCACACCGGAAAAGGCCGTCCTCGAGACAGTTAATAGTTTATCAGGCTAACTGATAACTGGCCATCCTAATAACTGATAATCAGACCTGATAAACAAATAACTGCAAGAAACCTGAAAATTCGCCCAAGTTACGTTGGAATTCGCCTTTACGTAGCTGTGGTTTTCGTTAGTAATTCCTGTCAGGTGACACATGATGGAATTGAACAGCGTGTAGGAATCATCATGTCGATTTATGTCAACCAATTAAGGTATTTCAGGGGCTAATTCAGCGCTAGCAGAACGACTGGGCAGCGTGGTTTCTGTAGTCGTCTGCGCAGTAACGGTCATTCACCACCATACACCACAAGTAGCTTTACCCTTCTGACATGCAGTCCTCTACCACGGAAACCTATATGTACGAAGCGGAAATGACACCGCAACCGGAGCAGGCTTCACCGGGACATGTCCTCTTCCGGAAGTCAAATTGTGCGAAAGGTCACGTCCCCTGCGGGCTGCGCCAGCCGTCCAATCCGCAACACAAGTGCGTGAACCAGTGCCGCTCTTGGACGAGCACCCAGGATTCGTGCTGCCATAGACCGGAATCTCCTGTTGGGCTGCACTGGGAGTTTCC